CCCCCCCCCCCGCGCCCCCCCCCCCCCGGGTCCGTAAATAACTGTAGTTATTTCCTTATTTGGTATGTGCGCCTATAGTGAACTCTTATTAATATCCACTTTTTCCAAGTTACTTTCAGACGAGGCTTACGTCGATTCGATCAATTATCTGTTGATAAGGTTTGCGCGAAGCGAGAGTGGCGCCGTCAGCAACTCCTACCCAAGCCCGTATACATTCTTCCCTCTTTAGCATCTACATCGCCCAGAATACGGTCGTGGCTATGACGATGCAGGCAGACAAGGCTGATTTGCGTCCTGGAGCGACCCTGTAGGGCGACGACAGGGACCAGGTTGTTGGCACAGCCACCGTGTCCACGTTCTGGGATAAAAATAGGCCTCCGACATCCACTGCAGCGTGAGTCTTGGCAACTATGGACAGATGTAATATAAATCTAGAGGAAGAGAATTATGTGCATAATTTTATTGCTTCAATGATTTAGTTGGAGAAGCTGGCCATTTCAAGATGCCTGGCAACGAGGTGATCTTCGACGGTGACGGCGATGCTCGGCTGCACGTCGGCGCCGGCCGCTCCGCCAATCCGGCCGTCTTTACCGTGTGCTCCCGGGCGCTGTCCCGGGCCTCGCCCGTGTTCGACAACATCTTCCACGGCGACGGCGACGCACCGCAGCGAGACTGCTGCCCCTCCAGCGAGGGCCCTGCGCTCTCCGACCGCCTTGTCGTCGAGCTGCCGCATGACGACCCGGCTGCCCTCGCCCTGCTACTTTACGCCGTGCACGCGCGCTTCGACCAGGTCCCGGCGCGGCTGCCGACGGACGCGCTGCACGCGCTGGCCGCCGTCGCGCACAAGTACGGTGCCACGGCGGTCCTGCGCCCGTGGACCGCGTCGTGGACGCGCCCGCTCGCCGCGGAGCCGGACGACGGGGGAGGCGCGGCGCTGGTCAAGGCCATGGGCATCTGCTGGGTGCTCGGTTGCCGCGAGGGCTTCTTCCACGCGGCGGCTGCGTTTGTCGAGCGCGCACCGGCGCCCGCGCTGGACGACCTGCAGATCCCGCCCGACACGATCGGTGAGCAAGCACCCACCACTCACTCACGCACTACTACAGCTACAGGCCAAAGTAACCCAATTTTTCAGAGTACATCTTGTCCGTGCGGCTCGAGACGATCCGGCTGCTGTGCGGTGTCCTCCGGGAGATGATCCGGAACCTAATCGTGGTGGACGAGGCGCCGAGGTGGTGTAGGCACGCGACGTGGTTCGGCCACCACCGCTGCGAGTCGATGATCCTCGGGTCGCTGGTGTCCGGGCTGTCGCGCGCGGGGCTCTGGCCGCTGCCGGAGGCGGAGGAGGTCAAGGGCAGCGTGCGGGATCTGCGCGCGAGGCTCGACGGGGTGGAGGTGCAGGATATTGGACGGGCCGGGGGGGAGGAGGAGGGAGGAGACCATGGCGAGTGCAACCCGAGTCAGCACCTGAGGGACGCGACGAGGGAGGTCATGGAGGATGTGCCGAGGAGGTTGGAGAGTATCATGTTCAAGACGGGGCAATTAGATTTGTCAAAGTAGCTAATTAACAATCAGCTCTGGGAATGCTACTTGTCGTCTGATGTTGTCGACGTGTCTGACAAGGAAGCTCAACTATACGCAAGTGACAATTTCGACGGTCGCTAATTCATACTAAAAATAACCCTAGAATAGCGTCACAATAACACTATAATAATCGGCGTACTCTCATAATAGACCAAATTCTCCTAGTTGGGAAAGCCACTTATTTCAACTTCGCCAGGAGGACAGCCCAATAGGGCAACAACCAACCACGTCCATTTGGGAAACAAGTCATTGTCCAATCGGTAGAGCCCCTGAATCGCTGGGGAAGTCCCACTAATACGATCATTCAGGGGTTGTCAACGGCTGCCCTTGGCCAAGATAGAAAACGAAGCCTAAAAATAAACACGAGAGTGGACCTCGCAAAACCGTCCCGGAATAGAGGCATGAGAAGAGAAAGAGCATCTTGGCTTTTTGTTGTCAACAAGACGTCAAGCTTAAATAGAGACTCAAAGATGTGATGAGATCAACCCAAGGACATTGACATTGGCACTCAGCCGTCTACTCACAAGCACCATGACCACCACCAGCGACAGTGTCACCATCGACCCTCGCGGTGACATCCGTCTCCAAGTCGGCCGCGACGACGTCGACCATGCCGACAACGAATCATCCTCCTGGCAGCACGCCGAATTCCTCGTCTGCTCCCGCGCGCTGGCCCGCGCCTCGCCCATCTTCGACCGCATGCTGTACGGCCCCTACGCCGAGGCCGCGCACGCCTCCCCCGACTGGAGCGTCGCGCTGCCCGAGGACAAGCCGGCGCCGATGCAGGTGCTGCTGCAGATCGCGCACGCCCGCTTCTCCCGCGTGCCGCCCGTGCTGTCCGTGGACAACCTGCACGACCTCGCGGTGCTGACCAACTACTACGACGCCACGGCGCTGCTGGCGCCGTGGATCGGCGGCTGGATGGCGGAGCTGGCGGAGATTTCGCACGACGCCAACGTCATACAGTCCAAGCTCCTCTGGATCGCATGGGAGTTTGGGCTGAGGGACGACTTTGGCAGCGTGGCGCACCGGATGCTGACGGAGGAGCCGCCGCAGCCTGCCGCCGACGCCAGCCCAGCTGCCGCTGATCAGGTTCAAGCTCCTCACATTATCGGTAACGACAACCCCCCCCCCCCCTACTTTCTAACTCAATCTTCAGAATCCATCTCTTCCATCCGGCTGCGGGCCATCCAGCAACTCCTCGACATCGTCGCCGACGTCGTCTCGCGCCTTACCGGCACCGACGACCACGCCCCGCGGTGGTGCCGCCACGCCGCCCGCGTCGACCATCGCCAGTGCGAGCTGATGATCCTGGGTTCGCTCAGCTTCTGCCTCGCGCGCGCCGGCATCTGGCCGCTGCCGACCGCCGCCGCGCATGTCCGGCTCAGCCTCGGCGAGCTGCACCGCGTGCTGACGAACCTGGTCATCCACGACATCGGCGCCGAGCCGGGGGACCCGCGGCTCGACCACGAGACGTGCAACCCGGCGCCGCTTCTGATGCAGCGCGTCAGGCACGTCATGCTGAGCATACCGAGTCCCGTGACGGAGTTTCACGTCAGTCATCTGGAGAGGAGGGCGAGGAAGCTGCGGCACGGCTCGGCTAGGTGAGGCTGAGGGATGTGGTGGGCTTATATAGCCCGTACATATATATATGGAACTAGGACCTATAGTTGTTCTTGCGCTTATTATTGTAGCAGTCATCAAACATATTATCCCCACTATATGCATTGACTCGTCACTTGATGTTGGCCCAAGCAAGAACTTCAGCGTGGGTTGGGGCTGGGAACGAAGGACACAGATATGAAAAACGATGGAAAGAAATAGACAGGCAACTGCTTCCCTCCCCGATCCATGAGACTACTTGCTCATAATGGATGGATCGGCCCAAACAGCAGAGGCAGCCCATCACGCGGCTCACACTTCGCAGCTGAGCGTCTTTTGCCATCTGCCCGGCTCGCCTCTTGCCAGACGCTTCCCCGTTGACATCATAATGCAGCCACCAAACATGAATCCATCATGATTGTCTCCTCCTTTTGCGGCCACCTCCAACCCCGCCATCACCTCCCCCATACACCATACATGCAGTTCTCGAGCCAAAAGGATCGCCATGCAGCTCCATGGCAGCGGAGCATCGCCAGCCCCCTCCATGGGCATGCTTCCCAACAGTCAATCCGGCCGGCCGCAGCCGATGCTCGGAGAATCAAGCACAGTGTCTTGATGAACTTCCGATACGTACGACCCCTTCAGCTACGTGCCGGCCGCCGCCTATCCCACCATGACGATCATGCATGACCTCGCATGGTTCGTGTCACTGTGGCTAAACCCTCCGTTCATCCCTCCATTCATGCATCCCTGGTTGACCCAATCCCAGGCCCTAGCGGCCATCACGTCACCCATCCATACAGCCGTGGCGCTTGCATCTGCAGTACTCTCGTGCTGCCAAGGATCGGAACCGGCCCCTTCGGACCACCGCTTCGGTTTTGGCCTACCAGCACTCGGGAGACAGAGATGTTTCCTGGCACTTGTGAGACAAAGATGTTTCCCGGCACTTGTGAGACAAAGATCACCCTTCCTTCACATACTATCGTGTTTGTCGTTGACTCGTTGACTCGTCTAGTCTGTCCCGTCTGTCCCGTCTGTCTAGTCTGTCTAGTCTGTCTAGTCTGTCTAGTCTGTCCCGTCTGTCCAGTCTCGTCCGGCATCAGCGCATAATAGCATCAGATCTCGACTGGTGTCCTCAATTCCTCGCACAACAGCTACACATAGCAACTTCTGCCCTCCATGAAGGCCTCCTTCTTTCTCAAAGCCGCCACTGCCTACTTTGGTGCGCATCCCGTGCTCACCCTCGTCCTCTTATGGGCGCTCGCCCTTCTCGTCCGCCGCATCTCCCGCTACCGGGCCGCCTGGCGTGCCCTCGGCCAAGCCTACGAGCTCAACGGCTGCTCGCGCCCCGTCGCCTACCCTCACCGAGACCCCATCTTCGGGCTCGACGTGGCACTCACCGCCATGGCCGCGGCCCGAAAGCACCGCTACACCACCGACTCGGCGCAGCGCTTCCGCGACCTCGGCGCCTACACCTACTACACCTGGATCCGCGGCCGGCAAGCCATCCACACCGCCGAGCCCGAGAACGTCCGGTGTCTGTTGTCCACCCGCGCGCAGGACTACTCCATCGCCGGCCGCCGCGCCTTCCTCGGCCGCTTCCTCGGCCGCGGCATCTTCGTCGCCGACGGCGAGGACTGGGCGCGCTCCCGCGCCCGTCTCCGCCCCAGCTTCGCCCGCGAGCACGTCGCCGACCTGGCCATCTTCGAGCGGCACGTCGACTCGCTGCTGCGCGTGCTGCCGACGGATAGCTCAGCCGTGGTGAGCCTGCAGGACTGCTTTCTGCGCTTCACGTTCGACCTGTCCAGCGACTTCCTGGTCGGCCACTCCACGCACACGCTGACGCAGCCCTCGCCGCGCGATCGCAAGTTTGGCGAGGCGTTTAGCTGGTCCCTCTCGCACGTCGACAAGCGGATGCTCCGCGGCCCGCTGGAGCGCTTCTACCCCATTGATCCGCGCGAGGACAAGGAACGCCGCGTCTGCCGCGACTACATGGGTGCGTATGCCGACGCGGCCATTGCCGCCCGTCGGCGCGCCAAGATGGACGCGGACAAGCCCAGCAATGATTATCATGGTCGTAGTGGTACTGAGGAGAAGCAGCGGAAGAGCTTCCTCGACGAGCTTGTCGAGGTCATTCACGACCGGGAGGTCATCTGCGACGAGCTCATGAGCACCATGGCCGCCGGCCGCGACGCCACGGCCAGCTTGATGAGCAACATGTTCCACGAACTGTCGCGTCGGCCGGACATTTGGCAGCGGCTGCGCGAAGACGTCCGCCGGGCGCTGGACGGCGCGCTGCCCAGCTACGACCAGCTGCGCAACCTAAAACTCGCCCAGTACATGGTCAACGAGAGTGAGCTGCACAACACGCGAACGCTACATTGAGAGAGAGAGAGAGAAGCTAACACTGTCGGGAACTATCAGCCCTCCGCCTCTACCCGCCCGTGTTCCAAAACGGCCGACGGGCCGAACGCGACACGATCCTCCCGACCGGCGGCGGCGCGGACGGCACCGCGCCCGTGTTCGTGCCCAAGGGCACCGGCGTCCTCTTCTCGGTCTGGACCATGCACCGCCGCGCTGACCTCTACGGGCCGGACGCCGAGACGTTTGACCCGGATCGCTGGGCGACTCCTCGTCCCGGATGGGTACGTAACCGCGCAAGTCAATCGCCAAACTGCATCTTCCACTATCTTTTTTTTTCTTTTTATTTTAATATCCCGTCTAGACTAATACCTCGTCCCGCAGGAATACGTGCCCTTTGGCGGCGGCCCGCGCATCTGCCTCGGCCAGCAGTTTGCGCTCACCGCGGCGACGTACGTCGTGGTCCGCATGGCGCAGGAGTTTGCGTCCGTGGAGACGGCGGACAAGGCGCCGTGGAAAGAGCGAGTTGCCCTGACGCTGTTCATCGACGACGACGTCAACTGCAGGCTGACCCGCGCATGAGCGTGTCTGCGGCTGTAACAGTCTGGAGCGGGAGCGGAGGGTGTATGCCCAGAGTGCGGAGGAGAGAAACAGACAGTGAATGTACAGAATTTTGAAATGGATTGACTCCGATGGCTAGATCCAAAGAAACACTTCCTATTGTAAACGCGCCCAACTCCTACAATGCTCTTCCAGTATATAAACCTCGGTACAACCAACCCCCAATATATCATACATCCCCGTCCAACCCGCGTTTACAAAAACGGACACCAACCGATATACATGGCCGTCAGGTTCCGCGGGTCGACCGCCTGCTTGATCAGCTCCTCCACCTGGCCCTCCACCGACAGCGGAATGCTCTCATTCGGCAGCAGCCCCTTGACCTTTCTCTTGATGCTATCCACCACGCTCTGCGGCTGCAGCCTCACCTCGCTCCTCCTCGACCCGCCCCCGCGCTTCTCCCGCTGCAAGTCCAGCGTCGGGTCATGTATAAACGCCTCCAGGATGGTCATCAGCGTCTCCTCCTGCTGTCTGAGAATCCGCAGGGTCAGCTCCGAGGACGCGCGGAACGGGCCCTCGGTGCCCGCCACGCCCATCGCGGCCACCATGTTGTGCGTCAGCCGAAAGGGCACGCGCTCCGGCTTGGCAAAGGTCAGCCCCTTGTCGAAGAGGCAGTTGAAGTCGACGTGGAAGATGCCCCCCGAGCCCTCCTCCAGGTTCACGTTCTCGCCGTGGCGGTCGCCGAGGCCGAGGATCGTGCCGACCATGGACATGACCGCGCAGGAGCGCGTGTACCGCAACCGCGCCGCGAACCACGCTGACGGGTTCGGAAACTGCCGCACGAACCAGAGCGGCAGCAGCGCGGGGAACCGGCCGAGCACGTCGTCCGTGAAGACGCGCAGCTTGCTGTCGCCCGGCCCCGCGCAGGCCTCGTCCATCAGCTGCTTCAGCGCCATGTAGTCCGGGTGGATCTTGTGCGCCGCGTACAGCGACAGCAGCGTGTCGCGCATCGTGCGGATGCCCGGCACCCACTCGATGATGCCGCACTCCTCGTTGAGCGGCACCACGGCGTAGGTGCGGATGTACAGCTGGCGGCGACTCGACGCGGCGTCGCGCTTCAGCGAGCGGTTGATCATCGAGTTGAACTCCATCAGGCGCTGGTCCGTCCGCAGGTCGTCCTTGGGTTTCACCAGCAGCATGTAGCTGCGGCCGTCGCTGCCGCGCGCCGTCAGCCGCCGCGGCTTGGCCAGCGAGCTCAGCACCAGCACCTCGTCCAGGAAGCAGCTGATGGTCACCACGTCGCGCGAGAACGGCCGGTGGCTCTTGAGGTCCCCCGAGGCCGCCGGCATCGCCGCCGTCAGCGTCGCCTCCACGGGCACCGCCAGCGGGCACGGCGCGCACTTGTGGTTGAAGCGCAGGTCGCGCGTCAGGCTCGCGTGCACCGTCTTGGTCCCGTGGAAGTCGCCGTTGGTGCACGCCAGCAGCAGCTGCTCCGCCAGCTTCTCCGCGTACCGCAGGAGCTGCTTCATGTCGTGCGAGGTGCCCTCCGCCTTGCGCGGCGTGCCTCGCAGCGTCTGCAGGATCTGCATCCCGCGCGTCTTGCGCTCGCCCGCCTGCTTCGTCGTCATGGCCCCGATGACGCTCCACAGCGCCTGCTGCGGGTAGTGCTGCACCACCTTGACGATGATGTGCGTCAGCCGCTCAAAGACCTGCAGGTTGTGGTGCGCGATGCGCGCGACAATCTGCGGCAGCGCAGAGTAGAAGATGTACGCCTGCAGTCGCCCGATGTACCGGTCGAGGAAGACGTGCAGCTGGTTCAGCTGTTCCACCCGACGCTTGTGAAGCTCACGGGACAGCGACATCTTCCCCTCCGGCGCCTTGTCCACTTGTGCGCCGAGGTCAAGCCACAGTGTCAGTATTCTCGGCAGGGTCTGGTAGAGGTACTTTGTGCCAAAGTTGAGCGACCTGAGATAGTTTTCAATGACCAGTCTCGCTATCTCTCCCGTGACGTAGTTATCGCTCTGGTCATCTACCTTGAGAGGCTGCTCCGCCTCCAAAATCTTCTTGTAATGGCGTCCCAGGTAGTAATGGCCCTTTTCCCAATTTGTGTGAGTCTTGGGCGGTTGTTGATACTTTTCACGCAACGCCAGCGCGTGTATCTGTCCAGAAGTATCCAACCACTTGGCCAGGAGCAGCTGAGCACGCGCCGTCAAGAGCTTCTGCTGCTTCCCGAGTTTACTTGAGCTCGCCGTGCTCGCCGTGGCCGAGGCCCCTGCCTGAGTCATGAAGCGGTTGCGTTCAATGGCGCCCTGAAGCATCTGAATAGCCTGCCGACGATGTGAGTCCTTCCATAGAAGCTTTGCGTTTTCGATTGTGGCTGAGTCATCTCCCAATTGTGAGGCGTGGAGGACCGCGTTAAACGACTGGCGAGTAGCATCCGTCTTCCTGGCTAGGCGAGCGCTGGTGAGCCAGAGAGAGGAAATGTCGAGATCTGAAAACTTGGGTCGAGTGAGTTCCATCGCGGCTCTTCGAATTCCAAGGATGTACTGCTTATCATGGAAGTACGCTCCAATGACGTCCAGTCGGTTGTCCAGCAAGCTCAGCGCCTGCTTCCGGTCGTCCTCTCTATCAGATTTCAGGTTAATAACGACTTCTAGGTCAGCAAGGACGTGGCACTTGAGCAGAGAGTCGTGAGCTGCTTGCAGTGATGCCGTCGCAGAAGTCGTCATTCCTGCAGCTATCTTGTCTCGCATTCCTTGTATTGTCCTGGTCAGATTTGCGTGATCCGTCTTCTTGTGAAGAGAGGAGAGAACTGATGCAAGGGACATGTTGAAATCCTGGGTCAGGTCGCCTTGAAACCTCTCAATAAACTTTCCGAGGCTTTCCCAGCGGCCAGTGACCCAAGCGGCTTCGACCGCATACGGCATGATCTTTGTATCGCTAGAAGTATCGGTAAACATCGATTCGACATGGTTGAGAAGCACATCATATTGGCCTGCTTGCTTCAGGCAGTTGAGCAGTTCGACTTGGACATCGACATTGTCCGGCTTCTCGGCCAGCTCAATCTCATACCACGTCTGCGCGGCCGTCCATCGACCAGCCTTCTTGTGGCCTAGAATTTGCTGATTAATGTCCAGCGCATGAAGGTGTGCTGATATGCCCTCCAAGCCATCCGGCTCATCAATGTTGGCATAAATATCTTGCAATTTCTGCAGCATGCGGTCGCGGTCACCAGGTGCGCATTTCTGCTGCTCCATCTTCTGGACATGCTGCTCCAAGTGGAACAAGGCGCGCGCGTATTCATTGCAGTCGGTTGCGCGCTCCGAGATGAGTTCGGCGGGGATGCTGTCCAGAACGGCCTGGATATTGGCCACTTGTTCCTTCTTCTCTGAAGAAAGTTTGCCTGCAGCCTTCTTGCTATGTACCCAACGCATGGCGTAGTCAAGAACCCGGAAGACAGCCTGTAATAAGTCAGCATGCACAATCACGCCTAGTCACGCCGGGTCAAACTTACATGGCAATAGCGCTTGAACTCTTCCTTTTCAGCATATGACGCCTCCTCCTCCGGACTGTACTGCAGGATACTGGTGAGTTCGTTTAAGATCTGATCCTTGTCTTGATCTGTACTCTTCGATCCAAGCAGAACATGGAGGACAAGGTACGGGAGCAAGAATTCAGACGTCGAGAGATCCTTTACTCGAATTACACGCGACAAGGGCTCAAAGAGCATGTCGGCGTGGGGATGCTGCCCGTTTCGCAGTAGTTCAATGACAAAGGACCGAAGCCAGTTGCCGTAGGGCTTCGCGGGGCTGAATATGGGATATTCCACCTTCACAGGCAGCATGGGGGCGACCATGTACTTGGAGGTGAGAAAGGGGGTGACTACCTCTCGCACGTTCTCTGGCAGCGCAATCCATTTCCGGTAGATATTGTTCCCGGCCATGCCTCCGGTATTTTGCATTGCAATGGCGGCCTTAATTTCGAACCGGTCCAAAAGCTCCTGCATGGCAAAACACAGAAATCCTTGAAGACGCGTGTCGGTCGCCGAGAGAAACGCCGGCACCAGAATCTCCTCCAAGAGAAAGAGCGCGAAGTCGGTCGTCTCCTGAAAACTTTCGAAATTGTCCAAAATTACGATAGACCGCTGCTCGCGCACAGTCTCGGCTTGGTTCGAGTCCAAGCAGCCTATCAGGCCCATGGACTCAACGCACAGCCGGCTGATGCTGCCGTGAAGGTGGTTGTACCTGCACGAGCAATCCAGCAGGGCACGCATGAGCGTCGTCACCACGCTGTCGGTCTGGGAAATGTTGGACGTGTGGAGGGCGCCCTGGTTGGCTCGAAGGTACGGTACGAGCTCGTTCAGGGCCTGCTGCACGACGCCTGAATTCTCATGACGAAGTCGCGTGGCGAATATGGGGAGCAGTTCTTCCGGGAGGAGCTTGGGTCGGAGAGCCCGGAGCTCTTTTTCCAGCTTGGAGAGTGAAGGAATGCCTTGAAACGAGGGCAGGCTGCTAATGTTCTTCTCGACAATGGCCCCGTAGCTCTCCAGCAAGAATGACACGATGTCACTGGCGGTCTCAATCGAGAATGCACTGAAGTTGGGCCAATAGTGCTTGACGATGAAGAATGTCGTCTCCAGAAGCGCCTCGACATCTTCCTCATCAAAGTTCATTAACATGGACGCCCAGCATGACAGTGAGATGTCTCTCAGCGAGTCCTGTGCCAGCGCCGCGAGTAGACAGGCAGATATTTGCGGTCGAGCGATACGCGCATGCGACTGGCAGAGATTGATCATTTCGTCCAGGGCGCGGATGCAGTTGCGCTGTTCCATCTCTCCGGGGTGCATCATGGCTGGATCGTTGATCACATCAGTAAGACGAGCCATCAAGCCCAGAATATGCGATTGCAGGAATCTGCCAATCATGTTGCCTTTTTTGATCTTCTTCGTCTCAGGGCTTGCCCTGAGAATGCTTGTTGCCATCCACCTAAGAGCTTCAATGATGGTCTCCTTCCTTACTCCGTCGGCCTGTCCAGCGGCTTTCAGGAGTTCAATCGCGATCAAGACGGGCTCGATTTGTAGCAGTTCGACAATCGGTCGATCATGTAGATTGAGACCAACGTCGTTTAACCGGGACCTGACAAAATTTTCGATGTCATCGGTCTCTTGAATCATGAGAAGCGACAGGATGGCAGCCAAGTTTGCATTGTCCATCAGCGGCTGCCAGCCCATGGTCTCCTGTCGCGCCTCGGCAAACTTTTGAATCACTTCCGTCCGCTTGTCCAAGACGAGCCATGGGAGCGCGTGCGTTTGAATGAGCAATAACAATTCATTGACAGAAATCTGCAGGAGCTCCGCTATCGCTCTGCTTCGTTGCGGTCGGTGAACCATGTCTTTGGTCGCCATGTACGCCAAGCTCTTCCAGTAGGGCTCCAGGAGGCGTCGTGGCGTGGTGCTGCGGGATTCTGACAGATTGAGAAGCTCGTTGAAAGCAACAGCAGCTGCAAAACTGTTGCTGCTACCTAGATACTCGAGGAGCTTGATCAAGACGAGGTTGAGCTCATTCTCGGGCATCACTCTGCCAAGCTGACCCCAAACCATGATTCGAGACTCAACAAGGTGAGTTTGGTCGTTGTCTGAAACCGAGCGTAATAAGGTAATTGTGTTTTTCCGGTTCCTCGACAGCAGGTTATCGTCGATAGAAGGGGTCGCCTTGGGCGGCATAAAAGCGGCGATTACTCTGCCGGCCGCAATTCGCAGCTCTCGTATTGAACTATTCAGGGATTGCAAACACCACTGGCCCAAGGTAGAGGTTTCCAGATTAAGGACAGTAGAGTCTTCACAGTGGAGGAGAATCCGGCGCAAGGCCAGCATCGCGGTGATCCGTGGTTTGCGGGATTCTAAAAAGCTTGATTGCCGGATTAGGTCGGCAAATATAGAACGGATCATCGTCTTGAGATTATGCGTCTGAATATTATTTCGGGTCGCATCTTTGCCAACGCAAATAGCGCACTGTTTTTTGTCCGTCTCACAGTGCTGGCCATCAACAACGCAGCACAACTTTGACATCATGTCGATAACTAGGCACTTTGTGCCTTCATTCAAGGCGTCCATCGCATTTCTTTCAGATTAGGCATTAGTCAGGTATCCAGAGGATCATAAACAACACTTACAAAACGCGAGCCGAATCAAACTGCTCTTCGTTGAGAGGTTCATCCAGTTCGAGAGCGGCACGCAGGCGCTTTATTGCGTGGGAGACAGTGTCCATCTCAGACGACTCATTCAACTTTCTTCGCTTTGCTCCGTTGCCATGTCCGGTCGGCTGTTCGTGTGATAAATGCATCCCCTCAACGCAGCGCCTCAGTTCTGTGTCCTGAAATAGTGATGGATGCGTTGAAGATGGCAGCGTCTGCGGCGGTTCCAAGTTGACCACTTCGCGTAGTAAAAGGGCACATCGCTACTTCACGTCAGCATACTTGCACCAAGGCCATGATCAAAATCCCTTACCCAGACATCGGTTTCTTCTCCAAGCGCGGGATATTGCGCCGGTAATAACGACAGTTCGTTCACGAGTTTCGACGCCGCCAGACGTCCGATGGTGGGCGACTGCAGCGCCGCCTGCGCAATCGCAACCAACGCCAGGCAATAACTCGCTCTCGCAGCCGCTCCAGCATCATCCGATTCGGCCAGTTCCTCCGGTGCGGCCACCATCTCACTACACAGCAGGACGAGCGTCGTGCACGCCTTGTTCCTCGTCGCCGCCACTACAGCATGCTCCGCCGTCGCGGACGCCTTGGCCACGTCGACCGCCATCTCGATCAGCGGCAGGGGCGACTTCTTCTCGTCGCCGGGGAGCCGCTTCTGCGCCGACCACAGGTCCAGCCAGGCGTCGAGCAACCACGGCCCGATCTCGGACATGGGCGCGACGGATGCGAACGCCGGGTCCCGGCACGTCAGCGGGTACGCGAGCACGCGCGCGAGGCTGTGAGCCTGCTGGAGCGCCTGACGGGGGAGTTTTATTCGGTACGTGAGCGAGACGGACGCTGGCGGCGGGCTCCGGCCTTGCAGCGCCTGGTCGAGGACGTGCGGCGGCGGCATCTCTATATCGATCGAGGCGTTCCTTTTCGACGGCGGCGATTGCAGCTTCTCGATGAGACCTATCACGGCCACACTATGTCAGCCAATTATCCCCCACAGCCAACCACACCCACTCAACTCACCGGTTAAGCAGCCGCGGAGGTACAGCGTCAGCGGCCCGATGACGGGCCACAGCTTCGACACCCGTGCCACCGTCAGCAGCAGGTACTGCAAGAACCCCTCGATTGCGCCGCGCAGCTCCTCGCAGCGCGGGTGTCCCAGCATGCGCAGCCAGCGCGGCAGCAGCCACGCCCAGAGCGGCTCCCCGCCGCGCAGCAACAACCCGTGGTCCGCCGACGAGAAGCTCAGCGCCGACGGGGTCTCGTTGACCGTGAACCGCAAAAAGGTGAGCGCGCGGAGCGCCTCTGCCCTCACGCGGGCGACATCCAGCAGCGGGTCGTCCAGGCGCACGGCGTCCAGCACCACCCGGCAGTACACGTAGACGAGCATGTGGTTGTGCTCGAGGCGCTGCGCGGGGGTGCCCAGCAGCTCCGGGCGGTCCTTGACGCGCTGGATCACGGCGAAGAGCGCCTTGAGCTCGGCGCTGTCGTCGGCGGAGCGCGAGGAGGAGGAGGAGGAGACGCGCGACGAGGCGGAGATGGTCTCGACGAGCTGCGCAGCGAGCGTCGACGGCGGAGGCAGCGGCGGGCCGCTTGCATCTTGGGGGCCGGCCATCACGTGCGGCTGTGTCGTGTACAGGGCAGCATTACAGGTTGTCGATTCTGCGTCGATGATGATTGTGCGATTTTCTTCGGCATTGATGTCGTGGGGAGAGCTTGAATTGGTCGAGTTTCGTGTTTGACTATAACGTTATTCTGCCACTATTTTGTGGTGGGTCGCGGGGAGACGCGACGACTTCAATTAATGCGCTGCCTGGCAACGCGCTGTCACGTGGAGAAGATTAATTGCTTTTAACTTACGAAATCGATCCATCATCTGGTCCTTGAAAAGACCTTCAACTCGGTCAACACTTGATGTATATCATAATTTGCATTTCTTCTACATCTGAAAGATCCTTGCGCAAACCCACCAACGTTGACTGGCATACAGTCGTCCCAAATAGAAATCTATATACACTCATGCAGAATGCCCTCAAACGCCATAGCTATAGTCTTGACATGTTTCTCTTTTTTTGAATTTTGTGATTTATTTGTCTTTCATCACTCCTCTGTCTTGGGCTCTTCCTCGAAGAGGACAAGAATAGTGCCAGCCTTGCAAATATCGCCCTCCTTGTGGGCGAGCTTCTTGATGACACCATCCTGAGGAGAGCGAATCACAGTCTCCATCTTCATCGACTCAATAACCACCAGCGGCGTGCCCTTCTTGACGACCTGGCCCTCCTCGACCTCGTTCTTGAGAATCTTGCAGGGCATCGGCGCCGCCACCGAGGCGGACACCTCCTTGAGACCGAGCGCCTTCTCGTACCACTGCGGCGGCAGGAGAGACAGCTCCGTCTTGACGCCGTGCTGGAAGATGGTGACCTTGGTATCATTGCCGTCCTCCTGGGGCACGACGGTGGAGTGGATGCGCTCGTGCGAGAAGAGCGAGTTGACCTTGGTCACGGCGTCCTCGGTCGTGCGCTTGGCAGAGACGTTGGCGAAGACCTCGGGCGCCTCCTGCCCCTTGCGGCTGATGGAGATAGTATACAGGTCGTGGCCTGTCTGGGCGACGCTGGTCTCGACGACCTCGCCCTCGTTGGCGCTGTAGCCGTCGAGGACCTTGAATGCAAGCTTGCGCTCGCTGGTGGCGTTGGCGGCGCCGAAACCCAGCGACAAGCCGTGCGGGCCGGGCTCGTTGGCCTGGAAACTCAGAACGCCGAGAGCAGCCTGGACAAAGACCTCGCCCTTGATGTGGCGGGGCTTGAAGAGCTCATCTCTCCACTTCTCAATGAAGCCGGTCTCAACGTCGCCCTCGATGAAAGCAGGGGACTCGCAGAGGCGCTTCAGGAACTCGACGTTAGTGCTCAGACCGACAATTTCGAACTTGCGGAGGGCAGCGGCGAGCTTAGCGATGGCGGTCTCGCGGGTGTCGCCACGGATAATCAGCTTGGCAATCATACCGTCGTAGGCTTCCGAGACGACGCTACCGGAGCCGAAGCCCCAGTCCAGGCGGACGTCCTCGTCTCCCTTAAGGCTCTCGGCCAGGACGGCGTGCACGAGCTTGCCAGAGTCGGGCATGAAGCCCTTTTCGGGGTTCTCAGCGTAGACGCGGGCCTCGATCGCGGCACCGCGCTGCGCCATCTGCTCTTCGACCTGAGCCTGGTCCAGGGGAAGCTTCTCGCCGGCTGCGATCCTAAACTGCCACTCGACCAGGTCCACGCCGGTGACCATCTCGGTGACCGGGTGCTCGACCTGCAGGCGGGTGTTCATCTCCATGAAGTAGAACTTGCCGCTGTCCTTGTCGAGGATGAACTCGACGGTGCCGGCACCGACGTAGCCGACCGCCGAGGCGGCCATGCGCGCCTTGTTCCAGAGGTCCAGCTGCGTGGCGCGGTCCAGGTCGGGCGCGGGCGACTCCTCGAGGACCTTTTGGTGCCGGCGCTGGACGCTGCAGTCGCGCTCGCCGAGTGCGACTGTGTTTCCGTGCTTGTCCGCGAAGACTTGGACCTCGACGTGACGCGGGCGGACAATGTACTTCTCGACCAGCATGACCTCGCCTTCATCGCCAAACGACGCCTTGGCCTCAGCGCGCGCGCTCTTGAGCTGGGCCGCGAACTCGTCCTCGGTCAAGACAATTCGCATGCCCTTACCACCGCCACCACGGACACTCTTGAGCAGCACGGGAAAGGTGATGTCGCGGGCGTGCTCAAGCAGCTGCTGCTCGCCCTGGTCGGCGCCGTGGTAGCCGGGCACGCAAGGGACATTGGCGGCGTTCATGATCTCCTTGGAGCGGGCCTTGTCGCCCATGTCGGCCATGGCCGAGGGCGGCGGGCCGATGAAGACGATGCCCTCCTGCTCGCAGCGGCGCGCAAAGGCTGGGTTCTCGGAGAGGAAGCCGTAGCCCGGGTGCAGCGCCTGTATGCCGTTCTTCTTGGCCAAGGCGATGATCTTGTCGCCGTCGAGGTAGCCCTTGGCTGGGCCGAGGCCGAGGGATTGAAAGCCGGCCGAGGCGTGCCAGGCGTGGGCGTCGACATCGGTGTAGACGGTGGTGGCGCGGATGCCCATGCGCTCCGCCGTCTTGTTGATTCGGATGGCGATCTCGCCGCGGTTGGCAATCAGGACCGACTGGATGGCGGCCGTCTTGGGGACGCCGGAGGCGGCCGTGGAGGCATATCGAGGGAGGGGCCGCAGGGCCAGGCGGCGGTTAGCCCTGAAGGAACGCATCTCTCAGGTTGTGAAGGTAAACAGAGGGAGGGGGGTGAAATATGTGGAGGTGCGGGTTGAGAGACAGAAGACAAGAAGCCAGAGGGGGAAGCGAAGCGATTACCCAGGCAATCTTCGCTCAATGGCTGGGACGGTTAGGTGATATGGAAAAGTGAGAAAGTAAGAAAAACAATCCCAAGTCCAAGATGCGAGATGCCGGTGTTCCTCCACAAGCTACAGAAGCTACACCAGGCTAAAGCCGTCCGTGGGGAGCCGAAAGTAGCCGTTTCCAGCGGCCCAATCAGTAAGCGGTTGAGTCGTGTGACGACAGAATTGCACTGGGCCGCCTTGTGCCGCGCCCAGCAACCCACTAACAATTACCCCGGATTGGGGATTCCAACACGGTCCAGGGTCTATCCGGCTATGCATGAATTGTCAGGCCCCAGTAAGAGGTAGAATTCGGATAAAATTCGAAATACCATGGTTAAAAGTGTATTGTTTCTTCTAACATATTTTAACGGCTCTAGCAAACGTTGAAATGGCAAATTGTCAGGTTGAGTAGCAACACATTCTTCCATCCCTATTCATGTACCAACTCGCAGCTGCACTCGCCACTACACTAACCAGCCACTGATACCCGTTTCTTTCTTCAACTGGCAGGCGGGGTCATCGTCCCATCATTGCCGTCCAGCTTCTCCAGCTTCCATCACATCGAACGTTTTTTTTAACCATACCCACCATTGGCCAACACGCACATACCACTTCACATCTACATACGCGCCATGGACAAGATTCCCCTTAACTACGAAGCCTCTGAGGGCGATACGCACAAGCAAGTCACCAGCACGCTTCCTCCAGAAGTCGTCCAGTGTCTCGAGAATGCCCGGTTTGTATGATTGCGCCAAACGCCCGCCGCCCGATCCGCCCCCAAAGCCCCCGAGAACTGACCATCGCAAAACTTTCCCGCCATAGCTCCATCTCGCAACGTGCACCGACAACGTGCCCCAAGTATCACTCATGAATTACACTTACCTCCCGTCGTCGCCGCACTCGTCCGCGCCCGTCATCGTGATGACCACCAACCCCGCCTCGCGCAAGACCACCAACATCATCACCAACCCCAACGTCTCCCTCCTCGTACACGACTGTGAGGCACCCCTCCCCCTTGTCTCCCCCTCTCTCTCGATTTTACTGACCGCACAGGGGTCTCCCATCGCCCCCACGGCCGACGTCCCTCCGGCGGCGCCCCGGAGCCCGCGCCCCCGTCCAGCCTCGCCACCCTGCTCCTCAACCTCAACAGCTCCGCCATGTCCAGCATCAGCGCCACCATAGGGGGTGCCGCGCGCCTGGCACCGGCCGGCTCCGACGAGGAGCGCTTCTATGTCGCTCAGCACCTCGAGAACAACACGTTCGACGACAGCAGCGCACTCTTCACGCCCGGCGAGGCCGACTCGAGTCGCTTCGTCGCCGGCGAGGACGTCCGCGTCATCGTCGTCGACATCAAGACGGTGCGCATCAGCGACTTCAAGGGCACCGTCCGGGACTGGGCGCTGTTCCCCACACAGGCGGTCAACGGACACGTGTAGTGGGAGCAGCAGCAGAGGGTACATTGCCTCTGGTTAGGAAATATTTCAACATTGTTCATGGCGCATGGGACTATTTTTCGAATTCTTACTGTTTGTACCGGTATTAATACTTGACAGAATAGGACACGGGTTTCTGCTTTATCCTCATTTCATTACGGATACGCGATTCTGCTATGCCAATTCATAGTGATTCAGCTGAGAGGTACCATTTGATCTGCCTACCGATGCCAACGACAAGTCTCGGGCCAGACACACACAAAACGTGAAAAGGAAAACAAGCGACGGTGTGATAACATGTACTGTCTCACTGAACTGAAAAAGCAAAGCTATGCATGTGGCCTGTTTTCGTGCACACGCAAGAACCATTTACAAGGCTCAATTTTTGCCAAACCCCAAACAAAGTCCCAAAACGCCAAAAATGTTAATAGCAACCCAGGTAGCTCACAATGCAGAGAAGCAATGCGAAATCGAAATCATGTCAGAAAAACGTTAAAACAGTACAGATGCCATGTCTTCAGGCTTAAAGACGGGCCCACTCAATGACCTCGAGTGCCAACATGACGAGCATGAGAGTGGATGGGAGAATCCTGGAGCCACGTTAGTCCACGGTACGCGAGATGAGATTGAACGAGGTTACGAACCAGATGACGTAGCTCTGGAAGAGCAGGCGACCCATGGTCTTTTCATATACGTTGTTGATCTGGCAAATCTGAGCCAGCTGAAGGGCGCTGGGCGCGCCGACAAGGAGGAAGCAGACAATGACAAAAATGGGGTCGTCGAGGATGCTCACGTTGACGTACCTGGCCAGCAGGGCCAGGATGGGCGTCATGATGATGGTGGGCAGGAGCATGCGGCTCAGCAGGGACGCGACGAGGAGCTTGGTGCCAATCTCCTCCTCCTCGACGTCGGCGCTGTCCGGGTTGGCCATGGTGTTGCGCGCCAGGTTGGCGCCGAGGACGACGAGGATGAGGGGCACGGCGACGCCGCCGCTCGACTTGATCGCGCTGGTGACGCTGTTCTTGACAAAGGACCCCTCCTCGAAGAAGACCTGCTGCAGCGCCGGGATGGACGCGACCAGCACGGCGATGAGCATGGCCCACAGCGGCGGGTTCATAAAGTCCCAGAGGAAATTATGGACCTTGACGGCGGCGCGGGAGATGCCGCGGAGAGCTACCTGAGCAGGGCGGGGAAGCGAGCGGTAGATGCGGGCGCGAGCCGCCTTGATGCTATTCCCAGTGCGTGCAAGTGTCTGGTGCATGCACAACTTTGCCTTGCCCCAGGTAGTGGTGGGTGCCTCGTCTTCTTGTTCGTCGTGGGGAAGCGCAGGAAATTGTGTCTGCTGGTGGCCGTTGGATCTCTTCTTCGGTGCGCCTTCGTCGTCAGACGAGGCATACTCGGATGCGCGGGAAGCGCCGCCCACAGGGGTGAGGCCCGGTGGGTTGTAGTGATCGCTTCCGTTGGCGCTGCCTTCCGCCTCATCTTCAGTATCGCCGTCGAGGCCCTCAATGAGGAGAGGCGTTTCAGCAGGATCGTCACGGTATTGGCCCTCTTCAGCGCGCTCGTCATTGTACTCGAGGTATCGCTCCTTGGGGGCCAACAGTACGTGGTATCCCCAACTCCATCGCACAAGCTGACCGAGCTGCTGGAAGATGAGAAGGTATAGGATGCCGCGGGCGCCGACCTCGTCGTCGTTGTCGCCGGGAATTCTATCCCAGTGGAGGCCTGCGATGGTCTGCGACAAAGACAGCACAAGGGAGATTGGCAACGAGTTGGAGTTTCCGAAGACGCCCATGGCAATAACAAAGTTGGAGGCGCGGCGGTTAAATCGGAACAGTTTAGCAACAACGATGGCGACGGTCCAAGAGACGAGGGTCTGAACGACGAAGATGGCGGGTATAATGGCGAGGTCGCTCAGCTTCTCAGCGCTGAGCTGGGAGGCGAGCTTCGTGAAGACTGCGGGAGGATGGGTGGTCAGCTAAGGGGACAAGCGATACGTAAAGTCAGGGAGGTGGACTGGGACATACTCAGACATGGTGTAAAGAGCGAGACGTTGAGATTGGCGAGAAACTTCTGCTTATCGGCGTCGAACTGGCCAAGTCGTGCGATAATATAGCCGGGCAAGCTGACGCAGACGACTTCTAGGACGGCCTCAAACACTAGAAGGCAGAGGTGGGAGAGTGATGGCGAGGTCTGTCCACCGCCTTGAGCAAAGACCTTGAGGGGCAGCTCGTAGGCATCGGTGGCAAGTCGGGCGAGCCGGTATGGCGATGGCGCGGCGATCGCGTCCATGTAGCAAGGGAGAGGGACGGCTTGATGGCTGACGTGGACCTAGCAATTCAAGTCGTGTGAGAGTTGAAGCAAAAAATGAGAAGAAGAATGATTCCTTTGGGGAGGAAGAGTGGAAGTAGAAGAAAAAAAAGAGTGCAAGAAAAAAGATGAAACGGGTGAAGGAGCGTCAAAGGGAATGAAATAGAAGAGACAGGGTTTCGAAAACTGGAGATAAGCTGGGCTGGTCGAGGCGGCGGCGAAGTGCCAGTGCAACAGGGAGCCGCCGAGCAGCAGCCAGGGCCAGCAAGGCAAGGGCGCTGAAGCCTGAAGTGCGCAAGAAAAATAACCTTAAGTGGAACCGCCGCCGTAGATGCGACACCAGGGCGACACAGTGCAACTCCACCATCCTCAAGCGAGGCAAGGCAAGGCAACAGAGAGACGACTACGACGACCAGCAGCTGCCGTGCCACCCACCCAGGTTGAGCTAAAATATCTCCTTGTCAGGTTTTTTCTTCACTCTTGTGCATCAGTGCTGCGATGCGAGACAACCCTCAAGGCACCAAGCTGATGCTGATGGTGTGGACGCCGCGCCGCTAGCAACCGACGGCTGGAGGCCTGTCTATGTACGAAGACGTGACGTTTCCAGAAGAACAGGGACAGCTCGCTATCTAGTCTATCCTTAACCTTTCTTTTGTGCTGATATGTCACGTTATCACTACTTAACTACCAACAAGAACCCAAAAACGTTTCCTGCTGGTGCAAGCAGAAGCAGCCCTTGACACGCACCAACAGTCTGGTCAAACGGCCGCCACCCATCGCCCATCACGGGCCGCCAAGAAATAACACAATATCACGCAAGCCAAGTTGCCGCCTGTGAACATTGAAGGGGATAAACAAGGCAGCGATCTACGCCTTGTTCAGCGCGCGATTGAAACAACGGGGGCTAGATGTGCGGCAACAACACGGAAACCTTGGTGACTGCATTTGCTGTCCATGCTCCATCTTCTCACATATTCGCACGTCGCACACAGGTCAGTGGTCCATGCAGCATGGCAAAGAGGCAGCCCATTCCGCGCTCCTCTTGTCATTCGCTATGCATCTTTCCTTGCAGCGCATTCCCACCTTGAAATGCATCGACAAGGGTCGCCTAGAATGACTCGCCCAGGCATGCCGAATCCCACCCCAAATTCGCAGGCGGAAGGGCTTACCTGCCGCGCGATATGGCAGCCAAGGCGATGAGACGCAAGCCACCACCTACGTAGTCCATGATGGCAGAATGAACCAATCGACGCTGCCCATTCGCGCATGAGCTCCTAGCACAAGCCACCAGCCGTCTTCCTTCCCCAGAAGGGAGCTTTGGAGGCCGCGAAACCTTGTGGCCACCCAAACCACCCTTGCAAAATTAATTGGACCGGAGAACCCACCGCCGCGATGCTAGCGCTTTCGACTTAACCTAGCGGCTGCTAGCCCTGCCATTTGCCCGGCTCATCTTACGCATGCTGCAGGTTGGTGGCGTTTTATTGCCATTACCAGTACAACTGCTTCTGACAAGGCTCTTTATTATTAGTCGCCAAATTCTCTTGAAGACCTATGGCGGCCGGGTGGCTACTATAACTATAACCGATCGATAGACAACCAGCAGCGTAGTCCAGGGCAAACTCATTCCAACGCATATAGGACATTGATCTCAAGACCTTTATTGATCTTCGAATTCGACCTCAGCATGCGATTCCCACGGAGACTTTTATGGACAACCCTGCCAACTATTCAATAGCTCGATGCGGGTTGGCGGGTTGAAGCGCATCGGCTTATTCTCTCAAGCGACGGCCAGCCTCACCACTGAAGTACGGAGACAACTCGTCTAACTTATTTCATCCCTGGCCTGATTCTACTGTGAAATGAAGTTTTCAACGCATAATTTCGATACGTTTTCCGCCGCGCTAACCTCGCGAGCGATGGGTTTGCGGGGAAAGGGCTATACCTGATGCGAGTCCCGTTTCGAGTTTGCAGCTACCAGGCGCTGAGAAAAACCCGAACTCGATAGCTTCGCTGACGAGATCGGCATTGAACCTAGCCAAACTTGTTCTGTCATTGGCGTCCGATCGCAAGCCCATGAATTTGTGCAATTTTTTTTAACAAGAAAAGACAGAGATAAGCACGAGACACCTCACCGATGGGCTGACGCTGGCAAGCCAGCTGCAGGAAGCACACCAACACGGCTTGCCAGGAGAGGCGGCAAGACATGCTACCGTGTTAATGCCACGCTTGGCGTTAGCCTCCGCCGCCAACTATATCATTCTGCCGCTACAGTACGTCAATCCGAGATGAGCATCGTGCCATTTGCGCAGCGTTGTGAGCCCCGCGCCTCGAGGCCTGGATACATGTCGCGTGCCCTATCTGCTCGCCAGGCACATACACCGCAGCGGCAGTAATCCGGGTATTTTCAAGCTTCAATTTCCCCCACCGGAACACACCTTGGCCCTATTTACCCGTCGAAAACGAGGAAAGCCCAGGCGGGGACAGGCCTGGTTTGTAACTAACTAGGCTCGACCGCATGGATACGTGAGCTTGGCACTGCTGGATCGGCCGACCCCGCCATCTTGGCGGCCTCTTTACATGATGTGCTCCATTGAGGAACTGAGCCGGTGAATATTGTATGCGGTCGAGTTATGAGCAATATGAAAGGAAGGAAGGAGAAAGCGCGGATTGCTGCATGTACGCTCGAGCAGGTGGGACAAACTGCTGGTCGTACTTTGGACCACAGGCTAGATCTTGGGCCAGATCTTGAAAATAAAGGAGCGCATGAGGCCTCCGAGTAGTTCCCTCTCTATTGCCATTTTGGTAGAACATGTTCCTCGATGCATACGGTAGGGTTCCTAATCCCCTTACTCTTCCTGTTCATGCTGACCGTTCGGGATGTCTCGCCCCAGGCTATCGCAAAAATTGAGGCGACGTCTGAGTCTTTCTCTGCACTGATTACGCATATCAGACAATTTTTCCCATCGTTAGCTAGCATTCTGTTAACAATCCACATTCTTCTCTCCGGCCTGGGCCTTTAGTCGGCGCTCAGAAGTGAACGCTTTGCAGTACGCCACATAATGAAGGGAAAAGGTATGTGAAGGCTTGCTCGGTGAGTTCATATATACGAGATGTATCGTATGTCCGGAAAGCTGCGGCCTTCCAAAACAGAACTCGGCATGCGCAGGTCTAGGATTGTGCAGTTGACCACTCCATCGCCATACGTATGCTGCTGCGTGTGAGTTGTTGCATGGGCGATGGGAAATGCGCCCATGTCTACTCTATCACAAGTCACTGTAACTCGTTAATTGGGATGTGGCAAAAAGAGATATGCCAACGTTACCGTGGCAAGCTTTCGAGATGGCATGTTCCAAGTCTCCATTGCAGTTCCGTACCCAGCAACACATCACGCAAGCGATATTATACTTCATGATACGTATACCTCCATATCCCAAGACCGATATATATGCTTCGTTTGGTCGGCATCGTTTGAGTGACATGCTGCTACAATTGCGTGATCCATGCGACTGCATCATGCATGGGGTTGCACCGCAACAACGTCCATTTCAGGACGAGTTGCAACTTTACGTTTGGCATCGGCGCCGCATGATTGGCATTCCTGCAGATTCGATGCAAATATGTACGCACCTGTGCGCATCTATGGTATCGATACGCCGACATGCTTAATTCAGAGTCGGTATAGCTTGCACCGTCCCCGCGATAACTATTGGGCCCAGAACTCGTCATCTGATGACCGCGCTAGATCTTGTGCATTGTGGCAGATGTGCCGAGAGGAGAGTTGGACAGGGGCTGCCATGATGTTCTACCATTTGCTTCAGGCCGTCTTAGGTGTGCAGACACGGGTGATGTGGCAAGCTGACGAATCCTACCGTACGGCGTCGAGTCCTTGACGGTCGTGTGAGCGGCATTGGCAGCATGTTTGTACGACACACGACATGGGGTGGAGGGTTTCTAATTCTCTGGCAGTCTTGGTTACCTGCACCATGGGCACAAGTTTATCTGATCGAGCAGCTTTCGGGCCGGCCGCGAGCAGTCCGCTTGGCATCAGCTACAGTAGGACCTGTGCGAAGTGAAGATGCAAAGGCGAAAGGGCACACGACCAGCGTGATTCGTCCAAAGTCGCGTGAGCTAAAACACCCCGCCGCCGAAACAAGATGACAGAGCGGAGAGATGTTACCTGCTGGCCAAACGACCGATGGACTTTTTTTTTTTGTGATGTGTGATAAAACAGAACGTGTCGTTGGCCAATGGCAGCGAGCGCTGAGCCACGCCATGACGTAGACGATAGCAGTGATGCGCGGATGGGGTGCTTGAAAGGGGAAGAGGATATGCGAGGACGGGACGAAAGGAAATCGTAAAATGAAATGAAAGGAGAGAATCGATGATGTTATCAAGGTCAAAAATTCGAAGAGAGGATAATGATGACTGGTGAAAAAATCTCGTGCTACGAAATTGCAGGATAAGCCACGTCCCACATGAGGCTGGCTTGGGAGACTCTGAGAGCGTTGGTCACTGGTGCCTGACGCTACTGAAGATTCGGGGAGAGAGAGAAGAGAGAAGAGATGTAAGAGCCTGGGTCGGTTTTAGACATGTACGTTTTGCGGTGAGGGCATTTGGTCTCATGGTGAGGACAGTTTGTATCAGTCTCAGTCAAATTGCACATTCGAGGTTTGCCATGGTGATCAAGGTGAGGTACCCGGTACCTGCTTTCCTGCATATTCTTAAGTACCTACGGAGTACAGACGGCGCAGCTCGCCGCGTAACGGTGTAGAAACAGCGTATAATAGATACGTCAAACACCCCGTTAACCCATTTCAACCGTTCCATAAAGTCCGCTACTGTTTTACGTTTGCCAATCTTTATTAATCGATGCTTTGCCTTGTACCTTGCCGACTGCGTGTACCTTGCCTTGTACCTTGCCTAACTGCGCCCCCACTGCGCCCAATACTCCGGTACGCCCCTCCTTGGCTCCTTCCTCGTCCAAAAAAGCCCCTCTCAATGAGATAACTAAGGCAATAGTTGGGCCAAAGGTACCATTTCGAGGTAGCAAAGCCCCTTCTTTTTCTATTTCTCTATTTTTTTTTCTCCTAGTCTTTTTCCTCTTGGTGGTTTTTTTCCCGACAAGCATAACCCCCCCTCTTCTCTCCGTCTCCCTCACACCCGACAGAGGTTACCTCAAAACAGCAACAAACCTTCTCGCCCGAAACGCCAATTCTCGTCCTCCATCACTCCCGAATCGACCAAAGAGGAAAGCATCTCCATTGCTGCCCAGTACGCCGCCCTATCAGACGCCCGACTCGAGCTGTGCGACCCCCGGCGTGCATTGCACATCCCACCCTTTGGCCGCGGCCTCCCACGACACGGACGAGTCGCCTCGCACACTGAAGACGAGCCTTTTCTCTTCGCCCATATATAGAAAAAAAAAACAAGTCGCCATATCCAACGCAATCACCACATGCCGCCGCGCTAGCTAACGGAGGACTCTGTGCCCTCCCGCTCCCTCTTCTATTCTCTCCTCAATCAAGACGCGGTGGTGTTTAACCCCACCTTCCAAATCGCCGCTCTCAGCCAGCTCGCAGCCCAACGGCCTGCACATGCAGCAAAGACTACGACACGAATAAATCGAGAAACCATGGCAGACACGCCAGAGACGGAGCGGCGCCCGTCGATGGACGATCAAGTTCCCGACCTACCCTCCAAGCAAGAGCAAACCCTCACCAACGATGGTAACACAGACGCCGCCCCTCCAAAGCGAGTCCCGTCTCTGCGGTCCGTCTCGGATCCCCCCGGCCGGAACACAAGCTCGACGGCACGCGGTCTCCTCGACGATGCCAGAAATCCCGCCCGCCTCGCAACTCCCACCTCCGGGCCCCTCGCTGGACGATTGGGCGCCCTCGATGCCAACGTGCTGGCCAAGGCCCGGCGCCTCCAGCAGGACCGTATGAAGCTGGCCAGCTCCAACGCCAGCTCCCCTGGCTCGGCCAGTCCCATGTCTCCCATGGGCGCCAGTCCAAACGGTCTCGTGCCGCGCATGCCCGCAGGCATGGTCCGCCCTGGGCCCGTTATGCATGTCAACTCGGCCCCGGCTGTCACGCGGCCGTCCCTGATGGATCGCCGCGGCGCCGGCCTCAAGCTTCCCGACATGGGCGCCGGCGGAGCCTCACCCGCCAGCCCAGCACCCAGCATGCGACGTGCCAACGCCCCAAAATTCTCCGACATGGGCAGCGGCGCTCCTAGCAGCACTAGCACAAGCACTTCGACCCCTAGCTCAAAGCTGGATGACTTTAAGAAGTACATTGATGCGGACAAGGGCTGGATCACGTTTGACGGCGCGGCGACCATTACCAAGTCAGGCGTCAACTTCGCCAACGGACAAACATTCAAGATCTCGCTGGACGAGGTCGAAACAGTGAGCGAGCTCGGCAAAGGCAACTATGGCACCGTCTATAAGGTCCGCCACACCAAGCGCAAAGCCCCTCGCTTCGGCCAAGGTCTTTCTGGCTTCAAGGCGCACCAGGCGCGCTCCGAAGACACCGAGAACGAAGATGCCGCCGCCGCCGCTAACGGTGAGCCCAGCGACGGCACCACAGGCATGCTCATGGCCATGAAGGAGATTCGACTGGAGCTGGACGACGCCAAGTTCACCACGATCCTCAAGGAGCTTGTTATCCTGCACGAGTGCGTGTCGCCCTACATCATTGACTTTTACGGCGCTTTTTACCAAGAAGGCGCCGTCTACATGTGCATCGAGTATATGGACGGCGGGTCCATCGACAAGCTGTACGAAGGAGGAATTCCCGAGAGCATCCTGCGCAAGATTACGAATGCGACGGTCCACGGGCTCAAGTGCCTCAAGGACGACCATAACATCATCCACCGCGACGTCAAGCCGACCAACATCCTCGTCAATACGCGGGGGCAGGTCAAGATTTGCGACTTTGGCGTCAGCGGCAATCTCGTGGCGAGTATTGCCAAGACCAACATTGGCTGCCAGAGCTACATGGCCCCGGAGCGGATATCGGGCGGCGCCATGTCGCAGTCGGGCAACGCGGACGGCACGTACAGCGTGCAGAGTGACGTATGGAGCCTGGGCCTGACGGTGATTGAATGCGCCATGGGGCGATATCCTTATCCACCGGAAGTTTCGTCGACGATTTTTGGTCAATTAAACGTAAGTGGTGACCTAGATTTACTCTTAACAGATTGCATGCTAACCCATCAAACAGGCCATTGTCGAAGGCGAACCACCCACACTGCCCACCGACGGCTACTCGGAAACGGCGCAGGACTTTGTACGGGGCTGCACCAACAAGGTGCCGCTGAAGCGGCCGACGTACGCGGCCATGCTGAAGCACGCGTGGCTGGCGTCCCTGTCCAAGCCGGTGACGATTACCGAGGAGGCCGAGGAGGATGAGGGCGAGGAAGCGGAGCGCGTGGCAGCGCGCGTCGGCCGCATGGCTCTTCACTCCGGCACTGAGGACGAAGAGGTCGCCGAATGGGTCCGCGGCGTGCTGCAGCGCAAAGCGGACGGCGCCGGCGTCGCCGGCGAGAAGACGGCGGTGTCAGGAGAGGGTCGGCCGGCTCTGCACGCGGCGCCGCTCAACACGGTCAGTCCCCTCAATAGCCCGGCGTCTGAGTAAGGAAGAGGCGGATCAAGATGAATGCATCAAGTCAAAGGGACATCATGATAAGTTGATTTTTTTTCAGCTCTTTTTCTCATTCTAGGCACGTTTTTGATCATTTTTATTACCATCATCATCATCATGGTCGGGTTTTCCTTTTTCCTTTTTGTTCCCTGTCCTTTCTTTGTTTTGGTAGAAATCATGTCATATATAGGCGCATGAGAATACAAGAGGAGCGCAAAGAGGCTAATACATATATCAATGACCATGACTCTGTTTTCTGTCGATGATTAGATTCTGTGACATGATTCAATCACCAAATTCCTCAGCATGAAGAGTTCTAAGGTTAGAAGCTGTGACATTATTGAATCACTTGAATCCTCAAAATTTAAGAATCTTTATATCATAGTAGACTTCATAGTACATTGCCATTACCTCCTCATTAAAACCCCATGAAACATCCAACTTGGTTGGGCGTGGCGTTCCATGACCCCGTCGTCATAGTTACGCCCAGACCCCTCCCTCATCTCGTACAAGTCCTGCTAACTCTCTCATAACAATAATGACAGTCATTTGCGTCCCAGAAAAAAAAAGGACATTGCTAAAACAAGAAATCATCAACGTGTTCCGCCCCGAAACGAAGTAGGTATTTGATACGACCGTCTCTCTTTGTATGTGCATGAGTAAATGGAATAAGAGAAAAAAACAAACAGCCAAGGCCACGAGATGACGGTGGCGGCATCCGTCAGTCCAGGGCTTGACTCGCCAGGTGGGTAGGCGTCATCACTCTATAGTTTTAGTTGTTTTTAGTTGTTTTTCGTGGCTGGCGTTTGTATCGTGCTCTTGACATTACCGTCCAGCAGTTACGCATAGTTTCGGATATGCGCATGCTGAACCGTCGATACAAGTTTTCAAGTAGATGAGCATGCATTTAGCTGTACTCGTCCTTGACGCGGCGGCCCTCGTAGCTGCGAGTGCTCTTGCGGCGCCAGAAGCGACCACGACCGCCGCCAGCGCTGGGGTTGCTGCGGTCCTTGCGAATACCGGCAGAGAAGACGACGACAGAGATGAGCAGGGCGGCAAAGGAGCCCCAGAGGAAGCCGAGTCCATAGGTGCCGAGCTTGGCGCTGCGGTTGTCGGCTTTGAACTTCTTCTGGGCGAGGGCATAGGTAGCACTGGAAATCACATGTTAGCTCGTTGATGGGATGACGACGACGATTGTGACAGTGTGGTTACACGAGCACGTTCGCACAGAATGGAAAAAAAGGGAGGAGTGAAAAAAACGTACGTGAGGAGAGACGAGGCAACGGCGTGGCAGAGCAGGGCGAAGAAGCTGACAAAGGTAGCAATGGCCGAGCCCAGACGACCGCAGCAGGCCAGGAAGCTGCTGAAAAAGGTGAGGGTGCCGAAGAAGAGGGCGAGCAGCAGGAAGACCCATCCGAAGCGGGAGAGCAGGTAGAACTTGTTGTTGGTACCGGAGTGGGAGCCGGCGATGCCGGCGGGCACGTTATTGGCGTTACTGTTCCAGGCGTGACCAAAGGGCAGCGCGGCGGTGGCCTTGCCGCAATCGGTGTTGCCCTCGCCGCAGACGTAGAAGTAGGTCCACTGGGAGACGTCGTGGGCGCCGTCGATGCCCGAGGTGTCGGCGCGTAGGAAGTAGGTCTTGTTGAAGGGCGTTGAGGTGGAGACACCGGCGAGGATGATGAAGAAGAGGAAGAGGAGGGACGTGCCCATAAGGATGAGGCCGACGAGGCCGAGGGGGGCGTCTGGACGGTGGTGGTTAGCGGGGGTTGCTATTCGGCGCATTGGGTGAAGCGCAGAGAATTGAGATAAAAAGGGAGCGCATCATTGGGATTGTCGGCATGATGTCGTCGTGATTTGTGGTTGTCGTAGGTGGTGTTTGTTTGCATAATCGACAAAGCTCCCAAGCTACCCGAGCTCTGGCGTCATAGGCGCAGACCCGATTGGCGCGCGCCGCCAGCAAGAGCAACGAGAGACGGTGTTGTTGTTTGAGGGATTGAAGGACTTACTCTTTGCCATGGTGAAAGCCAAAAGGTAAAACGGCAACGGATGAGAATGTGTTGTGTTTCACGGGATCTAGCCAGGTGTGTGAATGGCGATGTGAATGGGTGGTGGAAAAAGGAAGGAGGGAAGACGACCAGGGAACAGGAGGGTGAAGGCTTTGTTTTTATGAGCTTGGAGTTGGCAGTGGGCAGTGGCAGTGGTACTAGTACTGGAGTTGCTGTGCAGTGCAGTGAGCTTTATGTTTTAGCGTGTGGAGCCTTGGAGCTCCTGGGGTGGCCAGGTAGGTAGGGAAGGGGGGTTCGGTGGCAACGAACCGGCGACAATGGTGATGTACATCCAGATGATGAATTGCGTTTTATTTCTAGACTTTTCAGTTGTTTTTATGTCGGCTTGATATTCTATTCCAGCTGCCACTGATTGTGTTCACTGATTCCGCCTCCCCGTAGGTCGCCGCGTGTACTTGTCCATATGTCCAACCTGAAGTTCGCTGGCAAGCCACTCGATCGAGCTGCGCAAGCCGGTACCGCTAAACTGCAACAGGCATCATCAGGTGGACCTGCGTGCTGGATTTCCTTGATTTGGCGCGCTTCTTTAATTATTCTTTTTCCCGCTTAAATTTTTCTTGAATTCCAAGACTCCTAGCGTCATCGGAGAGCTCCATCGCCAGTACCAGATTACAGCACCCTCTCTCCCCATAACCCCTAGCCCCAATTGCCCAGGATGACATGTAATTTCCAAACAACGACGCGACAACTCAATTCACAGTTTCACACAATTCTGAAACAAGTTCTCAAGTGCTTCACCTTGATTTTTTTTATTGAAAGCGATGAACGATCTGTATCGTAGAAGACACCGCAAGCATCGCCTGTATTAAACTTTTGCTGCGGTTGCTTTCTGGGCTGTGGAGCTGATGATGACGACACCAGAGCCGCGGCGACCAACCCAAGGGCACCCAGTTCTCTGGGCACAAGAATTGGCACAGGAAGAGAAGAGGGAAAAAATAGCCAGCTAGCCAACTACTTATAATCTCCTCTGCTCAACTTGGTTGGCAAGTTGCAAGTCCAACGTGTCAGCTAGGGTGGTAACGCTGACCTTGGCCTTGCTACTTCGGCGGTAGGTGAGGTAGACAGGCTCACAGGTACCACCAAAGCACCAAAGTAAGAGCCGACAAGGCAAATTTCCTCGCAGTTCCCTCGTCACAGTTGATTTCTGGAAAAATCAATCTTGCCAATCCAGAGCCAGCTGGTCACGCTACCTCGGGATCCCCCAGCAGCCACATTTATTACTTACTTATAACTTGGTAGCGCAAAGCCAAAGCCAAAGCTTGCCTTCCTACCCACGGAACCATGTTGGCACCAGGTGTGCGGTGATGTCATGGAGTTTGGTCACCACCAAAGCCACTCTTACAAGGTGCAGCGTACCATTTCACCTCGTTGCTGTGCCAAGCCTGACCGGCCATCCCAGCTTGCACTCTGGTAGCTATTCCTGCTCCATCGTCCGACTGCGCCTCTACTCGATTCAGCAGCAAACTAAATTTATCTGCAGAAGTGAATCTATGTACAGTTCTATTCTCCGTCTTGCTATAACGTCCAAGCAGACTGCTTCTCTCCCCCCCGTCAGACCTCTACCGTCAGCCACCTCACCTCCCCGCCTCTGGGCTGACACCACGTATGCCTCCCAACGTGGCATCTTGGTGGCTGTCATTACGACGACAAGTCGGTTTTTTTGGCAACTTATATCCCATCTTCAAGTGCCGGCATTCAAGCCACACTCTGCAGCTGTCCATCCAGCTGAGCCACTGCCCACCCAAGCCAACTCTCCATTGGGCGCATATCAACGCGTGCCTCGCTTTAAAGAAGAAGAAGGAAAAGACCCTCGAGAAAAAATCGACAGACCCCCAGAAAGTTGTCGTCATGCATCGAGGCACAGCACCACCCCGAAAAAAAATGTCACCACAAATGGATCCGCAGTCGACGGCACACGATGCCGAGCTTAGCCACGCTCAGCGTTCTTGGCACCTGCAATTCTCCGCGGCCTATTCTACCTCTAAAAGTCGGAACATTCATCGCGCCAAGTAATAAAAGCCAATCCAAACTATTTACAAAGACACTCGTACACAGACTCTTTACCCCGGAGAAGCATTGCAGTCGATGGCTTCCCAGTTGTGAGTCGGAAACCTTGTCCTGCGCACTAGAGGCCTAGATATGACGTCGTCCCGTTCTCTCATCCCCGGTCAGCCAAACGTTAATATTCAACGACGCAGCCTAAGTAGATCCACGAACGGTTTCACCGTACCGTGTTTGCGCAAGTGCGCTGCTTAACTTTTCCTAGCCTGCGCATCTCCTCCCCGCATCGTAGTCGGCAGCCCCGGGTCTGCTTTTGATGTCAGCGACTTCATCAGCCAAGTCCCCGGGCGGTCAGGTATCGGCGGGACCTTGACGCCAATTCTCATTGTCCCAGATCTAGATCATCATATGTGCATCAGATGATGGCGTAGGTGAGGCCGTGCCGGGCCGGAGAGCCAGCCAATAACCAACCGTACCCTATACCAACAGGCGCACTGTGGCCATCTGTGTTTTTCCGCCCGGGAGCCCCTTTGCTTTAAGCGTTTGCTGTTGGCGAAATGAGAGTGAATACAACGCTTCATTCTCTTTTCACACTTTTAGATTAACAGCATAGAGCCTACGTATCTTTGCAGCGGACATTGGCCAATTTAGGGCAAATGGTCTTACATCAGAGCAATGGACATACCACATGGTATCTACGCACAACCATCCATGCATGTCTAAGATTGGCTGATTGAGCGAAATCGAAGATACTTGAGATTTATTGCCAAAAGAAGACAGTCTTTTACTAAAATTGTACACGTTGTTGCACTGCACCCATCTCAGCGTTGAGCCGGCGCAGGCCGCCGGTGGACCAAGCGCGACCCCAAGAAAAAACGCAGCCACTCTGACGTCGCCAATTTCCAACTCGCTCTCCCACCACATCTTCCACCGACATACACCACACATCCGCGCGCCATGAAGCGAGCGCATCGGCTTCTGCCGCAAAGCCCATCGCTCCTCCTCCACACCTCATCTCCTCGATCACGACCACCCCCTCCCGTCGCCGCCGGCCGCCGCGCCCTCTCCCTCCTCCAGCACCACCACCTCAAGCCCGCACACTCCTCCTCGCCGCCGTTCGTGCACTACGACTTCGCCGCCGCCGTGCAGGAAGAGCACCGCGCGCGCTTCCTCGCCTGGAAGGCCGCCGGCGATTCCTCGCCCGCGCCCCGTCCGCAGCTCCTCAGCTTCCAGGCGCTGCCCACCTACACCCTCGGCCGGCGGCAGCCCGCGCCCTCGCCCGCCGCCGCCGCCCGCCTCGCCCGCCCGCTCACCGTCGACCACGCAAAGTCTCGATACCAGTACACGCCCTCGGTGCGGCAGACCAGCCGCGGGGGGCTGACCACCTACCACGGCCCCGGGCAGCTCGTCCTCTGGCCCGTGCTGGACATGCGCTCCGCCCGGCTCGGCGTGTCCTCGTACGCGCGTCTCCTCGAGGACGCCACGCGCGCGCTGCTCGCCGCGCGCTTCGCCCTCGACACGTACACCAACCCGGAGGAGCCCGGGGTGTGGGTTGCGGGGGGCCGGGAGCGCAAGATCGCGGCGCTGGGCGTGCACCATCGACGGCACGTCACCGCGCTGGGCGTGGCGCTCAACGTGCACGTGCCGGTGGCGGGCGACGACGAGGGGGTCAACCCGTGGGCGCGCTTCGTGCCGTGCGGCTTGGAGGGGAAGCTGGTGACGTCGGTCGCGGCGGAGACGGGCAGGGAGGGCAGGGAGTGGAGGGAGGCGTGGGCTACGGATATGGAGGGGCTGGCGGAGGAGTGGGCGGCGCGGTTCGAGGAGGGCTTGCTCAAGGGGTGAGCTGAGGGTGAGCGGGTGGACGGTGGACGGTGGACGGTGGACGGTGGACGGTGGACGGTGGACGGCTGGCTTTTGTAAGATTACAGTCATGAGATACCCCGGCATAGATCTGTACAGCATACTCATTTACGGCGTTTACTATGAATACAGCTTGCGAAAATGATGTTGGTGAGACTGACAATGTCTACATGACGGGATATGGGGGGTTGACCTGGCTCTTTATCTTCTCAACTGCCACTGGCTTGCCTTGGAGAATTAACAGGCTGTGAGAGTTGACGCGTCAAAAATTGTAGCAGGAATGAGTCCAGCAGAGGCTTCATAGAAGTGTAGATGTTTGAGTTCGCACATTTATATAGGGCGATCTTCTTTTTCGCATATCTAGCATGTAATGGACCATCATGATCGTTGACAACAGACTTGCGTTCTGGCCCGTACCAGCAGCACACGCACCAACACACAAACGCAGGCACACAAAAGGACGCAGGCGGAAGGACGCACTCAAAAGGAAAAGGCCCGCCTTGCTTCTCAGCGTCGAGGCCGCAAGTTATGTCCCCCGACTGACATGACGTCCTCCTCCATCCCACCCATGACCACGTCCTCAATGGAGCGCACGGTCGATGGGTGGAGAGCCGCCGCGTTTTGCGCAGCCGAGGGGAAGTCCCAGACGACTGACTGCATAGGCGATGGGGACCGCAGCCTGGCCAGCTTTCGCTTGCGGTCGCCCGCGCCGACGGGTGCGCGGGTTTTGCGCACCGGCTGCTTTCCCTTGCGACGGTCCCGTGCGGCGACTCCGGAGTGTTCCTCACGTCCATCGGCCGCGGTCGGACCAGCGGCGGAGACGGCGACGGCGGGTCTGCGCACCGACTGCTTGCCCTTGCGGCGGTCCTGCGCGCTGACTTCGGGGTGACCCTTATGTCCGTCGGCTGCGGACGGACCGGCGACGCTCGGCTCCATAGTGAGAAGAGATTCTCCGTGGCGCATCGACCAGCGCGGCAGCGGCAGCTCCCCTTCCAGGACCGGTATTGGGCAGACCTGCGACGCAGGCTGGCTCAGACCATCGCCGTTGAACCATTCGAGTAGGCACTGTGCCGCCGTCGCCCGATAGCGCGGGTCCTCCCTAGCCATTACGCGCCAGTCGGGGAAGTAGTCGTTGCTGCGCACCATCGCGTGTACTTGCTCCGCCGGCGTGGGTGGAGGGCCGGGCCAGCCACTGCCCTGCTGGACGTGCACCAGGCTCACGTACAGGGCCCAAATGTCCACGCCGAAGCCTTGGTACTCGCCCTTGGAGATTTCGGGTGCCCAGTAGATGCACGTGCCACACACCGCCCTGGGTGCGTTGACGTAGCTCGCCGAGCCAAAGTCGCCGAGCTGGAAGTGGTAGAGCCCCTTCTCCGAGTCGACGACATCGTACAAGATGTTGTTCGGCTTCACGTCGCGGTGGCAGATCCTATTCACCTCGAGAAAGTCCAGAGCGCTGAGAATCTGACGAAGGACCTGCCTGTACAGCGGCGTGGCCACAAGTTTACGTTTTGTGGCGAGGCCGAACAGGTTTCCTGCGCGTAAAGGCATGTAGCAGTCGATCGCGTCACGCATCAAGTCTGAAAAGCCTAGCAATTCGATGATGTGAGCCTGCATCAAGCATTAGACGCTGCGGTGTGCCAGGGCGAGAATCTCGGTAGGATACGTACGTGATTACAACGGTTCAGTAATTTCAGCTCTGCGTTGACCTGAGCTCTTTCCTCCTCTATGTTGTCTTTTGAGAGGTTGATGGCTTTCACGGCTATTGATTGACCGGTTGCCCTGTCCGCGCTTGAATAAACCATGCCAAACGAGCCAGCGTCGAGCCGGGTACGGTAGGCCGCGTTCTCTTGCACTGGCGGCGCTGTCTTCGATTTGTGTCTTGTGATGTAACGTGTCTGGGTGGTCGTGGGGCGGATTGTTTCCTTGCTGCTGCTTGGAACATAATTGCGGGCTTCTTCAAGCGCCTGGGCGTGTTGCTCTATGATCTTTGCCCTCACGCCCTTGAATGTAGCTGGAAAGCACCAGCTAACCCGAAATCTGTATCCAGCAATTTCGAGGATGTAGTTGCTTGGATAGTCAAGAATGAGAGCCTCCGTGACGGGAATCAACGGGTTCTCTAATTCGTTCGCAGCTTCAGTCATTGTGGGCAACATTGCTGCGACATCGGATTCTTCAGTGACAGGTCGTTGAACTCTCAAACAGATAGCAGGCGCGGTCTGACCCAACACTTCAAACGTAAGGTGCTTTCTAGACACCCTATCATCGTGGATGACCAAGTCACCCTCACGACCGAGTGTTGCAATATGCTCCGCTCTAACTCTTTGCGAGTTGTGATAGCCGACTTCAAGGCCGAGCCTCGCGCGCCCAAGCGCTGGTGTGCAGTACGAGACAAATTTGAGATTTCTTTCGTCATCAAGAACCGAACGGGCCTTGTCATTGACGGGGATCAGGTGGAAGAGGGTGCGTTCGTGTGGCGGCTTGTCCTGTGCCTCCATCGCAACTCGTGCGCGCTTCGTACAACGTCGTCTTTGTCTTGTTGAGGGTGCTGGCGAGTGCTTGAGAACACATGGACACGGCGGTGCCCTAGAGTTTGGGCTGGAGCGACCATTATTACTGAGGGGAAGCGCCGGAAAGGCAGCTCGACGTGTGACGAGATGCAAGCTGCATGCATGGTGAGATGAAAATAGATACCAATTGCTGCCCAGCTCTAGGCGCCGAGCCCGTCAGGAAGGGGTGGGGCGCGGCGCCAATAAAGAAGGTAGGTGGTTGGTGGCTGGTGCATGCAGGACATGGTAACAAAGCAGCAACTGCACAAAGCCTGCCAGCTCGGGTCTCAGGCTCTTCCCTCTGCCATCAACATGCATTTCTACCTCCTGAACCCCTCGACGGTTGCGTTTTTATTAACATAGGCACCATTGGGGTATTCCGGCCACAGAACCTTTCGCCAAACTCACCACCGCAACATCGCGACATCCCTTTCCTGCAATGGCCTTATTTGAAGACCCAGGCACCCTGCGACGAGCAGTCGAGTCCAGCGCTGTCCCGGTCCTTGAGGCTTTGGAAGCCAACTCAGCATTGCTCGCCAGAGAGCGTGGTCGTTTTGATGCCGAGTCTCCTCCGCCATACGCGTCATCGACGGAGGACGACCCGGACCTCGACCCTGGCTACTTGCCGGACCGCGATCTTCAAAAAATTATGGACGCGCCTCTCACTGACGAGGAGATCGAAACGGTGGCAGAAATCGCAATTCAGCACTACTACGCCGGCAGGAAGATATGGGGAGAACACCGCGGTCAATTGAAATACTTAGAGAACGCTTTCGAAGTGCCTGGGCCCGATCCCCCGCTCACCTACTTACTGAGATCTCATGTCCACGAACATCGCCTCCATCTCCTTGCGCGTAGCGCCGTGAGAAAACGCTGGCAGGCATTAGGCGTATGGAACGACGACTGGGGTACGCTCAAGTCTGATGACCACCACATTGAGGGAATTCCGTGGCACAGCTGTACTCGCGGCGACGATGGTAAAATATTGGAATGGGAATGGGCAAAACAAGACATACCCCATGACGAGACTCATCCTGCCTGGCGAGCTGTCCTTCTACGCCGCGGGCTAAAGCGTGGGGAACACCTAGTCCCTCCCCCGCGCCGTAACCCTTCTCGCGACAGCTCGGCCGGCGAGAGGGACTCCTTCATCACATCGCGCCCTTGGTTCCAGTTCAGCCTCTGCCTCGCTGAAGAAATACAGCGCGCTAGCAGGTTGACGGCTCGACAGATGAGCCGCGCCAACCTGCCGCGACCTCTCCAAAGAGTCATGCGCGCACAGTGGGAGAAGCAAGGCCTGTGGAAGCCTCAATGGGACTTACACCGGCCATCAGTAAGGCCGGGCTGGAAATGGCCCCACGAGAGCCCGTCTCCAGAACCCGAAGAGTTCGAGGAGTATGACGCGGACGCCTTGGAGGAGGATTTATCGCCATTTGAACGCGATGAGTACAAGCGCCTTGGCCCGAAGCCACCGGAGAAGTCGGCGCTGGAATTTTTTCCATGGTGGCTGCAGGACTTTGTCCAAGAAAGGGAAGAGCATGAGACGCTCAAGCGGGAGGGAAAGACCACGGAGCCGCCCCCGAGATACAGTAGAGCGGCCGCCAAGGTCAAGACTACGGCGAGAAGGATCAAATCGTCGGCGGAACCAACTCGGAGGAGCTCCAGGGTTCTCAAGATGCAGGAAAAGCAGCAGAGGGAGCTGGCCGAGAAGGAAGAGAAGGAAGAGCAGGAGCGTCGTGCCCGCGAGGCAGCGGCGGCAGCAAAGCAGACGGCAAGCAAGGGCAAGACTACGGCTAAGGGGATTAGGCCAGCAGCCCGAGGTGCAAAGACGGCAGCTAAAGACACTACTAAGTCTATGGTTCGCGGCCCAAAGGCTGGTCTTAAGGGCACGGCGAAGCCTTTGGCTCGAGGTGTGAATGCTGCTGCCAAGGGCACAACAAGAACGACGGTCAAAGACACCAAGACTTCTGTTCGAGGCGTGAAGGCTGCTACCAAAAGCACGACGAAGCCTTTGGCTCAAGGCGCAAAGGCTACTGCTAAAGGCACGACAAGGACGGCGGCTAAAGACACCAAGACTCTGGCTGGAACCAGTGCAAAGACGGCTGCCAAGGGTGCCAGGACAGCGGCCAAAGACGCAAATACTTCGGTTCGAGGCACGAGAACTGCTGCGAAAGGCGCGACGAGAGCCGCTGCGGCCAAAGGCGCGACGACTAGCTCTGAAGGCTCAAAGACTCCCGCGCGAGGCACAAAGCGCAAGAGGAGGTGAAATTTTCGTCGTATCTCAGCCCTCCCCCCGCCAGGTGCAACAATCTTTGATCTCCTACCATCAGCCAGCTTACACCAACTTGCATACTAACCTAGGCCGCGTTGAGCGCTGCATCTTTTCATCCTTTTTGTATAGATATTTATTTCAGTTTTTTCTCGTCGTTGGTTAACTTTGAGTTTCTTTCAAAACAGCAAACTTTCCCCCCTTTCTGTCCATAACCCTGCTCGTCCCGTCGCTTTTCCCAGGACGCTGTGTCTGCCTGTCCATCTCCGCGTATCAGAGCGCTCAGAGATAACCAAGAAACCCCAGGATCCACCGCCTTGAAGCTTGGCCATTCGAGGCCCAGCAAGTGGTGCTCCTGTCGGCGGTTCTTATCCTCGGCCACATCACATGTTGATTTAAATTCCCGAAGGACATGGCGGATCAGAACACCAAATTGTCCAATTGTCTTGTTTCTTTTTTCTTTTCCAAATTGTTTCGGGGCTTTCGTGGCTGGGGCTGATTCAATGCATGTCGCATCACCCAAAATCCTTATCAGTCCAGTCCAAGTTAATGGCAGCCCCCCCACATGTGCCGACGAAGCGCAAGGCTCCTCCACCCCAGACTTGTCTCTGTTATCTTATCCTCCGCAAGGGGGGGATTTGTCGTTGGCCGATAAACGGTGCTCGAGTTTATTTGTCGTATGGTTCTTTTCGGGCGATGTCGGCTCTTGGGATGGTTATCCAGGGTGTCTTGTGGCTGGGTTGTTGAAGGAAAAGCCGTGTTAGTGGCCGGGGGACGTGGTCGGGAGGAACCTTATCTTTCAGCCTGCGGCGTATATATAAGAAATGGTGTCTCATCTTGTTGAATAAAGTTAATTTTTTGTTCGCAGATTTAGTTGGCTCGTGGTAAAATTGTAAAAGGACGTCCAAAATGACACAGACGGTGCCTCCGGCGCTGAGCCAGGGCTATGGCTACGGCATCGTCCTCGGCGTTGGCTTTGCCTTTGCCATCTTCATGGTAACGAATCCCCTTTTTTTCTCTCATCGACCGCCTCTAACATGCCCAGATCACCCTCACGCACATCCTCAAGCGCTACAACAACGAGGTCGTCACCTCGGAGATGTTCACCACGGCCGGCCGCACCGTCAAGTCCGGACTCGTCGCCTCGGCCGTCGTCTCCTCGTGGACCTGGGCCGCGACGCTGCTGCAGAGCTCCGGCGTGTGCTACCGCTACGGCGTATCCGGCCCTTTCTGGTACGCCTCGGGCGCGACCGTGCAGATCCTGCTCTTCGCCACGCTCGCCATCACCCTCAAGCGGCGCGCCCCCAACGCCCACACCTTCCTCGAGGCCGTCAAGGCGCGCTACGGCACCGTCACCCACTTCGTCTTCATCCTCTACGGCGTCGCCACCAACGTCCTCGTCTCGCTGATGCTCATCGCCGGCGGCGCCGCCACCATCAACGCCCTGACGGGAGTCAACGCCGTCGCCGCCATCTTCCTCATGCCCGTGCCCGTCGTCGCCTACACCTTTGTCGGCGGCCTCAAGGCCACCTTTATCACCGACTACATCCACGGGCTCGTGGTGCTCATCATCATCATCGTCTTCGCGCTGACCACGTACGCGACGTCGGACGTGCTCGGCAGCCCGGGAGCGGTGTACGACCTGCTGGTGGCCGCGGCGGAGCGCCACCCGGTGCCCGGCAACGAGGGCGGCAGCTACCTGACGATGCGGTCGTCGGGCGGCGTCACCTTCTTCGTCATCAACATCGTCGGCAACTTCGGCACCGTCTTCCTCGACAACGGCTACTTCAACAAGGCCATCGCCGCGCACCCGGCGCACGCGCTGCCCGGCTACGTCATGGGCGGCCTCGCCTGGCTGCCCATCCCGCTCGTCACCGCCACCACGCTCGGCCTCGCCGCGCTCGCGCTCGAGTCCAGCCCGCGCTTCCCGACCTACCCCGAGCGCATGACCGAGGCGGACGTGTCCGCCGGTCTCGCGCTGCCGTACGCCGCGGTCGCGCTGCTCGGCAAGGGCGGCGCCGCGGCCACGCTGGTCATGATCTTCCTGGCCGTCACCTCGAGCTTCAACTCGGAGCTGGTGGCCACCTCATCCATCTTCACCTACGACGTGTACCGCACCTACTTCCGGCCCAACGCCGGCGGCCGCAGCCTGATCTGGATCTCGCACGTGTGCATGGTGGTCTACGCGGCCATCATCTGTTGCATCTCCGTCGGGCTGTGGTTCAACGGCATCTCGATGGGCTACCTGTACCTGCTGATGGGCGTGCTCATCAGCGCGGCGGTCATCCCGGCGACGCTGACGCTGCTGTGGGACGGGCAGAACCGGTGGGCGGCGACGCTGTCGCCCGTGTTCGGCACGGCGTGCGCGATCGCGGCGTGGCTGGTGACGGCGAGCAAGTCGTGCGGCGCGCTGTCGATCGAGTGCACGGGGTCCAACACGCCGATGCTGGCGGGCAACGTGACGGCGCTGTTCGCGCCGCTGGTCATGATCACGGCGGCGACGGTGGTGGGCGGCTTCGAAAAGTACAACTGGAAGTCGATGGGCCTGATCCGGCAGGCGGACGACCGCGAGCTGATCGCGGCGTCCGGGCTGGACGAGGAGGCGCAGCGGGAGGCGGAGCGCCGGGCCCGGGCCAGCCAGGAGGAGGAGGAGGAGAAGCTGTCGCGTGCGTTTAAGATCTCGCTCACCGTCACCACCATATTGTAGGTTTTTCTGGACCCCTTTCTATGCTTTGTCCTGATACTAACAACGATCCAGGGCGGTCTCGCTGCTTGTCCTCTGGCCGATGCCCATGTACGGCTCGCGGTACATCTTCTCCAAGTCCTTCTTCACCGGCTGGGTGTCGGTCGGCATCGCGTGGATCTTCCTCTCGCTGCTCGCCGTCGGCGTGTACCCGGCCTGGGAGAGCCGCGAGACGCTGATCAGGGTGACGACGATGATGCTCCGGGGCGGTCGTCTGCCGAAGCGACAGGTCATTGATGGTGAAGCAGTCAAGGCGGAGGAGAGCAGTGGATCTGCGACGCCGGTTGGGCAAGGGCCGACGAAAGGTAGCACTGCTTAGCAGTCAAGACCCTTAGGGGGGGCGTAGATTACAATCATAAAGACTGCCTGGAATTGGGCGATTGGTTGTAGCAAGTAGCAAGCAGCAAAAGAGAAATAGCTGACAGGGACAAAATGCAAAAAGTATTTTCACTTCATCAGCATGGTTTCATTCGAGGAGAAGCAAAAATGAATTGCAACCAAAGTTGGTTGCCCAGTATGAGAATCGAACTCATGATCTTCTCATTTCACCGTATAAATACTAGTGAGACGCTATACCACTTAGCCAACCGGGCTTCTTTGTTGAGGGCCAGCTGCCTATTTTGGTAAATAAGCTTCTCGACTCACTTTCCTCCTCCATCTTCCTGTTTCTCCTCCGCCAGCCCTCCTGATTCCCAAGCTCGCTGCTAATCTTGCCACAGCCCGCGATCTCAGCCGCCACGCTAGTCAAGCCCATCATCGATGTCTTGCATCTTGCAGGCATGAAATTGACTACTCATCACCTCCCACGCTGTCCATCGCCTTCCTTCCATCCCATTGCTCATTGGCCCACTTGTGTCGAACCTTGCGCCATAACGACCAATCTATAGGCCCATCTTGCCATGGTCATACCATCTACGATGGCGACTTACGGGCTAAGCCTTATCAGTTGTGGTGATAAAAAAAAGCTGATGCACACACCTTGAGAAGCCCCGCCGTATGCCGAGCATCGTGAAGGAAAAGCGCGTCCGACCACCCGAGTGTCCCGACTTCAACTCTCCTCACCCACGGGTGTTCGAACGCGGTCGATAAACGCGTCGACAACGCACGGTCGGCATCTCTCCACGAACACACCTCGCAACATACTCTAAGAGCCGACCGTCCGCCGAGATGCATCCCGCCGCCGTCGCCGCCATGAACGAGGCGCCGTCCTCCTCCGTCGCGCCCTTCCGCGCCCGCCCGGGGCACGTCCACCGCACCTGGGCCGGCACCTTCTCCTCGCTCCCCGAGCTCTACATCCAGCCCGAGACCGTCGCCGAGGTCGAGCGCGCCGTCTCCCTCGCACGCCTCTGCCGCCGGCGCCTCGTCACCACCGGCTGCGGCCACTCCCCCTCCCACCTCACCTGCACCTCCAGCTGGATGCTCAACCTCGACGGTTTGCGCGCCGTGCACTCCGTCGACCCCGCCACCGGCCTCGTCGTCATGGACGCCGGCATTCGGCTGCACGCGCTCTGCGCCGAGCTCGACCGCCACGGCCTGGCCATGCCCAACCTCGGCAGCATCAACGAGCAGTCCATCGCCGGCGCCATCGCCACCGGCACCCACGGCAGCAGCGTCGCGCACGGGCTCATGTCCGAGGACGTGGTCGCGCTGCGCGTCACCCTCGCCGACGGCCGCACCGTGGCGTGCTCCGCCGAGACCAACACGGACCTGTTCCGCGCCGCGCTGCTGTCGCTCGGCGCGCTCGGCGTCGTCGTCGAGGTCACGCTGCGCGCCGTGCCCGCCTTCACCCTGCGCTGGCGGCAGACCATCGACTCCGATCGCAAGATGCTGTCCGCGTGGGAGGACGGCGTCGGCGGCGCGGGCTCGCTGTGGACGCAGTCCGAGTTTGTCCGCGTGTGGTGGTTCCCGCACACGCGGCGGGCGGTCGTCTGGCAGGCGGACAAGACCGAGGAGCCGCCGCGGGAGCCGCGCAAGAGCTACTACGACGGCGCGCTCGGGTACTACGTGTACCACAACCTGCTGTGGCTGGCGCAGTTCGCGCCGCGCATCCTCCCCTGGGTCGAGCGCTTCGTCTTCGGCATGCAGTACGGCTTCGCCGACGGCTCCGCCACCTCGGGCGTGCAGCCCGGCGCGCACGCCCTGCTGATGAACTGCCTGTACTCGCAGTTCGTCAACGAATGGGCCATCCCGCTCGCCAAGGGCCCCGAGGCGCTCCGCCGCCTGCGCTCCTGGCTCAACCGGCTCACGCCCGCGGACCCGGACTACGTGCCGCACAACATCCCCTTTTCCGCCGAGGGCCTGTACGTGCACGCGCCGGTCGAGGTGCGCGTCAGCGACACCTCCCTCACCCAGGCGCCGCGGCCGCTGCTCGACCCGACCGTCGAGGACGGGCCGACGCTGTACCTCAACGCGACGCTGTACCGGCCGTACGGGCGCGACCCGCCCTGCCGGGGGCGCTACTACGAGGCGTTCGAGTGGCTGATGCGCGACATGGGCGGGCGGCCGCACTGGGCCAAGAACTTCGAGGCCGGCCGCGCGGAGCTGGAGGCGCTGTACGGAGAGCGCCTGGACGCGTTCCGGCGGGTGCGCGACGAGGTCGACCCGGAGGGCATGTTCGTCGGCGCGTGGCACAGGGAGAAGGTGCTCGCGGAGGGGGCCAAGTTGCCACTGGAGGAGGCGGAGACGGCGAGGGGGGCGATGGCCGGCGGCGGGCTAATGACGCATGGGCAAGTGTAGACGACAACGGGACTATTTTTTATTATAATATTTTGGCTTGGTTTAGTCAGAGAAGGGGATTATTTATAAGTAAGCGTGTTGGTTCATGCTTTGCGACTATATTATGTTATTGCAGTGCTGAGCGCTGTAGAATTTTCTTTTTCATTGCGAGTGTATATCTTTATATATTCAAGACTTGAGATGGTTAGATCTCCGCGTTTCCATGCTTGCGCGCCTTCTTCCTATCAAGAGACTTGTGCTCGTGGCAGTGAGGAGCGTTCCGTCACCTTGTCACCGGAGGCACTGGATCTGTGGGTGGGAGTGGCTTCTGCTGCATGTCCACTTCCTCCAGTAATGGACGAGACTTTTTGATCCAGTAACATAAATGGTGTCGGCATCAGCTTGCAAGCGTCCACAGACAGCGACTCAGCAGGGGGACCCCTCGCAACTTCAGCAAGGTAAATGCCAAGGTCTCTAGTCGTATCTCTTTCGCAAAAGCCATCAACGACTCCCAGGGTGCCTTCTCAATCCTCCACTTATCAACTCATGTACTGAACTCCATCCACGGGCACGCCACCATACATCCCATGGCAGATCAGTCGAAGGCTGTTCGTCCACAGTTGCTATTGTGCCGAGAGGCATCTCTTCGGCCAAAATTCCTGCATTAAGGAATGCTTTAGCATCGACCTGAACTGATGTAACAGGTACTTGACCACCTCTTTCCTGTCCTCAATTTCGTGTTCCTCCCGCCGGTGTTCACGTTCCCGCCAGTGGTCCCTCTCCGTGTCGCGCGGCCAATAGTTTCGAAAAATCGGCTCAGCATTATGTTCCTCAACTAGGAACTTGACCATGTCGAGATTGGGCCTATACGCGAAGACGGCGGCTGTGAAAGCGTTGCCATAAACGCCATGCTCAAATTGGGCATTCACATCCGCACCTTGCTCGACCAAAAACCGAGCACAGTCCATCTGATTAAAGTCGACAGCCGCCAGCAGCGCACTACCATACATGGTGCTCCTCGGGATCATCTCATTTACCTCAGCACCGCTACTAATGAGAAGTCTGACGCCTTCGACGTTTCCATAACATGCCGCGACGAGAAGCGGGCAATTGAGAGGCATCGTCGCAGCTAGTGGCTTCACATGAGCACCACGTTCAATAAGGAAGCGAGCGCCTTCCATATTTTCAGAGGCCAGTGAGGCACATAGAGGATTTCCAAAGTAATCGATCATGCGCATGCGGAGATCCCGCCTTGGACCAGTAGCCAAGGGATTGATCGCGACGCCTTTGTCGACCAAGATTTCCAGTTCGTCAACCTGACCATTGACAGCAGCCCATATGAGCGCTTCATCATGATTACATGTCCGTTTGACGACCTGACGAACAGCACTTCTGCGCTCATGCATGTTCTCAACACCAGGGTCCGTGGGCTGCTCTGACATCTGTCTGACCTGCTCCGGTATCTGTCTGACGAATTCGGCTATGCGATGGCCAGGAGAGGTCTCTGCCGCCCAGCAAATTAGACAAAGATCGCCCATAATGCGATCAAGTTGCGCATGGTTTGCCAAAAGCAGCTCAAAGAGGTCAATGTCTACCTGTCTGATGGATATATAAAACGCATTGTAGTCGACGCGCGCATGAACTCGGTCCAGGTTGCATCCCTGGTCAATAAGTGAGCGGCTGAGTTCCAACTTTGTACGTTTACTGCAGATGCTGCTAGAATGTAGCCGTTAATTAATACGGATCATGCTATTTGGAGAATCTTTATGTCAACATACATAGTCAGCAGCTCATACGATGATACCGCCTACACACATGTTGGCTTTGTCCTCAACGGCGGTTACAGAAAGTGCTACAGTGGCTAGTACAGAGGACTTTGCAGAACCATGTGGCAGTTGGTTGTATGCGAACCGGTTGCCTCTCTTAAAAAGCACATAGGATGATTCGAAATTCTATGAAGATTCACTGACCAAAAACATTCAATCTGTTGATACACAACGTCCGAGGTCTGCTTTAAGATGTTACACCACATCCAAGCCATATGATACATATCACCTGGCTCGGCCCTACTGTCGCTTCTCAATGGGGGAGCTGGTACCGTTGTCTCTACCTCCGTTTGGGCACGGCAGCTTGCTGATTCCTGAAAAAAAAAAGACAAAAGTCCAAGTATTCATTTTGGAACAGAATAGTCTTTGACTAGAATTTCCTGGAGCCGAACAGTCACATGTCGTCAGTCTTTTCGGCAGATATCGTTTACTATGGCAGCGACACAGAGCAAACACAGCAAGTAGAAATCGATCATTAATTTCTTCGCTCTTATTAGTATTTGAAAAGCGATTGAAATGGTTAAAATGTAGCATAAATAGTATTCCAACTTCTTGTTTAATTAATTGCTCTTGCGCGGACAGCCAGCATGCCACATTCAGGCTGCCGCAGATTGTGGCAGCAATTTATTTGCCCCAACGCGGCAACACGCGCGGGGCGTCGCGCTCACCAACTTGTTTCTTGCACTGAACCTGACAGGCAGACAAGACAGACTTTTGACGACTGACCTTCCGAATCGATTAATTCTCATCCGTCTGCATCGCGATTAAATTAGCATCGAGTCAATTTGACGACATCATCGAGTGCGCAAACAACTCCACCCCTCCAGTCGCGTCTGGCTAGCTAGGCCCATCACCGTTTGCGCCACGCCATCTTGTGCGTTTCGACCACTCACGATGCCGCAATATCGCATTGGTATGTCTCCGGGCCGGTATCATACTTTCCGATTATTTACAGAATAGAAATTTCCCCCAACAACCGTGCCGGGTGCAAGGACGCCGTCTGCAAAAAGGGCGCGATCAAGATTACCAAGGGCGAGATACGATTTGGCACCTGGGTCGAAATTGACGGACGCGGCAGCTGGTCATGGAAGCACTGGTACGGTCCCCTACGAGGCGCGCTCAGTTAATGGATCCCTGCTAATGGATGCCAGGGGATGTGTGTCGGGCGAGCAGATGCAGCGTCTGCACGACCAGTGCAGTCAAGGCGACGATGAGTGGGACTTTGAAGAGATTGATGGCTACGACGAGCTCGAGTATGTAGGCGCATCCGAACCTCGAAATCGCAGGCTAACAGCTCTAGGGCCAACGCCGAGGTGCAGGACAAGGTCCGTCGCTGCGTGAAGCAGGCGCACATTGACGCCGAGGATTTCAAAGGTGTACGTTCCTTGTCCGCCGCCCTCGTCTCTTTGCCTAGCTAACTTTTGCAGGATCCTGAAAAGAACAAGCCCGGCCAAAAGGGCATCCGGCTCAACGCCAAGGAGAGGGCCGCTCTCGAAAAGGATGACGAAGAGCCCAAAACCAAGAAGCGCGGTCGCGACGGCAAGGCCAAGGGCAAGAAGGCGAAAGCGGAGGATGACGAAGATGAGGACGCGCCACCCGCCAAAAAGGCAAGGGGGAAGAAGGCAAAGGCAGCTGATGACCAGGATCAAGATGAGCCACCTGCCAAAAAGCCCAAGGGCAAGAAGGCCAAGGTAGCCGACGACGACGACGACGATGAGCCCCCCGCCAAAAAGACCAAGGCTGCTGCGAAAAAGACCAAGACCAAGGATGAAGACGGCGAAGACGACGCGCCTGTGACCAAGGCCAGTGCCGGTCGCGGCAGAAAGGCCAAGGTGACCAAGGAAGAGGCCGACGACGACGAACCTTCTCCTGCTAAGAAGACCAAGGCCACGCCCAAGGCGAAAAAGGCGAAGCAGGTCGACGAGGAAGACGAGGAGAACGAAGCTCCTCCTACGGCAAAGGCCAAGATGACCAAAGGTAGAAAGTCTACGCAGGCAGTCAAGGAGGAGGACGATGAAAACGAGCCCCCCTCTGCCAAATTGTCCAAGACTACACTCAAGGCCACTCCCAAGGCCACCCCCAAGGTCAAAAAGTCTAAGCCTACAGTCGAAGACGGGGAAGAGGACGAGGATGTGGCTGAGGCTGAGGCTCCTCCCGCCAAAAAGACCAAGACCTCGAGGGCCAGAAAGTCGGAGCAGGTCAATGACGATGACGCGGAAGCGGAGCAGGAGAAGCCCAAGCCCAAGCGCCGCGGCCGTCCGTCCAAGGCATAATTTACAATTTAAAAACCAGCAGTTGTATTGTGGGCGTTGAGTTGTGCTGTGTTTGGAGTTGTTGGAGCGGCATGTGAGGCGTTGTGTGTACACATGGCAGCGGCGATGTTGCCTAAGGATTGTCGAGGTATTGCTCTATGGAGCTGTATTACTAGCTTATGTGTCTCTGATAATAAACCATATTTCTTGTAATTTAATCGTATTTTCGTCGCGCACCTGTCACTTCGTCGCAGCTTCAAGTATCATCTCGCCGTTTGCAAGCCCTCTGCGTCATCGCCCCACCATCATCAAGCCTCCCCCGCGACGACCAGCTCCAAGCTTGTTCCCCTCCTCCAGCATCACGACCACCGACACCACCGACATCATGTCCACCGCAAATCCCGATTCCGGCGCCGGCGTGTCCGCCTTCATCCCTCTCGAATGCAACCCCGTCAGAATGACTGCCCTCCTAAAGGGCATCGACGAGTCGAGCCCCCTCCAATTCTACGACGTCATCTCGATCCCCGACGCGCGCCTCATCAACCTGCACATCCCGCACCCCGCCCTCGCGCTGCTCCTCGTCTTCTCCTCGCGCACCCCACCCGAGGAGCTCAGGTACAGAGGCAGCGGCGCCGACGAGCCCGTCGTCTGGTGGCGCCAGACCGTCAAGAATAGCTGCGGCACGATGGCGCTGCTGCATGCCGCCTGCAACGGGCCCGCGCGGGATCTCATCGGTAAGTTTGCCGCCACGCGCGCGTCCAAGACTTGTTTGCTGACTTGCCGGGGGCGGCGGGGGGGGATATAGACAAAACGAGCACGCTGGGGAAGCTCCTGGACGAATCGATCCCGAAGGGGCCGGAGGAACGCGCAAGGCTCCTGGAGCGCTCGAAGGAGCTGGCGGATGAGCACCAGAAAGCGGCGGAGGGCGGCGACACGGAGGCACCGGAGGCGACGGACGACGTGGAGCCGCACTACGTGTGCTTCGTGGCCGGCACGGACGGCGCGCTGTACGAGATGGACGGCCGCAAGTCCGGGCCGGTGAAACTGGGCGACCTGGGCGGCGAGGCGGACATGCTCAGCGAGACGGCACTGGACCTGGGGGCGCGCAAGTACATCAAGCCGAATGAGAACTTTAGCTCGGTGGTGCTCGCGGCGGGCTCGCAGTAGATGCGGACGGCAGGTCAACTTGGATCCGGGACAGGTTATCTCTACCCTCTACGGACGAAGGGGGTGGCTTCCTAGCGTAGGCAGGGAGTTTGCATGTTATACATGACGGATGAACTGTATGATGATGCGGCGCGAGTGCCATTACGGCGTTGGCACGAGTATGTCGTGATTAATGAGGGGAGACTAGGTGGTTTGGAAAGTTTCCATTTATACTCGAGATGCACGCCATCGGCCTGAGTACAAAAGGAAAAGGATAAGAAGAATGGTCAACTGACCTTGTCCAGAGAGCCAGCCGTGCTAGTCAACGGTCAACATACCTCGGCCGTCAAAGGCGGAATATTCCCCGTAACTGTGAAATACATTTCGCCATACATCTCGTTATGAAGCCGACCCAAGAGGCAGGCAGCAACACAGCATCAATTTAATTAAGAGGCAGAAAAGGAACTGTGAAACAGCGACAGCTCCAGGGTTTTTAAAGCAAAAGACACACCGCACGAGCCAAAAAAAGAAATCAAGAATGACAACCGCAAAAATAAGGGTCTGGCCGGGGATTGAACCCGGGACCTCTCGCATGCTGTTGATTGGCTAGCAATCGAACTTAGAGTGGGCCCTAAGCGAGAATCATACCACTAGACCACCAGACCGAGTCCTTTGAATTTTGGATTCAGAAGACGCTGTTGTTTTTGTTGGAACGGCAGCGCGTTATTTTGTATGATATGGGGGTGTATCAAAATTTCTCGTGTTTGCGGGGCGGGTTTGTGGAGTTGTGGGGCTGACAGGTGATGGCAAGGCAGCGAGCGGTAGGCAGTGCAGGGCAGGCAGGGCGAGCGAGCTCTTTTGGATTTGCAGGACGTTGTTTGAATTTTGGGGGGTGGGAAAAAAATAAGATTTGGGTTGAGGGCAGATGGTTGTGCAGTCTCTCACAGGAATTGATTAGGATGAAAATGTGGTGGCGCAAAGTAGGACTACCAATGCAGAGAAAGCTTCTGGCAGTCATTATATCGACGGCATCCTTGTGTCTATAACATCCGAGTACATCAGCCGCAAATAGACCAAAAAAATCACCGTAGATCACCATGTAAATCGAAACAACCAACCTGTTTCTACCTATTATATTCATCTGAACTTCTATAAGATTTTGATTCCTCTTGTTGTTTCTCTCGCAGACGCCGTGATGCCGTAGCTGTCCTGCAATGGGCTTTTACACTACTACCCGGGAGCCCAGCTTGCAAGCTCACTGCAATGGTGCCTCACGAAAACGACACAGCGGCGCGTTCCTTGCCCACCACGCGCTGAACCAGCGGTCCATCTACATTTTTAGTAGTTTAAGTTAGTTACGTTAGTGGGTAAGCTCGCCCAACACAACCAACCAACTCTTGGTTCGACCCAAATGGCTCATGTTCACAAGCAGCCAACAATTCGCAGCCGCTATGCTCCGCCTGTGCATCCAGAACCCCTTCCCACGCCCGGAGAAGAGGAAGTGAAGAAAATCCCCCTGCTACGATCCGACGTCCACGCCCTCTTTGACGCGAAGCGTTTCCTGATCGCGCCGAAAAAAAGGACAAGTGGGTGACGCACGCACTGTACGGGGAGCCGCAGGATGAACTCGCGCGGTGCCTCCACAACGTCCACCTGCAGCCGCTCACCAACGTCTCGGTGCCGTTCCTCTTCGCCCGGTTCGTCTGGACAGTCCACGCTCTGAGCGCCCTTCACTTGCATCGGCGGCACGCGGGCGCTGCTCGTGGTCAAGGGCTGGCGATACGCAGAGACGGCGGATCGAGATGACGGGGGTGCAGTTCAAGGCCGAGCTCGCGACGCGTTCGAGGACGTCAAGTCGGACCCCAAGCCCTAATGAACGCCGCCGGGACGGCATGAGCGAAGACGACGACGACCATACGCCTCGGGATTCCGATGACGATGAGGAGGAGAAGGAGGAGGAGGAGGAGGAGGAGGAGGAGGAGGAGGAGAGAGGTCGGCCGCGGAAGAGGAGGATGCCATCTGGAACTGCATCTACGGTATCCCTCGAGGAATACGAGCAAGTTACGTCGGTGTTTACTTCGCTTGCGAATGGCGACAAGGAAACCAAGTATGGCATCGATGGTACCACCGCCGAGCTATGGGAAGCCGAGTCTTATGCCTCCAAGTGTCGTCCCTTCGAACCGCGTCCAGATTAAGTGCACCAAACCAAGAAAGGGTAAAGCTACTTAATCAAAGGAAGCCTCTTTTTGGTTCTCTGTGCTTCAGAACAACTCTGCTCACGGTGGTGAACACCGTTGTGGTTCTGGCACCGTGGCTGGGGTGGAGCATGCGTTTGTCAAAATTACCAGTCAACATGGAGCTCGCCTCGATCAACCGGCGCGGGAGACGGAGCTCATCGTTGTTTCTCTTCCTCCATCAAGTTGATGATTCTACCAGTGCAGCCAACGGCCGTGTTTATGCGAATAACTCTGCCCCAAATAAACCAGCTGGCTCACTGCAAGACCAACTTAACTGCGGCTGCCTCACCGGAGTCTACATCTAGACTCATACAGTCGTATTAACATATACACTAAATCATTACCCATACATACATGACGCCGTCCCTGACCCTCACCCAAACCATCCATCATACCCCTATACACATAGACAATACAATTAGATAAAGCCCTTGGTCAGGCTCGGCGCCCGACTCAGGCTCGAGTCCTCCTCTTCATCCTCAATCACCCCAAGCGCATTGATCCGACTGCGAATGCTCCCGCCCGTCCTGAGGCTCCCGCTCGTCTTGAGACTCCCACCACTCTTAAACGTCTTCAAGCTGTCCACCTCGCGCTCCAGGCGCAGTGACTTCTCCTTCTCCTCCCGCAGGTCGCGCTCTGCTCGTCGCGTCAGCAGCTGCGTAGCCGACTCTGACGCTTGTAGTTCGTCAATCGTCTTCAGAAGCTTGTCGACCTTTTCGCGCATCCGGTTGACGTCTTCTGAAAGCTGCGCGTTCTGCCTGTCCTTTCGCTCCACCTGGCCCTGTAGGTCCTTGACTGCCCGATCGACATTTCGCGTTGATCGCTGTGACTGCGACTTTTCCGTCTCGTGTTTCTCGAGTTGTGATTCAAGCTAAGCAATTAGTATACGCATCATCAACCTCAAAGATGCAGATACACTCACCTCTTGAATCCTCTTGTGCAAAAACTTAATGTCCTGGCTGGCGCTGGAGAACCCCTTCGTCTCCAGATCCACCAGCTTCAGCTGCGCCTCATTGAGCGTTCGCTCCACGGCTGCCTTTTGAGAGAGCACTGCAGCATTGTTCTCTCGCTCGGCGACAACCTCCCTTTGCATCTCAGCTACCAGGGCCTCTGACCGTCGCATCTTTTCCACCGCGGCAGTCGCAATGTCCTCTTGCTTCGCCAGGTTTGACTTGAGCTCTAGGACCTCCTTGTCCATGTTGGCAGCATCTCGCAGCGATGCGCTATCGCCGCGGGCGAGGCCGTCCAGACCAGCTTTGGCTTCCTCCAGGCGGCTCTCCACGTTGCGCTTCTCCCGCATCAGGCGATCGCGCTCCCCGGTGATCTCATCTACGCTAGTTCGTAGCGTCCGTACCTGCGACAACAGAGACACGACCTTTCCTTGGGCCTCGCTATGCGCATTCGCGGCTTCCTCGCGCGAGGCCGATACGTCGGACAGAGTCGCCTCCATGCGGGCCTTCTCCTTGGACCAAGTAGAGCTGTTGAGAACCTCGTCGTCCCACTTGGATCGGAGGTCGTCAAGCTCTTCTCTCAGCCTGGTAATCTCAGTCTGCTTGTACAGCTTTTCCTCGCGCGCAAGGTCAAGCTCCTTGGTCAGGGTAGCAAACTCAGCCTGGTACTTCTTGCGAGTTTGCTCCATGCTAGATTCCTTGTCCTCGATATCCATGGCGCGCTGGCTGCGGTAATCTTCAAGCTCGTGCTGGAGTCGCTTCTTTGATTGCAGTGCCCCCTCCAAGTCAGTCGAAATGTCCTCAAGTTTTTCATCCAACCGTTGGTTCTGTCTCTGCAGATCCTCAATCTGGTTGTCCAGTTTCTGGCGCTCGGCCATCGTCTCCGCCAGAGAGTCCTCAGCTTCCCTGGCCTGAGACTTGGCAAACTGCTCAGCGCGGGTGGCCTTGAGAACGGTAATTTCAGCCTGTTCCAGCTTGCCAAAGTACTCATCTGCACGTGATTTGTACGTTTCAAGGCTGGAATTCACATCTGCTAGTCTAGCCGTCTCCGCGTCCAGGCGAATCTGGAGATCGGTGTATTCTTGAAGCAGTTGGCTGCGGCTCTGTGCCTCTTGCTCGCGGGCTTGTGTCATTTCTTGCAAGTCTGATTTGACATCACGAACCTCAACCTCCAGTTTGGCGCGGTCGTGGCGCAGTTTATCAAAGTGAGACTTGACTTCCGTGAGCTCCGCTACAGCATCCTTATGGCTGTGAAGAAGCGAGCGGCGAGACTCTTCCTGGTTATTGAAAGCGTCGAGCAATTCCTCAAGGGAGCGCGTCTGAATGTCGCGGAGTGACAGCTCGCCAGTGCGAATGTTCTTCTCGAGAGTGGAGACCTTCCGAGCAGAGTCGTCCAAGAGGTCGTGTAGGCGACTGTTGGCCTTTTCGAGCTTTTGCATGCGGCGGATGGACGGGCTTTGCTCATCATAGGTGCTATCGGGACCAGGAGTTGCGCGATCGAGCTGACTTTGCAGGTGGCGGTTCTGCATATCCCGAAGCTGGAGCTGGTTGTGGAGCTCCTCGACTTCAGCCTTCAAGTCCATGCGGTGGTTCACGACGGCAGTGTCGGCGGTTCTGTCCGAGCGAGCGGAATCCATAAGCTCATACTCCGGCTGCTGGTTGCGACGGGTTGGTGTCGTTGTGTTGGAAACCCGTCGCATCTTGGTCTTCCTCTGCGTCGGCGAACCGTTGAACGGAGCCTCGTTGATATGCATCTCCTCGAGCTTGGGGCGGTTGGGGTCGCCACGCGAGGCACGGAGCTCAGACAGCTGAGACTCGGCGTTGGAACGTGCCGCAATCTGAGCGCGCAAGTTTTGCTGCAGCTCTTCGACCTTGCGGACTAGGTCAAAGTTAACGGCAATGCCACGATCACTAGCCCCATCCACAACCGGAGGCGTAGCCTCTGGATCGACCGTCTTGAGGATCTTGAGCATCTGCTCTCGAAGGTCCTCAAGCTCATGGTCGCGGGATGACAGAGATGCCTGCAGCGTGCGCACAGTTGACTGAGCCTGGGTGCGCAGCTGTCGCTCAGATTCCAGAGTACGGTTAACCTCGGCGAGCTGTGCGGTGAAATTGGAAGAGGCCTTTTCGGCGTTGCGGCTGGTCTTGACTTCTCGCGCAACTTCGTGGTTGAGATCCTCCAAGTCGAGCTGCAACTTTTCAGTTCTCTTCTCAAGCGACGCAATCGTGACCTGAGCTTCGCCTAGTTGCCTGTCTAGAACAGCATTGTGTTCTTCCAGCCTCGTCTTTTCCTTTTGCAGAGACAATACTTGTCCGCGCGACGCATCGCTTGCCCTGGAGGTGGAACGGGCAATCTCAAGACCCTTCTGCTGCAGCTTGTTTAAGAGAGCCCGGTTGTCGTTCTCGGATGCCGTAAGTCGGCTCTTGACGGTAGTCAGTTCACGCTCCATGCGCTCCTTGGCCTGGTCATTCTTGAGCCCGAATTCCCCAGAAGCAAGCATAGTCTTGTTGAGGCCTTCAATGTGGCGATTGAGCTTGGCACACTCATCCTCAAACCATGCAAGGCGAGAGTGAGCAGCGTCTAGGTCTCGTTGAAGGCTGGCCTCGCGATCCTTGGCTGCCTTGGAAGCTTGAAGTTCGCGCTTCTCTTCGGCGAGGACGCGGGCACCTTCGATTTCTGCCTTGGCGGCCCGCAGTTTCCGAATCTCGACACGAGCTTCGTCGCGTTCCTGTTCAACAACCTTGCGAGTTTCGACATGTCTTCGAAGAGAATCTTGTTGCACATAAAGCTCCTTCTCGATAATGATCTTGGACTCATTGAGATTGTCAAATTCGTCCTTGAGAGCCTGATATTTGTGCTCACCCAAGAGCAGCACGTCATCACGGGATTGCCTCTCTCGGCTGAGATCCATCTGCGTCTGATATAACTCTTCCTTGAGGCGCTTGATCTGGGACTCGAGCTGCTGTCTGGTCTTGTCGGCTTGAGCATCCTGCGACAGGCGGGCCTCCAGCAGAGTCTTGGCATCCTCGGACTCCTTCTCGAGCTGGGAGTGCCTTGATTTCAACGCAACGAGCTCGGCCTGGATGTCACGGGACTTGGCTGTGGTCTTCTCAATGTCTTCCGTTAAAGCCTTCTTTTGCGCCTCAAAGCCGCGGCGCTCAGACTCGAATTGCCTCTTGTCGCTGCGAAGTAGTGACAGCTCGCTCTCCTTGTCGCGGACGAGATCTTCGTACTCGGTAGAAGTCTTGGATAGTTGCGCGAGCTGCTTTTGGATGTCTTGGTTTTCTCGTACGGCACGTGCTTCGCGCGTCTTTGTCAAATCCAGCTCCTTTTGCGTCTCATGGAGTTTGACTTGCGTTTCTTGGTCAACCTGAAGAAGCTTGCTCTCAAGATCCTGCGCTTTGCGATCTTTGAGGGACAATTGACTCTGGAGCATCTTGATCTCGCGCTCAAGAGCCTCCTCCTGCTTGGACCGTTCAGACTGCTTTTGCGAAATGTCGTTTAGCGATTGCTCGAGTTCAGCTGACTTGGTCGAGAGTGTCTTCTTTTCCTCCTCCAGCTTTGCAATCAAGCTAGCAGCCTGGGCGAGTTGCGTGCGATGCCTTTCAAGGTCTTGCTCGGCACGGACTTTCGCTTCCATGATTTCGTCAAGCTCATCCTCTAGGCGCTCCTGATCTTCCAAGGCACCGGAAAGCTTCTCTTCGAGCTCAGCTTCCCGCTGTTGAAGCCGCTTGAAGATTTCTTCCTTATCCAACGCCAGCGCTCGCTCACTTTCAAGTGTTTGTTGGACACGAGCAATCTCGGTGAAGCAGTTGCGTCGCTCCTCCTCAAGCTTCTTCTTGTTCTCGAGTTCAATACGCATCTTTTCATTCAGCTGCTGAATCATGGCGTCTCTCTTCTTGACTTCCGAAGCAGTTCTGGTGGATCCAAGCATAGGCTTCATCTTGACGATAAGATGCCACCAAGGGTTCTCCACAAGGTCCAGGTAGACGTTAAAGTTTCTTTGAATGATTCTGGTAGCCTCTGTTCGGAAGAGTCGCTTGTACGCCGCACGTCGCTGGACAAAGCCCCGCGCAACTGACTGAAACCGTGACATTATCTCAGTAATCAGTGCATCGCGCTGCTCTTCCAACTCCGCCAAAACACCAGCACGGAAGAAGACCTTGGTTAGACCAACGCGGTACAGCGCCTTGTCCAGACAAAGTTTCTCTAGCATAATGGTCGCGGCTGTCTGGCCATCCACATGACCTTTGGGCATGCTAGGGGTAAGAACCTCGTATCGTTGACGTAGTTCGTCAAATGAAAGTCGGTTAGGGAAACCAGTCCGGGCGATTCGTATACCCTCCAGCACACCGTTGCAGCGCAGCTGGTCCAGAACGAGAAGGTTGCTAAAAGTCTTAGGGCGCTTCTTGTGGTTGGGAAGAATACAGCGCACGAAATGAGGATGCGTGGAATGCAGCTTGCTCATCAAATTGTGAAGCTGCTCTTTGTGGCGCTGGGCGACGGTCCGGAACAAGCCCTTCTTGACGCGATTGCGACCTCCACCAATCTCATCATCCGGGTCAGCGCAATCAGCAAAAAGTCCAGCAATATGCTTGTCGCCTGATGTCGCAAGAAGTCGCGTGACATTGTCGTTGAGAGGGTCCTTGTTCTTCTCAAGCCAGCCGCTGGTGTCGTATTCGACCTCGGCGGCGTAGTGAGTCAGAATGAAGCCTGAACCAAGTCTCGAAGGGCGGTACTTGGCAGTCTTCTTCTCCCACAGAGCGTTGAGCTTCTCAGTAAAGGTCTTATCGGTAGCCTTGGGCATGACGCTGTCCTCATCGAGGCAAGAAAAGATGCCAATAGGGTTAGAGAGCTCAATGAGATCAATCGTCGGCTGCAAATCTCGACCAAAATCGATGAATTGCCACTCAATCTGCTCCCTGGCATACTCTTCCTGCTCCAGCACAAACATGTGGTGGTTGAAAAACTGCTGCAGTTTCTCATTGGTGTAATTGATGCATAACTGCTCAAAGCTGTTGTGATCGAAGATTTCGAAGCCTGCAATATCGAGGACGCCAATAAAGTGCGATTCGTCAGGGCCCATGCCGGAGCTGTGAAGCTGGTGGTTGATGCGAGAAACTAAGTCGCCAAAGCCGCGCTCGTAGATACCCTTGGCCAGTGCGTCGAGGGCGAGACGGACCTGTTCGGGGGTCTGCACCTTCTCTACCCATTCACGACCGGCCTTGACCCTGGGATGTAGCAGGCCACGAATAAAGGGCTCCACGGGCACACCGAGGAGCTTACAGACCTTGGCCACCTGCGCTTTTGCGTCGGCAGAGAGAGATGCCTGGTCAGCACTTCGACTCTCTTTCATGACCTCAACGTTGCCAAGGTGCAGAACAGCCGCAACGGTTCGCAGAATGGACATTTGATCCTGTTCAGAAAAGCCCATGACTTGGAAAGCCTCCATAAGCGTATCCCACTCTTCCGTGTCTGAAACCCCAACAATGCTGTCATTGCCGTCTCGTGTATATGAAAAATCGCCCGTGTCACGACCGTCGAGTAGGAATTCCTTCTTCATACGCGCGTTTGCGCCCTTGAGAAGCTGGTAAAAGATATGGTAGTTGCGTTCTTGGCTATTAATGCGAACGACTCTTGACTTTTCGAGCAGATACCAGTTGATGTGTGCGCCGGTAATGGCACCATTGCGGTTGAACTCGATCCGAATGAATTTGCCGAAACGCGAGGAGTTGTGGTTTCGAACAGTCTGAGCATTGCCGAAAGCCTCGAGTATTGGATTGGCACGGAGAATTTGTTGCGAAAGATTGTCGTGTTGGCCGCGGTTCTTGCTGGATGGGTCAGATTGGGCCACGGCGGCGAGATATTGGATGACCTTTTTGGTATTCTCAGTTTTGCCGGCTCCGGATTCACCGGTAACCAGGATACTCTGATTCGAGCCTTCGTCGACCAAATGGCGGAATGCCTCGTCTGCAACGGCAAAGATGTGCGGTTTGGTGTCCTCTCGACTTCTTCCCCGGTACATGTTGATGTACTCATTTGTATATATGGGTAATGGGCAGTATGGATTAACGGTGACCAGGAAGAGGCCGGAGTATGTGTAAATGAGGTCGGACTGATATCGGATGCGGAGGTTGTGTACCACGGAGGCTTCATTGAGGTGCGTGAGCTCTGCCATGTCATTGGCCTTGTCGAATTTCGTAGGATTGACCTTGTCAAAGCCTTCAGGATCAACCTCTCGTTGCTGTTTACAATTAGCGTGGGTCGGATTTTGGCGGATGCGTCACTTACACTGCCGTCGTCGAGCTGAACGACTAGGTTGCCGTCTGGCTTCTCTTGCACAACCCATCCTTTGACAAAAGCTTCTTCGGGATCCTTAAGCCACACGTAGCGCTTGCCGGAAAAATCGTTTTCGCCTTCGATGCCTTTGACGGTGTCGTAACCCCGCATCATTTCCTCAGTTTTGATGAAAGCGGGAGCAAATGTGCCCGAGGTCGGAGTGCCACTCCGCGAATCTCGTCGCCCATTCTTTATCGCCGGAGGAGTCAATACTACTCCCAAGGGATTGCCCGAGTGAGACCGGTTATGTGAAGGACTGCTTGGCGCTTGAGGAGAGAAGAGCGCAGACTTGGGTCGGCCGTTGGTAGCCGGTGTAGCAGCCGGAGAGCCCGTCCTTAAGAAGGGATTCCGCCGCTGCGACGGCGCATCATTTGAAAAAGACATTGTATCGTCGCATTTACACCAATTGCCGCAGATGTGCTTGGAGCTAGGTCATGGACGCGTATCAACAAACGCGTCCTGAGTTTGGTGAACCTTGACGGAGGTCTCGGCGAGGCAATTTGAAATGGGGAACAAAGGAGATTATAAGATAACGCCGAAAAAGAGTTGGCGTATTAAGAAAATGTCGTCAATGGCCGTGATGATAGTGGCAGAGACAACGCGTTTGTGTCTTCTGCTGCCCTCCAGATGCTGGATCGGCACCATTGAGAGGGCCGTTGCCGGGGTAAAACCCCACCGAAGTAAACAATAGCCTGCACGTGACTTGCAGCCGATAATATCAGCTGCGACTCAAAAGGACGCTAACCCTGATCAGGACCCGACGGTGGCTAGCTCTCGTTCCACGATTCGATGCCTAATTTCTCAGTTTCATCAAACTCTTCATGATTGCTGCGATCGCGTTGTACTGACGTGTCAGAGCACGAGATAGTATTTCCGGGTGCACTATTCCATCTAGGCTGTCACGACAAGAGGCGAATTGTTTGCTTCCGCCTCATCGCAACATCTCTACCCCTGGCGCTTCCAAGTCACCGCTCCTGCGTATGACGCTAGGGAATTGGGAAACAAGCCTCTTTGCAGCCTTTTCCATCATATCCTGCTCAGATGGCACAGCCGGGATACGGCGCTGGCCATGCGCCAGACATCCTTCCGTCAGGAATGAAGACACTGGCTGAGACTGGCTCGGCAGAACCCGGCGCAAGTCACCGCGACGCGACGAAGCTCTCGTTTGACCACAATAGGCAAACGATTCCGGGTCTTGGGCTTGGGTTCTTCGGAAAGGCGGAACCTTCAGCAGCAAGGCAGACTGACACGGCCGCAAACGGAAAACAGAACCGTGCAAACGCAGCAGCCAGCGATTCGGCAGAAGAAGGAGAAATAACCGCGGACGAGTTCGAGGACCTCTACGACGCGCAAGAACCGGTGCATGTCGCTCATCAAGAGCAGCCTGTACCCGAAATTGATAATAGCTATGTTGAGATGAGCGACGAAGAGCGTGATAGTTCCGGCTCGTACTCACCATTTCTTTCGGCTAAAGAGCTGGATGCACCGCGTCCCAACCCGGTCCCCTTGCCTGCTCGCGATCCGGCTGCAATCATCGCGCCCAGCGCGGAAGAAGTACAAAAAAAACCCATCGACATCATCGCGGAAGCTAGAACCCAAGCGAAAGATTCCATATTACGGTTAAAAACAGCCAATATTGGCTATCAGGATTACGTTAATGAAGGGATCGACAAGGTTGTGCTCGATCAGCTCTTTGGCGATTTGGGCCTCGCAACAATGTGGAAGAAGCCGGCACCGGCAGCTCCCACTGGTGCTCACCCGCCTTCTAATCAAATCAGCAGCACCACTTCAACCGCCAACGGCACGAAGCCAACCGCAGAGGTGCCACTGGATAAATCGGAGTCACGCAAAGACCGCATTGCCCGACTTCTTGCTGCGAAAGGATCGAAATCTACGAAGTCTGGAGCAGCAACCGTCATCGGGAAAATAGCGAAATCCCCAAATATGAAAGTGAATTCGGAAAAGTCGAAGCTACTACAACAAAAGATGGAGGCACTGCTCAAGGCTCGCGAAGAGAAGCAAAGGGAGCTTGAACGACAAACAGCAATGGCAGTGTCAGGATCTCCATCCAATCAAGAGGGAATCTCTCGCACGAGCCAAGGTGCCCCTCCCGCAGAGCTGCCTTCGTCCTTGCAGGTAGTAGCTGCAAGCGATCAAGCTCCTCAACCACCAGCATTGGAAGCTGGATCACTTTCTTCGTTCGCAAAGGCTTTACCTACTTCGAATAGTGGAAGTGGTAGCGCCTCTGAAAGTTCTTTTCAAAAGCCTTTTGGACAAACGAGGCCATTTCTTATTGATGTTAGCGATGACGATGACGACATTGATATGGACATGGAGTCTCCCGAACAGCGGATGTCTATATTGCATGCGCCTACCAGCCCCGGAAAAAGACAGCTACCAACACCCTCGGTTGCTCAAAGTCCCGGGTCCGTAAATACACCGCCGGCGTCTCGCCAGGACTTGGAGAAGAAAATTGAGGCCATGAAGCGGAAGATTGCAGAGGCAGAGGCAAAGAAGAGAATCAAGTTATCGGCGCCAGCATCCCCGGCGGCCTCCCCGCGACCTAGGGCATACGATATATACGAAGCGAAATCGAGCTCACCAGATGTGTCTGCATCTATTCCCCATGGTGCCGCTTCTCATCGACTACCCAAAGTGGCGGAGGCAGGATTGGTATCGCCTGGCTCGCCAAAACAAAATCGGTCTCGTGCCGCAAGCGAACGACTTCCGATGCTTGAATCGCGCCGGAAAGAACAAATGTTGAGGCTGAAGGCGCTTCAATCGCAAGTGGCCAATATCGAGCGAGAGCTTAAGGAAGGCCTCGAGGAAGAGCAAAAGTTACGGGAGGACTTGGACTACATCTCTGATGATGACGTTCCCATGTCCACGGGTTCTGAACCGGTTGCTCCTCGGGCAGTTTCAGCCCGCGCCTACACCGAACCCGTTGCAAACGTTGAGCAGGCGGGACAGGGCCTTGCGAATCCTATCGACATACTGAGTCCTGACCAAATTGTGACAGACTCGAGTTCTCGATCAAGTCCCGAGGTGGTTGGGGCGGTTTCCATCCCATCGAACGGTCAAGGCTTGGAGGCAAAGGACCCACAAACCCTTCAGGATGAGGCAATAGAAGTAATGCTAGCATCAGAAAACGACGAGGACGTTGCTATGGATGAGGCAGCAAGCAGTGGAGAGGACGCAGACGACGATTCTGACGGCTACGAGCCGGCCGAGGCTAGCCCGTACGAAACCGGACATTCCTCTCCCAATCTGAAGACTTCTGATGCTGCACCGGAGCTTACTGACCGCGACCCAGCCGCGGCCGCTCTTAGTGCCGAACTTTTATCTGCAGGGCGACAAGACTCTGCCCCCATCATGGAGCGAGAGAGAGAAGTAGTGCCTACCTCTCACGACGGTGAGTTATCCAGACTAACATCGTGTTAGGCACCAGAGAGCACACATGCGGATGTGAATGATGCACCCGCGCGGTCAAGCTATTTAGCATACGATTCTCCCTTGCGATACTTTCACTCATTTCGCTTCCACCCGGATTTCAACGAACTTGTGGCTGGTGGCTTGCGGTCTGCTACGTACAGTAATAAGATTGATGCCAAGCTGCCGCTCTGCCCGGACGAGGTGGCAGGTAACGCATGCCCCCGGGGAAAGAACTGTCACTTTCAGCACTTTGCAGACATGAGTGCGCCCGGTACGTCTTCGCGCTCTCTGTCCACAGGAACCGTGCCCGCGACGCCGAAGGGACCAGCCAGGCATGGCGATGCAAAAAAGAACTGACCAGCGTTTGCTTGTGAGCTTAGATGACCAAATCCTGCTGCAGCTGGGCGCGTACCCCAAGTGCGAGGAATCGAGGAAACAAGAGTACATTGAGGGCCTCCGGCAGCTGCTGACCGACTATCGCAACCGCAAGGTGAAAGATTTCACAACACTCAGCCAAGGAATCATAGAGTACCGCGCCAAGTTCCACGGCGACGCTAGTAAGGTCCTCCCTCTGGGCACAGTTGCGCTCTGACAGTGCCACCACCCTTTCCAAACCAAAACGTAGAGTTACGGACAAGAAACATGATGTCCAGATGTATTACCAGCATTTATTCCGGCGCCGGTTCATTACCATGGATGACGATACATATGCGATACCCTTTCATTTCATTCTCTTGATTCATTTTCCCAGCCTTCCCTTTCAGCGATGCTCCCTTTCCCTCCTTCTTTACTTCATGTTCATCATCATCTGTGCATTTGCAACCGCGATGCTTGCTCGGTAGCTGGAAGTATATTTCCGGATGTGTTTTGCGATTTCGATGCGAAGAAGGGACCAGAAAGATCAGCCGCGCGCCTGCCGCATGGAATTATTACCATCGCTTGGGCTTGAAATTGCTGAGAAAGAAAGAAGAAAGAGCAGGGCGGCCAAGCAAGGAAATGAGGCGTAAATATGCTTTGCTTATTTTATCTACATAATTTCGTGGTCGTGTACGACGGCGCGAGACGTATAATATATACACATGCCATAAACAAAGAGTATTCCCATTCGCACGGACCTCGATAAACAAAACGCAGCCCTGTGATGACAAAAACAAAACTAAAATTGAAACTCATGGAAAGGGGTATAATGAGAATAGTACCACGACTTGTACACGATCTTCCTTGAACATGCTCCTTGTGCAGAGGTGCCCGTCCCTACGCGGTCGGATTCGGAAGGCAAGAAAACGCATCCACCGACGGCGACCTCTCCTAGCGGCTCTTCTTCAGCGTCTTCTTATCGCCGCCGCCCTTCTTCTCCTCGCCCGAGGAGGTGGCGACGTCGGCGCGCTCGACGCTGCTCATGTCGGCCACGACGCCGCCGACGGCGTTGGCCTGGCCGGGGCTTATCCCGCGGCCGTCGCGCAGCACGGAGACTTGCAGGCCGTTGAGCGAGGGTTCGCGACGGACGCCGAGGCCACGCAGCTTGTCAGATCCGGGCGCGGTGCCACCGTCAGGCTGCTGAGGCGGCTTCTTGGCGGACGGGAGCGGTTCAAACTTGCCGCCCGCGAGGGGGTACGTAGACGGCGGGCTGCCGACGGTGGCGGCGCGGGAGCGGACGGCGGGCTCGCGAGCGACGTGCGGTTGCGGGACAGGCAGGTGGCCGCGGGCGTTGCCGCTGCTGAGCACGGAGGTGTCGCTGTCCGTCGCGTTGCTGCTGTTGTTGATGGCGTTGACGAAGAGGCCGGAGCCCATCAGGCTCTCGGAGCGGACGACGTGGTACCGGTCGTACTCCTCGACGGTGTGCTCGGCGTCGGTGAAGCTGTCGAGGGCGTCGAAGACGTGGCGAAAGACTTGGACGTCGACGTCGCGGGCCCATAGGAAGTCGAGGTGCTCGTAGTGGGGGATCTCGGTGGCGACGGTCTGCGGGGGCAGCTCGCGCAGCATGCTATCAATGTCGACGAGCGAGTCGCTGCCGCCGTAGACGAGCACGACGGGCGTGCGGATGTTGCGCGTAGGGTACTTGGCCACCTTGGTGGATGCGCGGCGCGACGCGGCGGCGGACATACGGATCGGCTGGTGCACGTCGTCGTCGTAGAGCTGGAAGGAGCGGTGGCGGATGATCTGGAACCAGTGCACGACCGACTTGGTGCTCGTGTACGAGTAGAGGTGCGGGTAGGCGGCGAGCTTCTGGCTGGGCGTGATGTTGAGCGTCTTCCAGTCGAAGAGGAAGGACAGGCCCATGTCAATGGACCGCGCGAAGAGGGGCGGGTACAGGAGCGCCTCCCAGGTGGTCGCGGAGCTGAGGATGGAGCGCCGTCCGAACATGAGGTAGAGCGCCGAGGGCGAGGCCTTCATGAGGGAGTCGACGATACCGTTGGATAAGCCAGCTGGCGCCATGGCTGGCGCGAGGGCAATGAAGACGTTGACTTTGTGGTTGAGCTGGGGGTGGATGGCTAACATGGCAAAGGCCTGGGCAGTGCCCTGGGAGAAGCCAATGTAGGAGAGGCTCTTCTGCTGCGTGCTCTCCAGGATATACTCGATACTATCGGGAATATCATGGAAGGCAAACTCGTCGATGGAAAAGTCCCAGAAGCGCGTCGAGTTGGGTGAGCTGTGGATGGACTTTTTAGAATATTTATTACCGCGATTGTTGCCGAACTTGTCCTGTTAGTGAATCTCATGGACGATCTAGACAGGGCGACTCACCCAGACGTCGAATCCTTGCTCGACAAGTTCAAACGCTAGGCATCGCTTCTCGTCCGTCTGGCAGACCCAGACCTCCGAGTTCATGAGCAGGCCGTGATGCATGTAGACGACGCGCTTCTTGATGGAGTCGGGTCCCGAGTTGACCCGCTGACCCTCCTCGCCGCGCCTCCACTGAAGCCGATGAAGGCCGAGCAGGTAGCCGTCCTTGGTCTGCACGATGTGCTCCTCCGCCTCGTACCCCCAGATCTGGCACAGCTCAACAAAGTCGGCGGCGTCGCGGACCGAGTCCGAGATGCCTAGGGGCAGGTCAGCAAGGGTGGGACAGCAATAGAAGTCAGATGCGACTCACAGCTTGTCTTACGATGAACGCGCTTGTCTTCGGGGGAAGAGAATCGAAGAAATATGCGGCGCGAAGCGCGGTAAAAGTAGGCGACGAGGAACGAGGCTGTCTTGTGTTAGCCGGTGCCACCCTCGGTTGCGGGTTGCATGTGGTGTGGGCGTACGCAGTGCTAGGGTGCAGACGCGGATGATGGCCTCGAGGGACACGAGAACAAAGGAGGCAACGAGGGCGATGTACTCCATACTGCGAGGTGAGTTGGTTAGCTGTGCGACATTGGTGTTTTGTCGCGCAAACGTACGGATGGAGGCGTCCAATAAAAGGGACGGCCATGGTGATGGAGAATACTGGAGGTCGGTTTCAGGAGGGATAGAGTGGCACCATATCCCAGTGCTATTATAAGGACTGAATATTATATGAAGAAAAAGAAAATTAGTGCATATTTGGGTGTATGGTCGAGACTAGGGATATCGAAGTAGCAGAGGATGAAAAGGATGATGTCACTCAAGAGCATGTGAAGACAATTGATGAGCTTCGAGGATGAGAATGTGGCTGAGGCTTGATTAGGCTTAGCGTGGCCGGCAACGTGTGGCTTGAGCAAGTTGGGAGTGTGGCTGAGAGTTTGGCCAATGGCCAGTCGGCCAATCTGGATACCTCTGGGATAATTTGGCATCCTGTTTCAACAGCTGTACTTGTTTCCCACAAACAGCCGCTGGCCGCCCAACATCTTCACAAAATGCCCAATTCATGTCAAGAGCTTCGTACGTCTCCCTCTTCCCCTCCTCCCTTCCCCCAGTGCTCCCTCCAGCTAACCTTGCCTAGGCGACGCGCTCGCCCAGTGCCTCCAAGAGTCCGACTGCGTCATGGTCCAGCGCAACCGCGCCGCCGACTGCCTGCGCGAGCCGCTCTCCGCCACGCTCCCGACGCGCTGCCAGCAGCTCAAGAAGGGCTACGGCGACTGCAAGCGCGGCATGGTCGACATGCGCAAGCGCTTCCGCGGCAACATGCCCGCCACCTACAAGAGCGAGTCCAGCAACGGCCCGCGCGCCGACGACAAGGGGTACCAGCTGTACGCGGGCGGGTCGGCGTTTGGCGGCGCGGTCAAGGAGACGAGCGGCAACGAGCCGGTCGCGCCGGACTGGAGGGACGTGGAGAACGAGAGGTACAGGGTGGAGCAGGCGGCGCTGGCGGCGGCGAACCAGCAAAAGTGAGGAGGTGAGGGGAAGAGGAAGAGGAGGGGGTTTCTTTTTTTCATACCGTAAATACACATCGTTTGGGGATACGGCGTTGCGACTGGGCGTTTTGGGATGTGCTGTTTTATCTGTCAAGCAACATTGTACGATGGAAGATGTGAGGGAGGTCCTCGACCCATAGATGGTTCGGCGCCTGGCCCTGCGTGTATCAAAAGAATACTGTACAAAAAAGTCAAGTCACAACTCTGTATAATTGAAGTTGAAGTTATGCCTCGGACACAAATTAGGCCTCGGACACACCAGTTGCATGTTCAGCCATCACACATGGCTTGACAGCAGTCTTGGAATTGACTTTATTTATATTGTTTTACAGGCTGTCAACGCCCTCTATAATCTAGGTTTTGCAATGTTCGCTCATTTGACTATCAGTACAGAACTCTCTCCCGCATCTTCTTCCTCACCCTCACCCCTCGCCATTTACTGCTTGTACTGGCTAGGAACGACCATCAGCTCGGGCTTGACCAGAGTGTCAAACTCCTCCGAGGTCAGGGCCTTGAGCTCCATGGCGCTCTCCTTGAGGGTGAGGCCCTTCTTGTGGGCGTTCTTGGCCACCTTGCTGGCCATGTCGTAGCCAATCTTGGGGTTGAGGCAGGTGACCAGCATGAGGCTGCGACGTCATCGTTAGCATATACCACCCTTGTCACTTTTAAGTCATTTTAAAAATACGTACGATTCCTTCATGATGCTGGCAATCTTCTCCTCGTTGGCCTGCAGGCCGGCGACCAGGTTCTTCTCGAACGAGCGCATGCCGTCGGCGAGAATGCGGGAGCTGTGCAGCAGGTTGCGGATGACCAGGGGCTTGTAGACGTTGAGCTCGAACTGGCCGTTCATGCCACCGATGGTGGTGGCGACGTTGTTGCCCATGACCTGGGCGCAGACCATGGTCAGCGCCTCGCACTGGGTCGGGTTGACCTTGCCAGGCATGATGCTGCTGCCGGGCTCGTTCTCGGGGAGGACGAGCTCGCCGAGGCCGCAGCGTGGCCCGCTACCGAGGTAGCGGATGTCCTGGGCGATCTTGGTTAGCGACCCGGCGAGCGTGTTGAGGCTGCCGTGGGCCTGGACGATGGCGTCGTGCGCGGCGAGGGCCTCGAACTTGTTGGGCGCCGTCTTGAACTCGGTGCCCGTCATCTTGGTCACCTCCTCGGCGATGGCCTCGGCGAAGCCCTGGAAGGTGTTGATGCCGGTGCCGACGGCGGTTCCGCCCTGCGCGAGCAGGCGCAGGTCCGCCAGCGAGCCCTCGACGCGCTTGATGCCGAAGTCGAGCTGGGCGACGTAGCCGGAGAACTCCTGCGCGAGGGTGAGCGGCGTGGCGTCCTGCAGGTGGGTGCGGCCAATCTTGATAATCTTCTTGGCCTCGAAGACGTCGACCTTGGCCTGGAGGGCGGCACGCAGGCTGCGCAGGGCCGGGAGCAGCTCGCCCTCGAGGTCGAGGACGGCGGCAATGTGCATGACGGTCGGGAAGGTGTCGTTGGAGGAGGCGCTGCGGTTGACGTGGTCGTTGGGGTGGACGGGCGACTTGCTGCCCATGGTGCCGCCGAGGATCTCGATGGCGCGGTTCGAGATGACCTCGTTGGCGTTCATGTTGGACTGCGTGCCGGAGCCGGTCTGCCAGACGACGAGGGGGAAGTGGTCCATGAGCTTGCCATCGGCGACCTCCTTGGCGGCCTGCTGGATGGCCTGACCAATCTTGGGATCTGCATCGCGGGGTCTACATGTTAGTAGTGGTCTATAGAGGGCAGTCCCAAGGCGTCGAAGCCGGTGCATCCATCTGCGCCTTTTTCGGGCGTGGACGGAGCTTGCGCCGGTGGCCTCCGGAGGGGCCCGATGAGCCGGAGAGGGGAGAGGGAAGAGGTTGGGAGCTGGAGAGCAACGCACCAAGGCCATATCGCATGTTGACGGTGGCCGCAGCACCCTTGAGGATGCCAAAGGCCTTGATGATCGGGGGCGGCATGCGGTCCTGGGGCTGGTTGATGCGGAAGTTCTCGAGGGAGCGCTCCGTCTGGGCGCCCCAGTACTTGTCGCCGGGGACCTGGATCTCGCCAAAGGCGTCGCTCTCGGTGCGGGTGGAAGACATTCTGGCGGTGGTGGTACGGAATCCTCGTTGTTGCAGGAAGGAAGAGGGGAGATGCTGTCGAGAAGCGGCGAGATGCGGGGTGAAGACGGAGGCGGCCTTGAATGTGGGCGTGGCTGCTGCGGCTGTTGCGACACTGGAGGAGCAGGTCGAAACCAGTCCGGTGGCAGCCAGTCTGCGGCTAGTCGCGCGGAGCATGTTGCTGGTTGCGGTTTGGCTTGTGAAGGGGAAGAATGAAGGGGGAAAGGATGCGGAACGCTTCAATGGCAATCGACGACGACGGTACGGCCGCTTTCTGACGGAATGTACGGGTGATGCGACTTTTTTCTTCTCTATTACTTTTTTTTTTGTTGAAGGGGCTAATCTGACGGGACCCCGAAGATAATTCGGGTGGCTCAGGCACGGTAAGACCCACAGCGGCTTCAAGTGTTGGGGGTCAATTCAAAGTTACGAATGAAAACAAATATGACGACTTGGGGAGAGAATTGGGAATCGAGCCTCTATCTGACGTAAGAAAAATCTATATTTTATCAACGTTGATCTCCAGCAATTAGCCTCAATCGTATCAACTAGCTAATTTTCCGAGTTGGCTCTGCAAGTCATGTGGCTGGTAACTGGTCTCTAGTGGCTGATGTACTGTGGCTCGTAAACTGTGGCTCCTCAACTGTGGCGCCCTGCCCGGTCGGAGCAGAGTTGTACATAACATCAAGTTACATATTAACTCACTTCACAAGGCTAAAAATAATGCAGCCCCTGCTGCCGTGTCATCTGAATAAGAATTACGCAGGTACCCGTCGCAGTACACTAATAATACATCATAATCCCTACCCTTGAGTTCCGATTCTTCAAACTCTTCTTATTTCAGCATGCTGGTCTCTGACATCCAGGTGTTTTGAATGGTGTCTTTGTTACGGATACGAACAAAAATAGGGGCTTCATTTGTATCAGTTGCTGGGCCGGTATTCGCACCTTGGAAGCCATCGTCCGTTGGACTTTTACCGCAAATTGATGCCAAGCTGCGAGCATGTCTCTAGGACTCGCCTTTGCAAAAGCAAAACGGCAAAGGTCGGGACGAAAAAGCAAGGAGCCCAGCAAGGAGCCCTCTCGGTGACTTTTCGCAAAGTCCTGGTTATTGTTGCTTTTCTCGGCCGGCAATAACCAGTGAACGAGTTGCCAAGCCGTCACATATTAGAGAAGAGACATCTGTTGGTGATCACTCCCTGTAAAGTACCAGGTAACCGAAAGAAACTGCGTCCACTCATGTGATGAACCGTCCATCTCCCTAATTCTTGTCACATGCAGTGTGTTGGGCCAGGGTGCATCGCCGTCACAATTGACGGGACGGCGCCACGTCCGGGTGCCGTGGCTTGATCCCGGGGCAGAAGCAACCAGGTAATTATTTGCTTCTCTCGCACTGCAGATCGTTTTGACCCCTCTCAAGGTGGCATCCCCCGACAGAGTGCGTGCTTGCAAAGCGGACGAGCCTCGGAAACAAAAGCCACGACGGAGTTTCGTTGTGATAGGAGCACCTCTCTAAGTCCTGTCTAACAACTGCTCAGCGAGCTGTTGTGGCTCAAAACATGATCGGCAAATATAGTTGGTTCGTTCAGCAGATACCCGAGCCGCTGACTAGCCGTTGCCAGGTAACGTCTTATGACCACAGTGTCTCGGATAGGCAAGACAGCGCGCAGTATCCGTAAGGAGTAGCCTGTAGGGAGAACAATACGTACCTAGGTCACGATGTCCGTGGTGGTGCAATAGTAACTAATTAATTATTCGAAAGGAATCTATTTTTGTGCCGGCCGCGAAACTCATGAAAGCCGTCATCCCGGTTACCATCCATGAAAGTGGCGGACAAGTGGCCAAGGGACATGGCGGCGAGGGTGATCACAAAAGAAGCAACACCATGTCCGTCCCTTGTAATAAACGGAACTGGAAGAAACCGAGATGTCCGTGAATCGCGGTACTCGTCACGATCGACATTACGAATACAGCGCCCGCAGTTTTCGCACCGGTAGTGACAGCGCTCGCTTGTCTACGACATTTGTCTCCGCCGACCTTGTCGTCCTCCGATCTTTGCCTCAAGGCTGCAACCAAACTGTAGACGGCACTTATGTTTTTACATCTTATCACATTCGCAATCTGCCTAGAGCCCTGCACCCTGCATCACATCCCTACAGCCCCTGCAGCAAGCACCACCAGAAATTACTGGTAACCCAACCTATGTAGGTGGTCTTGCCAGCCTCGTCGTGAACTCCTGCAAGGTCTCAAGCAACTGAACCTGTTCGCTATTTTTGCCGATCGATAGTTATTTAGAGTTAGCATCTTCACAAACCAACCGAGGCTCTTTGTCCAGCCTAATCATTAAACCAGCTTAGCTTCCAGTTATTAGTGGCGGAACGGGCAGCTCCCGTCCGCCAGCAGCGCCTCCAAAAGTGACAACATGTTTAGGGTGATAACGGCGATAGCTCGTCCTTGCATGCCCAACGTGCGCCAATCTCGCGCTGGCCTTTCTTTGGCAGGATGCGGGATGCACGACATATGCCGCCTCCTGCGAGGGGGAGAGGCGACCGGTTTATCATTTATCAATTGTGGGAGGACGGCGCCGGCTAAGCGACGCGAACCAGTCGGATCATGTCAAGTTTCCACCGCTTTTTTAATCCTTTCTTTTTTGGCAAGTTTCTCAGTGACTGGCTTGGCCTGAAAGGTGTTCCCATAACAGTGCACAGTGCCCACTGGCGTGACTTTGCTTGTGCAGATCGTTTCATGCAGTGGTCCCCCCTCAGCTCAGGCTCTGGGGTCCGTGTTCCGTGACTTGTCGGAACCGGCCTGAACAAAAACCTTCATCAAAGCCAAGCGGCCTAACTCGATAGAACTTAGTTGTTGGGCTACCCCCCAGACTTGCAATGGCAGCTAAAAAATGTCAAGCCGGTCGGCCTGTGCAAAAGCTTGCTTGACAGGCCCAACGAAAGAAGCAAGCATATCCAGCAGATGATGGATGTTGTTTGGGTGCAAGTTCCCCAAACAAGGACAAATAGAGCCCAAGCTAGCCCACAGGACGGCGTCGTCAGCTTTGGTCTAACTGACAAAAGGGAGGGGGGCATTGTGTGGTATGCAGCCTGTGCTTCTGTGTTTCCCTCCTTGTAAGTCATCCCCCCCTCCACCTCTAGACGCTGGTGATTTCTCCAAGGAACAAAGCCAAGAGGCTTGTTTCTCTCGCGCCCAACTTGTAATCCGTAGAGCCTGGGCCATGGATTCTCTCGATTTGGCGGCACTGTCCCTGCTCGACCCAATCACCCCGACATTTGCTTCTGGCAAATGCGCCTACTAGAGAAAAAAGGCCAAGAGGGCCCTGTCGACTCTCAGACATTTTCCCTTTAAGTGTGGGAACAAAAAAAAGACTGTTTGACCAATTGCAAAGGGACAAAGGCTGAGAAAAAGAAATTAGTCGCTCTTGTCTTGGATGTTGCCTGCATCCCCCTGGCGGCCCAACCGAGATGTCATGTACATCCTCCGCCACAAAACTTGGTGTATATAACAACAAGGCTGCCATCCCTACCAAGTCTCTTTCGACCAAGATCGGGACATATTTCCGTATAATACGCGGGCGAAAACAGCGCATATTCCCCCAGTGCATCTGCGCTCGAGCCATGGGACCCCTCAGGATAACGATACACTCGCCGCCCAGGACGCCGGACACGATGGCGACGGGCGACGCGGTTATTCACACCGACGAGTACGCAAAGGAGGTTCTGGGCCTGGATGCCGGCCTGACCGAGGACGCCATCGACGCCGACCTGGTCGCCAAGGCCGCCGCACTGGGAATCACCACCTCTACGCTGCAAAAGCGCACCGCGTCGAGCGCATTCTCCTCGTCCTTTCCGTCCGGCTCTAGCTTGGACCGGAAAATTTCCCCGGCAGCAGTTCCCAGATCGCTGCCCGCCACGCCGCCGTCCTCCGTGTTCGCGACGTCCAGCACGGATCTGGCGTGCGGTGGCGACGGCGCCGCCGCTGCCGGCTTCGCGCTCTACGACCAGTTCATCGCCGCCGCCGTGTCCGCGCCCGCGCTGGAGCAGGTGCGCCTCCGCAACGGCTCGCTGCCCGTCGTCGCCGACTCGTCCGCGCGCAGCACGATGAGCGTCGGCACCCGCAAGAGCTTCTCCAGCGTCAAGTCGGGCTTCAAGCCGCGCTCCTGGTGGCGGAGGAAGACGGACCCTGCTCTGTGAGTTTTTTTTTTTTTTTACTGCGCCGGCTGCCTGCGGCGCGTGGTCGGCCAGGCGTGCTCTGACGAGGCGCGCATGCCGCCGCGCTGCTGCGCGCAGGCCTTGCCGAGCCGGGTGCTCCGGGATGCACTGGACGGCGACGCCCAGCGCACGCTCTTCGCGGCCGTCGCGCACTTCGGCACGCCCAGGCGCGCCCGCGTGTACTGCCCGGACGCCGACTGCGGCGCCTTCATCCAGCAGCCGGGTAGCGCTGACCGCAAGCACCCGCTCGACATCACATGCCAGCGGTGCCAGGCGCGCGCGTGCCGCACGTGCAGGGGCACCGCGCACGGCGTCGGCGCGGACTGCCCAGAGGACTGGGAGCTAGAGGCGGTCAAGAAGATTGCCGGACGGAGCAGCGCGACGCGCTGGAGGCGCTGCCACGGTTGCCGCAGCCTGGTGAGTCTTTCCGCAGCGGCGGCGGCGGGCCAGCGCGGCGCGCGGATGGTGTGTCGCTGCAAGGAGGAGCTGTGCGCGCTGTGCGGCGGCGTCTGGGACGCGACGACTGGATGCCCGAACCTGTGCGGCGACGAGGAGGCCGAGCCCGAGCCCGAGCGCCGCCGGGGATCTAGGCTCCCCAGTCACGCGTCGTCATCCTCCGACAACAAACACCGCCAGGACGAGACCCCGGCCACCGCCGCGGATAAGCGACCGCAGCTACGCGACCCCGCGGTGCAAGACCTCGCCGCCCGCCAAGCCCTCGAACTACACCGCTTCTGCACCTTCTCCGCGCGCACCCGCTCCGCCCTCCAATCTCGGCACGCCTCCGACCGTCTCGCCCTCGTCCAGCGCCACATGGACTCCGAGGACGCCCTCTCGGCGCGGCACGCCTCCGCCACCGCCGCGCTCGAGGACCGGCAGATCGCCGCGGAGATGGAGCTGCGGGCCGCGCTGGAGCAGGCCGCGCGCAGCGTGAACCTGCGGCTGAAGCACATGGAGGCGTACTGCCGGCCGGCGACGAGCGACTCGCGGGTGGTCACGGAGGGCAACCTGCGGGAGCTCGGGCAGCAGTACGCGCTGCGCGACGGGATGGAGCGCCAGCACCAGGCCAAGGTCAACGTGATGCGGGAGAGGCAGGCGCGTCGCATGGCCGAGCTGCTGGACGCGCAGGAGCAGGAGGCCGAGGCGGCGGCGGCGAGGCAGCGAGGGGAGGCGAAAGAGGGGGAGGAGCGGCGAGGGGAGGGGAGGCGCAAGGCGGAGGATGAGCTGCGGGCGAGGCAGGTCCGCCTGGACGCGCGGTGGAGGCTTGAGGCGGAGGTGCTCCGGAGGGAGCGCGCGGCGGCTGACGGCGTGGAGTACGCGGAGGTGGTGACGCCGGAGTGGCCGCGGGAGCAGCTGCTGGACGGGGAGCAGGAGACGATGTGAGTGTTTCCGTTCAATTCTTCCTTCCCTTTTTGTTTTTTTCATACGGTTTTTCTTGTCTTTGCCTTTTCGCTTTTATATCCCACAAAGCCAACGGCGTCAACCTGTTTTCTGTGTTTCAAGGTTCTCACTACTATCATTCCCTGCTCATCATTTCATCATTTCATTTCATGTGTACACTTTCTTCTCTTTCTGTTTTAATCTTCTCTTCATTCTATACTATTTATACAGCAGGCTGGAGCGGCACCAGGTCCAATTTTGCTGCAGGGCAGTAGTACGAAAACGGCATTTATTTATACCATAGCAAACAAAGATCCTTTTCTTTCGGCAATTGCTAGATACGTCCTAGACATCAATCATGTTCACAGCCGACCGTGGATGGTTCAGGTCCTGTTACCACTCTGCTGGGTCGGGGGCGCGTCCCAACTTGGTACTGAACAGTGAACAGCCACAAGCCAAGGGTTCTCCGGTGTGACGAATGCAACGCTGTTCAGGGGCATTTCTGTCCTAACCTCCAACGTCACTGTCGACGTCGATCCTCTGCCCCCGAGTTGTTCGTAAACACACAGCCAGGGCTAACCCGCCCCCTGAGCACCGGCCATACTAACTGCTAGCTATCTTCCCAGCCAGTCCCGAGATCGACAAGTGGTGGCGTCTCTGCAGCGGAGGCTTCGCGATGCTGATTTGCTCCCATTTTTGCGGACATTTGCACTACGCTGAAGAAATGTCAAATCACAATGCCGCGTAGCCAAGGTGGCTGGCGGAGTGGAAATGATGACAATGAGAGAAGAGAAGACGAGAAATCGCTCCTGCGCTACGACAATTGGCTTTGGTGCATGTAGCCCTGATTTAGCACATGTATTGCTTATTGGTGAAAAGTTTGTCAACAACGAGCAGGCTAAAAGTTAGCTACCAGGGAACCCCTGACTTGTTGCTTGGTGTACATAAGTTTGGTGGAAGGGCTTTTTAGCTTTGGTTCTTAAAATTTCTCCACTTCTTTTCAGCTGTTTATGCAGCCTCGAGTTGGGGAAAACGAAGTATCTTATAGTATCGCTGATCTTCGCAAACACGTCGACTGTGTGCTGGTGGGTTGGGAAACTTCGTGAAATAAAAGAAATGGCCGGGACTGAAGTTGGAGTTGTTAATTTGGCGCATGCAAGGGAGGAGATTGGGGCGGAAGCGGGCCCGAAGAAGAGTCCTTGTGCAGTGACCCTCACCAATACCAACCTGGTGTTTTTTTTCTCTCGAGGACTCTTATTATCAACGGGTGTTGGCAAGATGGCGCAGTCGCAGGTAGCGCTGTGCAACCATGAGCCGTTCGTACCACTATCAGTAGTTACAAGGCAAAAAGAGGAAATGAAGCAGAGCCAAATGGTAATAGCACAGTGCAAAATAGATATGGATACCAGCGTTGTATTTACTGTGCGCCGTTTGCTCAGCAACTTGGGTTCGCTGCCGGCTGCCACCTGCCAGAGGTAATAGGATGCCAAACGCCAACAATCAGCACCCTCTTTTTGCCTTTACCATGCCTCAAAGGAAATCATCGCCTTTACCAGCACAGACTCATCACATTCGCCCCTCATTTCGCGCGACTAAAAGAACAAAAAACACGCCATGTTGAGACCGCCCGCCATCACCCGCCATCAATCGCATAAATGATGGCGCATTTGTCACAATGCAACAACGTCTGGGCGCAGCCACCAAGCAGCAATGTGAAGAGGCAGATAACGCAAGTAATATATGCGGGAAGCAGGAAGCTGCGTGCCGGCGAAGCAGCAAGACACTCCGACAACCCGTCCGAGACATGGCCCATGGCCCAGCCCCGGAGTTGACGTACCAGTATGGTCTACGTCAACCAGCCTCGACTTGTGATCCTGGCACCTCTGGAGTGGTTGAGTGGTAGTGCTCACTAATAGTATCCACGCTCCCGCATTGTTTGCGCTGAGACCTGAGCCGACCAACAAAAGAGATGCTGCTCACTGTCAGTGCTGATACTATCACGCTGCACGCAGCTATCCGTGCTTGCTGCCCAAACTTCGGAACCCGGGAGATCGTGTCTAATATCGGACGGGTTATAATGGCATGGTAGGAAAGGCGCTATCCATTCATATTTCCCTCCCGCTCACACCTTTTTGCCCTCTCTTGCTAACACGGCCCCTTTCAAAGTCCACAGCAAACAGAAACAGGTGGTACGAAATCAGCGACCCGGATTACGATGCCGCCACAGCGCGCCCGCACCAACGGCCTGTTAGCGTCCGAACTAACTACAGACTCGTCTCCGGCCCCATATGAAGCTTCCAATCCAAGTTCTCTTCCGCTCCTCTGCAGCTGCCACATTCGGATGGAGAGAAGAAAAATGCAATTTCTCGTTAGTGGCCGGTCGGCGTTTCACGCCCTCATTCGTGTTCCCCTAATAACACGCTACTCCAGCTTTCACTGCTGGGGCAGGCTTCAAGATTACCCACGAACCACAAAACAAGACCGACGGGAAGGGGGCCAAGGGCTCGCTCATTAGCGGTAGCCGCAAAGTCGGAAATTCAAGCAGGCGAACAGCATCCGTCAGCCTGGCCGATGACCCCGCGGCCCCTCTCCTGAGTTATTGGAGGTATACCAGGATGCAGCTTCATTATTAGGGGCCGCTTTGTGCCCAGCCCTCTCTCGTTAGGCTAGGCTCTGGTGCAGCGTCTACGTTACTTGGTACACAGACATACATGCATGCTGGATGCAAGGTGAGAGTGCTTGTTGTCGAGATCCCGGCTCTGTGGTCCGTCCTCCACCTCTAGAAAAGACGCCCCCTACCTACCAATTGGCGCCGATCCTTGCCTCCCAGCCCTTGCACGCGCCCCCCTGCTTCCTCTTTTCGGGCTCCCGCTGTCGATGTTGTGTTGCCTTGGAAAAATGCGCAAATTGGTCATGGCCCCAGCCGGTGCTGATTTAGCAGAGGTTTGATTTTACCGTCCCTTCTCTTCCTCCATCTCTCTGTTTTTTTAGTATATCTTTGGTAGCCTCTGCCTTTGGCTTTGCTTCTCAGAGGTTGCCTTCGCTGTTGGTCTTTCGTCGGAGCTTCGCCGCTGATCGACGATACGGAGATTTTTCGCCTTGTTTATCGTGTCTCGTCTACATTGTTTCCAGCCTTCACCCTGCAGGGTCCAATCTACGTTATTTGAAACACGATTCACATCGCACCACAGCCAGCCATCAGGCAGTCAACTTGGCTATTGAATTAGCACTTTGGGACGGCCGACAAGTCTCTGGGAATGCTTATCGAGTTTTTCTTTTGCTTGGGACCTCATTAATTTAGCTGCGCCCCTCACCGCACTGCCTTTGAAGAAATCCATAAAGAGTTTGCGCCCAGTCGGTCCAGTGCATCCTCAACGTCCGTGCCACAACCCACGAGATCACAAGCAATTGGACTATCGCTACACCGCTGCGGTAATTCCATAATCTGATTCCGAGTCGCGAACATGGCTAGCGCACCTTCACCCCTCTCCATCATTATCGAGTCCACGTCGTCCTCGACAGAATCATGGGACAGCGACAAGATGCATCCCTCACCGTTAGCTTCGCATCCTTTTCGGATCCCCACGCCGAGCTTTACTGATCTCGATATCCCATCCGACCTGCAATATGCTTCACGGCCCGTATCGGACATGAATGTTGCAGGCACGCGCACAAGCTATCTCGGGGGTGACTTACACGACTCCACTAACCATGGCGAAAATATCCGCCGCCCTCGCAGTCGCAATGATGTCGCCGCTCTGATTGAGTTCCTGCGCACTCACGAGCCGCCGCCCGACAATTTCATGTCGCAGCCCTACAGCGCCGAGGAGGAAGAGCGCGGCAGATGGGGCAAGATCAAGGTCATGGGCAAGAAGCGTAGCAAGTCCATGAGCAGAGCGCCAGCTCCTTTTCGACTGCCCGATTCTGCGGTTGCTGGCCTCACGACTGGCGGCCATCGCCACATCGCCATATCCATTCCTATCAACGCCTCTCACTTTAGCGACGACACCAAGTCCCAGTACCCTATCCTCAATGCTCATGTTGAACCGCCAGTCCCACCCGTGCCCGAGTCGGTTCGCACCTTCAAGAATAAAAACGGCGTCGTTACAGTCCTCAGGCCACTTTCCACGGGCCAACATTACAGCAGTTTGCCGCCCAGCCCGGCCTCGCCTCGCCGCTTCGACAGAGATTATCCCCCGCAGCTGCTCCGAAACCGTCGCATGATGCCTCCGTCCCCTCCGCCTTCGTCTCCTGCCGATTCTGAACACTGGCCTTTGGCTCAGACCGAACCAGATGCATCCTCTTACGCCCATGAACGCACAGGTTCCCACAACTCCAGTGAACTTGTTCGTTCCAACAGTTCTTCACATCAAAATGCCGAGTTTGTTCGTGCCGCTTATCCCACACGCGGTTCGAGCATGGCCGCCTCTCCGCGCATGAAGCATCATCACACATCTTCCATCGACGAAGTGATTGCGGAGGAAGAGCCCTATCCCAGAAACCCCTCACCCATGCCTCGCGATGGTGCGATGCGCCGCAATACCGAGCGACGCACGGGACACCCGCCGGTATCATTGACAACGTCACTAGCTTCGCGAAGGTCGAACTCCAGCTTGCGATGTGAGTGGCAGGCCGACAATGAGACGGTGACCGGGCAACCAAAAGTCGTACAGGTCAAGGAGAGCCCAGTCATCGATCGCGCGCCTTCGCCGCCTGCGAGCGTCCGATCCATCAAAAGCCGTCGTGAGAGGGTGCGCGAGAAGAAGCTCCGTGATATCGCGGCGGCGCGCAACTCGGAAGCAGGCAAAGTGTCATCCCCGACAGGCCCGGAAGGGGCCGAGGAGTCCGTCGCACCAGTCACAGACCAGCCTGTCCCTACCGTCAGCGCCCAACCCGGACCAAAACTGTCGACAATCATGGTAGTAGTCGACATGCACCCGGGCGACGAGGCGGCGAACAAGGAGCCCGCAACCAGGGCCACAACTGACGATGCAGAGTCCGTCATCGAGGTGCCGGCCTCCTCTGCCATCACGCTCCCCACGCCGCCCACGTCAACTGAGACCTCTCCCGCGCAGAAGCACGGGTTTGACACTCGCACGGCGCTGACCCGCCGCCGCGAGTGGCAATCCGCCCGCGAGACGGAGCGCAAGCAGCGGGACGCCGGCGCCGGCGCCAAGACATCGCAGCAGGCCCGGCCGCTCGGCGGCGTGGCCGTCACCGACCCCGAGCGCGAGATACTGCACCTCTACGAGGCGTACCGCGAGCAGCGCCTGCGCGACATGGAGAGCCGCGTGCGGCGCCTCGAGCGCAACGGCGACCTCTGGCTGCGCGCGCTCATGCCCATGCTCGAGGACGTTCGCGGCAGCAGCACCGTCCCGATCACCGCCGCTGCTCTCGACGACGAGGGCATGCGCGACTGGGCCTCGGATGACGAGACCGCCGCCGCGAGCAACAACGCAGGCAGCATCGACCGCCTCGCGCGCGCCTCCCAGCGCCGACGGCTCATCCGCCGCGCCAGCCTCTCCCGCGAGCGCATGCTCGAGGAGCTGATGCGCCGCGAGGAGCGCGACCTGCGCGCGCAGCACCAGCACCCGGACGTGAGCGGCATGAGCGCCATCGAGCCGCTGATGCGCGAGCTTGCTGCGGGTGGCGCCCCTCCGGAGACCGCCCCGAGTCAGACAACGACGGCGCCGCGGGCCAGGGGGGACGTGCCGCTGCCGCTTCGTCCGCGACCGGCGAGCCATCGTGGTGTATGGGTATGAGTGTACGTTTTTGTGTAGAGTGTGTGAAGATAACAGTGCCGTCAGTCTTTTTTGTTTTTTTTTTTGTTTATTAGCGACACATATACCTCCATTTGATACTTTACTTTCACTTTTGCACATCTGTATTTACTGCCCCCTCTTGTGGAGAGACGCAAGACCAAGATATGAGACTAATTAGAAGGGAACTTAATACAAAAACTAAAATTCCTAATTACATCCACTGCATATGAAGCCATGTGCAAGTATCGTCCACTGGTGCGGAACTGTGAACCTTTTATATGCCACGCAGACTTTTAGAATAGTTGTGTATTAGGTAGTTGGTCATTGATAAGGAATACTTGAAGCTAATGCTCTATGAGGTCCTCTTTCTCGGCCTTCCTCCTTTTTGGCCTTTCTTTTCTCTTTTCGAAAACCCCAACTTTAAGAGAAAAAAAAATTTGCTTCATCTCCACCGAATTACAGCTGCACCTCCTGGAAGGAGTCCCCATCCTGTGTCGAGCCTGGCTGCTTGACCTCCTTCTCGTCCCCCTGCTCCTCCTTGTCTTCGCTGCTCTCCTTCCGGGCGTCCGCGTCATACTCGCCCTCTGCCAGGGAGACCTTGCTGGCCTCGGCGGGGCGCAGCGCCAGCTTCTGGCCGTCCTTGTCCTCGAGGCGCATCTTCTGCTCCTCGTCGTGGTCCGGCCGACGGGCCTTGGGTTCCGCCGGCTCGTCCTCGGCGCCACTCGGCTGCTGCTGCTCCTCCGTCTTGCCGTTCGCCGCCGCGTCCTCATGGCCCTCCACCACGCTCTCGTCGTCCGCCTCCGGGGGCGGCGGCGGCGGCTGGTCCTTCTGCACCGGTGGCGGCGTGGATGTGGGCGTCGGGTCGCTCGGCGGGCCCGGCCGCATGGCGTCCAGGTAGAACTTTGTCACGCCCAGGATGCGGCCCGCCTTCTCGCACGCGTCCACCCACTCCGGCCGGACCACGGGTATGTTGTTCTCCACCGCCTTCTCCCACGCGGTGCCGCGGCCCTCCGTCGTCACAAAGTGCGTCGTGTCGATGCGCACGCTGCCATCCGCCACGATCCTTGCCCCGATCCTCGTCACCGCGCGCGCCAGCGCCTCGCGCTGCGCCGCCGGCAACAAACCCGGCGTGACGGTCACGCCGCTCAGGTCCGTCATCTTGTGGGTGCGCACCGCGACGCGCTCGCTGGTGCGCGTGCCCGCGCTCGTCCGCAGCACCAGGTGGAACGCGTACTCCGTGTCGACCGCCAGCCCGCTGATCTTGGTGCTGTGCATCGCCAGCGGCCGCGGGATCTGGCCCGCCTTCTGCCCGTTGCGGTACAGCGTCAGCGAGACCAGGTCGGCGGTCGCGAGCGCCACGGGGTCCCACTCGAGCACCACCGAGGTCTGCGTCGCGTTGCGGCAGCGCAGCACGGGCGTCGAGGGCTCGGCCGCGCCGAAGGAGGCGTAGATGCGCTCCTGCAGCGCGCGGAACTTGGCCTCCTCGGCGGACTCCTTGGTCGTGTTCTGCGAGACGTTGATGTCGACAATGCTGCCGGAGGAGATGTTGGGCGGGAGAAGGATGGAGGGGAACTCGATCTGAGGGGTAGCTTCGTTAGCGATGATCTGTTGCGTGGAAGGGGGAGTGGTGAGGATTGTGGCATGGTTCAAGCTTTCCATGCAGGGCGTAATGTAGATTGATGCTTACAAGGCGCTTATCAGGGGTCAGGAGCACCGTGACGCCGGCGTCGACCTTGCCGACGGTCAGGGACACGAGCATGGCTGCTGGGTGCCTGGCGGTGTTTGCTGCGATGGCACTGCGGCGATTCGTCGCTCAATGGGTCGTCTGCAGGTTCGATCGATGGCGATGCGTCGTAATTGGACGATTGTCTGCGTCGTTGGAAGGGAAGCGCTTGTGTGGTGTTGTGCGTGTTCAGGTGGCTGTGTGACTTGTGATATGGAGAGGTGAGGCTTGCACCTGGCAGCTGGCGGAACTGGGGTGAAGCTCAGGCCGCAACTGGCGCCAGGGGCGAAGGCGAAAGTGCACCACAACCTGCGATTTTTGGATAATTTGGATCTAAAAATAATTCTCAAAAAAGGCAAATTGCCTTTAAGAAGTCACTGGATTTTCTAAAGCCTAATAATCTAGAAAGTGCGAAACTGCTGTTCAAATATCGTCCCTGCTGAATTGCATCACGTGATCCACCGCGAGTGATCTCAGTACGGAATCAGTAGTTCAGCTTCGAAGGTTTCTGCTTCTCTTTTTTTTTTTTTTTTTTTTTTTTTTTTCTTATACATAGGAACGATCTTCTATAGTCTATCGTTGGTGCAGCCTGGCGTCGACTCGCCGTTAACTACTAAACTCGCCGGACACTATCTTAGTGCAATACCGTGTACGGAGTATACCATATGTATTGTGACTGCATCTAGGATCAATCTCGTTGCTATCTAGGATGCTCGTTTCTAACTACCCTACACCCGGTTCACATCTTCATGTACATCAACCTTACAGTTCCTGGTTATCATACGCGTTCCACTCGGACCAGTCCTTGGTCTCGCCGGGCAGCTTGATGGCCCTCCACTCGGCCTCAGTGACGGCATTCCACTCCTCGACCGGGATCCAACCAATGTAGGCGCGGTCGCCGAAGCCGCCAACCCAGTACACCTTGGTGACGACCATGCGGGCCCACTCGCTCGAGTGAATGTTGTTGCCGGGCAGCCACAGCTTGGCGTCCGGGTGCTTCTTGACGTAGCAGTCCTTGATGTGCTCCATCGTGGCGGCGTCGCCCTCGAGCGGCTCCAGGTAGCCAAAGAGGGAGAAGCGCGGCAGGTTGTCGGCCGAGTAGGGTGTCGTGTCGGGGATGCTGGCGTCCACCGGGTTGGGGGTGGGCTGCTCGCCCCTGCGGCCGAACCACGAGAGGAAGGTGGACATGGAGCGCTTGACGACGCCGATGCGCTTGGCGGGCGGGTACGGGGGCTCCCAGCGCATCGAGATGGTCAGGTTGGAGCCGGCGGCGACGTTGCGGAAGGTGGTGCCGATCTTGATTTCCAGGATGGTCGGCTCCCCCTTGGACTCGCAGTCGGCGACGTAGTCCGCCATGCCGACGGGCTGACCCTCCACGCCGTTGTTGGCCGAGGCGGCGCGGCGGGAGGCGGCCGACTTGGACTTGGTGGGGAAGACGGTGACCATGTCGGCGATTTTGCCCAGGGCCAGAATGCGACGGCCCATGACGGCCGACTCCTGGCTGGTCGGGATGCGGTGCCCGGCAGGGGCGGCGTTGTCCATGGCCTGCTGGTCCGCTGCCAGGGCAGCAGCCGCGGTGCCAAAGATGGCGAGGGTTGAGGAGAGCTTCATGGTTGTTGGTTGATGGGGGATGAAGGGGAAGGGCAAACGCTTAGTCCGCGGTTAATGTGAAACGACCGAGGCTGGCAGTCAGTGTGATGTATGTCTCAGATGACAGGATCAAGGGTGCAGCTCGCCGGCTTTAAATACTATTGTATAAGGAGAAAAAAAAAAGCCGCAAAACAATAAATGCCAAGTTGTGGCGTGACAATTTCTGCAAAGAGAGGGGGAAAAGATGTCGGCGGTTACGGGGAGGGTCGGTTCGGCTTTAATGTGACCCCAGAACTTGAGGGCAGGTGATTGACTTCTGGGTGGAGCCTGCCCAAGTTGACTGATTGATTAGATTAGATGGGCCAGTGCAAACGCCACCCTACACTGCGTAAGACAAGGCGACTCGCTGCTAATCCGCATCGTCTATTGGATATTTTTACTATCGTGACAGATAGATTGAGGGAATTAAGCAGCTATCGCCTGTTTGAAGCGTCGTCAGGTGGGATTTTTAGTCAACACGTTGTCCTTGCATATGTAAACTCCTGCAGCACATCTCATGACGCAGCGAACTTGATCGAACCTTCCACCTGGGCACAAGGGGCCTGCCAATTATTGCACTTTGATTAGGAAGAAAGAGGAGCTCCAGTAGCTGAGGCAGTAGCATTAGTACAGTGGTTTGATCATGTACATTTGTATAGGCAAGCTTTAGCTAAGTCAAATCCACAAAGCAATCATCATGTCGTCCTGCGCTCGCTCCGACAAAAATTACCTCATCGTCCACATCCTCCATAATCACGTCCTCCATAGCTGGCGAAGGTCTTGCATCGCTGAAAACCAAACTCTCCGCACCAGAAAGATCGGAGTCGTCATCAATCATTATGACATCTTCCTCCTCCTCCACGGATTGTGGCCGACCTCTACCAATATTATCTTCCGCCAGTAGCCACTCCTGTAGATGACTGTACAGCACGCGCACGGTGTTCGGCGGGAAAGCGTTGCCAATTTGACGCCGAATGCGTGTCATCGTACCCACAAACCGGTGTTGCCTTGGAAAGCCCTGTAGGGCCGCCAGCTCGCGCAGAGTAAAGTCGCGCTGCCCGCTCGGGTGGTACGCGTTCGCTCCGCCGGTCGTCACAGTACGGCCGAGCGTGTTGGCGTCCCAGGCAGGCCGGCACGGGTGGAAGGACTGCACGCGGCCAAGGTCGTGCAGGTCGTCGCCGGGACGCACCCGGGCGAGAGCGCTCGCTACCGTGTTGAATCGTCGCGTGCCGTTGCCGCCATGCACCGAGTGCGTGGGCGTCGGGAATGGCGGCAGACGCTCTCCCGGCGCTGCCGCAATCAGTATCAGCCGCTTCCGATCCTGCGGCGAGCCCCAGATGCATAGTCGAATTATGCTCCATCGCACTGAGTAGCCCAGGTCCGTAAAGTCACGAATGAGAGACCAAAAGTGCTGAACATGCTTGGCATGCGTGATGCCAAAGGTCTGCTCGAGAGTGACAAGGCGCGGCCGTGTCTTCGTAATTAATGCACGGCAAGTGTATAGCGTCTCGGTATTCGCAGCGTCGTCCGGTCCGGCATGTGTATGGGCGGGTGACCACACCTGGCAAGGCGGCGACAAATGAAGAACGTCAACGGGCTGGTGCGGCTTCTTTTCGACGTACTTTTTAGTGTCGCATTTGAATAGTCGCGCGAATGGGAAATTCTGGCTGTACGTCTCCCACACCTCTGGCTCCTTGTCGATGGCGTAGCGAATCTTGAAGCCGGCGTCCTGAGCGCCACGGGACACGCCGCCCGCGCCGGAGAAGGAGTCGAAGAGCGTGTAGGCTTGGTCGGGGCGGCGGACGATGGGCGTGTCGAGCGACCGCGGAGCATCGGGGTCTGCGTTCTACGCACCTCCGCGCTTCCGGCGGCCGCGCCACGCTTCAGAAACGTGCTCGTCAGGCACACGGTATTCGGCGTGCAGGATATCGCTGCTGCACAGGTGCTCGATGAGCTCCTCCTCGGCCTTGTTCCTGTCCCTAGCATTGATTGAGTATTGTATGGTGATGCTCCATCGGCACACGACGGGCCCGCATCTTTCGGCTGCTTTTGTTTGCTTCTCGAGGGAAAGTGAGGGGCGAGCGTATCGGCGCGCGTCGACGGCGTGCGCGGGATACTGGGCATTGGTGACGATTAGCTTGCGCCATCGAACAACGCAGTCGGGCTCCACGTCAACTAGAACGGGAGGTTCGGGCTCCTGACCCGGGTGCTTGAGCACATGGAGAACTACACAAATCTCGTTCACTCTGCTTCTGATTTTTTCGTTCAAGTGGCGGAGCTTGGTGTATGGTATGCCTCGAATGTAGATTCTCTTGTTTCGGTCGCGGATGATTGCCTTGACTTGCAAAAAGTTGATTTTGAGCTCGCCGAGAAATGTGTCGCGGACCTGGATGCAGTTTTCCCGCTTAATCGTCGTTCCACAAGGCGCCGTCACGGAATCCATCTCCGTCTCATCGGGCCGATGGTGCTGCGCGAGCCTCTCTGAATCGTCCTTGGTCAGGTCGATGACCTCGCCGGCGAAGAGCACGTTAGGCTCTGCATCCTCTTCCACGATCTCGCAGAAGTCATCGTCGTCAGCTAGGTCTGGTAGCAGCGTTGATGTAGAAGCGACGCTGGCTGATCGTCGGCGTCGGTGCCGGTGTCGGGAGCGGACGAAGACGTCGTCGTCGTTATCGAACTCAAGCCAGGAGAAGTCCATGCTCAAATTTTGAAGAGGAATCGCAGGGCAATGAACGCAAAGAAGAAAAGGGGGAGGAGAGCGAATTCGAGGTGCTAGAGCACAGGGGGATTTCCAACAACATGAAGCAAGCGCAATTGCAGACCATACGTCGACGAAGAAAAAGCAACAACAACAACCACCTTGGAGATATTAATCCCGAGAGTTTTGAGTAGGTGTAATTAGGGAAGAAAAAAGGAAAAAGAGGAATCTCTTGAGAACATAGTAAATCAGGAAGTGGATGGTGTGTGCTGGGTGCTGGATGCTATGCTAACCTTGGAGAGCATTCACTGCACAGGCCCACAGTAGGTGAGAAGAAACTGAGCCGAAGAATGCGACGCCTTGAAAGCTTCTCCTCGATGAAACATGCGGGTATACTCGATAAATTCCCTGTGCTTATATGCGAGAGAAGTAGTTGGGTGCACGTTGCCGAGTGCCAACTCGTCTGAAGCGGAGGTCCGGTGCCGAGCGTTTGCAGCGTGCCGTTGAATGCCGAGTCCTTGTGACCAAAACAACTCCATCACACCATAGAATTCTTCACACAACCATTTACCTTTCTTTTCCTTTTTTCTGAGCCGACTTGCTAACAAATCTGCACAGCCTCCTGTATCGCCTCGTCGACGTGGTGTCTTCGTATCCCCGGCGCCGGCCCCAGGCAGATGCCCCGACTCGACAGGCCGGCAACCAGCCGATCCACGTCAATCGTGATCTTGCCCTGCGTCGGCGGCGTCGGCGACTGCTGCTGCTGCTGCTGCCCCATCGCGTCCCAGCTGCCCGCCGGCGGTGACGCCGTCGACACCACGCGCACGCCGCCGGGGATGTCCTGCCTGTCGTCGAGCTTCTTCCCGAAGATGGTCCAGTCCGGCAGCTCCGGCTCCCACTCCGGCGTCAGCGGGCCCTCCGAGGTGTCTTCGGCGTCGTCGCTGCCGAGGTGTAGCGTGGCGAGGCCCTGCGGGGCGCCGACGTCGCGCACGTGGATGCCGCGCTGGACCAGGTACTCCTCGACGTCGGCGGCCTCGAGCCACTCGCCGGCGAGCTCCGGCACGTCCGCGGCATCGAGCCAGGTGCGGGTGAGGCCGTACTTGAGGCGCTGCAGATGGGGCGGCGCGAGGCGGAGGACCGTCTCGGCAGCGCCCTCGACCTTGCGGTGCAGCTGCGGGAAGAAGCGCCCGAGGTCGACGTCGTCGGCACCGAGCAGCAACGCGTCTGCCGGTTGCCCCTGCTCGATGAAGCTTCCTCCCATCCCGGGAGCGGGCACGGCGGACCGGGTCAGTTGCTCCGCGAGGACCTTGCGCGCGCAGGTCGTCTTGGAGCAGTCGAGCAGGTTGCACCCGAGCGTGTCCTGGACCTGCACGCCGCTGCTGTGCAGCAGGCTGGAGATGTCGAGCGACGCCCTGGACACGGCGACGGCGACGGCGGGTGGCACGTTGTTGGATAGAAGAGAGCGCTGCAGGCCTCGAAAGGCGGACAGGGTGCCGCGCAGGGCGGTCTCGAGCGCGGCGGCCTTTTGCTCGGCGGCTGCGAGGGCGTCGTGCTTCTTGGAGCGGTAGCGGCGCTGGGCGAGGCGCATGCGCGTCCGACGGGACTGGTAGGTGGGTGTGTAAGTAGGGATAATTTTTGAAGGACGGACGATGAGGAATCTATCTCACCGTTTCTTCATCTTGTTCCTTAATGTCGGCAGGCGGCTCTTCCATCCGCGGCCGGCCGGGACGGGGCCTTTGTGTTTGCATGTGTGCGGGTGGTGTTTTGTGTGTGCTTGTCGGCTAATGTTATGAAGGATTGTTTTACGTGGCGAGCCTTGCCGTTGTTAGGGAGGAACTAGGTTGTACATGATTTATTTGCTTGTGTTATGAGATGGGAGAAAAGAACAAACGCATCGTGTTGAGAAGCTTCGCCTGCTCAGACAAATCGGACCCCGCTTTCCGGTTTGGGCAGTATCCAGCCAATAGGGTGTTACGCTGGGCTGCCACGGGGCTCCGCAATTTGTCTATGCTGGCTAGCAATACGTTGGGATATAGAATGAGTTGACGATGATGATGGAGTGCAAAGAAGAGAGCCAGAAGGACTAGATATTTAGAGATGGATTCTTTTTCGGATTTTTTTGGATTTTTTTGGTGAGATTTGCGAAGCACGAAATGACCTCAATATCGGGTCTATTGCCAGCTCACCTCGGCGGTGATGCCTTGTTCATGACTTTTAAACATAAACTTTGTGTTCCTTTGAATGATCGGCCATGGCGTTCTTATGACCGTGGCCGTTCTAGCACAAAGTGGTTATTTAAATAGACCTGACAGAAACGACTCCCTTTCCTCGGACTGTTGGGATCTGCACGTCACCCAGCGGTGTGGAGGACCACACCGCCTCCAAACGCAGGGACATGAAAAGACGAGATGACGATCAAGGAGTTTCTCAGGTCACGTTGAGTGCAAGAAATAATAACATTAATATATTCACGACCAACAGCCACCTCCTGTCTTCGCCAACTCGCGCACAGGCTCGTTCAGGGGCAGGTTGCGCAGGTCGCCGACCGCAATGTGATGGACATGAGATTGGTGGTGAAGGATATGTATGTACATATGTGATGTGTGATTGATAAAACATGGTTATAAAAATCAGGTGTGGGCGAGAGCCGCAGCATTCCATGCCATGCCCAGCACGGGTTTCGGACTTGCTGGTGCTCAAAACCGCTGTTCAAGTCGCGGTGAATGCTAATCGCAGCAACTATCCGCAGGTAGGCAGACGTCTAGATCCGCAACACTCCCCGTCCAGGCCGAGCCGTCGCGCAACCTCGAAACCTGGCATCGCGTTGCTCAACCTTGCCAGTCCGAACATGCAACAGCCACAAGAAGGCGCGGATCGTGGTGAACGGGGACACAGGCAGCCTTTCTTGATGGCGTCATCAGGGCCACCCGCACGACGCCCGCTCAGGCCCTCCCTCCTTTGTCGATGGGCACACAGATCACCAACGTTCTTCTGTGCCAAGTCTTGTACGGATACAAGTGTTCCGTATTGCCTACGGCCTGCGTAAATCCGGTGGCTTTTTTTTTTTTTTTTTTCCCCTTTTGTTCCCCGTCTGCGCACCTGACCGCCTGGCTGTCAGCCACCCACCAATCTCGACAACGGAGACATGTCCGCGTTTTATCTGGCTGAATGACCAAAGCCCTTTTGATGAGCAATCCTGTTTCGTTTGATTTTATTCGTCTGTGCTGCCCGTGGGATGAAACGGGACAACAAGGCTGGGGGCCGTGCATCTCTCGTTTCCTTGTTGGCTGCGCCCAAGGCCCGCTAGTGTCGCACGACGGACGGCTCCCAGCCAGTTGGCATATTCTACATCCGGCAACACTTGAGCATCCCGTCAATGTCCACGGAGCGTTGGTCGTCGTCTGTTTTTTTTTTGGCGTCTTTGTTTCATTTACACCGCTGTGACTTGTGACGCTTTGATTTGTACGGCTGTGCTTTGTTGGGAGCAGGAGTTGCGCACTGATGTCCTCACCCCGGGTCATGTATAAATAGGCCGATGATGTCGCAACCAAGTCCGGACCAACGGTGTCCCACATAACAACCTTGCATCTTGTACAAAATGCGTCTTCTACTGAGCTCACTGTTTGCCGTGGCTGCTGCGGCCTTGGCTGCTCCAAGCCCGCGAGGTTCGTCATCATTCGTCGCCCTCTCATCCCTGACCGCGACCACTAACACGCCTCAACAGCCGACAACCTGTCCACCTCCTCCCCGCCTCGCCATATCGGCGTCGTCCTCTACGACTCCTTCGACCTTCTCGACGTCGCCGGCGTCATCGAGCCTCTGTACCTGCTCTCCTCACAGCGCCCGCTCAACCTCTCCCTCATCGCGCCGCGCCTCTCCCCCGCCTTCATGCGTCCCGCCCCCGGCGAGCTCGCCACCTACCCGCCCACCTCTCGCTTCTCCCTCGGCGTCGTGCCCACGCACACCTTCTCCTCGCCGCCCCCGGACATGGACGTGCTGCTCGTGCCCGGCGGCGGCGGCGAGCGCGTCGGCAACATCACCGACGCCATCGCCTTTGTGCGCGACACGTACCCCAAGGTGAAGCACCTGATCAGCGTGTGCACGGGGGCCGGCGTGGTGGCGCAGGCCGGCGTGCTGGACGGCAGGCGCGCGACGACGAACAAGTGGGCGTGGGAGAACACGACCAAGCACGGGAAGGGCGTGCGGTGGACGTCGCCGGCGCGGTGGGTGGTGGACGGGAACGTGTGGACGGCCTCGGGGGTGACGAGCGGGATTGACATGATCTTTGAGTTCATGGAGACGTTTTACGGCCCGGAGACTACCCAGCTGATCCAGGGCGCGATCGAGCACAAGCGCACGCTGGACCCGTGTGATGATCCCTTTTCGGCGTGGTGGAACGTGACGTCGCAGGGCGACTGTCGACTGACGCCGTCGCTATACGGGAAGCGAATCTAAGGACGACGAGGGGTTGGGAATGAACTCTAACATGCCATAGAATGGATCCCTATGCCCTCAATGGTCTCACTTGACCTCCTGCAACAGCATCTCTAGCTAGAATGTATATAAAGTACGAATACATACTCTCATCTCACTTCGCCTCTACGTCACCGTCTAGATAGCCTCACCTCGCTTCACCTCTCACCACCGTAGATCTAGCTATAGAGCAGCAATGCACGCACACCATGCCCAGATCCTCACTCCACCTCCTGCCACTGCAGCTCCAGCTGGAATATCTGCATCCACTCGTCCCCCCTCGTCGCGTCCGCCATGCCCGTCTGCATGTTGTTAAACATCTGCGCTCCCGTCGCCCCGTGCTCCGTCTCATACCACCCTATGCTGCTATTCCCGTGCCAGTTGCCGTCGTCCGTCCCCGACAGCACCGCCGTGCTGTTCATCCCCTGGTACATCAGGCTCAGCTGCCCCTGCTGCATCGCCTGCATCATCTTCATGTCCTTCATCTCCCGCATGAACTGCATCCGCGGCACCGTCGCCAGCCACACCTGCAGCCGCCGCGCCGCGAACTCCCGAAACTTGGCCACCTCCGCCTCCGACTCGGCGCTGCCTGGGAGGCCCGCCTCGCAGAGGGCTTGCCACAGGCCACGCATCCGCGGGGAGTACATGGAGCAGATCTGCGCGCGCTCGTCGCGCTCGCCTTGCAAGGGAAGGTGAGTGCCCAGAGAGGTGTGCCGCACGAAGAGCAGGTAGCACTCCTCGCAGGACAAGGCCTCGCCGCCGTACCCCCACCACCGGGCGTTGGCCAGCGAGTCGCGCCGCGGGCAGTGCCGCACCGCCGCGAACGTGCGGACGTGCTCGGCCAGGCTTTTAAACACGCCGCGGTCCAGCGTCTCCGCGAACTTATTCGCATACTCGTCGTACCGGGGTGTCGACGGGCAAAAGTTGCAGATGATGGTGTCCTCCGGCCCGGGCGCCTCCTTCGGCCGCAGGAACGCGTCGAGCCCGCGTGGCTTCATGACGCCCTCGTAGCAGGCCTCGCAGAGGTCAAACGCCTCGCTCCCGGCGCCGCCGCCGGTGACGGTCCACCAGTTTCCGCGGATGACGCCGTGCTTGGTGCACGGGACGAGCTTCGCAATGGCCGTCGCCGCGCGGGCGAACTCGGCAAAGTCGTCCCTCTCCTCGGCGGCGTCGAGCGCCGAGGCCATCGGCAGCGCCGTGCCGTCGGCCAGCGAGCACGTCCAGCGCTGCCGCAGGAACACGATGTACTCGTCAAAGTCGACCGGCCCGGGCATCTGCGCGAAGTCATCCGCGAACGGGCCGAGCTCGACCCTGTCCATGAAGCACGGCTCGCAGACCTGCAGGTTTTCCATCTTCTGCCTGGCGGTGAACCAGTTGCCGCTGTCGCCGCGCGCCTTTTCCTGGCCGTCGCACGCGGCCAGCTTGAACCTGCGGGAGGCATTGTCCACGAAGCCTCGCCAGTCGCCTTGCGGCGAATAGTACGCCAGCGCCCGGGGCACGTACCGGATGCTCACGTCGCAGATCCACCGGTCGTCCTTGCCCTGCTCGCGCGGGTACGGCACCAGGCGCGGCTCGAAGGCGGTGCCGGCGACGTGGTCCTGGAAGCAGGCCTCGCAGGCGATGAACCCGTCAATGTCGCTGTCCTTCATCCCGTAGTACTTGACGCCGTCGGCCGCGGTGGTGGCCGCCCGGCCCTTGCAGTTCGGGATGAGGAGCCGGCTGGACAGGAAGGCGGTCAGCTCGGCGAGGTTGTGTGCTTTCAGGGCGGCTGGCCAGAGGACGTGCTGCACGCGCGGGTAGCGGAAGTGGCAGGAGGAGACGGTGTCGGGCTCGGCGAGCTTCCTGGTGAACTTGGCGGCCAGCGGCGAGGACTGGATGTAGTCGGCGTGGCACCGCGTGCAGATGGGCGCGTCTGGTAGATCGGCCAGGTAATGCCAGTAGAGCGGATAGTCAACTAATCGGTCTTTGGGACAGGAGCGAACTACTTCCTGTCCAGGGCCGTCTTCTACCATAGGGGGTAGATCGATGCGCTTCTTCGCTTTCTGGTGGCTTTTGGGCGCTGTCTCGGGCGCGCTTGGAGCGGCGCTTAGATTGAGGTTGGACATTTGTTGCTCAACCGATGCCGAGACGTCAGGTTTTCTCTGCTCTTTCGCTTCATCTCTTATCCCTTGAGTCTCCCGTGGCTCTATTGCTGGTCCGCTGGCGGTTGTGTAATCAGGTCGTGTGTAAGGTTGCTGTTGTTGTGTCTGAGCCTCCTGGTTGGTCGTGGTGAGAGGAGCCGCATATGAGGGCGTTTCTGCAGGTTGCTGATTCGGTTGCACAAGTTGAAAGCCGCCGTCACTCGTTCTCACAAGGTAGCCTTGCGTGTCTTGACGGGCCTCTGTCTGCTGCGGCCGCGCATGCGTGACTTCTGTGGTGGGCGGCACCGCAACAGCTCGGAAGCCTGCTGTGATATCACGCAAGGGCTGCAAAAACGGCTTCAGGCGCTCGTCTTGTCTCCAATCATATTCGTTCGGGGTGCTTGCGTCTAGACGCTGCGAGCCGACAGGTGGGGGATTTGAGATGTTTTGTGAGTGTGTAGGTTGAGTGGAAGCTGGTGGTATGTATGATGGAGGCGGCGGCGGCATGATTGAGCTGTACGAGCTCTCTGTTCGGGATGTACTTGGATCATAGCTAACTGGTGCCGGAATGTCATAGCTGACGGGTGCCTTTTGTGAGGATGAGTGCGTGGCAGAATTCGGTTGCGGCTGAGGGGGCTGATATTGTCGGGGAGGTAGTGGTGGCGGTCCATTGTATGTGGGATATTGCTGCTGCTGCTGCTGCTGTTGCTGCGGATAAGACTAGAATATCCGTGGATTAGCAGATATTTTCCCCTCTTGAAACAAATGAATATCGGTACCGAATATGAAGTAGTGCCGCCTACGGCGTGCTGTGCGGTATAGCCATTCGCATTGTCATGGCTAGGCTCGGCGCCGGGCTCCCTCTGCTTGGCCAGATGCTGCTGAAGCTGCTGTTGCCCTATCGCATAGCCCTTGGCGACTCCCTTTTTTACCGCCTTTGCAAAGAGGTCCATGATGTGATGCTAAATGTCCAATTTCCGTCTGGTTGGCCTCTACTGTGTAAGTCGAAACTCCCGCCATCCCCCGCCAGGGGCAAATCGTGACCTTTTATAAATACACTTCATCATGCAAATACACAACAAGCCCTTCTCTATTCAGCCAGAATGCGAGGGGCTGCTTTTTAGACTTGAAAATAAAGTAAGGCAGCCCTACGCTTTTGCTGAGCGATTCAGCCTAGACCCGCTTGCGCTGAAGACGATGCGATTAGTTGATAGGGTAGATGAGAAGCCATGCGCTGGGGGAGGCGGTCTAGACGGCGTCTTTGTGTAATGCGTGCTTATCGGCTGAGCGCCTCGTGCGGCCTCATCGTTTGTGTGTGGTGGAGGGCAAGACACGTGTGAGGGTTTCAAGATTTGAAGGATCTGGAAGGTCTGCCTCGTCCTGCTTGGTCGGGAACTTGGAATGCTCTGGACTTGTGGGTGGCATTTGGGAGAGGCTGCCTATCAATTCGCCCTGTCCCGTACTAAGGCGTCTAGATATTACCTCAACTTTTTGCGTCTGGAAATTTGCCCGAATTCTGTGCACGCGTGAATTAATGACTGATAAGGGGAGTCGGAGGGGGAGAGAAGTATGTTGCGCAAAGTGGACAGCGCGTCATAAAATACAAGAGAAGAACAAGTCAAGGACTCGTGCAGCGTATGTTGGGCAAAGCAAGAGCCGCATCTTTAAAAAGCGCAACTAGCATGAAAGGCGAGCTTTTCTCCTTTGAAGAAATTCCGATGCGACCATGTGCCTCGCCGCAGCGCGAGATTACGCCTTGTGTCCCTTGTGCCTGTGTTTTACTGCGACTCGCGGCTCCGTGTCACATCATAGGTGAAACCCGACGACGACAATGGGTTGGTGGCTAAAAGATTTGCCATTGTTTATCGGCTTTGCCGTCGGGATTTTTTGCGTCATAGTAAAGCCTCCATGAATGATGGGAGCAACGGTGCTGGCCGGTATATGTGATCCATGCGTGTATGCGCGTATACTACGTCACCCAGAATAGCTCATGATTACCAGTCTCTCAGTGGAAAAAGCAGGGACATGCATCAAGCACTCCTAGCAGTCTTGATCGACCATCTGTACGCCTGGCTTGTCTAGTCACTGGCAACTCCAGAGTCCTACCTCGTCATCGGTCGGACGTGAATGCAGCTGCTTAGACTCCATTCCCTCCAGCTTCCAGTGAAGCTCTCACAGGCTTTGGACTTTGTGGCTCCGTAACGCTCAGGTGCTTTTATTATTAGCCATCCAATCATGAGCGTCCACCCAGCCAGTCCACCCCTTACCCCTGGCCACTGCCTAGGATCTTGAGCAAGGAAGCCGGCCTGCGAGATGTGAAATCCGGGGAGTCTGGTGCGCCTTGATGGGCAAATTCATCCTCGACGAGCTGCAAAAGTAGACAACCAGATTGACTTTGCTGGACCGTGCAGCGCAAGCGAGCGGGCTAAAAAGGGACGGGACTTTTTAGGAGGGCAGGGATACGAGCAGAGCCCACATTCGAATCCGACGAGAATGCTTGCAAGCGGGACCGAACGCGCGTCCTAGGATGTGTCCAGGTGTCAAGTCAAGGTGTGAAGCGGGACATGCATGCTGGCTGGCTAGACAGGGCTGAAACTCCCTGGGAAAGCCTTTGTTGAGGCTGTGTACGGATACATGGTATGATAATAAGGTTTGGGCTACTGGTAACTAACTAGTTGTTTTTGCCAGCGAAGTGCTCGCTAAATTTACGCCTTCAACTGTATCTGTGTGTTTTTTATTGACTTCTAGATTGACTTGCACATGGTTCCGAATTTCTGCAGGTTATTGTAGAATTTGTGGTGATGCTGGGGCAGGCGTTCAGTGGTGGCCTGGCAGAAGCACGCATCCATCTCCATCCCTACTATCCATCAACCATCTACAGGGACCATCAGTGCGGACTTTGACCTGCTCAAGGACTTGAATATCTGCTGGTACTAATTCCAGCTAAATATAACCACTTTCCGACGATCGAGCCCTACCAACGTCCGATCGCCCCTTGATCCCTCTACCGTATCCGTCCTTGCCAACCCGAGCCACGTTCCTGACTAACTGCGCCGGTTACACCTTGTCATTACTGGCATGTCTTGGCGGGGGGCCGCTTGCGAGGTTCTTCGCATTCGTCGGAATCGCCTTACAAAAGGACAGGGGGGGCAGGGCTGGGCATCGGCAATAGAACGGCCAACTATGCAGGGGCCGCACTGCTGCGGAACCCTTGCCGAGAGTCCTATTCGTCGAGGTCGACGTTGTCGCTCTCTGCAGAATCATGGAGTTTTTGTTCAATAATTCCTCGGCGCTTGGCAGAGGGCACATCGACCCCCTGCATGCCCTCGTCTCTCCATCCATACCTGCCATGACATGCCACATACGGCGGGTACCGATGGCATATAAGGAGAGTTGGCCGCCCACGGCCTCGTTGTGCACAATGTTTCGAGGTTCTGTAACGTAGTTGTTGTCCTCTCTACCAGTATACACACATCGACATCCGACACCTCAACTACTCGTGACATATGCTTCACTGAGCCATCATCCCACCATGGCCCCCCGCGCCTCCTACCCTCTGCGGCTCCTCGGCGGCCTCGTTCGCAAGAACACGCTCAACCACATCGTCCGCCACCCCATCAGCTTCCTCCTCACCTTCTACGCCATCCCGCTCGTCCTCCTCCCTCTCCTCCTCAGCATCCCCAAACTCGCCGTCGTCAACCAAGTCTCCGGCGCCGCCGACCCGGCCCCCATCCGCCCGCTCTCCGCCGACACCCTCCCGAGCAAGCTCGTCGTCGTCCGCCCCGCCGACCTCGGCGCCGACGTCCAGCGCGTCATCGACACCTTCACCAAGCCGCTCCGCCCCGACCAGGTCCAAATCGTGCCCACCGACGAGGCGCTCTTCAAAACCTGCTCCCAGCAAGACGCGTGCACCGCGGCGGTCAGCTTCTACGACTCACCAGACACGGCGTCCAAGAACAAGACCTGGCAGTACGCGATCAGATCGGATGCCAAGACGCCGACGCAGGAGGAGTACATTGCGCACCGCGGCGCGGCGGACGACGTCCTCCTGCCGCTGCAGCTGGCGGTCAACAACGCCATCGCCAACACCACCGCCGTCCCCGAGACGTTCATGTTCGCGCGGACCAAGAGCAGCACCGACGCGGCGCGCAAGGACGACGCGGCCACGCTGGTCGGCAGCGTCTTCACCTTTGCCCTCTTCGCGTGCTCCTTCTTCGTCATGATCTACAAGCCGACCTCGTGGATCACGCAGGACCGCGAGGGCGGCATGTCGCGCCTGATGGACACCATGGGCGGCTCCTGGTGCCTGCCGCTGCGCGTCCTCGGCTGGGTGCTGGTCGTCGACCTCGCCTGCCTGCCGCTCTTCGTCGTGTTTGGCGTCATGTACGCGCGCCTGGCGTTCCCGGCCTCGGCGGTGGCGCCGCTGATAGGCTGGCAGGTGCTGCTGGGCCTTGCGGTGAACAGCTCGGCGACGTTTGCGGCCGCCTTCTTCACGAGGGCGCGCGTGTCGTCGATATACGTCGCGGGCGTCTTCGTCATCCTGTCGCTGACGATGCAGCTGATCATGGTGCGCGCCCAGCCGACGCCGCTGCCCGACGTCATCTGGGCGCTGGCGGGGCTGTTCCCGAGCTGCAACCACGCGCTCTTCACCAAGCAGATGGCGTACTGGCAGCTCGCTGGCGTGCCGGCCGACTTCTCGCGGTTCCCGCCCGGCTCCGACTCGCAGGCGGCGATGATGGACCTGGGCGTGGTCACGCAGAACACGCAGCTGCTGCTGCTGGCCGCGCAGGCCGCGGGCTACGCGGTGCTGGCGGTGGCGGCGGAGTGGCTTCTGCACGGCGTCACCGTCCGCGGCCGGACCTTCCGGCCAAGTGCTGCGGACAAGGTGGACGAGCCGTCGGTGCGGGTGGAGGACCTGAAGAAGACGTTCCGGCCGGGGTTCTGGAAATGGCTGTGCTGCTGCGGCCGCCGCGGCTACAAGACGGCCATCAAGAGCGTCACCTTCGAGGCCTACCCGGACCAGATCCTGTGCCTGGCCGGCCCCAACGGCTGCGGCAAGACCACCACCCTCCAGGCCATCGCGGGCTTCAGCCGGCCCAGCGGCGGCCGCATCTCGCTCGCCGCGCGCCGCGAGGAGGTCGGCATCTGCCCGCAGCAAAACACGCTCTGGGGCGACCTCACCGTCCGCGAGCACGTCCGCCTCTGGTCGCAGATCAAGGGCGGCCACGAGACCGAGGCGCAGATTGAGGAACTCATCGACGCGTGCGACCTGTCCCGCAAGCGCGACGCGCGCTCCACGACGCTCAGCGGCGGGCAGAAGCGCAAGCTGCAGCTGGCGTGCATGTTCGTGGGCGGCTCGCGCGTGTGCCTGATCGACGAGTGCACCTCCGGGCTCGATCCGCTGTCGCGGCGCGCCATCTGGGAGCTGCTGCTGCGGTACCGCACGGGCCGGACGATGGTCTTCACGACGCACTTCCTGGACGAGGTGGACGTGCTGGCCGACCGCATCGTGGTGGTCGATGGCGGCGCCGTCCGGTGCCAGGGGAGCCCCGCGGAGCTCAACGCGGAGCACGGCAGCGGGTACCGGGTGGTCGTGCCGGACGTGCCGGGCGGGAGGACGCTGCCGTTTGCGAGCGGCGCGCCGTGGCAGTCGACGACGACGACGCACCAGGGGCAGATCGTGACGACGGTGCCGGACTCGGAGACGGCCGCGCGGCTGGCCCGGGTGTACGCCGAGAACGGCGTGACGGACATTTCCGTGGCCGGGTCGCAGTTCGAGGACGTCTTCCTCAACCTCGTCGGCAAGCCCGACACGCTCGAGAGCATCAACAGTAACAGCAACCTGCTGGCGGATGACAAGGGCTTCGCGCTGTCGCCGGCCCGCAACACCTCGTTCACGAGGCAGATGCGCGTGCTGCTCGGCAAGCGCTTCCTGGTGCTGCCGCGGCTGTGGTGGCCGTACCTGCTGGCGGTGCTGGTGCCCGTGTGCGCGGCGCTGGCCATGGTCATCATCAGCGCGAGCTACGACGTTCCGAAGTGCGCCGACGCCCGGCCGGTGCTCGGGACCGCCGAGGCGGAGACGTTCTTCTTCCCGGCCATGTGCGCGACGCCGGACACGACGTGCAACCGGATGGTGCTGGCGCCGCAGGACGCGGGGAAGACGCTGCGGACGCTGGTGGAGAAGCCGCTGGACGAGCTGCGGGATGTGAACAGTACCGTGTTCGACTCGTTCGTGGAGGTCCTGGACGGGCGGCAGAGCTGGCTGGATTACGTGCAGAAGAACCGGGACACGAGCACGTACAGTGGCATCTACATGGGGTCGGGGAGTGAGGCACCGATCATCGCGTACCGGCCAAAGTCGGACTCGAGGATCTCAAGCTTCGAGATGCTCAACCTGTGGAGCGAGATGAGCAGTAATATGCCGATCAAGGCGAGCTTTGGCAAGATCCAGACGGTGAAGGCGGTGAGTGACCATGTGACCGATGTCGAGATGTAGAGAGTCGACACGGCAGATGTCGAAACATACAAGAGCTTCAGCTAATCATGTTCCCAGTACGACCACACCGTCGCCGTCATGTACTGCATCTTCCTCGGCCTCGTCCTCTGCATCTTCCCTCCGGCCTTTGTCCTCTACCCGGCCATCGAAAAGGCCAGCAAGACGCGCTCCATGCAATACGCCAACGGCGTCAGCCCGGGCCCCCTCGTCATCGCCTACCTCCTCTTCGACGCCATCTTCATCACTCTCATCGCCATCATCCTGGCGCCCATCATCAGCGGGCCGATCCAGGCGTGGATCGGCTCCGGCGCGCTGCTCGGCGTGGCGCTGGTCTTCTACGGCATGGCCACGGTGCTCGTCGGCCATATTGTCACGCACTTTTCCGTCGGGCCGCTCAAGGCCTTTATGGCGGCGTTTGGAGCCAACCTTGCCATGTTTGCGGTGGCTGCCGGTGCTTATATGGTACGTCACGTCGAGTAACCCCTGAGAAGCTGACGTGCACTGCTGACTGTCATCCAGAGCGCAACTCTGTCCTCCGAAAAGGCAGCGACATCCGTCGCCTTTGGTCTCGGGCTCTTCTTCCCCATCGGCAACATCTTCCGCGTCATGCTCATCGGCCTCAACGTCGCCAACCAGGGCTGCACCGCCGACTTCACCCCGAAGCCCTCCTCCGCCATGACCGGCTACTCCGGCCCCATCTTCTACCTGCTCCTGCAAATCATCGCCCTCGCCGCCGTCGCCATCTGGCTCGACGGCGGGCTCTCCCTCTCCCCGGCCTCCCTCATCCGCCCCCGCAAGACCCCGTCCTCGTCAGACATGGACATTGAGATGCGCGAGCCCAGCATGCCCGGCAGCGGCGTCGCCGCCGAGATCCTCCGCGCCGAGCGCGACACCGCCGACATGCTGCGCGCCCTGCACGTCACCAAGACCTTCAAGTCCAATACCGCCCTCGACGACGTCACCTTTGGCCTGCCCGGCGGCTCCGTGCTCGCGCTCATCGGCCCCAACGGCGCCGGCAAGTCCACCCTCGTCAACGTCATCCAGGGCGAGCTCGCCGCCTCCCGCGGCGCCGTGCTCCTCCGCGGCGACGACTCGCGCGCCCCCGCGGCCAAGCGCCACATCGGCGTCTGCCCGCAGCACGACGCGCTCGACCTGCTCACCACGCGCCAGCACCTCGTCTTCTACGCGCGCGTCCGCGGCGTCCCCGACGTCGCCTCCAACGTCGACTACCTGCTGCGCCGGCTCGACCTGGAGCCGCACGCCGCCACGCCCGCCGCGAAGCTGTCCGGCGGCAACAAGCGCAAGCTGAGCCTCGCGGTCGCGCTGATGGGCACCCCGCCCGTGCTGGTCCTCGACGAGCCCACCACCGCCATGGACGCGGTGGCCAAGCGCGTCTTCTGGGACCTGGTGCGCAAGGTGACGGAGGGCAGGTCGATCCTGCTGACGACGCACAGCATGGAGGAGGCGGACGCGCTGGCGGACCGCGCGGTCATCCTGGCCACGCGCGTGCTGGACATTGGCACGACGCAGGAGCTGCGCGCGCGGCACGGCACGCAGAGCCACGTCAACGTGCAGCTCCGGTCGGCGCCGCGCACGGAGGAGCGCGAGATGGACAGGGTCTGGGGACGGATACGGCTGGGCGTGCCGGGGGCGAGCCTGGAGCGGGACATGAGCAGAGGGCAGATTCGCTTCACGGTGCCGCTGGGGGGCGGGGAGGCGAGCGGGCTGACCGTGATTCGCATCACGGAGTTTTTGGAGGGGTGTAAGGAGGAGCTGGGGATTGCCCATTTCAACGTGGGCGGTGCGACGCTGGAGGGCGCGTTCTTGAATATCATAAGGGCGAACAACTTTCAAGAAGACAAGGATGCCCGGTAGGTGGACCGGCAGGGGATGTATGTATATATAATTTGTAAATAAAATCACAGGGAATAATGGCGAAGCGTGTTTTCAAGTGCGCGAGGAGACTTTGGCAGTCGAGAGTAAAACAGTTTTATGAACAATAATGACACATGCAATATGCAGCAAGACAATCGAGTTGTTCAAGTGAATGTGGGTGTATTCAGCATTGTCAAGTTAATACACCCGATGCCTCGTCTCATCAGACCCTCGACCCTCATCAGAACTGGACAGTCGACCCCCCCCCCTCGGCTCTGCCCCTCCCGTCTTGAGCTCAGACAGCGGAACATCTGCTCAGCTTACTTTGCCACGGCGTTGTCGTTTTCGTGAGTGTACTCGATGGCGCGCTTAGCGACAGCGTTGTCGTTCTCATGGGTGTACTCAATGGCCCGCTTGGCGGTGGCACCGTTGTCGTTGGCATGCTCATACTCAATATGACGCTTGGCAACAGCATTGTCGTTCTCGTGCTCATACTCGACAGCACGCTTTGCAACCGCCTTATCATCTTCATGAGTGTACTCAATGTGACGCCTGGCGACGGCATTGTCGTCCGGGTGAGTGTATTCGATCGCACGCTTTGCAGTAGCATCGCCGTTGTTGGCGTGCTCATACTCGATGGCACGCTTTGCAACTGCGTTGTTGTCTTCGTGAGTATATTCAATGGCGCGCTTCGCCACAGCGTTGTCATTCTCGTGGGTGTATTCGATGTGGCGCTTTGCAACCGCATTGTCGTTTTCGTGCGTGTACTCGATGTGACGCTTAGCGACGGCATTGTCATCCGGGTGGGTGTATTCGATGGCACGTTTGGCGACAGCATTGTCGTTCTCATGCGTGTACTCAATAGCACGCTTTGCAACAGCATTGTCATTCTCGTGAGTGTATTCAATCGCACGCTTAGCGACAGCATTGTCGTTCTCGTGGGTGTACTCAATGGGGGAGGCGACTCCCAGGGTAGCCAGGATGGCGGCGCAGAGGAGAGAGGTCAGTTGCATTTTGACGAATTGCTGTAGAATATTGGAAAGAATATTTGAGTTGGGTTAATAGTATTGAAAAAGGCTTCTTGGCTGTGACGGGTTGAGTGACTATATAGTCGAGGGGTTGAAGGTGAGCTCACGTCCAAGGCCACGGTCGCCCACCAGACGGAGAACAATGCATAATAATTACGGTATGGTAATTGAAAAAAGGCTCCATCTTCCAAGAGGGTTCCAGGCAAGTCCTGTGATTAATCCTGCAGAGGTGGCTGCCGAGTGTCATCTCACCCGTCATCTCACTGCTCACCCTGCTTCTGCGACCTGGCGTCATCTCATCACTCATCAACCAGGATGTCCGCGGAAGGACGAGTTGGGGATCAGTTTCTCAAATGTTTTCTTAACAACCACGTCTTCGCAAGCTTCGCCCTTTGCTTCCGCACCCACGATACACGCACACGATGGAAAAGGTCGACCGAGAGTCGTCCTCCGAGAGCGACGCGTTCCTGCTCAAGGACGACATCCCCTGGCACGGCGCACCTGACGCTCCCCGACGACAGCGCCGCTTCCTCTGGGCCGTCTCCTTTGGAAACGCCGTCCTCCTCCTCATCTCCGTTCTCCTCCTGCTCACCTCCCTGCACGCCCGGCGCTCCCTCCTCCGCAACGACGACAACGCTCTCCTCAAGCAAATCGACGCCTACTGTAAGCCCGCCTCCCTCCCTCCCTCCCTCCTACTAATATCCTTCAGCCCCCGTCTACGACCAGGTTCACGTCCCCCTCCTCGACACTACCGTCAACGGTACGCTCCTCGACCGCGCCGACTCCATCTACCGCCGCCCGCCCTCCCCCGAAGTCGACGCCGCCTGGGCCGCCATCACCCACCAGCTCCCGCACGTCATCCGCACCGCCGACGTCCTCCGCCTCGGCAAGGACCCGTCCAAGACCGCCCGCTGGCCCGCCGAATGGGGCTTCGGCGCCGACGCGCACATTGCCGAGCTCGACCTCGTGCACACCGTGCACTGCCTCGACACCCTCCGGAAAGACATCCACTGGCGGTACTACTTTGGGGGGAAGTACCCGGATGGAAGGTTCTCGCGGCTGCACCGCACGCACACGGACCACTGCGTGTACGTGCTCCTGCAGAGCTTGATGTGCAACGCCAACGGCGATGTGATTACGAATGTCTGGGTGGAGGGGCAGAGGGGGCCGTACCCGGACTTTAGTGTGAATAAAAAGTGCAGGGACTACGGGGCGCTGATGGGCTGGCATGAGAGGACGCAGATCACGGACATGGAGCGGTACAGGCAGATGGAGGCGCCGGAGGGCGCGTTCCGGTGGCGCATGTCGCAGGACTTTCACGACCTGTTTGAGACGGGGTTGGAGGGCGGGAGCGTCACGGACGAGGAGTTGCTGGAGTAGGTGTATAAATCTTGATTCAAGTTTGTCTTTCTATCCGTGGTCCTGTATATGCCTGTGTCCAGTGTCAACACCTTCTGAGTCTAGTGTCAACACCTTCTGAGTCCAGCGTCAACACCTTCTGTGTCCAGCGTCAACACCTTTTGTGTCTACCGCGGACACCGCCGGCCGGAGCTGTGCATCAGCTGCTCGACGGCGTCCAGGTGCGCGGGGATCTCGCTCTCGTGCCGCAGCAGGTCCAGCTCGACGCCGAGGTGGTACAGCCTCCGGAGCTCCTGCACCATCCCGCACGCCTTGGAGACGAGCTTGGCCTGCGCAGAGCTCGTGCGGTCCGGAGCCGCTCCGGATGCGGGCCGCGATCCGGCCGGGCCTGTCGCTGACGAAGCTTGCATCAACGTCGTGCTGCCTTGATCTACACTCGGCGACGGTCCCTCCAGCCGCAGACTGGGTGCGCAACTCCACGGCACATCAGCAAGATTGATGGCCGTGCTGGTGCTGGAGCTCGAAAAGTCGGTCCCTGGACTTGGCTGCAAGGTCACGGCGTCCAAGTTCTAAGCGTCGTGTTTCCGTTAGCCTGCTATCCTACCCAGAGTGAAGCTGAAGGGCCAGTCGGTCAGCTCACCGATGCATCGCCCCCATCTGGGGAGTAACTGGTCATGCTATATCCCCCCTCTTGCATGGCCGCAAAGCAAGTCTGCTGCTCCATCCCGATAACCATCTGCGCATCATCAAACATGTTCATGCCGGGCCACGGTATATCCGTCGCGTCCACGCCGCCGGCGGCGCCACCCCTTTTCTTGCGTCGCATCTTTTGTCCTGGAGTCCGAATTAGTCGAAATGAAATCGTAAAAGCTTCAGAAACTCCATTCACTGTATCGTCTTTGCGCTTCGCGGTTCTGACACTTGCGCTTGTCCTCGTACGTCTCAGTCGACATGGCCCTTAATCATCTTTACTGCCACAGCCTTGGGGGCGATTTTCTCCTAGTATATGTAAGACCGCATCGGACTTTCCTCCTCTTTCCAGTAATACTGCAGTAGTTGAGCATCTTTTCAACGTCGCAATCAATCCCAGAGCCTGATTCACGAGTCTAGCGCTGCGGCTGCGCTGCGCTGCGACAGAGTGAATCCATCGCGGCAGGCCAGACGCACATCCGGTCGCTCAGTAAGACCGCCGCAGCGACCGCGCATAGAAAGTCAAGGAGGGCTATAATCGGCTGTTCGATATTCACCCTTCGGAACATGAGCCATGTTCGTTAAACCAGCATTTGCGAGATCGGCTTGGCCCCCCTCCTGGTCGGATGCCGGCATTCGGCATGGGAGGGGCGAATCAGGCTGTCGGCGGTGTCCGAAAACTGACAGATCGACAATGCAAAGCAACTGATTCGCCAGAAATTGCGCTCTTGACAATTTGTTTGCTTGCCCCAACTTGCCAAGCACCATTAGGGATCCCCTTCAGCAAACGAGGCTGCGGGGGGTCGGGGTACGTGTTCCCATAAAGTCTAGTTGCCGTAATTCAGGAGCCTTGATAGACGGCTCTGGGAACCTTGATGAGCTGCATATATATTGCTGAATGGACCTTCTTCGACCGGGTAACGGGTAAGCTCACCCGAGCGAAAGCATCGTGAGGAATGTCGTAGAATGCTACTCTACTCCTCGTATATCAAGGCGAGCGTGAGCTGACTCTTGCATACGTACTCCGACTGCATCTGCAAGTCGTGCGAATCGTCCCTCGACTTTTTCGACTACTTGGCCCAGTCTTGTTTCGCCCTCTGCTTCTCTTGAATTGGGCGAGGAAGCAGAGACGCAGCAATGGCCCAACCGTGTCCCGGACCAACTGACCTCGGCTTCGGCCCGGCCATCAGCTCCTGCCACCGCGCCTTCGACTTCACCTTGCTCTTCGAGGACGCCGTGCTGTCCATCCTCCCGAGCGCCGTCTTCATCCCCCTCGCCTGCCTCTCCACCTTCCGCCTCAGCCGGGAGAAGCCGATCGCGACGACGCGCACGCCACGGTACGCCGCCAAAGCCGCAAGTCCACCACACCACGCCCACCCTTGATGCCTGCTGCTCACAACTTTCCAGGTCACGTACGCGGCACTGGTCGTCGCGTGCTGCGCCTCCATCGCCGCCTCCCCGCGCCTCCCCGGCACCAGCCTCCCGGCCGCCGCGCTCTCCCTCCTCGCCGCCCTCCTCCTCGCCGCGCTCTCCTCGCTCGAGCACGCTCGCGCGCTCGCGCCCTCCCCGGCGCTCGTCTTCTTCCTCGCCTTGACCGCTCTCCTCGACGTCGCGCGGCTGCGCACCTTCTACCTCCTCGACCGGACCTTCTCGGCCGGCGCGCTGACCGCCGGCCTGGCGCTCCGGCTGCTGCTGCTCGTGCTGGAGTGCCGCGGCAAGCGCACGGCGGCGGCGGCGGCGAGCCCGGAGGAGCTGGCGGACCCGATCAGCAGGACCATGTTTGGCTGGATCAACCCACTGCTGATCATGGGTTTCAGGGGGTCCATCCGGGGCCGGCTGGGGCCGATTGATCCCAAGCTCAGCTCCACGAGCCTGACGGAGAGATTTGCCGCCGTTCCGCACAAGATCCGGTGTAAGCTCACAACTGCCCCGTACTTGTTCTCTCACCTCTAATAGTCGTATTGTCACCAGCTGGCCTTTCCAAAGGCGGACTCAGTGCCCTTACCTTGGCGTGTGTCGGCTACGACCTCCTCTACGTCGTCATCCCTCGGCTCTGCGTCTCCCTCTTCACATTTCTCCAGCCCTTCCTCCTCGACGCCGTCCTCAGCTGGCTCACCAAAGCAGAACGCGACTCGACGAGCCACGGCTACGGCCTAATCGGCGCCACCTTTTTCGTCTACTTTGGCATCGCAGTAAGCATCACCCTCCCTTGCGCAGGACCGCCTCCCCAAGTAACAACTCGTTCGCCCAGGCCTCCTACAGCTGGTACTGGCACCACGTCAACCGGTCCGTCACCATGATCCGCGGCGGCCTCGTCGTCCTCCTCTACGACAAGCTGCTTCTCCTTCCCGAGAGCCCGGCCGTCGAGGCGCGCGCCATGACGCTCATGTTCAGCGACACCCAGCGCGTCATGACCGCCATGAACTACTTCCACGAGCTCTGGGCCGGCGCCATCGACACCTGCGTGGCCACCTGGCTGCTGTACCGCAAGACCGGCCCCGCGAGCCTCGTCATGCTGGCCATCACCATCGGTATTTGAAGCGCCATCCTCGAACTGCACGACTCCGCGCTGACCGGGGAACGTTTTGCTTGCCAGGGTCGTCCATCGTTTGTGTCAGCCTCTCCAAGAAGATTAGCCTTCTGCAGCAGAAGTGGCTCGTCGCCGTGGAGCAGAGGCTGGCGCGCACGAAGCGCATGCTCTCCTCCCTCAAGGCTATCAAGATGCTGTCCGCTGGCGATCGCGTCTCGGCCGCCGTCACCGCGTTGCGCCAGGCAGAGCTCGATATCTCCTGGCCGTTCCGACGGATGAGGATCCTCACCACCGCCATCTGTAAGTACTGCTCCCGAAAAGCATCTTCCAGCTCCCGCCAATGACAAACCTTGGGACAGCGTACTGCAGCATGACCCTGTCGCCGCCGCTCGTATTTGGTGTGTACGTCGCCACGTCCCGGGACGAGCACCTGGACGTGTCGAAGCTGTTTACGTCCCTCACCCTGATCGCCCTGCTCGCGAGTCCCGTGATGCACCTGTGCCAAGCCATCCCAGCACTGGGCGCCGCCCACGGCTGCATGGAGCGAATCCAGACGTTTCTGGAGCTCGAAGAGCAGCACGACAAGAGAACTACCCTGCCTCCTTCAACGGATACAGGCGAGAAAGTCGTACTATCGCTGAGAGCCGTGTCTCTGGGCTGGCTGGCCGGAAAGCCCATTCTCCACAACATCAACCTCGACGTCAAGCGGGCGTCGCGCGTTGCCATCCTCGGCCGCACCGGCGCCGGCAAGTCGCTCCTCCTCAAGGGCCTCCTCGGCGAGGTGGCCGAGATCTCCGGCGAGGTGGCGCTCGGCCCGGGCGTGTCCCTCGCGTACTGCAGCCAGACGCCGTGGCTGGAGAACGCCTCGGCCGAGGAGAACTGGGCCGGGCGGTGCAGCGAGCCTCGCGGCCAGGGCTTCCTGGATAGGATGGCCCGCGAATTTGCGCTCAAGGACATCCAGGCGCTGCAGGACTACAAGACGGGGACCATCGGGAGCCAGGGAGTCAAGCTCAGCGGCGGACAGCGACAGAGACTGGTAAGCAAGGCTGGGCGGGCCGCCCTCGCTGTTCTTTCTTTTACGTTGTGATGGGTTTTGACAGACGCTATCAGGCGCTTGCACGCGCAGCTGCTCTTGAGAGGGACATTCTCCTCCTCGACGACGTATTCAGCGCCCTCGATCGCCGCACGAAGCTGCACGTCGCGCATGGTCTACTAGGCGCGCACGGCGGCGAGAATCAACGCACCGTAATCTTCACTACGCACGATGGTAGGAACCTGCGCATATACTCCCCCAGATCGCAGCTAACAAGCCGAAGAATACATTGCCAGCATGGCAGACGAAATCTACGAGATTGGCGACTCCGGTATTCTTACTCGCCGGCCTAAGACAGAGCGGCCGCCAGAGGAACTCATATCAGCCGATGCTGTCTCGCCTGCAGAGACCAAGGAGGAAGCTCCTACCTCGGGGTCATCCGATACTTCCTCTCCCAGTCCGGCCCGCCCCTCGCTCCCGGAACCGTCAGTAAAAGACAGAGACGTGTACAAGACGTACCTGCGCGCCATGGGCCTCCGCAACGCCGTGCTGTTCCTGCTATACGGCGCCTTGTTCTCCGTCTCGTTCAAGTTCCCCGACATCTGGATCCAGTGGTGGTCCAACGAGACCGCCGGCCCCGGCCCCGGCCGCTCCCCCGGATACTGGATCGGCATATACGCCGTCCTCGAGTGCATCCCGCTGCTGACGCTCGCCCTCTGGCTCAGGCACGTCTCGCGCAACACAATCCCCGCCGTCGGCATCTCCATCCACGGCACGCTCCTCGCCACCGTCATGCGCGCGCCCTTCTCCTACATCAGCAACGTCGACAGCGGCAGCGTCATGAACCGCCTCAACCAGGACCTCATGTTCATCGACTCCGTCCTCCCCTTCTCCCTCTTCAACACCGTCGAGAGCGTCTACGTCGCCGTCATCCAGGTCGTCTTCATCGCCGTCGCCAGCGTCCAGGCCCTCGCCGCCGTGCCCGCCGTCCTCGCCGTCCTCTACGCCGTCCAGAAGTTTTACCTGCGCACCTCCAAGCAGCTCCGGATCCTCGACCTCGAGGCCAAGGCCGTGCTGCATAGTCTAGTCTCCGACGTCGCCGCTGGCGCCGGGCCCTCGACGATCCGCGCGCACGCCTGGCAGGGGCACCTGCGAGCGAGCTTCATGCGCCACCTGGACGACTCGCAGGAGCCCATCTACCTGCTGTTCTGCGTGCAGCGCTGGCTGCAGCTCGTGCTCAACCTGGTCGTCACGGGGCTCGTCGTGCTCGTCGCCGGCGTCGCCGTCGCACTGCGCACCAAGGTCAACCCAGGCGCCGTCGGCGTCGCGTTCCTCAACGCCGCCACACTCGGCGAGACGCTGACGCAGCTGGTGCTCTCGTACACGCAGCTCGAGACGTCTCTCGGCGCCATCGCGCGCACCAAGATGTTCGCCACCTCCACGCCGAGCGAGCTAGATGGCGAGGTCAACGGCGACGGAGGAAGGCCCGCGTCACCGTGGTGGCCGTCGGACGGAAGCGTCCGGCTGCAGAACCTTTGGGCTCGGTACCAGCTCCCCGGCACGCCTGAAGATGCGCCGTGGAGCCTGAGGGGCGTCAGCGTCGAGATCCCCTCGGGCCAAAAGGTCAGCGTCTGCGGGCGCACCGGCTCTGGCAAGTCGACCTTTCTCCTCGCCCTTCTCCGCATGGTCGACATCCCCATCGGCACCGCCTACATCGGAGGGCAGGACCACTCGCAGCTCCCGCTTGCCGCGCTGCGACGCGGATACTTTGTCGTGTCCCAGGACCCGCTCGAGGAGTCCTCCAGTCTGCGCGACCAGATAGATCCCGACGGCCAGTTCACCGACGAGCAGATCAGGGCCGTGGTGGCGGACTGTGGGCTCCAAGACATCGTCGACGCGAACGGCGGGCTGAGCGCGAGTGCCGCAGGCATGCAGCTCTCCAACGGCGAGGCGCAGTTCCTCTCCCTCGCCAGGGTCATCTTGTACGGATCGGCGAGGCGAGGCGGCATTCTGCTTCTCGACGAAGCCACGAGCAGGTGCGTGCCGTCATTCTTTCTTGCGTGTCTCAACTAACAATCAGTGTAGCCTCGATGAAGACGCGCAGAGACGGATGGAGGCATTGATAGAGTCCGAGTTTCCTGACAAGACAGTCATTTCAGTCTGTCACAAGCTTCCTTGGGCGCTTAGGTCGGATCGCATCATTGTTCTGGAAGACGGGGAGATTATACACGACGGGACACCGCAGGAAATTGTCAAGGAGTCAGCCTTGTTCGCTGGAATGGCTGTGTCAGACTCTGAGTAAAAAGTTGAGCTTCATTGCTAATGATCGGATTTCTCCTGGTCCTGTCATGCGGGTTGACGTTCAAGAACCGCCCATGCCACGTCCATTGTGGCGACCGGTTCGCCGATGGACTTCAAATGCTCTATAGCCTGCCCAATTTGGGGAATAAACTCCAGCACACTATCCTCCTGCTCCTTGGGGAGGCCCTGTGAAATGATGCCTTCTCTAAAGCGCGGGGATGTGACAACACCGGCCTCCCAGTAGCCGTCTCGCATCCCCGCCGGCGGGCTGACAATCCCGCGGCGAGTCACTGACCATCCGGCGCTCTCCGCGACCCTCAGGAGCTCTTCCACCTCCAGCGCGCCACGTACGTTGAGCGTGCTGGGCTTCGCCTCGCTGAGATGCTGTTCCCTGGCCGCGTGTAGCCGCATTTGCGCGCGCGCGGCGAGCTGGTGCGGGCGCTGCGCGGGGTCATCGTCGGCACTGGCCGTGCTGTACTCGGCCAAGCAGACACGCGGGATTCCCGCGCCCGCGAGCGCCACAAAATGATCATGCACGGCATCGCTCCCCGTGAAATACCAAAGGCTGTGGCAGAAGACGGCCATGTCAAAGACGGTGCTGCGCGCGTTGGCCGTGGCGAGGAACTCGGGCAGGCTTCTGCGGGCAAAGGTAATGCGCGGCCCGAGGGGGGAAGACTGTCGCAGGTAGTCCTGTGACTGCTGCACTGTGAATGGTGCGCCGTAAGATGGCTCGGCCGGATCCAGCCCCGTGGCGTGGCCGTCCTCGCCCGCAAAGTAGGCCAGCACGGCCGTCGACTCGGCCTGGCCGCAGCCGACGTCGAGGACGTGGAATGGTTCTAGGGCGTCGAGTCCCCAGGCACGGCAAAGCTGTATTCGATGCGCAAAAGTGTTATCCAAGGACTCTACCCTGCCAGGGCCATTGTGTAGAAAGCAGGCAGATAGCGTATCGAGAATTTCTTCGTCAGCGTGCATGTTGATAATGATCTCGACAATGTCGGAGCGAATACGGATATGAAAACCAGATGCTATGCCGAGTTGGTGTTATTTATGGCCTCCGCTCGATTCGCGGCAGTGTCAGTGTGATCCCGAATATCCCCATTGGATGCAGGCAGGAATGTGGCTGCATGAAGCAGTAATCGAGTTGAACTCGAGCATCAGCTGACTGCCTTCGGCTAAGCTTGTCTGAGCCGGTTTCCTTTGTCGCCGAATCCTTTGAATCGAATTCAGGCTGAAATGAGAACCTTGAAGGCTTACAGCGTGCATTGGGGCCTGCCGAAACAGCACTTCAATATGGCAAACAAAAGTCCCCCCGACTGCACCAGTACTCTGCGTCATGCTTGGATTTGGCCTCACCTCGGAGGTTTTCTTTTTTTTTCGAGTTTCTTAAACAGTCGCTTATCACGCCAAGTCGTATGTACCCAAGCACGGCTTATGAAACGCTGTGAGACTCGATTCACTGGGAACAAAAGCTCACAACACTGCTGCGCCGACACTTGCCCGGATTCTGTGTGTTCGTCATTGACGCTGCAGGAGACGTATGCTACATGGCAATGGATAGCTCTATAGAGGAGCCGCTTTTGGCCTCGAACGCACACAACCAGGAGCCTGGAAATGAGCAAAATGGCAGGATCAACACCAGAGCCTTGGTTCTCCTTTTCCTCAACGTCTTGGTGGTCGATATTGGATACATCATCAACCTTGCCCCCATGACGCGCATTTTTGAGGACATCACTTGCCGGCAATATTTGCACGCGTCGGGGGCGGCCTTCCTCTCCGAGGGAGGGCGGCCAGACGAGTCGCGCTGCAAGATACCAGAGGTCCAGGGACCCGTCGCCGAGCTGTTTGGCTACCAGACGTTCTTCGACTCGCTAGTCGGGATTATTCTTGGTCTGCACTTCGGCGCGCTGGCAGACCGGATCGGGCGCCGGCCCATATATGTCCTCGGTCTCGGGGGCTCGTTTTTGGCGTCCTGCTGGAAACTTTACGTCTGTCGGTGCCACTTCCATTTGTTCCTCGACTACTGACCAACGCTCGCTAACGCCAGAATAGGCTGGATGGGATTTCCGCTACGATATGTGTGGCTATCGTCGGCGTTCCTGATACTGGGTGGCGGGGACACGGTGCTGAACGCTTGCTTGACCATGATCATCACCGATGCGACGCCTGCCGCGTTGCGGTCGAGGGTGGCTCTTTACTTTGCAGCGTCCAACCTAGGCTCTGAAGTTATCGCGCCGCCCATCGCGTCGTACTTTATCGACAGCAACCCGTGGATCCCGGTCGTCATCGGTGTCTGCTGCAACGGCTTGGCGGTATTGCTTGCTTCCTGCCTGCCAGAGACCCTGCCGCCGAAAACGAAACAGACAGAGACGATCAACGATGCGCATGACGCCCCAGGGGAAGATCGACTGGAACCGATAGACGGCACTGCAAAGGACGGCTCGTTCAAGTCGACGATCAAACACATGCTACAGCTGCTCCAGTACATCCGGGGCCAGCGCGCGTTGCTTCTCCTAGTCTGCGTCTTCGCGGTTTCAGACTTTGCCAGGCGGTCGATGCAGTTTTTGGTGCAGTACGCGTCCGTCAGGTATCGAATGACCCTAGGACAGGTACGTGAGAAGGCTATCGTGTAACATGCTCCTTGCTAACAAGATGCACAGGCGAATTATCTGCTCGCGTGGCGAGCAATGGTGGCTATCGCATTACACATGACAATCATGCCAGCCACAGACAAGTTTGTGCAGTCGAAGCTGCGCATGCCACCTCGGAAGAAGGATTTGACTCTTGCGCGCATATCAATATGCTTATACACCGCCGGCTTTGTCGCGCTAGCATTTGCGCCTACCGTAGTGACTGTTATTTTCGGTAGGTGGTTATCGCCGAACCTCCCTTGTTGGCCCGGCTCTACTAACATGGAAAGGGGTCGCAATATACAATCTCGGTGGAGGATTTGCCATCTTTATGAAATCGATGATAAGTACCATGGTAGAGCCACGTCGTTTGGGAGGCATTTACACTACCCTCTCGATCATGGATACCGCCGGGTCCTTGTTGGCTGGTCCTGTTCTTGCTTGGGCGTTGAAATGGGGCATTGGCCTCGGTCACATATGGAGCGGACTGCCGTATATGTTTGCGTCGGTCCTTTGCGGAGCAGGAGCTGTGGTGTTGTTTCTTACGAAGCCTTGCTAACCTGGGTTTAGGGGTATGGCTCATTTCATATAGGGTATCGAGCACAGCCGCAGGGGTTTGTTGGCGTGATGTGATTGTCTCTGCCGGATGCAGCGTGTCTCAGGTGTAGTAGGATCTATGCATTTTCGGCGCTAGGTGCGGCATCCATGGTTATCATTTTGTGTAAATTTGCGATAAACGGCCTTTCATGACAGGCCGTGCCCTTGTGAGAAGAAACCTGTGAGGGCATTGAAGAGCAGCCCGATAGAGGTTGGGCACGTTAACGGCAGGGAAGCCACAAACGGATGCTGACCTATCGGAGCCATCTAGCGATGGCTTTGGTTGTGGTATGTAGCATTGGGTATTGAAGTTTGGAGGGGTGGAGTAGGCGAGGAGACGACAAGAGACGGCATGACGGGTAGATGTGTGGATGATTGAAGATGGATGGAAGATGGATGGTGGAGGATGGATGGTTGGTTGGTTACGATGGTTGGAAGGATGGGACGAGCTTGACGATGAAGGTGGTCTGGAGATGTGTTTGATACGAGAGGACAAAGGCTGGCTGGCGGAGGCAGGCGTTGGGAGGCAGGTACATGGAAGGAACTTGCGTAGTCATCTGCCTCGGGCCCCTGCTGACCTGAACCGGGGCCGAAATTGGTGCTAACTTACCACACAAAGGTACTCGGGTAGCAGCTGCGGTGGATGCCGAGTACTGCTGACACAGCGAGGGACAAGTACCTCGGAAGTACTGTTCGTGGAAGCTGCGGGCTTTCCTGACGCTATTCCCAGTCTAGGCAGCCCGCCCAAGTACTGGGGTAACCTTGCCTTAGGTAATCCGGGCTCGAATCGGGACGGGAAAGCTGGGTTACAAGGGGGTTTAGGGGAGCCAAAGAACCTGTTACACCTCGTTTACAGTAGAGATTACCTAAGGCAGCTGGTACCAGAGGACAAAGGTAACACTGCCCAACATCAAGCCTTATCCCTCGCACAACGTCTGTAACAGTTTTACAGTGGCGGGCTCTTTTTATACAAAAAAGCTTGTCTTAGAGTGTGGCAAAAAGACAAATTCCGGTTCAGTCTGACACCACCCAGATCGATCTGGAAGGGCACAAATTGCCAAAGTACCTAGGTACCAAACCGGCCCATCTGTCACCAATCACCTTTCACCAATCACATTTACTCACCCACCACTTGCCTGCGGTACGTACCCTTTTGGGACTACCGCTTCCGCACCTCCTCCACCCAAATCCCAACTGCGCGTGCCGCTCTCTCCACGATATCTTCATGCCCGGTATCCCTCAAACGCCGCCTGCCGTCTGCCATCCACCCTGCCGGTTACCGCTCTCGCTGCACCAGACATCGATTGTCGACTGTCTCTCATTTTTGCAGCAACCACTTGACCACATTTCTTTTGGCCACGCCGTTGCAGGTTCCCGCCGCGCTGGCCCACGCATCGCCCCAAATCAAGTCCCGCGGCGTCCCCGACGGGCGACTACCGCAAACGCCGCTGCGCCGCCGCCAACGGCTGCATCTTTGGTGGCCACGCCAGCGAACGTATCTCGATTCGCCAAATCACCTCCATTGAGACGCCGGGCTCGCTTCTCTTCTCTCCCAATTCCTCCCCTTCCGCCATTCCAACACTACCAACAAGCATCAATTCCGGGATGGCGTCTCTCCTCACTCCCACGGCATGAGCTCTAGGAATCCCAAGGGCGCCCAGCAACGGGCCCAGCAACGGGCGCCCACCGGCTCGGCTCTCCAGGCTCATCAGCGCAGCATCTCGTCCTCACATATACCGCCCCCTTCGCCCGTCCGCAGAGATGGCCTCCCCGACCACAGCCAACCGACCGACCCTGCCGACACCTCGTCGCAGGCGGGCACCGCTGGCCGCCACGGTGCTACGCCGAGGCGCACTGCCGGTTCCAAACTCCGAATCGAGCTCTCCAACGACGACAGCCTGACACCCGGGCCCGTGACCGACTCGCCCCAGGGCACGCCTTCCGTCATGTCCCACAGTGCCGGTTTCGATTCGAGCGCAGATGTCAGCGGTCACGGGAGCCCGGCGCTGTCCCGAGCCTCCCAATCCGACCTTTCCATACCCCGGATGCCCATGCCTCGACGCCGAGCTCCTCTGCAGCGCTTCGTTCCTAGCAACAAGACGGCCGCGCCGCCCACCGCACCGATAAAACGCGACTCCAAGCCTAAACAATATACCATCGAGGTGCCTGCCGCCGCCCCGCGATATCTGACCACAAACAAGCCCGACACTCTTCACCGCGATCCCTTTAACAAAGGCCTCTTCTCCGGCCATGCCGACTTCTTCCCCTGGACCGGCCGCCACCACGAAGACGAATGGAGCACCGAAGCGATACAAAAGGGAACATGGGACCGTGGCAGTCAAAATGAGACTTCCTCTGCTCGCCTTGCTGTCTACCCGTCTCTTAAGCAGAAGACGGGTCTCAATGCATTGTCAACCATTTTCATGGGAGTCCTCAACCAGCGACGGAACCGCGGCCAAATCACAGCTCCCTCGACGTTCAAGCCTCCTCCGCGAGTCACACTCACCGATACGAAACGTGAGGTGTGGCTCAAGGATCTGGCGAACCCGACCATTTCGCTGCGACGCCTCAGCCGCACCATCCCTCATGGTATCCGCGGCCGAACACTTCTCGACCAGTGCCTCAACAAAAACGTACCTACCGAAAGGGCTGTCTGGCTTGCCAAGTGCGTCGGTGCTAACGAGATCCGCGCATTCAAGCGCAAGGGTGTCACTGGCGCGCTGGTCATGGGGAACGAGCTCAAATGGATTAGGGACTGGACCATTTTTGTGGAACAGTTTGTCGACTCTGTTGTCTCCTCGGTTGGGGAGCCTGACTGGAAGCACAGAGTGACGTATTCGTAAGTTGAGCAATCCAGTGTTCCCGGCCAATAGCCTGCTAACCGCCTTTAGAATCCGCCTCGCTACCGTCCTCTACTCCGAACACTTGCTAGACCGCGACCATTACCTAGACTGGATTGTCTCGGGTCTGGAAAACAGCAGTCAAGCTAAGCTCCCTATGTGGATATTGATTGCGCAGATATGTTGGACAGACATACTGCGGTCGAGGAAACCAGGTCGTCGCCTTGTCTTCGCCCTACTGAACCATCTAAACACCGTACGTTCTCATTCTTTAATTGCCAGGGGCTTTACTAATCAGTGCAGATATACAACGACCCCGATCGCGACATTCTAATACCCCTCTCAAATCAATTGGTGTCGCTACTCAAGTCTCTCGTCGCAAAGAACCCGGAGAGCTTCATCCAACCACTCCAGTGGCTCAAATACCGAGATTGCCTCTCGGCCTTTCTCTCAACCGACGAGCGAGCAATACAGCAAGCATTGCGTTCCATAAACCACAGAAACTCGGAACTCTTGGTCTCCACCGCCGCCTCCCCGCCCGTCGGTGGCAAAGAGCACTTGGTCAAGCTTCTGGACACCACGTTACATGGCAAGGTTGACCATGACCTGTCATCCAAGTGCTGGGCAATCTCAGAGGATAAGACACAGATTCTCAAGACTGTCATTGAGTGGGTCACGTCATTCCATCGCCCAGGACTGGAGAAGATCTATACCGCGACCAACTTGCTGCGGTCCTGGGCAAGCTTTCGTGTTAACACCACGGGTGCTATTCTCGACACTTTGGACTCCATCGAGCCCGACGATGAAGTGCGGAAGCAGGCAGTTTACCGTCTGGTTATCGAACTGGCGCGGACTGGGCACTTCTCTGTCTCCCAGTACATACAGTGGCTGATTGCCCGAGGTAATTGCCATAATGCTGCCGACGTGGAAGAGACAGGTCCATGTGCCTCTAGGCTTCTCGTCGAGCTGCCTGTCTCTTGCATACCTGAGGACCGCAAGATGGATCGCGCCAACTTGCTACGCCGCGCTGCCCACTACGATGTTGCTGATGAAGCTCGCGATATTTCTACTGCCATTAAGTGTGTCAATCAGACTATCGGGCTACCACTGCCAAATGTGGACGACTACGCGGCCCTGCCAAGCAAGCCTCTTCCGCTGCGCAAACTTGTCAATCGCATCAGTGTCAGCAGCTTTGCTCTCAAAAGCGCCGTCGGTGTTCATCTTTGCAACGAGTTTCGCAACCTGCTTCCGCCACGCCTCGACACCGACGTTTCCTTGAATGTGTTTACGTCAAGTCGCACGATTCTCGAATCAACTAAAGACTTTTCCATGCTGGGCGAGGTTCTCAAGAGCTGCTCCAAAATGTCCAACATTGAAGTTCTCGCTGTTTGTGTAGACACAATCAACGTCAATCTCGAGGTCCTTCTTGCGGTTGGTATCGCGGATGAACTTTTTGCTCTCTATTTTGAGCGACTCAAGGCAGCGAGTCGTGAGCACGGTCTGGTGGCTCGTCCTCTGCTTGCTGCCCTGTCGTCGTTAGCACAGCGGATGCCAAATCAGAGCGTAATGGCCAAGAACCTGCAGCAGGAGCTGACGCAGACTGACCGTACTAATCCTATCGACGCCTGCTCTCCTGTCTCGGACAACATGGTTAGCCAAGCCACGAGCCCAGAGGGCGAGTTCTCGGAGCAGATTGATAAGCTGCTGGCAACAGGAAATAGCGTTGACCACCCGACGATGAACCGTCTATTCCTCAACATTGTTCCCCGTCTCGAAGCCGGATGGAACAAGCTAGACGCGAGTCGCCGAGTCTACGCCTCGCTGCTTGCCAGGCTGCGCATCTTTGACTCTCAGCATTTTGATAAGCTCATGAGTGATTGGGTCAGCCACATTCGATCACTCAAGGAGCGGCCTGCGTTGCTGGAGCTGCTTCCGCTACTTGTCAGTCTCGGCTGCCTTACCATGGTTACCGTGCTACATACGGCCAATGCAGCTCCCGTCGCAGCAAACGTCACCGCTGTCGACTCAGGACCACCGCGCGGCTCGGCCATCTACCTCCAAGAGCTTTTGCAGCTCATCCTCCGCAAGCTGCCCAAACAGAGCCCACTAACTGCGGAGGAATCCTACCGCTTTGTCGTCTACCAGCAAGCGGCAAAGATAGAGCATTCCAAGGCACTACTGCTCTTGATCCGCAATGCGGTTCAAGAGTACTCGATCCTTCGCAGCCGCTCTACCACAACCGCGCTCCCGCTTGACGATCGCACCTGTCAGGACGATGTGCTAGAGGCTCTCCGGGTTCTGGTGGTGACCAATTCTACAGCAGCCGCAGAAGCGCTCAGCATGAAGGATCTGGCTCCCGATGCGTCCGCTCTGATCAGGACTGTGGCCGCCAAACTTCTTACCCCCGGCGACGAGAATAGGAGCTCCTCGTTTGACAAGATTCTGGGTCTGGCTAACGAGCTTACGATGCCGTTTTGTCAGCTGAGTCTCAGCATGGAGCTCTCGTTGCCGCAGGATAACCGCATCGCGGGCAACGAGCCGCAGGAGTCGCAATTTGACGTTTTCGCCAGGGCAATGGACAGCGCGATTGAAGCTCGCAACATATTGTGGACGAGCATGCTGCCCTGCCTCAGCGACGATATCACGCAGCACCTGCGCAGCCAGGCTCACGGACGCTTCCTCAAGATGATCCCGTCATCCAAGGCTACCAACTTTGCTGAGCTGGCCACAAGCGAGGATAGGATTCAGCTGGCTAAGAATCTGCTCGGCGTGATCGAGGCCATCATCTCTGCCCAGCCACCGTCAAAGTCAGCACAGTTGACGACGACGCTGGTGGACAAGCTCACGGACTTGTGGGAGATTGTCTCGGTTCGCGAGGCGTCGGCGGCCCAGGACGCCATCCGTAAGCACTGGCTGCCGTTTTTGCTGCGCTTCATCACCCTTCACAGTATATACTCATCGTCAGCCTCGGACACTTCCACGGCAACCGCATCCACAGCCACGCCAGGCTCCTCGGCCGTCAACAAAGCTGTCAGCAACGTCGTCGCCCCGGCGGCATCCGCTACCACCACCGCTAACAGCAATCACGAGGCGCGGGCGCGCATTGTTCTTGTCCTCTGCGGGATCCTGTTCGCTCTCGAATCGCAGCAAACACTCCCGCCCGACGGCAAGCTCGCGCAGCAAGTCTTTGACATTGCGCTGCTCCTCGTGGACGCCCTGCCCGACGATATGCGACTACATTGCGCTCGGAACGTGCTAGCCAACCCATCGGCCGTTCCCAGCAGCGGGACGAGCGCGACATCACGCAGCGGCACGTCGGATCCGCGCATCTACTACCTCTTTAGCGCGCCGCGGCCGACGGCGGCAGACAACCTGATGCTGGCGCACCGGGAGAGGGGCTCGATCCCGCTGAGCGCCGCGGCGCGCGGCCTCGGGGCCATGTACGGCATCGGCCCGACGCTGCAGGAGCGGTACAGCCACTTTGCGCTGCGCCGCTGGGAGGCGCTCAGCGAGCCGACGCCCAACGTGGGCGAGAACGACACGAGCCTGTCGCTGGGCCTGTTTGAGGCTATCAAGATTCAGTAGCTGGCGAGATGTCGGGTACATTGAACAACAAACGACAAACGAAATTGTTTTGCGAACATAATCATTTGCATTCTGCATCATTGACGAATAATGGATTACCACTGCCTTTGCCTCTGCTGTTCTTTTATTTGTCGTATCATTTCCTATGTATAAAGCACTTTTCTTTTTATTCTCAACATGTTCGGCTTTCAAGAGAGGTTGTGGCGTTTTGATTCCATGAGCGAAGAGATGGCCGAATCGTTGGATTGCGTCTTCTTGATGCATTTTTTTGTTCCTTCTTCTTTTTGAACATTTGGTTTGCGGAAGCGCGCGCGTACAGAGAATGTGAAAGCGAGATTACAAAACTGCCGTTTCGGCATTAAGGTGTCGAGAAGGGGCCGTGGGTTGATCAATCATCATTGCATCATTGAGTGAAGACATACGGGAGGGACTGGTGACGGACGCATGGACAGGCGCGGTTTGAGTATAGTGAATTTTCTTTTATGTTCAGCTTTTGTTTGCATGGTTTTTATAGCGGAACAATGAAATACAAGATTCATTCTCACTTGAAGTAAAGAGCCGAGCAGGCAGCACAATTTTAAGCAGTGTCTCGCAAAGCCATATCCCGTTTTTCGTAATACCATATCTCGTTTCTCGTACTGCCATTTCCCGTTTCTCGTAAAGCCATATCTCGCCAGGCGTCCGGCGGGGTTGGTTCCTGAGGGCGTACTGGATGACATTTCAGCCGAGTTGAAGGAGGAGGCGGGAGGAGGTGGTGGAGGATCTGCGTCGCGGACTCTGGGGAAGAAGTATCGCAACATGATGCTCTTTCTTCAAGCTACGGCCTCTTTACGTCTCATCACGGAAAGGATGCGAGAATGCAGGGTAAAAAGCAAGAACGGGGAAATAACAACAGCAACGAAACGGCTTGCTGCTTAGGCATCAGGTATGACATTGCTACACAAGACCACTTCCTTGTCCAGTCCCAGCAGTTGTGATACAAGTGAAACCCAGATCGATCGATGCTGAAAGATACTCTTATTCTTTTTATTCTTCTTATTCTTCTTATTCTTCTTATTCTTCTTATTCTTCTTATTCTTCTCATTCTCCTCCGTCAACGTGCAAATTTGAACTGCCTTGCTGCTCGACTGCCCTTGCGCGACACCCCTCGTCGTATAGTCTTCCCTATGGTTCGTTTCCTCCGCCTACCGTACTGCCGGGGCGAGTCGGGCGACAGATGCTATATCCTACCTCTTCAACAAAGCAGTAGAGTTTGGTCATCTTTCTACTCCGTACTCCGTACTCCGGGTGCTGTGAAGACTGCTCCCCTCGTTGTCTCCGGCTCCGTGGCAGAGGCAGTGTGAGCCCGATTCCCCGGCGGTTCAATTAATGTTGAGACATGCGCCCGACATGACTGTTTCGGAAGGTCAGAGAAGCGACTCCATCTTGCTCTATCTCGTAGCTTTTCCCTTCCTTCCAGTCTTGCCTACTTTTGCTCGTGGATTGCACCGTCTCCCTTGGTCGCGCCGGGCCGTGATCGGCGCCGTTGGTCGACATCGCTTAGCTCGTGGCGCGACAAGGATCGAACCCCGGATATCCTCGTGCTATGGAGGGCGATGAAGTGGTGCATCAGCCTGCAGATCATGGTGGCTTGCTGCGCGCCTCGGGGTGGGCTTTTGTGAGACAAGTAGTCCTGAGAGTCGAGGGAGAGGTTGTGCGCCTCGAACGCTCCTCCAAGCTCCTCCAATGACATGGTCCAAAGACTACTCGTTCGATTCGTACCTTATACGAGCAAGCATTATCGGCGATAGATAACCTTGCTTAGCGTGGCCGGCGGAGAGGGCGGACAGGCTAAGCCCGACTATTCACCTTCCTTTTCATGTCATGGCCAGGGTTTGAATGTGTACAACTGATCCCGGACGAACTTGATGCATCATGTCAATGACTAACCGAGGGAATTACTCAATAGCGTGAGTCTTTCCTACGGCTATCTAGTCTAGTCATCGTCGCTTCGAGACACCGCTACTCCGATCAACTCCGGGGTATGCCTCGGGCACCATTCGTTAGTACCGAACCGACCCCTTGGTTCTGACCAATTAGTTGGCAATCCTAGCCAGTTTTTATTTCTAGAATGATGCCTAATCCGGGTCCGTCGCGGTGAATTCAATGGTTAACTGTCATTGCGTCTGTCTTCAGTTTATTGCAATTCGCTTCAGCTCACACCTCCGACTCAGTAGCCTCAATTACTGAGGCCAGCCGAAGCACTCCCATTCTCCTTTGCGCGGTTTTACTCCGGTCCGAAGCTAACTCTAACGCAGCGTATCACTTTGCTCAGAAACGCCCCCGATGAAGCAGGTCTCTCAAAGCCTCGCCTTTTGCCCTGTCTCCTTCCCACTACCTGCTAGCACGGCCGGCGGTTACTAGGGAGTCTAAATTGGCCCATTTGCCCTTGTTAGGCAGCTCTAGCATTGCCAAGCATCGTGGCGCATGGTGGCTTTCCCCGGTACAGAAATATCACCAAGTCCCACCTCCGTGATGCGATGCACACGCCATGCTCGATACGGCAGGTCGGCCAGAAGACACCCATTTAGTGTTAGGGATAACTTTAATCAGCTCCAGTTCCGAGGAGACATCGTGGGATAGGATACGATAGTCGTCGTATTAGGCCGAGGAGGCAATCAAGGAGCTGACATGTTGTTGTTACCTGCCAAAGTCGGCGTGGGCAGCCGTTGGTTTGATGAGGTGGTGAGATACGGACAATGGCTCACATATATATTGGCCTTGCCAGTTGGCGAGTTGTTGTAGGATATCCAGCTCACCATCTCCTCCGACTCAGTCTTGATCGCTTCACCTCGCCTCTTATACCCATCCACCATGCACCTGTCCACCCGCATCGTCGCCGCCGCGCTGGCCGCCCTTCCCCTGGCCGCTGCCTGGCCCGCCGAGCTCACGCGCAACGCCGAGGGCTTCTGCCACAGCACCCCCAGCTCGCGGCTGCTGGCGCTGCACGAGAGCATCGTCAAGGGCGAGCAGGAGACGCTGGACATGATCGCCAAGGGCGAGGCCATCATCGAGGAGGCTCTGGCCAAGACCGAGAGCGGCCTACAGGCCCGCGGCGACGCCGGCATGACGGTGACCAGGCGTGACAGCGGCGCGCTGATTACTCTTGATGCCTGGTTCCACGTCGTCTACAGCAGCAAGACGGCCAAGGGCGGGTACCTGACTGTGAGTAGTGTTTTGTGTTCTTCTTCCCCTTCTTCTTCCTCTTCCTCTCCTTCTCCTCCTCCTCTTCCTCTTCCTCTTCCTCTTCCTCTTCCTCTTCCCCCACTTACACACTTCCCAGTCCCAGAACATCAAGGACCAGCTCTCCGCCCTCAACAAGGCCTTTGACCCCAGCAACATCGCCTTCAACCTCGTCAACACCACCTACACGCAAAACTCCGACTGGGCCGCCTCCACCGACGGCTCCCAGTCCACCACGCGTGCCATGAAGAGCAAGCTGCACCAGGGCGACGCGCGCACCCTCAACCTCTACTTCCTGCCCGGCTACGACGTCAACGGGGAGTGCACCTTCCCCGACGAGATCGACCCCAACGATCCCGCCACGCTGCGCAACGACGGCTGCCAGGTCGGCTCCTTCACGCTGCCCGGCAACGACAACGTCTTCAACATGGCGCTCACGGCCGTCCACGAGGTCGGCCACTGGCTCGGCCTGCTGCACACCTTCCAGGGCGGTTGCGACGAGGAGGGCGGCGACTACATCTCGGACACGCCGGCGGAGAAGACGAGCAACTACGGAAAGTGCCCGGCCGGCCGCGACACCTGCCCGGACCTGCCCGGCCTGGACCCGATCGACAACTACATGGACTATTCGCGAGAGTGAGTTTTGAAACAAGTTCTGACACAAAGTCTCGGGAAGTGCTGACGTGGTCAAACAGCTCTTGCTACAGCAAGTTCACAGCCGAGCAGATCAAGCGCCAGCGCTCGATCCTGGCCGGCCTCCGCGTGGGTAACTCTGCGTAGATGGAGTAGGTTGTGGTTTTTACATGTGCGCTGTATACAAGATGTAGGCGTTGAGTTGGATGATTATATGAAGCAACCATACGAGAGCGAACGCGGGTTTCGGAGTTGGCTGGTGGGAGCATTTACAAGGCGTGAGGCGGCGAGTGCAGTTATATAGTTATCCTGAGCGAGTTGAAATATATGTCCTTTTCAAGTTCTCGTCGGCATTTTCGGCGGCAACACGGGCGGCTGCGGATGCCGAGACGCGGGGCCGAGGCAGCACAAAGCCGGGGCCGAGGCAGCACAAAGCCGGGGCCGGGGGGCGTAGCGCCGGGGTAACACAAGCCGGCCGGGTGCCGACCGCAGGTGGATCACGACAAATTGAGTTTCCGGCCTCGGCCTTTAGGTTCACTCATATGACACTCTGCAGCGAGAGACGGCGGGAAATGGGAGGCCTTGGGAATTCGGAATGTGTTTGTAATTTATTGAAGCGCCCGTTGGAGGGATCTCAGCCCTCCCTATAAAAGTAGAGGCTGCGAGACCGGGCTTGACCCGCTGGGTGAGGGAGTGTGGTGTGCGCAGAGCGAGTGCAGCGCCAGGCAACCCGAGGTTATCAGGCCACATGATTTGTCTTGGCGATTTATAGCGAGTTTTCGGGAATAATGTTATTGGTCCAGACGGGATAAAAGATAAAAAGCTTCGAGTCGGAGGCATGAGGGGTTGTTGGAGCGGTGTACATGGCATGCTGGCGTCTCTGGCTGTGTCAACTGGAACGGTTGCCCAGGTTAGTTGGACTTGGAAGAAACTTACCCTCAGCTGTACATCTAAAATTCCAGGCTGGCTGGCTGTGTGGGAAGAACATTTCGATCGCTCCCCGAGCACAGCAGCACAAACTATTTTGAGTAGTGTATTGTTTTACGTGTTTCTGCGTTCACACAAGTGGGACTGCTACCAGTCACAATACCAACAGCAGTTGATCCACGCAACGGGGTAAAGATGAAAAATGTGAACCTTTTGGGCAAGAAAAAACAATAATCAGATGGCTTCATAGTAGCAGATAGCAGTTCATAAGAGTGCGTCCCAATTTGGAGGACCTGTAGTAAAATACATAGCACGATATACAGCTAATAACGAGCCAAAGCATCCGTGGATCACCATATGTGGTTCACGTACAGCATGGGATTTTGGTCGCAATTTTTGAACAATGGAGCTCCTGCACATAGTTACTTGGCCAGTTCTTTAATCAATGTCATGTTGTCATGATAGCATGTTTCTTGTCTAGCTTCAGGGTCCGTGACTTATTTACCACAAGCACTTGCCCTTCTCCTCGCGTCCGCCTGAAACCCCCATCGTTTTTTTAATCTTTACTCTTATAAATCTCCTTTTTCTTTCCTTTTTTACACTATACTTCTCATTCTTGCCACCTTTCTCTATTACTGCAGACTGGTTTCCTTGTGCTATGGCAAAACGCAATAGGTCCTGCCGAGGCGGGCACACCGCTAGCGTTCCTGCCGTGTTTGTTGCTCGAATGTACGGACATAATGTCACGATGCCCGAGGCCTAGTTGGATTCTTTTTTTTCTTTCTCTCTATGTTACCTATATCTTTTATTGGTGATGTTCGGCTTTTCTCCCTCCCCGGCCTTGAAGGCCGCAGCGCTCGCCTTCCGCATCGATTTCCTCGACCGGGATGCCGTCAACGGTGCCTTAGAAAAAGTCACGGCGGCGGTCGTACTACTGCCCCGGTCCGGCAAGGCACCACTTCAGGAGCATTTGAGACTGGTTCTCCTTTGTCTCGGGCTCCTGCTGTGGTCCTACCTTCACAAAATTCACCAGAGAGCTTGGTCCCGCCTCCGTCCGAAGCGTCCAACGGAGACAATCCTCCCCGTTTACGAGAGAGTTGAGCCCCCGCACGGCTTATATCTCTAGACACGGGCCTACCCGTTGGGCGTGTTCGCGCTACCTTTTCTAAGCACCCATCATCCGCGTCATGACAAAGCCTCGCCACCTCCGCCAGCAGGCACACACCACCTTTGGTCTCAAGCCCGGCCCGCTCTGAAGAGCAGGAGGGCGATCAGAATCAGAAAGACGGCTCTTGTTTCCAGCAGACTTTCGCTCAATCAACGTATCCATGCCGAATCCGTTGTGTCAATCCATCAGCGCTGGGCTCAGGAGGGCCCGTTGTCACATATGGTTCGAAGCGTCCCACACCTTTTGGTCTCACGCCCGGTCTACTTGGGGGAACAGGTCGAGACAATGGAAAAGAACAGATCCAACAAGATTTAAACTCGTTTTTCAATGTCTTCTTTCTTCGCTCAAGCGACTGTCCTGGCACAATATCGTTGATACAACTTCCCAGCTACTTCAAGAGGTATCGGCACGATCCTCATCCCTGTTGTCACCAACGGTTCGAGGCCTCCCATCATCACCTTGGTCTCTTGAGCGACGACGATTGTATAGAAACAAAAACGAGCTCTTTCTTCTGCTGCGCTATGACCCAACCATTTTGATCCCAATCTGTCTATCTCTGCCGCATCTCGGTTCTCATCCATGATCTGCAGTTACTCGACCTTTTGGATATCTACGGCCAGTTGCCATCACGGCTACTGATAGCTAAAAGGCATCCCGGTCGTTTTTTCTACGAACGCCAAGCCAGGCATTGCGCTACCTCGACCTTGAGCACCTTTCCGTCGAAGAGCCTACAATGTTCACGTTGGCGCTTCGGCTAAGGCAGAGCTCGATATTGCATCTGCAAATTTTGAATTCGTATCATAACCCTTCATTTACCTCGATAGAGCGGGGACCATCATCGAATTGGATATAGCAGCATTCAGCGAGCGAAGTCTTGGATTGCAACACATCGACCTACCATACTCATCTCATCTAAACGCACTACATCGCTCACATCGCTCACATCGCTAATCAACGAAGATCCAACTACATACATGTCGCTAGAGCAGTCAAATTATTGACCACGAAACATTTCTGGAGAAAAGAAAGGTCTTACCTACACCAGCCCTTGCTAAACTCTGGCTTCGCGTGCTTCTTGGTAAGTTTCGCATCACTACCCTTACCCTCCCACTTCTCTCCCATTCACCACCTCAACGGCTCTCCGTGTAAAAGAATCAAACAATAATACATTGAGCTAGCAGTTACGATAAAAGCATCAACGTGCGCTCCGTCCACGCTTCTCTCAGACGTACATGGCGACCTAGATTTCTACATCACACCATGCTCAAGGCCCTGTGCACTGTTACTTCATTTGATAAGGCACAGATTTCTGGCACTTTTGCATAGTCAAGACGCACCTCGACCGCAGCACCAGGCAGCGGTGCGTGTTCTCAACTCGGTTTAGCAGCTCACTAAAGAAACGATCCCCCTTTGCGACGATTTCAGTGTCTTCAATCAATAGTTTGGCAATGGGATATAAGATTTTTGCGGCGTGTCATGGTCCTAAACAATGGCGACATTGAGATCTGACTGTCTAGGTATAAACTCCTTCCATGTCTTAATGAAGTTTGGGCTTGTAAGAGTTTGTTCTTGACGTTTTAGAAAGATGAAACTTTCGGTAGTATGTACAGTGGAAGCTATCCCGTTCAAACACCCAATGGGTACTACTACTTCAATAACATTTTGCCTTTCTATAAAATTTGCTTTGTAGCCAGACTTTACGTTTTTGGACACTTGTACCACTATGGGCTTCAATACTTTTCCATCGACGTCATACAGCTGGCGATTAAATTCTTTTACCAAAATCTATAAATGACTGTCGCAATGAATCTAGCGCTTAGGCTAGCAAATTTTTCCTATTTTGATAGAGTTCGTGTATGGTGTGATAGTGTAGTGGCTGAAGTTTCCTGTCTAGGCAATTACACTTTAATTCTTGCCGCTGAGGTTGCTTGTGGAAAGCAAACGTGTCAAAGTCAAGAGCTTACATTGAAATGAAATTTACAGCACGCACAATCTCTGTTGTAGATGTAGAGGCGTATAAAACAGAAGAGTCCTGCGCCTTCTATCCAACCCAACTGCACTGCCCGCCAACTACTAGACATCAATCACCACCTGATCGACGATCTACGCACATCCCACCACACACGGAGAGTAAGTGTTACGTCGCATGCCAAGAAGAAGCGAAAGATTATCAACTAAAGACAATAGAATCATGGATGAGTTGCTTAGTTGCCGGGTCTTATTCGAGGCCATATGCTTACTACCCATCCTAGCCTACCCCTTCCTACCCTCGGCCGGCCGATCAGGGGTCCGTTGCGAGGTCGTTCTTGTGTGGAATGCCCTGGCGATTGCCGCTTTCCTGACCGCAAACAAATTCATTGGGCTCGGCTGGCAAGCAGACCTTTGGGCCCCCATCCTGGTGTCCATGTATGGCTCCGCCGGCTTTCAGGCACTACGCGTGCCATCAAGCCGCGCACCTGAAGCCAAAGACTTTGTTTCCGCAGCGGACTATATCGTTGTGTGGATTTATTTGGACTACCTAGACCTCTTTGAGGCTATTTTTGAGGGTCATCCTGAGAGTGTCTGGATGGCCCGCGTTTCCCGCGTTTCGATCGAGTATCTCAGCGTCGCTGTTGTTGTTTTGGCAGCTTTCCTGTTCTCCAGACGCTTCCTTTCGCAAGCACTTCTTCACTTCATCACACGCCGAGTCTCCTGGTGGCACTGGCTTCCAGAGAACGGTGGTGCCAAGGAGTTTGGACCCTTCTGGAGCGTGTTCCTTGCAATGGCTGTGGTCATGGCACCTCTCGCGCTTTTTACAGCTGCCATCGCCGGCGTACACTAACTAATGCGCGATGTCTGGCGTCAAAGGCCAGCATGAGGGAGCCATCAGGAAGTCAACGCAAGGATGAGCCCGCCCTGTCGCATAACTAGTAGCACCGTACCGTCTCCTTTGCTAAACTGAAAGGGGAAAAAGGCGAACAAGGGGCACCGAGTAAGTACATTGATGAGTACTGGTTCCATGTTGTGGCGGTGGGGGAGGAACATGTTGCGCGCCCTACACTATGGGCAGCCGATGACTAGTGGCGATGGGGATAAAACATAATAATAGTTTTCCTATGTTTTTTAATTAAATAAAAATTATCTCTTAAAGATCTTTTAAATAAAATCATTTGCCTGATTTTCTTTTTTTTTCCCCAACAACAACATGTTCCATGACGTGATGCCATCATATTCTCTCATCGAATGGCCAGCCAGTTGGTCGAGTCCGAGTCCGAGCGGCCAACCCCAACAAGCGCATCAACAGGCGACGTGGGCAGTTATTAAAAATGACTATAAAATTGCAGTCTTTACCTGTGGCAGTAGTCTGGTGCGTGCCAAGTCATCGATTGAGAAGCACATGCTAACAGTGTCGAACAAGATATGTGCCGATGGTTCCCCAAAAAGGCTAGGAAAACACGGAAAAGGTTGAGGATTCTAAGAAGCGCCTACTTGCTATGCCCGGCTTTGGTGGCATGCGCGTCCCGATTAAGCGGTCGGCCGAGGAGCGCTTCGCGCATAGCTTCGCTGTCTGGAGCCGGAACCGGCTGACGTCCCAGGTCGCGGCATGCCTATTTAATTATACGGCATACTTGAACGCAAGCACCGCGAAGCAAGACAGGACCTCACAGAGAGATGGCCAGGCACTGCTCGTTCCCTAACGTAGCGTACGCTGGTGAGGAGACTCGCAGCCCAACCATCGGAGAGGGGAGAGACAAGGGGTCTCTGGTTCCGCTTCCGCCACGGAATCTCCATAATCAAAGAGCCTGAATTATTCCCGAACCAGGCTTAGAGTCGTGTTGTGGTCGGCGAATAGGACTAGGAGCCGACAGTGGCCGCTTCGGCCTAGTTCATAAAAATTAGAAAGAAAAAAAAAGGACAAGAAAAGAAAGAGCCTTCTACTAGTTACATAGTTTGGCCTCCTCGCCTCCACCCCGACAACGGCTCTGGGCGGCGGCGGCATCCGAACTCCAACTAGTTTACTATATAATAAGACAGAGGGCTGTTGACCCACGAATGTGTATGGCCACTTTTTCAGGCGGGATGTGTGTCTGTTTTTTTCCCTTTAGGTTGAAATTCAATCTTCATCGTTCTGTTCTTTCCACCTCGTCCACTTACACATACATACACAACCTTGAACCAATTACACCATCAGAGACGCGGGCTTGAAGTAAACCTGCTCTCCTCAAGCCAGCCGCCATGGACGTTCAGCAGGTCAACTCGCGAGTCATCCACGAGGAGCCAGACACCGTCTACCGCTTGGAGCCCGACCTCAACACCTCCTCCTCTGAAAAGCCAGACCGTACCAACAACACCACCACAACCACCACCACCAACCATGCCAGCCCAGACGCAGACGGAGGACAGGTTGAGCGGCAAGTCACCGCCCTCTCCGCGGCCTCCTTCGAGGAGCCCTACCCCGAGGGCGGCTGGGCTGCCTGGTCCGTCGTCCTCGGCTCCTTCCTCGCGCTCTTCTCCGCCATGGGCCTGATGAACAGCATCGCCCTCTTCCAGGCCTACGTGCTCGAGCACCAGCTGCGCGGCCGCAGCGAGGGCACCGTCGGCTGGATCTTCTCCATCTACACCTTCCTCGCCTTCTTCGGCGGCGTGTACTTCGGCCCCGTCTTTGACAAGTACGGCCCGCGGTGGCTGACCATTGCCGGCGGCGCGTGCGTCACCTCTTCCATGGTGGCCATGAGCTTCTGCACCGGTGAGTCTCTTCCTTTCCCTTTTGCCTACATGTAGCGGACTGTTAACGGATGGATGGGGAAAAGACCTCTGGCACTTTATCCTCGCGTTCGGCGTCCTCGGCGGCCTCGGCACCTCCCTCGTCTTCACGCCCTGCATCGCCGCCGTCGGGCACTGGTTCAAGCGCCGGCGGGGCTTCGCCACCGGCCTCGCCACCTGCGCCGGCGGCCTCGGCGGCATCATCTTCCCGCTCATGCTCTCCGACCTCTTCCCCCGCATCGGCTACGCCTGGGCCACCCGCGCCCTCGCCCTCGTCTGCCTCGTCTGCAGCTTCCTCGGCGTGCTCCTCGTCCGTGCCCGCCTCCCGCCCGCCCCCGACGCCACCGCCCGCCCGGACCCGCGCATCTTCCGCCAACTCCCTTTTGCCCTCGCCACCGCGGGCATCTTCCTCCTCGAGTTTGCGCTCTTCATCCCGCTCGCCTACGTGTCCACCTACGCGGTGCACCGCGGCTTCGGCCAGGCGTTCGCGTTCCACCTTATCCCGGTGATGAATGCCGGGTCGGTGGTGGGGAGGAGCTTGCCGGGGTACTATTCGGACGTCATCGGCGCGCTCAACACGTGCCTGCTGAGCGTGGTGCTGTCGCTGGTCGCGTGCTGGTGCGTGTGGCTGCCGCTGGGGCACACGACGGGGGGCATCGTGGTGTTCTCGGTGCTGTTTGGGTTCGCGAGCGGCACGGGCATCGCGATCGCGCCGGTGTGTATCGGACGCATGTGCAAGACGCAGGAGTACGGGAGGTACTACGCGACCACGTACACGGTCGTCTCTTTCGCGTGCCTCATCGGCATCCCCATCGCGGGCAGCATCGTCCAGGCCAACGGCGGCGAGTACGGCCAGCTCATCATCTGCACCGGATGCATGTACGTCGGTTCCGCCGGCTTCCTGATCTGGGCCAAGGCAGCCAAGCTCGGCTGGAAGAACTGGCTGGCCGCGTACTAGACGGCAGTTGAACCGGCAGTACTGGACGATTGAACAGAGTACTATACGGCACTGATCCCTCCCTTGCCTGGCGACCTCTCTCTCCATGGATCGTAAACTCCATCCATTTTCCCCCAATACCCACGCTTTCATGATATCTAACGGCCTCTACTATACCAAAAACAGCATCATTACTTACACACACGCACACACACACACAGAACTAACCATTCCTGCATTTACAAGCCCTTTGTCTCCAGAGTTTTGTATCTCGTTTCTTCGTTTCTACTCCATCAAACCGTACTTGTGTGCAGCGTCGTCGATGTAGCCACTTACTTCCAGCCCGGCCTCCCAACCTGGACAGTCTAGATAAATGAGCACTCTCCATAGTTGAGAATAAAAGTTTTTGACATTCACGTTTCACTACGTTGGCATTCTACTTCGCTTGAGTCAGAAAATTAAAATGCGAAACTGGGTCAACCAAGGACGATGGGTTCACTTACCTGCGGATGTGCACCGTGGACATTCAATGATTCCACCAAAGAGTCAGGACAGTGCAGACGTCGCTGATTCCCAGTTTCCGACCGCGCAATGTGCGGAATGCGACAACTCGACTCTTCACACGCGTTCGGCTGGTTGCTTCGCGTGATCCCATCCCGAGTTCTGACGGGAGGCGAGTACCAAGAGACACAGATCACAATGTTGTGTGTAGTTGAACTCGATTTTCATGAGAGGCTTGGGAGGCGCCTCTTCTTGTTCTGTATTGAAAAATTCCATCTGAAACGCCTTTACCCTGTTTTTATGGTCGTGGTATCATAATACTATACATGCATATTCACCCATGCCTCCGCCCCATCATCGACTGGCATCATTCCTCCTCTTCCTCTTCCGCATCTTCCACAGTAGCCTTCCGCGATGATGACGCTCCCGTCGCCATGTAGCCCTGCTTCTCCAGCGCGTCCGCCTCCTCCGGCTCCAGCAAGCCGCCTCCATGCCCCCCGCCGCCTTTCGCCAGCTTCGACCGCACCGCCGACGGCACGAACGCCACCGCCTCCTTCTGCAGGTCGCGCGTCACCGGCGCCGCCGAGTACACCGTAGGTGCGGGCTGCTTCTCCTCCACCTTCTCGGCCGCCGCCTTGTCCGCATCCGCTCCTGGTCGCGCCGCCGCCCGCTGCGCGCGTCGCTTCGCGTACCACGCGTCCAGCACCTCCTTCGGTATCGGCGGGGGCGTGTCCCTCGGCATCGGTATGCGGCGCACCTCCTCCGGCACGTCCTCCTCGTCGCTGCTCGCGCCGTCGCCGCCGCCGCCGCCGGGGGAACCGCGCCGCCGCTTCCCCAGCACGCCGTCGCTGCCGCCGCCGCCGGACCGTCCCCGGCCAAACGTCGGCGCCTTGTCTCCCAGCGCTTCGCGGGCCTTGCGCACCGCCTTCAGCTCCTTCTCCAGCCCCTCCAGCACCTGCTCCTCGTGCCGGCTGAGCTTGCCGCCGCCGTCCGTGATCTTCTTGAGGTCGTCGATCTGTCGCTGCACCTGGTCCGGGTTCTTGCGCGCGAGTCGCTCGTTTCGTCGCTCTTGGGCTTCGGATTTTCCTGCCAAGAAAACGGCTGTTAGCAAACGAAGGTGCGGTTCGCAAATTTTGTTCAACTCAAGTTTGCTGGTAACTACCTTTTTTGATCGCCTTGGCCTTGTCAGCTTTGCGCTGGGCGGCCACGGGGTTGTAGTTCTTTTCCTTGGGCATAGTGGATTGTGCGTGTGTGTGAAATGACGACCAATGTGCTTTGACGAAAAGTAGAGAGCCTCGTGAAAAGAATTGCACGGCGAAAACGAAATACAAACGCAAGGTTTGGTTGGCCGCAGAAGCTCAGTTGCAAAGATTACTAAGCACTTTGTTACCCTGCACAAGCTTTAAATATAGGGTATCGCATATCAACGACTTTTTTATTCTGTATATGTAATGACTCCGTAAGCTTCGGCTTTAATTCTCTCAAGTTCAAGTTTAATTTACCTATTTGTTGTAAGTACCAGCTATGTGAGGAAGACTGAAAAGAATAGTAGAATGGCGAAAGTTTGACGAGAGTGTCAATGCATGTAAGTTGCGTTTCCCCCACGATTGCGAGTATTGGCCTCCATGGGTGAGATGACGATATTTTGTTTATCCTAGTAGCACATGTATTTGATGACATGAGAACTGTAAATAAGGATTTTATTATATATTATACCATTGCTTGTTGTAATAAGGGTGAAGGGGAAGATAACGCTGCCTTATTGATAAATCTTGGTGATGCGGTCCCAGACGCTTTTACAGGGAAAGTGATGATATTCTGCAGAATATGCGACGCATATACCACTCATGGAAATATCCAGAATCGAGATGCAAATCTGGGAGACTGGGACACCTGATGGTTTATACAGTCTGGTAGCCAATCATCTGCTCTCAGATTTCAGGGCGTGTGCGATTTTCGGTTCCGCCCCCTGCAAAGCACGTGGTAGTATTCTTTGCAGGAACTCACTTCGACCGGCATCTGCAGTTCGGCACACAGCAAGCGGGACAAAAAGTTATATTGGCACGACAAGCTCGCGCAACCCACGAAATCGACGGCGCGCTGATAAGGACAAAGTGCGAGGCGGGATGGACGTTATCAGTTGATAACTTGGCTAGCCAGAGACACCACAGGTAGGGGTGGGAGAAGTGTGGCTCGTCGGGCCGAGAGAGCGGCTTGCCGTTGTCACGCCGCGGGATACCTGATTTGGTGGCGATGCCACGAGGCTGCTTACAGAGACACACTGGTGGCGGGCGAGCTAGAAATCCGTGGGGGCTCCTTGGGGTTGCCGCAGAAGAAGACGATTTAATGCGCGGTGGCTACTGGTTTAATACTTCGTATAAAGCGGCGTTAGTAAATGACGACGCGATAATGCAGTGAGACACGACGCCGTCCTGTATGTTGGCGGCGCATCGCGCGGACAGATGGCCGCACAGCTTGTCGGTTGTACATGCTGCTAAAGGTGCTGAAAAGCATGTAAAACACGGCACAGGTGTGTGGGCGATCAGACGGCATGTGCTGTACAGAGTAGGGAGCGTCGCACTGTGGCTATCGTGGTGCAGGTGGCGGATGGTCGGTCAAGGCAAGACGGGTAGGATAATGGCTGGGTATCTGCATCTCTTGGCCAGCCATCTCAATGAAGGAGGTGGATGGCGGTACGCGAGGCGAGCTGAGGGCTGAGAGGTACAGAAAGGATGCGTGGAGGCGCAGAAGGATGCATCGAGGTGCAGCATTCCGTCGCCGGTCCTGTTTCTCAGCCTGCAGTTGGCAGGCAGGGCCAATGTTATTAGACTTGTCCGGAGTTATTGATGAACAAGCCACACGGCAGGGCAGCATACGGCCATGTGGACCTGCGAATGCGCAACCACAAAAGCGATGGCTTCGTAACTTCGCCAAAGGGTCCATCAAGAACGGTCGACTGGGGCGATGGTGAATTGGACGAGCAGGGGATATCGATAAGCATCGGAAGAGATACATGTGATTGGGTAGCCGGCATGGAACTGGTGGCTCCAGGTTGGTTGCGATAACGAGAGTGGGTCCTTCGGGATGGTGTCGGTGGAATGGTGGGAAACAAGAATGAGGCTGATGAGGACATGACACGAGCGGAAAGGTCGAAAGGGAGAAAGACGTATCGGGAAGATGAGGAAGTGGAAGATGAAGATTCAATGAGGTGGTGATTTGAGCTGTTTTGTCGGTGTTTGCAAGAGCAAACGGAGACGGCAGCTGGCAACACTGGCAGCTGGCAGGCATTTTAGTACCGAAGTAAAGTTTGGGCTACCTCGGTCGTGGCGGCTGGCAGGTAATGCGTACCTGTAGATGTCGTAGAAATCTGACTACAAATATGGTTTATTACTGGGGGGCTAGGCGGGCGACGTGGTAGACAGATGATTGAACGCCTGTTAACTCCTGAGTACACAAGTGCTGAAGAAACCAGAGCGGAGAGTGTCGGGAGAATTTGGAGTCAAGGCTCCGTTGCCGGCGTCGGACGACCGCCGGCTAATGAGAGCAGGCGACGGCAAGGGATGGCGGGAGTTAAAAAGCTATGGCGGGCTTGAGGCGCGAGGCTTGGGGCTACAGCGAGATGCAAGTTGGAGGGGTTTTGAGATTTCCAGGAAGAAGGCCCGCCGCCACGAAGCTTACAGCGGCGGGCTAGCGTTCTCTGCCAATCTGCTGGATGACAAAATATCCATCCTTATACCTCCTCCATCCTTCCCGGAGGTCCAGCTGCAAGTAGATGATGGCGCTGCTTGGCTCCTTGTGCGGGCTTGCAGGATGCCTACTGCCATGGATCTTCCCCACCTGTCTCACCAAAAAAAGCCGCCCACTTACCTTGGCTGGCTAGGCTTCGATTTCGACTTGCACATGCTTTTCTCGACGCTCGGTAGTGCGATGACGACGATGATGCTCAGGATGCTGTGTGAAGCGGGAGAAATAAATGAATAAGATCATCTGCGACAAATACTAACTTGGCAATGTATACAGTCGTGCACAGCATTAGTGGTAGACGAGAAAGCAGTGTAGGCCAGTGAACCAGCTGCCTGTACAAGAAGTGCAGCCTGCGACGAAGCTGAATCGCAAAGAGGCAAAAGACCGACGTTCCCCCACATTGGGGATTCATGAGAAACTTTGTCGCTTCTTGGCAGATGAGGAGGACCGGCCGGGACGAGTTAGAACCAGGTGAGGGTACGCGCAGATCCGTGGTCGCAGGTGGTAACCTTAACGTTTGGGCGCTGCTGCTGTTGGGGAGGGAGACGGAGCAGGGGACTGCAGATGGGACTAGGCAAGAAAAAGACGAGATGACGTTGGAAGAGGTGGGAAAGTAGCATTGAAGCCGTTGTGAGGAGTCAACTTTTTGCCGCCGATGTAAATGTTCACATCGATAACAGTCGACAGGTTCAAGGATAGCAGTGCTCTAACTTGGCTTGCTTGGATAGTTTGCTTATACGTTGCTGAAAGGAAGCTAAAAACAGGAGAATGTCAAAAAAGAAACCAGACGTCACATCCGAACACATCCATGCGCTCATAAACTAATCTGGCGACTTTGTCCCACGGAAACCTGCCGGCGGATGACAATTTATTCCAGGGACTTGCAGGGGCTTGGAGTGCTTTACAGGGGACGGCCTGCTGAAATCCCCTGCTAAGCGGAGCCAAATGCAGCCTCGTCCGGACCGTCCCCCGCTTCCAGGCAAGGACCAGCAGCGTTGGCCGGTTATAGCTCACGAGTAATTGAGAATTACATAGCGATTATTGTAAATCATGAGGACCACTGCAGATATGTAAAATGTCTGCAAGTATTGCAATAAACATTCTAACAGCTCATGCGTTCTCTTATGTGGTGTTTGGTCCGATACCCAAGGCCCACAGCACCCAGTTCCAACCGAACTATCGACACCATTGACGAATACCACCATAACCACCAACACGAACGTGCCGCGCGCCACACCATCGCCGCATCATCACCATCCTGGCTTTACGGTGGCTTGTCCAGTTGCAGCTAATAACTAACTACTGGTAGGTGGAGGTGGAAACCTACTTGCTACATCGTTCGAGTCTCTTGCGGCCTCGATTTGGCACCTTTGGCTTCATCTCCCTCCCACCACCTTTTTTCGGCCGCAGGCTGTTGATCCACCTGAGACTCAATCGGCAACGACCCCTTTCAAAAGGAAAATCAACTCGACGGCGCGCGATTGTCACCAGGTAGATTCGGGGTTTTTACTCTTCCTTGTAAGAAGATCATCCAACATGAGTCTATAGGTAATCTGGTCTCTGACGCACATTCAAGCAAACGAAACCCTCCGATCGGACGGCCTCTCGCTTCAGCAGTGGACGGACCTGAAGTACTCTTGAGCAGAGCACCCCACCAGCGAAAGCACCGTACATCGTTGCTCAGAACGACCACCGGCCCCCAACCACTGTAGCGACTCTTCAGTGCTCTCCAAAAAACAGCGCTACGCCCGCTAAATCCGGACACTGCACCTGCAGGCAGCAAGGACGAGGTACAGAGGGTACAAACACCGCCGAAACCACCACCAAACTCCCCCGGCCGCCCTCTGACTCTCTCTGAGTCGCTCTCCCGCCCGCTCAACTCGTTCGCCTTCTCCGCCTCAATTTCGCTCGCTCGCCCGCCACCACCTCTTCTTTTTCCTCTCTCTTCCCGACCATCCTTTCCGTTGTCCTTCCCACCCCCCGTATCGCCCTTATCCTTACCGGCCGCGTCCCTTTCGCCGTCGCTGAATATCTTCAATTCGACTGTCCCTCTCCGCACGCATCGCTCTCGCACCCTGTCAGAGCCCGCCCGTCGCCCGGGATGCATCCCACCACCACAGAACACGACTACCGCTTTCCGCGAAGACCCGACAACCACCACCAGCAGGTCGCGACCGACGACCTCTCGACCGGCTCCAGCCCGCACCCCGGCCTCGGCGTCGCCAACTCCCCTAGTACCGCCTCCCAGTCCTCCCGCGCCCTCGACCTCGAGAGGTCCTTTGCCAAGCACGACCATCTTCTCGGCGATGCGCTCTTTCCCACCCTACGCGACGCCGACGGCCCTGGAGCCGCCAACCTCGACCAGATGCAGTCCGACGATCCCCTCGCCGCCCAGGTCTGGAAGTTCTTCACCAAGACTAAGCAGAATCTTCCCAACCAGCAGCGCATGGAGAACCTCACCTGGCGCATGATGGCTCTTAGCATGCGCAAAAAGCAGCAAGAGCAGCGCAGTCGAGAAAAGTGAGTCGCACCGCCTGCCCGCCGTCGCTACCTCTTGCCTTTGGCATGCTCTTCTACATTGTCATCTCTCAATATTTATCATGCTCTCCATATACTGATGGGTTTTATTCTTCCAGCAGCATCTCCCGCCCAGGTGCCCAGTCCGGCCCTAGTGGAATTGCTCAACTTCGCAAATCCTCTCAGGCCAACTCTACCGCCACTGCCCAAAACCCGGATCAGATGAACATTGACGAGTTCATCTTTCCAGAGCAAACCAGCTCTCCTGGTGCCTTTGCTTCCCCTCAGATACCTGCAAACCCACCCCCCGCCCAGCCCTCGGGTATTCCCATCCACCAGCAGCCGAGAAGCGAAGGCCTCGGTAGCGCTTTTGTTCCACAATCTGTCCCCGATGCGCCTCACCTCCAGCATCGCGACCGCAACGAGTTCAACTACGTCCAGCGCCACGTTCGCAAGACTAGTATAGATGACCGCCAGGTATGTCGCTACCCTTGGTTGCCCGCGCTGCGAGGCATTGTTGTGCATCTGCGCGCCTTTTAACCCTGCGCCGCTAACCTGCTTGCTCCAGACGAGAAAACGCCCTGCCAACTTTTCTCCCCACATCAATGCTGTCGGTGCGCCGAATGGCGCTGCTGGTCGTGAATTCGACAACGATGGAGACATCCACGGCTATTCCCTCGACGGCCACGCTCAGATGAACATGCCTCAGCAGCTTCCCATCGACCAGTTTGGCCTCGACTTCATGCCCAACGACAACATGATGAACAACTCGCAATTTCAGCAGAACTTTGGCTTTTCTCCCTCCACGTCACCCATGGTCTCTAATGGTCCTCTCTCCTCCTTTAATAACTCCATGGCGCCATCCTCGCTCAACACCACCGACTTTTACTCGCCACCAGCCTCCGGCTACCCCTCTGCTGTATCGACCCCGCATGGCATGGGCGACAAGGACAACTTTGCCTTTAGTCCACAAGATGCCCGTCAGCACGGCCAGGGCTTCCAGCAGCAGAACATGAACCATCAATTTATGTACAACGACCCCAACGGCAACCCCATGTACGGCTCCATGGCTCAGGGACAGTCCTTCAATCAGATGGACCACTCTCAAGCTATGCACCCTGATGGTGGACTTGTGTCGCCCACCATTCCCATGAACCAAGATGGACTGTTCTCTTTTGGTGGTGATTCAGACGAGGATGATGGAAGCAATGGCATGAATAACATGCAGGGCGATTTCACCGCCGCGGTTGATGAAGTAAACTCCTTGGGATGGGACGCTTCACTGCCTGGCCAGTTCAGCACGCACTCGGCACGGTATCCAGGCGGGCCGCCGCGTAAGCAAGTCGTTATTGGCGGCACAACCACCGACTACGTCGAGTCCAATAACGAAGACGGGGCTAGCGGCTTGGGAAGATCGCAGTCGTTCAAATCATCCGGCCCTCGACAGCCGAAGCTGCCGCGAACCGCTTCAACGCCGTCTCACATGGCGTCCAAGCATAACGGGTTCGAACAGATCGCGCAGTCATTGCCCACCTCACCACATGGCGAAGTCGCTGGTAACATGTCCGGCTTCTCCTCAGTGGCCCCCAGCCGGCCCTCCTCTCCACCGTTGTCAAAGCCCGGCTCGACATCGAACTTGCAGGCCGCGGCTGGCAACCATACCGAAGGCGGCAACCCCACGACCTGCACCAACTGTTTCACGCAAACGACCCCGCTCTGGCGACGAAATCCCGAAGGCCAACCACTGTGTAATGCTTGCGGTCTGTTTCTGAAGCTCCACGGCGTCGTACGACCTCTGAGTCTAAAGACGGACGTTATCAAGAAGCGTAACCGTGGCTCCGGTACCAGTGGCGGCGGGCGGGGTAAGAAGGGTGCAAGCTCTGCTGCCGCCTCGCGCAAAAACTCATCTCTTTCCATTGCCAACTCGGCGCAGTCTGGACAGCAGACACCCACAAACCCATCTACTCAGCGCCCTGGCACAAGCCACAAGGAGGAGAGCCCCGCGTCCGCCAGTAGCAGCCAATTTGGAGCACAGGCAGCCGGTGGCAAAGGTGTAGTGCCTATTGCTGCCGCTCCCCCCAAGTCATCGCCTGGCCCAGGCGCATCAGCCTCGGCCATGCCCCTGGCTCGGCCTTCTGCTAATGCCTCTTCGAAACGACAACGCAGACACAGCAAGAGTGAAGGCACCTCCACAGCCATGGATATTGACAGCGGTTTCCCGGGCCCCAATGACGGCGCTAGGTCTCTCGGCACGACACCCAGCATGCCATCCATATCGTCCACCATGATGTCCGCAGGCTACGGCATGTCGCAGCGTCCCCTGATGGCGGCCCCGGGTCCCATCGGCCACCCGCCCAATGCCGGCATGAGCCCCAACGGCAACGCTGTCGGCCCACAGGAATGGGAATGGCTCACGATGAGTCTGTAATTTCTTCGTTTTACCTTTTTGCACCTGATCGGCGCCTACACGATATTACGGCGAGCACTTCTTTTTTTTCCTTTGCATAACGACTGGAGTTTTGGGATTTTCATTTCATCTTTTTGAAACTGTAATTCTCAATCGCTACCTATATACGATCGACGACGACTGCTTCTTCGACAAGGCGCCGGCACGCCCGCCATTATAATTTTTCTTCTTCTCTCCGATTCACCCGTTCACCGTAATCACGAAACGACGATGTAATATGATGGATGGATGGACGAGCTCCAAGGCGAGGCGATGGTTTATACTTCACTGGCGCTTTTTCTTTTTGTGTCAATGTTCGCTTTTGGGATCTGCAGGATTAGTTTCTTTTTATGCGTTGAGGCTTTTTTTTTGTTTGATGATACCTTGCAAATAGACATGGGACCGGAACTTGGGGCTTTTTTCTGCCTTTGTGCGTTTTGGATGAGTAGCAGTGCGCGGGACGAATTTTATTTTGACGCCGTCGTAGCTTTGTTTTCTTTTCTTTTTACGTATGGCGGTTGGATGGGTATATCTTTTTACAGCGGCATGGCGGAAGGGGCGCTGGCTTCGGGCAGGAGGTTGGGCGGTTTGTCAGCTGGTCTTGGATTCGGGAAAGCACTCGGTCTCTTTATTTGGCCTTTTCAATTTCTTGTTATTTGGCGTCCTGATGGGATCTTGGCGTGTACTTGGCTGTTGAAACCTGGAAAGGCGGTGCAAAGTACGATAAACCGAGCTATAGGGAGTTGATATAGTGAAATTTCGACTTGTTTTTACATACTCTATTAATTATGGCGTGACCCATGAACTACACAAACAGCAGTGGAAACCAGCTCATCGTGATGAAACGTTGTTCATATTAACAAAGTCTTTTATGATAAAACACCATGCGGATCATTTAATCCCTGTTCACATATCCATATTGTTGATTTTGCCCCAACTCTATGCCACCCTTACCAAAGCAACTAAGAACAAGAAAAAGCACAACAAAAAATGCCTGACCGACCAACCCTGACTGAGTATCCCATCCCATCCCACGCCTCTCCGAGCCGCCGCTTTCCACAAAGAAAGAGCAAGAAAACACTATAGCAGCAAAAGAAAAACCGTGCAAGAAAAAAACAAAAGAAGAAGAAGCGCAATGAAATGAGACTAAAATATTCTAATAAAAATAGGGCAAGGAAAGAGAAAAGAGAAACCAAGACATTGCAATGGCGAGGAACGATGGCATGGCAGGGCCGGCCTACCCACACACCAGATCCAAGAACGATATAAGTCGCGCAACAAGAATGCAAAGAACCGGCAAGCAAGAACCATCATCGGAGGTAGGTCCACTCCCGCGGCTGACACCGACAATACGGATTCCGGCACGGCGCCAACGAGCGCTCGCTCTAGAGCATCGTGCCAAAGGCGTCGTCCACCGGGATCCTCTTGCGCGGGCTGCCGCCGCCGGCACCATCCTCGCCCGGCGCGGTCTTGCGGTGGCGAAACGTGAAGCCGACAAAGAGGCTCTTGCTCATCTCGTCCTCGCGGTCGGCCATGGTCTCAAGCGCCATCTGCTTCTCGTGCACCTCCTTGTACTTGGCCATGTCGGCTTCGTTGCCAAAGTCGTCAAAGTAGCCGGCGTCCGTCTCCGAGTCCAGCTCAGGCACAAACGGCGCGCGCGTGTGCCTCAGCGTCGCCCAGTCCACCTCGGCAAAGTACTGGTGATTGTAGATGTCCTTGATGTTGTTGAAGCGCCTCATGCGCGAGTTGATACAACTGTGCGGCATTGGTTAGTAAATAGATATCGATGGGTCGTTCATTCGGTGTATGCATACGTGGTGATGAAGTTCCATGTGCGGTTGCTCAGGAAATAGGCGGGATCCTCCCAAACAGGACGCTTCAAAACGTCTCTCCAGACCTTCAGGTTGCGCCACGTCTCATCGGGCGTAGCACCGGAAAACGGCGGGAAACCAGTAAGGGCCTCAAACAACATGCATCCCAGACTCCAGTAGTCAACTGTTGAGTCGTATTCTTCCCCTCTAAGGACCTCGGGAGCCATGTAGTCGGGAGAGCCAACAATCGACTTGGCATAATTGACATCGTTCTCGCGCATGTTTCTGTAGCTCTCGCGACGCTCCGAAACGGTACGCTGTCCGATGGGTTTTCCAAACGGCACCGACGTCTCCGAAGCTTCCTCCAGCTTGACACGCATGGACTCGATGCGCGACGGAGCCAGGACACCGGCAGCCAGACCAAAGTCAGTCAGTTTGACGTGGCCAGTAGAATCAATAAGGAAGTTTTCGGGCTTCAAGTCTCGGTGAATGTAGCCAAGCTGATGCAGGGCATCAATGGAGCAAAACATCTCGGCAATGTAAAATCGGGCATGGCGGTTGGACAGAACACCCGCGTTGTTAAGCAGGGTGCGGAAATCGCCGCCCGGGACGTATTCCATGGCAAGATAGATACTCTTGTCGTCTTGGAATGAGTAGAGCAGTCGCACAAGCCACTCGCTGGATGCGGTGGTGAGAATATCACGCTCAGTGAGGACGTGGCGGACTTCATCGAGCTTGAAAAGCAACTTTTTGCTCATGACTTTGAGTGCGCACACTTCGCGCGTGTCCTTTTTCTGAGCTAGGAAAACCTGGCCGTAACCACCCTGGCCGACCTGAGTGAGGATCTGGAAATCGCCATGACGCAGACGGACACGACGTTTACGAAGGTTTGCACGTTCGCGGCCGGCATATTTGCTCCACATCTGATTGAAGGTCGCATCATCGGTCGCCGGCGGTGCGGGGAACTCGGCGTTGAAGGCAGCGAGGCGGTTCTGTCGGGTGCCGACATATGTGAGAAGATCAAAGTAATAGTCAAGAAAGTCTGCAAGGTATTAGCAAGCTCGGAAAGTATGGCAGAAGCGGGCAGCGTACATAGTTGAGTGACGTTGACGAGTCTGCGGACGCTAGGTCTTTGCAGAATCTCGCGTTCCTCGGCTGTCAGGGCGCGGGATGTGTTGAACTTTTTGGCGGGTGTCAGAGGACGCTCCTTGCCCTCGTACAGCTGCTGGCGCGAGAGCGCCGCGTGTGTCATATGCTGAACAGGAGGTGTGTTCTCCTGGCCTTGCTTCCGCAGAGGGCTGCCCGGACTCGGCCCCTTGTGCAGGACACTATCATCGGCAACAAGGCTGCTCTCGTCAAAGGGCTGGGCATTGGTTTTGGCAGGAGAGAGAGGGGTGACGACGGGCTGGGGCCGCGACAGACGAACGGGCGTGTCTAGCTCGCTGGTGTTGAGAGACATAGCGTTGTCAAAAGCCGAAGGCAGGTCGTGGGCGCCCGGCGGGTGTGTCTTCTTGCTGGGGCTTCCCTGCGGGGTGTTGAGAGGGTTGAGGAAGTTGTTGTTTGTGTTGTTCTTGGTAGGCGTCGCGGGGCGGGCCACTTCTTGAGCGGCCTTGTCCCGGCCGGACTGGAAGAAGTTGGACATGAAGCCGGCCATGGCTGCTGATTTGCGGCGAACGGTGGTGAAGCTGACGGTCAACAAACGTGGTGGCCGAGGAGGGGGCGGGCCGCAAGATGGATGGGGTTCGTATCTGTCAAACCAGATGGGCGGCGGGCAGCTTGTAAAAAGGCGGCGAAGCTAGTAATACGAATAGTATGCAAAAGAAACAATTCCTGGTGCAGCTCTATGCCAATGCAGAACGAGGGCCCAATAAGTAATGACTGGGAAGAGCAGGTTGGCAGATGCAAACACGCAAGATGCAATGCGGGATACTTTTGTTGCTACCTCCCAGGTGGTCTTGGCTGGTGCTGGGGCCTTTAGTGGTGGAATCCGGGGGATGCTATTGGGTGGAGCTGCCGCGAGAGTCAACAAAGGTTGGAGCAGCAACACGAGCTGGCTGGTGGGAGGCGCTGATGCTGTGGTGGGACGAGGGAGGGAGGAAGGTTTTGGGTCTTATTGCACATTCCTGGGCGTGCAGGGTTTAGAGTTATCAAGGGAATTTCTTTCTTTTTGACTACTGCTACATGTCACCGGGTGCTGCTGCATGTGGCGAGGGGTGATGCAGCGGCTGGCTACTCGTACTGTTTTGTTTACAGCTGTTGTTTCCAGTGACCTCATCGCTGTAAGTGGAGGAATTGCAGCTCAGCCACAGAAACCGGTGATTAACCAAGAAAGGGAGTAAGGGGGGATAGCAGACTCTGGACAAATTGGTACATTCCGAATAAATAGAAGAATCAGATGAAAATGCTGCATTTTCCAAGTTTTCCTCAGGATCGTCGACCTCTTCATTTCAACACATCTCTGTCGAAGACAAAATTGACACTGGTGAAACCACCGAGGCACTGCCGCAATGGATGTTAGCGCCACAGGCCGCTAGCCCCAAGCAAACTAGCGCATCGGCTGTACCTGTTGAGCCCGCCAGCAGTCTGGCCGGATCAACGCCGGTCCGGCTACCCACGCACAACCTCCGGCTTGGCTGGGGCTTTCGGTTGAAGCACGTGACTTGAGTCCTGGGCGGGGCGCGCACGCCAATTCAAGGTGTGGGAAAACCCTGCCAAATGGCACAAAATAGAGGCCATCCACTTTTCAAACACTTGACGAGAAGCGACCTTTTTTGCCAAATTTCCGCACCACAATTGCTGTCTGTTAAACCGACAAAACAACACAGCCAAATTTCGTCAACATGGAAGCTTCCAAGACCCCCGTCAAGCTGGTCAAGGTGACCAAGGTTATTGGCCGTACCGGTACGAAATTTCAGTCACACCCTCGACGATTGGGCCGCCAGTTCTCTCTACATATATCGTCCCGTTCGAGGCCATTGCCAATTCGACTGCCGCTTGTTCGAACGAAACACGTCGCCTGGCGAACCGATTTCTGAAAATTGAACTGGCGGGATTATTTGCGGAATCTCAGCAGCGTGGGACTTTGTTGGCTAATATTTGTTGCTTTGGATAGGCTCCCGTGGTGGTGTCACTCAGGTCCGCGTCGAGTTCATGGACGACTCTACCCGTTCTATCATCCGCAACGTCAAGGGTCCCGGTACGTTCCCTACGAAGGATTCGCACGCCCGCAACGAAACTCTCGACATGCCCTCCGAGGCACGCAATCCCAATATACTAACATTGGCTTCCTCCAGTCCGTGAGAACGACATTCTCTGCCTGCTCGAGTCTGAGCGTGAAGCCAGACGTCTGCGATAAACGGTGTCGGCGAGGATGGTGTGACGATGACGATGTGCGCGCGGCGAGGATGAAAGAGCATACACAAAGAAAAAAAAAGGGAGCAGGTCGTTCCGGAAGATCCTCTACGCTTTGGTCGAATGAGACCTTCCTTTTGGAGTTGGGAATTCTGGACAAATTTGGTGTCTTGACTGAATTTATTAAAAAAGGAAAGCAAGGTGTCGATAGCATACCCGGCTGGCAAACCCCGGCCGGAAATACCTAACCTCATTCATAAACATTTCAAAAATACGAAATTCGATCCCGAGCTCGATATTGTGAGGCATGAGGCTGTGGGCTGTGGTGATTGCAGGCAGAGTTTGAGGGGGGGTTCAGTTGGTTGACGAGAAGACGCTTGATACCCATTCAGTGGTCACAGACTTGGATAGCAAGGCATGGGGAGAGTTTGCGTTATAGAACAATGGGTGTTACGGCAGAGGAGACCCCAAATTGGTTTATTTGATGTTACTGTTACGGAGTGCCGGATGAGTTACTCTCACTCTTGTTGGCTCAGGAAAGGTGTCGTTTCCCACGTCAGACTGACCACGCGCATTCTTATCATGCTAACGCTACCAAGGTTATTATTTGCCAGTCGCTCGAGGCTGTGTTGTCGAGGATAGCGGCTTCAATAATCCCATTGTGACGTAACTACATAGGTACCACTCACAACTGCACGATAGTGGCAGTATAACTATGTACATGCTCCATATGCAAGGCGACCAACCGTCCTTACTTACTACCTAGCAACCTAACAAGTGGCGGCGAGTTGAAATTAAGACGAATAGCAGTCGCGAAAAATCACCATGCGTATTTCACTATAAACTACAGGTACTACTGACTGCCATCTTTAACGAGTGATGGTTACCTGTCGTCCATCAAAGTGAATTGTGTGCCTGTAGCGAACAGATCTCCTCATTAAATAGGTCATTGACAGTCCTATGGGTCGAGAGCATCTATCAGCACGAAAGAGAAGTCCAAAGCTTTTCAAGAGGGGTAAATGTGGCATTGCCATGTCTACAGAGCATACGGCCTCTCATCCTTGGGCGGGACCGCTTTGTGCCTATTTAGCATACTTGCAGCGACGTTCATAGGTTAGAAAGCACCACCGAATAAGCGTACAAGATCGACTTAAATGCAATATATTGAACTGATTTAGACCTACCATGTTTCTATACTCCATGAGGTACGTTACTAAATCATGCAGTATACTTAACAATTTAGCGCCAGTTGATTAAAGTTCAAATTACCTGCTTACAGTAGGATTTGGTTCAGGAAATGGCATATAATCTTAACTTCATCCAGAAGGCCCTCGCATCCAATTGCCAATCCCAGCGAAGAGTTAGTAATTGCGTTACCCGGAGAAATTACACGTAGACTAGTATTGCTTGGATCCATAGTTGGACATGACATTGTGTCTTGATCGAGGAGTCCCCTGAAGTTTGACACGATATATCATAGTACAGGGTACTCCGTACTACTTTTCTATATTTGCGACACTTCACAGTAGCCCGCCCCCCTTTGATAATACGAGACAAAGCCCACAGGTTCGCCGATACGGCTCCCTGCTGTAAGCCCGCTGGAGAAGGGGTGTCAGGCCACTACAGCGCCTGTGCCACAATTCTTCAGCGAGACAAGTGCGCTAGAGAAAGCGTAAGGAATCCCCCGCCACCTGCCAAACTCCCCCAGGAAGCACTAAAATATCCCCTGAAAGAGCACAAGTCTTTTTTTAGGTGGTGCCAAGGCTTGAGGCGCGTCATCGTGGCTGACAACTGAGGAGCAAGCAGGAACAAAGCAGAACAGCCACTCACTCGCCACGGCTTGGCGTTGCTTGTCCTTGCTTGTCCTTCTTCTGGCTGCTACTTCTCCTCGGTGCCACCAAGCTTTGCTGCCCGGCTGCCATTCCACCTTATTACATCTCTCCCGGGCCCCTTTTGATTGCGACTGCTACGGGGACAACGCCGTTTGCTTCATCGGAAGACCCTATTGCGCCCCGAGCTTCCTCCACTATTTACCCAGTGGGCTCGCGCCTCTCCCTCCGCACGCCCAACGCCGCACCTTGGTTGGCGGCGCGCGCCGTTACGACAGCCTCAAACCCTCTTGGACCACGACCCGAGCTTCTGGCCCGACGACCCGGACGTTTGCCCTGCGCTTGCAGTCCGTTTAGACGCTTCGTCTTTTGCAGCGGCCCCCTCGATCATACCCGTCGCAGCAGCTCACTCCGCGGCTGCTACGCACCACCCCAATAATGTCGTCTGAATTTCGTGGCCCGGGCGACGACGCCTTGCCTGCCCCTCCTGGACAGCCCCCGCAACCGCAGCCCAGCGCGCCTGCAGGCAAGACCTCAGAGGATAGCGGTAGCAGGGAGCTTGTCTCGGAGAAGGAAAGGCTCGAAGGCCTCGAGGGTGAATCTGACGACGACAAGAGCGCGGCCGGCGATGCCCCCGACGGCGCAGCTCCAAGCGCAGCTCCCCCACCTCCTGATGCGCACACCCCGAGCGCGGCTGAGGCTGCGCTGATGAAGCAGGTCAACGCAGTTCTCTCTTCCGAGGTAACGCGACTGCCCACGCAGCGCAGTGTGAACTATTACTGATCCTCCATAGATTGGCATTGCCACCTTGTTAAACCGTCTCAAGCAAAGTGCCGCTTCGGCCAAGGTATATCATGCGCCAACTTTGCAGACAAGACACCAGCTGACATTGTCGTAGGAATTCGCGATGTTTCTGAAAAAGCGCGCCATTATCGAAGACGACCACGCCCAGAGTTTGAAGAAACTTTGTCGCACGACCCAGGATAACATGCGACGCGCAGACCACCGCACCGGCAGCTTTGCCCAGTCCTACGACGAAATGACGTATATACATGACCGCATGGCCGACAATGGCATCCAATTCGCAGCCTCGCTCCATCAGATGCACGAGGACTTGATCGAGCTCGCCAACAACTCGGAGCGCAGCAGAAAGACCTGGAAGACCAATGGCCTATCCGCCGAGCAAAAGGTCGCCGACCTCGAGCAGGCCATGCGAAAGAGCAAGGCCAAGTACGACTCGCTTGCGGAAGAGTACGACAGAGCCAGAACCGGCGAGGGCAGGCAGGGTGGTGGCAAGGTCCTCGGTGCTTTCAAGGCACACAAGTCTGCCGCGCAGCAGGAGGAAGACTTGCTCAAAAAGGCACAGAATGCCGACCAGACGTATTACAACCACGTCCAGACGCTGCGGACGGAAAAGTCTCAGCTCGAGGCGTCGCATCGCCCAGAGGCTGTCAAGGCCCTGCAAGCTCTGGTGTCTGAGACTGATTCGGCTACTACTCTGCAGATGCAAAAGTTTGGTAAGTCAGATGAGGACCTGCAGTTGAACTCATTTCTTACATTGCCTAGCTACATTCAACGAGAAGCTGCTGCTCGGCAATGGCCTGATTGTGTACCCCTTCAAGAACCAGCCCGGAGACACAGCGCCTCAGCCCCGAAGCCTTCGCCAGGCCGTGTCGTCGATCAACAACGAGCGCGATTTCAACGAGTTCGTCTCGGCTCAGCACTCCAAGGTGTCAACTGCGACCGAAGTCAAGTACGAAAAGAACCCGCTGTTGAATCCTCAGAGCTCCGCGGCCCCTAGGCCACACAGCCAACCCTTTGCGCCGCCAGGCCAACAAGGTTCCATTTCTTCCTTTGGTCCGCTCAACCCGGCCGCTGCTGGCGGCATCTCTAACCCCATCTCGCAGCAACCACAATCAATGGGCGGCGCCAGATCAAGCACCGGCAACTTCACAGGACCGAACGGCCCCGGTAGCCCCCAGAGCCCAGTCGGCCCCGGGCAGGTTGCTGGCGTGTCCTCGAGCGGACTCGGAGATCAATCAAGACCATTTTCTCAGCAGCATACTCGCAGCTACAGTCAAGGAAACCCTCTCAAACCCGGTTTCGGTGGCCTAGGAGGGTCCCCGCCGCAATATGGCGGTCGAGGTGGCGCTCCTCCTCAAGCACCTGCTCACCAGGCAGATCCACGATACGGAAACGGTCAGCCCGGGGCGCCTCAACTCGGGGCCTTGCCGTTCCAGGGTGGCAATCCTCCAGGACAACGTGGATCGCCGCAACAGGGTCAGCAGCCTTTTGGACCTCCGGGCGTCTCAGGCCCCGGCGGCCCCGGCGGCCCCGGGACGCGCGGATCGCCCCAGCAAAGCCAGCTGCCGTTCAGACCTCCCAGCGACGTCAAGGGCCCAGTCGGTTCCGGTGGCGGTCTCCCTGGTGCACTGCAGCCGGGTAGCCAACATCCCCAGGGCCAGCCGCCCGCGTACCCAAGCGCGCACGGCACCAGCGTCATGGCCAGCCAGGCACCGACAATGCCCGTCTTTGGCGTCTCGCTCGCAAAGCTGTACGAGCGTGACGGGCTGGCGGTCCCCATGGTAGTGTACCAGTGCATCCAGGCCGTGGACATGTACGGCCTTGGCGTTGAGGGCATCTACCGCCAGTCCGGCTCGCTAACTCACATCAACAAGCTCAAGAGCATGTTTGATGCTGGTAAGTGACTGTTGGACGACAAGTCTAGTTGTGTTATATCCGCTGACAAGTTTTACAGACTCCCAGAATCCGGCCCTGGACTTTAGAAACCCGGAGAGCTTCTACCACGACGTCAACAGTGTCACCGGGCTACTAAAGCAGTTCTTCCGGGACCTGCCCGACCCCATCCTGACCGCAGAGCACTACAGCAGCTTCATCAACGCAGCCAGTGAGTCACAACCCCGGTAATTCAATCATGCCCGGACACTAACCGCTTTTCTCCTATCAGAGCACGAAGACGACATCGTGCGCCGCGACTCGCTGCACGCCATCATCAACGCGCTGCCGGACCCCAACTACGCGACGCTGCGCGCCATCACGCTGCACCTCTACCGCGTCATGGACAACGCGCACCTCAACCGCATGACTTCGCACAACCTGGCCGTCATCTTTGGCCCGACGCTCATGGGCAGCGACCCGAGTACGGCCATGACGGACGCCGGCTGGCAGATCAAGGTGGTCGACACAATCTTGCAGAACACGTACCAAATCTTTGACGAGGACTGAGGGGTGAGAGCATTCTTCGGCATTCTCTTTTGTATTGTGGGCTTTTTTTTTACTTGAATGAGCTTGGATTCGGCTCTTTGCAGACCTTTTTTGTCTCTTGTTTTATATGTAATGTCAGAGATTTGTCCCAAGCACGGCGTCACGATGTTGGTCCTTCTCTCTCTCTCTCTCTTGTTTATTTTGTTGCATTTATCTGCTCCCGCTCCAACTTGGCTCTGTTTTTCTTTGTTTAATATCTGTTTTCACCCGGACGTATTTAATCCTGACGGGGCATTTCATGATGTAATCTCTTCCAATGTCGTTTTTTTGTTGAACAAGAATTCCATCATGCTGATAAGCAATCTATACTAAGAACTAATGGCAAAAACACAAAAATCAGGAGAATCAGCTTCGCCCCCGTCTGCTGTAGCTATCAGAATATGGAAGTATGCATCTTCTGCAATTTAATGTAACGAAGGCTACGGATAGGCAGAGCTTGAGTCAGCAAGCAGTTAAGCACCTCTACATTGGCAAACAATTCGACTGCGGGGGTGCGGCGGCAGACGGTCTCTCTCCCGTCACCGACGACCAACCACCCGGGATCACCCTGCGCCTCTTGTTTGGTGCTGTAATCGCTGCAACTGCCCCCGCCCGAAATGGGTTCAACTCCTCCTCGGCAGGACGCCTCCGGGCTGCGATCCTAGTGCTGCGCCGCAGAGACGACTGGGACCCGGCCGAGGTGGGCTGCTGGGATTGGGCAACGGGCCGGCGCCGTGGTGGTCCTTGGGACGAAGGAAGGCTAGCGGGGGCTTCTTCTCCCTGGGGCGCTTGTGAGTCATCGTCGCCATGTTCCTCATCGTTATCGTTCTCCTCATCTTCGTCCCCCCGGTCCCCGCCCTCCTCATCCTCGTCCTCCTCATCCTCGTCCTCCCGGTCCTCGTCCTCCCGCCCCTCCTCTCTAGGCGCCGCGCTATGCGCGTCCTCGGGCGGCCCAACGGGATTCCCCGGCTGTCCAAAGAGATTCTCGTACTGGTCGGGGGGATTCCCGGGCTGTCTGAGGAAACCCGACGGCGATCCAAAGAGGCCCTCGCCAGGTCGCTGTTGTGGGGCACGGGGAACGGTAGTTGCATGGCGCCTACGCTCCTCCTCGAGACTTTCAGTCTGTCCGGGGAAGGGCAGTGGTCCGGGGAAGTGCAGTGGCCCGTCGTAGGAGTAGCTGGGCCTCGACCAGTGAGACTCGGGTTGTTCATCCTCTGGTAGTTCAGTGGTTTCCAGATCTTCAACTTCGGACTCGCTAAAGTCAATCTCCGTCTCCTGCAGCGGGCGCCTATGATAGGGGCTGATGGGCGTGATGCTCTCCGGCTCCGGGGATGGATACTCGCAGCGCCACGTCCAGGCGTTTACCGACTCGACGTAGCTAAAGAGGCCATGCTCCACAAGATTATCGAACTCGTCCCTCCAGTCCCCGCGGGCCTTCCACCACTTAATGACCTCTCCGCGAGGGTAGTGGGGATGGCAACGGCGTTGCTCCGGAGATAAACGCAAGTATCTCATACACTCCTCAGCGACCTCAATCTGGAAGGTGACCCATGGACGGGTGATGAGCCATACCTCAGCGTCGGCAGGGCTCAGTGGCTCGAAGGGCTCATTGGACATATAAGCCGAAATGGGGATCTCCTGGTGACGGTGCACGCCCATGCGCTGGCGCAGGACGAGTGCGATGAGCGTCTCATAATAGGCGTCGCGTAGAAACTCGGAGTGGGCAAATCCCTGGTGCATGGGCGGCTCCCACGGCCACTGCCACGCATTGGCGTCATCGCTAGCCAGCATGCTGCGGCCGGCAAAACCCCATTTGGGATTCCAGATGTTGAGCGCCCCCCATCTGCGCTTAATATTGTGGCGAACAAGGACGCCCAATCGGTGCGTCCCAAGGCGCCCTTCGAATATGTCGTTGACATATCGCCTCTCCTGGTCGTATTTCTTGTAGATCCACGGTCGCATCCGACGGTCTATGCGGTTCTTCTCCATTGTGGCAGCAACCCAGTACACATAGCCGGGCCGCAGTAGGCCCGCCAGCTCGGCTGCGATAGTCGTGGCCTCTTGTTGCGTAAGGGCGCCATCCATGATGCCCAGCAGGTCTTCCGGCAGCTCAGCAGGCGGCTCTTGCCCCTGCCATCGTAGTTCCATCATGCGCTGCAGACTTTCCGGCCCCGCGAAGATGTTACCACCACACGCGGCGGGGTAGAGCTGCACAACTGCCTGCGAGGTGTATGGCGGGGGGAGGTCGTCGGCGGGCTGCTCGACCGAGGGGTGGATGTTGTCAGCGTCCGGAGAGAGCGGCATGTTGAAATTTCAGGCAGGGGGCAGGATGAAGTGATAAAGATGAAGGGGGAGAAAAGAAGTCAACGGGAGCTCCATGCTGGGGCAAGCAGCCATTTTGTACCAACTTGCTTCAAAGAATGCGATGTAGTACACGCGTGCGCAGTACAGGAATAGGGCGTTACGCGCTCGGTCAGCTGGGCGCTTATAGGTATCACCAAGTCAAGCAGCCGCCCGGTAACCGGATGCATGACAAAGACACATTGGGCATCCGCGCTTGGGAAACACGTCAGGCCTGTGCCGCACCTTTGATTCGCCATGCCGTTTGTGCGCCGTTGAGTGTGACGGGTAGGACGGCCACTGCGGGGAGAGAAAGAAGACAAGATTGCAGGAATTGACATCCAGGGGTTTCCGAGTGTTCATTGGTCGATACGTTGGGAAAAAAAAAGAAATGTTCGCCTCTTCACTTTGCGAACCCTAGCCCTTGAGGCTCCATGCTGAGCTGGGAGGGGGATGCCTTTGCCTTTTCCACCTGGCGAAAAGGATGTCGTAATCTGTAAACCGTTGAAGCGTGGAAAGGGGGAGGCTGGAAAGGGGTTATGATGGCGTGGCGTGGGGGTTTGATAGCCGAATTCCTCCATCTGTTTGATACATCGAGTATGAAGGAGGGAAGGAGAGGCCATCGTGGTACAGTGCGGAAGTGGGGACCAGAGGTCACAACAAACGGAGTCCAGAGGAAGCAGTTGGCCGCTGACAGTGATGTGAAATGCCGTCCATGGTAGGAGGGGCTGCAACATGAATAAAATATAAATCAATTAGAGTTTTCTAGATTCGTACATTCTACCAAATGAGGCGTCAAATTGACTACACAAAAGTGCGACTGACTGACGACCCTCACCCATCCCATACCCCTGCACTACGCCTTCTTGGACGCAATGTGCTCATCATGCAGCTCCGCGACTGCCGGTATGATCAGCGCCTCAATCTCCGCCTCCGGCTCCTCCGGCGGCACCTCGTCCGCCCTCAGCGGCCTGCCCTCCGCCTCACCCCAGCCGCCCTTCCTCCCCACCCGCACCCAGCTCTCCCCCGGCCGGCCCGGGTTCACAAACACCACCTCCCACTTGCGCGTCGCCAGCAGGTTGCCAATCACCAGGTGGTGCTGGTAGCGGTCCAGGCTCGCCCGCGCCTTGCGCACCAGCAGCGCCGGGTCCGTCTCCAGCTTGTAGCTCACGATCATGCCCTCGGGCGCCCACCCGTCCACCAGGTTCTCCAGGAACTTGGGGACCGGGTCCAGGTCCACGACGAGCCGCTTGGAGCGCGGCACGCGCGGCGCGTCAAAGTTGTCAAACGCCGGCTGCTCGTCGTCGGAGGGCGTGCCGCCGCCGGGCTGGTCTGCCAATGGTGTTGGCGGCGGCGGCGCCTGCGCGGCGTCGGTGGACTGGATCTTGTGCTCGGCCATGCGCTCCGGCGGCACGAAAAAGTCGGACACGGCTGCGGCCAGGTACAGCAGGCCGTTCGACCCCAGCGGCCGCATCAGCCGCGCAATCCCCCTCAGCTCGTGCAAATAGTCGCCGATCGTCACGAACGGCAGCATCAGCAGCATGTTGCTCCTCCTCGCCTTCTTGTACTCGCGCAGCACGTCCAGGATGCGCGCCTGGTCCTTGTGCCGCACCACCACTCTCCTGTCTCCCTCACCTCCAGCACCCGCATCCTCGTCTAAAAAGTCCAGGAAGCAGTCCTTGGCGTGCGTGTAGTGCCGCGAGTACGGCTGCAGGCTGAACTCGCGGTGCAGGAAGAGCACCGCGTACCCGGCGGCGAGGAAGTACTCGGCCGAGGTGGCGCCGCGCGTGCCGGCGCTGAAGTTGTCGATGAAGCGCACCGTCTGCCGCTCCAGCGGAACCGTGGTGCCACCGGAGGTGATGAGCACCACGCGGCGGCCCGCGGCGGCGTGCTCGGCGATGAAGGACGAGGCTTGCGCGAGGTGCGCGCCGAGGTGCCGCGGCGGCGGGTTGGACGAGAAGTAGGCGTCTTCGGCCTGTACGGATGGAGAGGACATGTCGGATGAGGTTGGGTTTTTTTTGCCCTCTTTAAAGAATCTAGTTTTTTCAATTGTAATGACGCGGTTGTGGTGATGTCAATGCGGAGATACCACTCTAGTGAGTGAGACTGAGACTGAGAATGAGGGGTTAAGCGTATTCGCAACCGGATCGGCTCGGCGCATCCCTTGGATTCGGGTGTCGCTGTAAAATAAAATGAATTTGGCGATGCTGCAGAGATAAATAATCAAGTTGAAAAAGACAAACAAGTTTTTTTCCAAGTCTGCCCCCATCGGCGTTTATAAATCTCCCCGGCTGTGCTGATATTTACGAAGCAGCTCCCATCCCGCCTCACTTTTGGTTTGTAGTTGACAGATAGTGTGCGCGCCGCCTCACATGTTGGGCAGCGAAGCCGATTTCTGCTTTTTTCTTGCTCATCTTGCTAATCTTGCTGTAGATATTCTTTCTTTTTCTTTCTTTTTCTTAGTGTCAAACATGTGAATACGTCATCCTGCTCTCCGTTCCGTACCCAACTGAGACCGGCTTACCCCCTACCATACCACTCTCCGCCTCACTATTGAGAACATAAACTCTGTACAACCTCATCCATTCACACCACGACATCGAATTAGGAAAGTGTCGTCAGGATCGGACAGCAGACACTAAATCCGCATTTAAGCCAACCACATCTTGAATCAATTTCGATTCCATTACACAGACCAAGTCCCTGACCACCTTCGTTCTCCTCGACGCCGCGGCCACCGTCGCAGCTGCGGCACTTGTTAAGACGACCTCGCGCCTAGGGCTGTTGGATACTAGAGATACTTCTTTTTTTCTTGGATATTCAATAGCGAAGAAATCTCCTCTAATACAGAGTTTACGTCCATGCCTTCATAGCGTCCGTGACATATCTCCGTTCATTCCAGTCCAATACAATTCAACAGCAATGTTCGCTTGCTCAAGTCACCATTCATGACTCCCGAGCACACCAGACTCTCTCTCCTTCCCACACTTAGCCCTCGCCGTACCACAGTGCGCGGTAGTCCTTGTACGCCTTGTACGGCCTCTCAAACTCCGGGTCGTACTCGTCCGCCAGCCAGCCCATGCCTGGCAGCAGGATATCCTCATGCGTTCCAAATGGGTTCCGCCCGAACCCGTACAGATAATCTCCAATTTCTTTACTCAACCACAGCCCGCGCCCGGTCACGTTGGCCCGGACCTTGGCCATACCCAGCGTCACGCGCGGCTGATTCGCCGCCCATGCCGCCTCCGCCACTCGCGCCTTGATCCTCTCCAGTAGCATCGCGTGGGTTTCGCCACGCACATCCTCGTCGCTGCGTCGTTCGAACTTGAGAAAGCTTAGCTCAACAGAGCGCAGCGTGGCCGGCAGCGCGACCAACGCGTCCACGAGATCGGCGATGCGCACCACCGCGTTGGACAGCCCGAAATGGCGCAGCTGATCCCAGGACTTCAGCGGGAGTAACTTCTGCAGTGGGAAGAACCGTCGCGAAAAAGGCACCTCCTCGTACGCATGGCCGTCGAAGCGCAGCCGAAAGTGTTGTAGGTGGCGCGCACCGGCGAGTAGGCTCTTCAAGCGACCGTTTTCAAGCAGAGAGACTTCGTCCGGTGGCGTGCCGGTGACGAGGATCGGAAGGTCAAGCCGTCTGAAGCCTGGCTGACGTAGCAGCAGTGCCAAGTTCTCGTACTCATCGCAGTCGTCTGTCAGCATGTACGGGCTGATGCCCGTGTTGAGCGCGTGAACATCAAAGACGAGCTCCGGCACCACCGCTTTGCCGCCGTTGAGGACGCGTGCCGCCAGCGTCTCAAGCACCAATACCAAGGCCCTCCAGTGTGCCTTCTCACGAGACACGTCGTCTGCAGTCCACCCCATCCTAGTTGTCCATCGGTTGAGCGGGTGCATCATCGTCGCGCCCTTGTACGTGGGCCAACCGCGCGGGATCGGGTAGTTGAAGCCGCGCGGAAAATTACGTATCATAGGCGTGCGATAGAGCGAAGTGTACAGGTACCCGTGTGTAGACGGCGTCACTGTGATGCGCTCCAGCGCGGGGAAGGCGTCGAGGCCCTCGACCAACGCGCGCGCGTCCTCGCCCGCCGCCATCACCTCAAATTGCTGACACAGTAACGCGTCGTAGTGTTGTTGGCACTTCTCGAGCGGCGACTGTGCCTCGCGCTCCTCCGCGCGTGCAGCTCTCGCTACTAGATTTTCCGTATCATTTACGTTGCGGTTGCGTAGCTCTTTCAGGTTACGCGCGCAGCGGCGGTTGAACCAGGCGGTGTTGGTGGCGTCTTCGGTGTCAGAGCCACCGTGTATAGGCGTCTCGTCAGACGAGCCGTCGTTTTGACGATCCCACAACTGCGTTGGGTCAGCGAGTCGCGCATCGTCGACGACGATTTCGCGCACACCGAGTCGAAAGGTTGGGTGGGCCGCCACGGCCCGAAAGACTTCTAGGTTGCGCGGGTTCGGCGAGAGGAAGACGCGGGTGAAGCGCGGCGGAATGGCGTGGCAGATGGTTGGGCAGGCGAGACGAAACGCTTTGATGTCTTTGTTGAGGAGGTGGCGGCATATCGCCGTGAGGATCTCGGAAGGCATGCGGAGGAGCACGGGTTCTTCTGTGTTGGCATTGAGATTGGACTCCGGTGTCACCTCAGACTTGGTCTCTGGTTTGGATGCCGTATCACATTGTGGGTTAGATCCCGGGGTAGTTTTCATGGTGTACGTATATCGATACAACTGCGGAGGGGAGTCGAATAGGGTGGTGTGAAGCTGAGGAGAAATATACGACTGGTGCTGCAAGCTCTAGTTAAGAAGATGTTAGTCATTTGGCGTCGGTTCTTGCATACCATCACGATAAAGACGCACCGAAGAAGCTTGAAAATTAAGAGGAGCCACAGATGAAACCGAGGAGAAAAGAAGAACTCGCGTTTCTGTAAAGGCCTGCTGGCTAGTGAAGCAGCGTGTTAGTCGTTCGGCGTTTGTGTCGTGAATGCCAATCAGTATTAGGCAGTCGTACCAAAGTTACTTGCTTGCAAAGGATGACAAAGCACAGAAGCTATCACTTGCTGATCTTCGCCTCTATGCGAAATAAAGAACAATCTCGATGCCCCTTTCAAGCTCAGGTTGTTGCTTGCATAGATGAGGGTGAAGAATGACCGTGTGCCGGCCCGAGGAGAGGTTGCGGGGTTACCCGCCTGGGCAGATCCAAACATAGTGTTAAGGCAGCAGCAACCCGTTTGCACAGTGAATAAGTCGTACGAACGCGTTCCATTTTTTCTTCATATATAATTATTCTCTAGATGACTAACATTACTTGGCTATATGTTTACGAGTCCCCTTTTTGTTTCTTCTCATATAGACATACATACATGCCCCGGTCGCTATTGCTTGCCCGGCGACAACCTCCACGCCCGTAGAGGTAGAGCCTGGAGCTGGCGCACCTTGGGCTTGATGTACCAGAAAAAGGTAGCCGCGCCAAAGAGCACGCACAGGATGTTGACCCAGTAGAATCCGTCACGCGTCATCTCGCAGACGCCGCCGCCGTTCTGGCACCGCTCCTTCTCGGCCTGGACGGCGCAGGAAAACTCCTCCGTCACCAGGGGGCCTTTGAGCTTCGCGCTGCTCGCGTGCTTGCCCGGATGACAGGTGGCCACCGTGAAGACGTCGACGAGACGCAGCACAAAGTATCGCGGGAACGTCCCACCCAGGTTGGACACGGTGGCGAGCAGCGTCATGTAGGTGCCGCCGATGACGGGGTCCGAGACCTTGGCGTGGAAGGCGGAGACGGCGACGAACATGATGGTGTTGGTAAATGTCGAGATGATGTGCTCAAGGATGACGATGATGAGATACCAGGTCGTGACGCCCTCCGCGGGGAAGATGGCAACGGTGAGCTGGGCGAGGAGGGCCGCACCGAGGCGGCCGACAAAGCCCCAGCCCCAGAGTCTCATGGCACCGTATTTTTGCGACCACATGCCTGCATAGTAGCCGAGGCCAATCTCAAAAGGAAAGTCAATCAGCACGGTCAGGGCCATGTTTTCCTTGCCGAAGCCCTTGTCGAGGAGCTTGAGGTTGGTGACGCCGTCGTTGGCCTGAAAGCCAATCTTGGCAATCAGGTGGACAATGATGATGGTTTGCACGTTCTTGAGCTTGAGGATACCCCACATGATCTTGTATACTTCCCAGACACCCTCCTCATTTTGCGACTTTTCCTCGCGCTTCAAGAAGCCGAGTCCAATGGTGACGATGATGTACATCCATCCCCAGAGCGTCAGGTAGCCGCCGAGGGAGACGAGACCGTCATCGGAGGGGACGGATCGGAACCACTTGTTCGCAAAGTCGGAAGCGTTAAGGGCGAGGAAGACGGTGTAGGACATGAAGTGGCCTGCGGTCAGGCCGACGGTCTGGGCGGTCGAAGCGTAGGAGACGTTGCTGGGGGTGAGCAAAGTGAGGGCCCAGCCGTCGACGGCAATGTCCTGCGTTGCGCACATGAGGACCAGGAAGAACCACCATAACATAAAGGACCAGACGGTGGGGCCTCCGGGCTTGCCCGTGGTGGCCATCATGGTCTCGACGTGGCTGCCGAGCCAGAGCATGCCGAAGCCCGAGAGAAACTGGATGGGGACGATCCAGGTCTTACGGCGGCCGAAGCGGGGGCTCCAGACAGCATCGACAAAGGGGCTCCAGAGCAACTTGAGCGAGTAAGGGTAGGAGGCGAGGGTGAAGACGCCAATCTCGCTGTACGACATGTGGTTCTTGAGCAGGAAGGGGACGGAGCCCATGGCGAGGCCCATGGGGATGCCCTGGAGGAAGTAGAGCAGGACGAGGAGCATGAAGTTGCGCTGGTCCTGCAGCGGCAACTGGAAGAAGCCGGCGTCGTTGGCGGCCGGGCTCTTGGGCACGGGGTCGTCGAGAGAGAAGGAATCGCGGGCCATGTAGTTGGAGGTGAGGGCGGCCGAGTCATTGCTGGCCGTTTTACGGCGCATCTCGACGCCGGCGTTCATGGTGCCGTTTTGGTGCTTGCGCGCGGCCTTGCCGTTACCGTTGGTGTTGGCGTCGCCGTTGGTGTTGATGGACAAGGGCGAAGCGCTCTTCTCCTTGCGCGGCTGTGGACGTCGCGCTCTGGCCCCCATAGGAGATGTGGCCGCGGATCGATGGAGCACAGGGATGGCAGGTCCCAGGCTCCTTTGCTTTTTTTTTTATTTTTCTGTAACTGTCGGATCGAGGACGGAGCTGTCGGAAGGCAGATATGGTTCAATGGCGCCCGTGAAACAAAGGCAAGGCGGTTGGAGCGTGTAGTGGTGGTCTCGAGTCTTAACGGAACATGTACTGGCAGGTGGGAGTGTGGTCTCAGCTAGCAAGCAGCCGCAACCAAGTAGTAAAATCGAGTCGAAACGAGAAAGAAATATCAAAAGTTAAAGATGGAATGAATGTAAAGTCAAACTAGCGTCGAGAATTCGAAAGAAGTCGAGGCGGCGATTATCGCACTGCTGGCGCGCTCTGGGCTGTCGGGCTGCGTGGCGACGCTACCGTGGCCTCAAGGGCTTACAAATGTGTGGACGAAGCTTTTCGCTCGAGGTGGCGTCGGCCGTGAACTGCTGGGCAAACACCTGGTGCTAGCCAACGGATGAGGGGAGAAGAAATTGTCGGAGACAACGCAAGAAGAAAAAAAAGAAGAGGCCAGCCAGAGTGCAAATCAGAAATCCTCCATCAGCCAAGAGATGAGGCCAAGATGTGGTTGCTGTGGAAAAAGTCCGTGAATCATGAGGATTCGAGAACCTCAAGGCCCAAAAAGGTTGCCCCGGAGGCCCCGCATTTAGCGCTTGTCACCCCCTGGAGCATGTACCTGGTACCTGAAGGTCTTAGGCGTCACGCCCTGGTTAGACGTCTGTAGGGGCCGAGACAGCAGATGTAGGATATTAGAATCGCAAAACTGATGATGATGCTTTCGGAGAAAAAAACTGAGAATTTTATATTATCAAGAAATATCATGTAAAAGCTGCCGCAATCCCAGCCCTTCCCCTGCCAGCCTCGCAGCCCTCTCCTCTCCCCGCTGCAGCCAAGCCTGTGGGGCGCCCCCAGCTTGGGTTCTTATCTTATCGCCCTGCGCCCTACCGCGTCCCGTTCCGTCAACAACACGCGACTTCTTGATCGTGACAATCATCAAGCATCCTCTCCGATTACAGCTCGACAAACTCTAAAAAAAAGTCGGGCGCTGTCACAATGGAAGAGCAAGAGAACACACAACCACCGACCGATCCCTTGGACAAGGAGATTGCCTCCTTGAAAAAACGAGGTACGGTTCCTGTCGCCCGTTTCGTCACTATCCCCCAGCTAACCAAACATCCCCCATCACAGTCGCCGCCATGAAGAAACGCCTACAAATCGAGTGCTCCACCATCCTATCCTCGACACCTATACAAAACATCATCCAAGACGCCTCCGCAGCCACCTCCAACACCTCCTCGTTCCTCAAATCCGCCCTCCGACCCGCCCCCCACGCCGCCGCCTCCCTCCAGAAGCGCTCCGCCCAGCAGGCCGCCTACATGCAGCAGTGCGCCTACCGCATCGCCGCGCCCGTCACCGCCTTCAAGGTGCGCGACCCGGACCCGCACGCCGTCGACCGCGGGCACGTCCTCGGCCTGCGCTTCGAAGTCATGTCCCAGGGCCACTTCCTGCGCCCCTACTACGTCCTCCTCAACCGTCCCTGGGCCGACGACCCGTCCTCCTCCCACCACCTGCGCGTCCACCGCCACACCGTACCGCCCGCCGTGCCTCTCGCCGGCCTCGCCGCGCGGCACCTGCCCCCGCCTCGCGCCGGCGACGCCCCCGCCCAGACGCGGCAGGACCTGGGCCGGTTCGCGCGCGCGCTGCGCCGCGAGATCGCGCGCTTCCACAACCGCCTGGGGCTCACCGCGGACCTGCGCAAGACGGTCGGGCTGGCCCGCAAGGGCAGCAGGCGGTCGACGACGGCGGGTGGCGCGCGGGAGGTGGTGGAGGCGGGCATCGCGGACGTCGAGGCCAAGCACGTCAAGCTCGCGTGGGCGGACGGGCGCAGCGGTCGCATCCTGATGGACCGCGACGGCAGGGTGGAGAGGTTCGTGGTGTTTGGGCCGCACGGCGGGAGGGACTGGCGGATGACGAGGATGCTGTGCGACGCGAGCGACGGCGTGGACGACATTGCGCGGAAGCTGCAGCGCTATGCGGCGGCGTGATGCGGGGACGGGTGTGTGTGTATAGATTATAATGTTTAAACGATTCATGATTAATGTACGCTACAATATTTCAACTCAAGAGGAAGGCTGCTTATGCGGAGTATATGGAGAGACAGAGAGGGGACGGACTAGCAGGGGGGCTTTAGCTAGCATGTATGTTACGCATCTTGCGAGTTAGACAAGGAAAGAAAGACCTTACAAGAGCTTTCACCATATAAGGACAGGATATGTGAAAACCACTGGTTATTGTTCAATCAAAAGTTTAAAGTACAATAGAATCAGGCCAACCGCCCAAGTGCCTTTTAAAAAATCGTAACCCAATCACGCCAGTTCCCCAAACCTCACCGCCGGCGAGACCGCCCCGTAGGTTATGTAAATAAGTAAAAGAAGAAATTCGGAAGAGATGTCCACAAAGAAAAGTTTTGCCTCCCAGATATGAAACATTGTGGGGATGCTTTTTGACTTCTGTGATGTTGTCGCAGAGAGTACGCTCTGCAAGGTATATAGTTGCCATAAACTTTCATGAGTTTGAGTGTTGCCAACCTCTCTCAACCATGGGAGGGAAAAAAAAATCCCAGGATGAGCAAGGCCGACAAGGGTTGCTTCTTTTTTGTATTTACAGAAGAGCAGCGACGGCGGCAACAGCGGCGAAGAGGCCGATCTGAGCCTGGGCACCGCCGTTGACGATGACGGGGGGCTGGGTCCAGGTGTTGTTGCCGCCGACGGGAGGGGCGACCGAGGCCGGGGGGACGGGGGCCTTGGTGGGAGGGGGCGCCGGGGCGGTGGTCCAGATGGGGGTCTGCGTCACGGGAGGGGGGGCGACGGTGGTGGTCTCCGGGCAGGGAGTCTCCGTGACGACCTCCTCGGTGGTGCTGGAGTAGCGGACGGGGGCGGTGGGGAGGGTCACGGTGGCCGTGGTAAGAGTGGCGGCGGTGTTGGTGGCCGGGCAGATGGTGGTGGTGACGGTGGTGACGGCGGTGGTGCGGGCCGGGCAGTCGGTCACGGTGGGCGCGCAGTCGATGACGGTCTTGGTGACGACGGAGGTGGCCGTGGAGGTGGTCCAGGTGTGGTGACCGTGCTCGCAGGTCTCACACGGGTGCACGTAGTGCCAGTCGTCATCGGTGGCATCGCAGCCGTCCATGTCGATGTCCGGGTGCGAAGGGTGCCAGACGTTGGTGCGGCCAGAGGGGGGCGGGTACTTGGGGCCTAGGGACTGGTTGATCTCAATGCCGGCGGGCAGCTTGATGTTTTGGTCGAGGCCCTCGTTGCCCAACATGTCGTCGAGGAGGCCCGGGTGGGCGACGACGACGGAGATGAGGGCGGCGGCGACAGCAAAGGACTTCATTGTGAATGTGTGTGTGTGTATTGGTGGTTGAAGAAGAGGCTTGAAGGCGTGTAAGCGAGTGTGTAGAACTGGAAAAGAGTGTATGGGTGAGAGTAGTTCTGAGAGTTCAAGCTGGTCGTTTGCTGTTGGGTGAAGGAGAGTCGGACACAGAGAGGGCGGGATGAGAGTCGGCTTAAATAACTGATGTGCTCAGGATCCGGACAGAAGAAACATTGTTGCCGCGATCCCGTACCCCCTTCTCTGGCTCTCCCCTAATGTTGGCATCGTTTACTCCCCCTCTCCCTCTGTGCCTGCTCCTGCAAGGCAAACACGCTGGTACGAAGTAGTCCGTCCAATGCCGGCCCCCCGATGCGAGTTGTGGGCACTTCCCTTTGTTATTACCCATCTCCACTTGACCGCATCCTGCCCTGTCCCTTTTCCACGCCGGTAATACGCCCTGGTCGTCGTTTCGTACGGCCAACTTGTTGCCCCAGGGTCGATGTGTTCCCCGGCGCCCCCAGCTTTTGCGGGCATGTCTTAGAGATGGGCTCCATCGGGGTAAAAAAGGGCCCGGGCGCAAATAACGCCAAGGGCTTGCGTCCGGCATATCGGATCCCAACGCCAACCTCCAAGTCAACTGGGACCTGCGTTAGTGGCGTGCTGTTGTTGCAGGCCAGCTCTGAGAAAGAAGGATCTCTGTCCGCATGTTGCGTGGTTTGCACGTAAAATCGACCGGCTTGGAAAAGGAAGGTCCGCATTGTCCCTGTCATACTTCCACCGCCACACCGTGGGGTCATCCACGTGTAAGTGGCAGTATTTCCATGTTCCATATCTTTACTGGAATATCTGTAGAGCTTTCGGCTAGAAATCCTTCTTTTCTTTTGGTCCCAAGAGACATTTTCGCTTGAAACGTTTGTATTTTGCTCTTATCAGGACTGCTGAACGTCCAATTCTGAAGGGACAAAGCAATGTCTCAGGCATCAAGTCCCAATTTCCAGCTTCAAGCTGGAAAAGATTATTAGCCCGTGTTTCTCCCTTTCCCACAGGTTGTCTTGCCCCTTTGCAAAAGAGCGGCAGAACACGAGAAGTTGGCTAGCCAGGGACAGGGTGGTGTTATTAGCCGGGACGCCAGCTGCCAGAAGCAAATCTTGCCTGATCTAGGCGATCCGTGGGGTCGAAAAAGCAACTACCGACAGGGCCCTGCTGCGCCGTTTCGAGGCTAGCAAGTGACTCAAAGGAAGGGCAGCGACGACAAAGTAAAAAAAGAGAACAAAATGACCTCGGTGGTAGCTTTCCCTGGCTTTTTGCGAAGACACCGATACATGTCTCGACTAGCCGTCAACGACGCAGCCGTGGCTTGTTGTGCTTCCTTCTGTATTGTTTTGCCCTGCGTTGTTTCAACGCCACGTAGGAGAAAGCAGGCAGCGACCTGCATAGAGAATCGGCTTCGTGGGCGGCGGTTCTTATTTGTTTTGTTTTTCTTTCCTTTGACTTGATGCTGTTGCCATTCTTAGAACCGGGCTGAGTTGTTTGTCGGTGTCTTTCATGTTTGTGTCACAATCTATCGACACAACCCTTCAAACAACACAGAGATGCAACATCCTATTGTTTTACTTCCCACCGCATGACTTTCAGGGAAAGCATAACGACCCCACGTCCTTCACCAGTCCAGTGCCTTGTTCGTCTTTTGCACGAGACTCGACTTGGTCTGCTCATCCGAGATGACTTCCATCCTGGGGCCCGTCTCGTCGCGCAGGATGTCAAGCCGGATATTCCACCGCTTCACCTGCCCGTCGACCACGCCAGTCCACTTCCTGATCAAGGGGTGCGCCGCCGCCACGTCAGGAAACAGCACCCCCCCCTCCTCCTCCTCCTCCTCCTCCGTCTCCCTTTGCTGCCCGCCCGTCGGCCCAACCGGGTAGGTCCAGTTCCCGTCGGGGGCCCAGTAGTCAGGGCTAAAAATACACCCGGTGCTGAGCTCCTCGCGAGCCTGGCCCAGCAGCCGCTCCGCCTCGGCCGCCGCGTCGCCGCCCGCGGGCGCCAGCGCCTCGCTGATGCCCTCCAGGAGGCCGAGGAGATGCCCGGCGGCCTGCCCGATCGTCGCGCCCAGGCTGAAGCCCTCGTCGAAGCCCGGCTGGATGCTCGCCTCCTTGGCGACGGACACGCCTTCGCGGTAGCCCGCGGTGCTGTGCTCGGCCTGCAGACGGCTCATGTCCGTCGGGTGCGTGGACGCTGGCGCTGGAGGCGCGACGTCATGGGGATGGGCATCGTTGTCTGCGCCAAAGACATCGTCCAAAGGGTCGGAGGGAGCAGCCATGGCGAGGGCTTCTGGGTCTAGCTCTGCAGCCTGAAGTCTCCCTTGCGAGAAGAGGGAATCCTCCTCGGATCGATCTCTTGGCTGCTGGTGCATGTTCTGGGAAGCGGCTCCGCGATTTTCCCGATCTATAATAAGACACAGGGAGGGAAATGGGATGGTCGAAAAAATTCTTCTGATTTGACAGGTGCGATTTATGTGGCTGCGGGCCAAGTCCGTACAGTAAGAAGAGCCGCATCCACGAAGGCGCACTGTGTAGTAGGTCTATTTACAGCCCGAGTCTACAGTGCGCAATATTATCACCACCACAGCCCGCTTTTCGTTCATCTCGAGCTAATTGATGCCCTTGCATACACAAACCCTCCCTCGCCGCCCCGCGTCCATCTGCTTTCTTTTTGCACCTCTCACTTTCCAAAGAGACCAAACGCCCGAAAGAGTCTAGACGTGGCTGGTTTGAGACATTCGTCCCCTTGTAATTTTGCGTTGCCAAGTTAGGATGAATCCTACCGAAACCGGATCTAGCTGTGGCCCTGCCTGGCCCGTTGTGATGAATCCAGCCCCAGAGGACAAACAGGCATGTGCTACAAACCAGTGCCAAAGAGCATCGTTCTGAGGGCGGAAATTTATGGACATACCGCCAAACCCAAGTTTTCAGCTCATAGACTTCGCAACAAACAGGCATGCTGTTAAATGCCATCCCGAGTGCTGAGGGTCCTAATGTTCTCTTCTACCAACCTAGAAGAATCCGGCTGATGTAGTTGTCGTGCTCACTCTAGGGTAAGGAGGCCCGAGAATATCGACAATCCGATCCCCTGCTGGCAGACTTCACCACAAGCAAGGGGGTCGCAATGTTGCACTCGAGTCAGGTGTGGACAAGGATCGTCGTTTTGACAAATTCGCTTGTTCGGCAACCACAATAAGAGACTGGTATATAAGAAACGTCTTAGACCGACCTCGACACTTCGATTCACGCATTACTCCTCGAGCGACTCCGGACGAAACAACTGGACAGTATCGGCGTCTCTGCCTCCGCCACTGAGCTGGTGTTGAAAGTCGTGTTGAAAAGAAATAACAATATATACATGAAGCTACACCTCTAGCTGCTCGCATCGGATGAAATCACCTGCACCTCTCCGCTACATACATCTAGAGCGCCACTGTCCTCACACGCCTCACTGGCAAGACGACCACCACTGAGTCGACTCCTTGCAGGTATACGGGGCCTGGCACGCTGTCGGTCCAGAATATCCTTTTCCGCCGCACTATTTCATCGTCAGCACCAATCTCACACACTGTCTCCGGCATCCATTCGTACCTGCCCCCACTGCGGGACGGTGTCGGTCGGGGAGGACCCGGGCGGCGCGGAGCTCGTCGGGACCGTAACGGGGGGCGTGCTCGTTGTGGTCGACGGCGGCGGCGGACCGTCGGCGCCGCAGGGCCCGCCGTTGACCAGGATGTGCTTGGCCTGCTGCGCGTACGTGCACCCGTTGATCACGTTCGAGTCGGAGAATCCCGCGCTCCACATCATGATGCCGCCAAAGTGGGCGTCGCTCTTGTAGTCGTTGACGATGGTGGCCAGCTGCTCCGGGGTCGCGTAGTAGGTGGCGCCGCCGGGCCCGCCGTTGGCCGCCAGCGTCGAGGCGGGCACGCCGATGAAGATCTTGGCGTCCTTGGAGGGCCCGGAGGCGATGAAGCTGGTCCAGTTGTTGTAGTTGAACGGGGCGTTGCCGTTGATGGGCAGCGCGCACGGCACCGTGTAGTTGTTGTTGTTGTAGAACTGCACGAACAGGTAGTCGAACTGGCTGGTCGCGATCATCTCGCCCATGTTGGGCTCCGGGATCGGGCACTGCGGCGCGCCCGTAATCACATATTTCTTGGAGGAGTCCTTGGCAAAGTTGGCCCGCAGCGTCGCGATCATGTACTGGTAGTACTGGCTGCTGCCGCCGTTGACCTCGATGTCAAAGTCGAAGCCGTCGACATTGTTGCTGCCAAAGGGCCGCTGCACCGTCGTGTTGCCCGAGTTGCCGTACGACTCCCACAGGTACTGGCCGATCTGCTCGGCCTGGGCGCGGCTCTGCAGGGAGTAGGAGCTGGTGGCGCCGCCGAGGGAGAGCACGATCTTGACGCCGGCGGCCTGGCACTTGCTGATGGCCGCGGTGAGGGCCTCGCAGTTCTGGCCCTGGCCGGCGTTGCTGATGAAGCACGACTGGCCGATGGTGCCGGAGGGGATGTTGTTGTCGCGGCCGAACTGGTACAGGAAGGACAGCACGAGCACGTCGATGCCCGAGTTGGACTGGCAGTACGCGCCGAGGTCGTTGTTCTCGATGGTGCCGCCGCCGTTCTGGCCCCAGTAGACGACGTTTTGCGCGCCGGACGGCGCCTGTCGCGTGGAGAGGAGAGGGGATGCCCCTACGAGGCTGGTGAGCCCGAGGCCGGCGAGGAAGGACAAGGAGCGCATGGTGAGTTATCCGGGAGGCTGGGGGGAAGGATACCGTGCAGTATCAATATATATACAAACGAGGAGAGTAAAAGGAATGTGTTGTGATTGGTGTTTTGCTGATCAACGCCTGGGAGAGTCCACGAGCCATCAACATTGTGACCCGGCACGGTCTCAGCGTACTTATACTTTCACAAAATGATCTTCAAAAACCGAACTGACGGATTAGAGGTGTTGAACATTCTCAATGGCCCGATTACACCGCGAACGTCATCCTGACCTGCCCTTCTGAGATGCAAGCCCCGGCGCCGCGTTCGGGGGGGGTTGCATTCCAGAGCGAGGCCGCCCAGCTGGAGCGGATCACGGCCACGGGGGGTTGGAAAGGAGACGTTACACGTTGGACGACCCGACCGTCATCTGCGCGCGCCGAGAGAGGAAAGTGCCTGCTGGCGGCCGATAAAGGTCGATTCGGTCGGGGTCGGTCGAGTTTGGGCGACGAAGGAGGTGCATGTCTATGGTGCGGCAGCTAAACTGGGGAAACGCCCGGCCCGCTGCAGATTTGGCAGGTGTCAGGAAAAACAGGGGGGATGTAACTACTAAGAAAGAAGGAGGACTCGCGCAATAAACTAAGTTAACTAATTGATTGGTGCCGTTCCAGCCGTGTTGGCGATGGTGGCGCCGATTGTCATGGGGGAAGGAAGACCAAGAAGCGGCGTTGGACGAAGGGGGGCGGATAGATGCGACGTTCCTGCACTAGCCTGCTCTGTCGCCCGTCCCCTTTGATTTCCTCTGAGGATGGCTTTAATTAATTGTTGATATCAAGAATTTTGATGAAAGGATGGACGTGTAAGCGAAGCTAAATGGGCTAGTTTAGTCTCCGCATTCTGATGGTCAAGCTAAATCCCCTGAATGAAGGTCGTTCTGCTCAGAAGACTCGGAGAGCGAGACGCCTGATTAAGGTGGACAAGTCAGCTGTATTGGTCCCGTCCTATGGCGATCGGAGTTTCCGAGACTGAATGACGTTGGTTCGTCTGAGTCGTCTGTATAAGTTGTTCATCAGTTTGGAGTGCGATGACAACCCCACGGTACCAACATTAAAGCTGATGCTGTTCCTGTGCCGTGTGGGGGTCAATAGCAATGTTAGCATTAAGCTTTTCTGTATTGTCCTACCTAGTTTGTCACTAAATTGGTGCGTTTCTGAATACCGCCCGTGTCCACAGCATCGGCACCCAGCGGCGACTTGTAGTAACGTGTACTTACGGAGTTGGACGGTCGCTCTTGAGCTGCTCCTGATCTCAAAGGTCGTTCAACCTGTGAGGTTCTGCCAGTTGATGATTTCAAATCCAGCAACCGCGAGATCGTCTAAACCTCCATGCCACGCTTCCCACGTGTACCATCTGGCAGGCCCTCGGTCGAGTTGGCGTCACGCGACGAGTCCTCGACGACGCGCTCGGCCGAATTACCCACGTTGAAAGTGGTTGCATCAGCGCCACAGCAGTCCAAGTCATGTCATGTTACACTCTCAACATGGCAGATCTGACACGTGCGGGCGACGAGACGACAGGCAGCAGGCTTCGCTTACATCTGGGATCACTGCGGAAAAGTAGGGGGCTTGCAACGTGAGAAGATCAATAATATTCTTTAATCAAAACATTGTTGTATTGATACTCAAAAGACTCTACGCTTAATAAGTGTAATCACTGTCGCTGTCACGACTTATATGGTGTATGTAAGCGTAGCGTAGCATAAGTCTGCTCCATGTTGACTGGTTGACTAGTTGACTAGTTTGGGGTTGCTTTGCACATTGGGATTTTTTATCTTTCCATCCTTTTTTTTTTAAGTTTCTGTCATGGCTTTTTACGCACAGAATCGCGCAGCATCACCTGTCTTGCCCCTCTGTACCGGCACTGAGCACAGCCGAAGCAGTCTTTCCAATGGTTCACACGCATCGGAAGACTTCAATTGAGCATACTTGATGTCGCCATCCAGGATATCAAACAGCCCCTTCTCGTGCATTCGCTTTGACAATATTTCTGCGTAATTTGCCCTGTTTATTTTGGCATCTTTGAAGCGTATCTATATTCTGTTTTTTCTTGAATTGTTTTGTGTCAAATCTGTTTCCAGTAGATGCATCGGAGGAGCCAGTCACCACTCCTCGCCCAATCCGCGACAGCGAGGTACTTGGGCGTGAGGCTATATCCATTTTCACAATGAGAAATACTTTTTGGCTCCCATCGTCGTTGATTTGCTTTTGTTTTTGCTTTTGTTTTTTTTTCTTTTGGCGTTTTATCACACCTCGCACAACGGCCATCAGGCCGGTTCATCCTTAAGTTGAAGAATAGGTCGAGACGACGGAAAGTCATGATAAGAAAAGTCATTATAAAGAAAGGGCATCATAAAGAAAAGTTATAAGAAAGAAACCATATTAAAGAAAATTTGTGAAAGAAAGAAGAGAAATAAAAAAGAAAAGTTATTGAGAAGCAAGATCGTTTAATGAGTATCTATGAACCTGGTTATTTTTGCACCCAGACAATTCAGCCTGCGGGGAAAGGAAGCCAATTTGTCCATGTCGTTGGCGTCCTCGTCAGGCTTCTGCCGACGAAACTCTCGCCATTCACCATGCTGCGTTTGAATTTCGCTCAAGTGTCCCCAATCCTGAAGTCGGTCAGGCAGGAGATGCGCCCACAGATCAGAAAAATCCCCGCCCGGCTCATACATCTCAAACAGTGGCAAGTCCACGGCGCTCCCCAAGGGCGAGTCGCCGTCCTTGTCGCCGCCTGCGCGTATTCGGCCGCGCCTCCGCAAGACCCAAAGACGAGATCGTAGCCGGCGCGCCGCGGAGGCTCCGCAAGAGGCCACGGAAGCTTCGCACGAGGCTACAGAGGATTCGGACGAGGCTACAGACTCGCGGTCCCCGTCCTCGTCGCGCCTCGGCGCCGTCGCGTCGCCGTATGACGGGATCGACGCGATCGCCAGGTACCGCAGGTGGCAAGCGACGTGCTCTGCCATGTTCTCTGATGGGGGGTAGTCGCAAAAGGGACAGTCTTGGAAGACAATTTCCTTGGCCCGTCGACAAAGTGGGAGATAGTCTGGTATGTACTCGTCGGGCTCCTTGTGCTCGACCTTGAAGTGCTCCGCGAGGCCGTCCTCGTGATCGAAACGCTGCACCGGCTCACTGCAGAAGGGGCAGAGCCAGTAGTGAAAATGGTTCGACATGTGGGAGAGCCATTGCGCCGCGGACGAGTATAGGTTATCCGGCTGGTTGCAGTCGTCGACGAGGCAGACGTAAGCTTCCAGATCTCGGTTGACGTGCATCCTAGACGGGGGGAGGGGTTTTGGTCAGAAGGACTCGTAGCCTTTGTAGTGTCGGCGAGAGAGGGCGGGGAGAATGATTGGGAGTGACTTACGACCACAGTTCCTCATGCAGGCCAGTCTTGCTTGGCAAAGACATGGAGCAAAGGTCACAGGTAAAATCCGACCCGTCTCGGCAGCACGCAGGAGGGCGCGGCATGAGCGCTTCGATGTTGTGCGGGGGCGCTTCCCGCCTAGATCTCGTCAACTTACCGAGCAGAAAACGCATCTTCTGGGCCACTGAATACAAGCCCTGGGCCCTGCGAAAGAGTGAGGGCTTGCTGCCGTCTCGTCTTTCAAGTAGCAGATGCGTCAGGGGATACTCCTCGTGCCAGATCATTAACGGTCGCCTTTTAGCCTCTTTATTAGTATGTGTACGGAGAAAGAGGCGCCGGTAGCGCTCGACCATGGTGCCGTGCATTCTATCGCTCAGCTCGGACGATATTCCCGGGAAGTCACGGGCGAGGATCCGTCGACAGAAGACCGAGAGGCGGCGCTGATCAAAATCATTCAAGCTGCAAGGCTTGGCAATGATCCTTTGGTTAATGGCAGCAGCGTTGCATATATACTCAGCCGAGAAATAAAGGCTCTCGATTTCTATGTTAATAAAGCCCATCGAACCTTCATAGTCGTACAACTCGGACACCGGGACTGGCTCTTCGTTGCTGTCTGCATCCGAGTTCTCTTGCGCGCCTGTTGATGAGGCCTTCTGTGCCTCGGATTGTTCTGAGAGTCTGTCGGAAGTAGAACGCTTGGAGTCTGAATCGATGGCAGCGATGTAGCTTTCTAGTTCCGAGCTTATCCGGTCTATTGTCATTCCGAGACTGGCAAGCTCCCCCGGGAGCAAGCGAAGCCGGTATTCGAGCGATGCCTGGCCCGTGCCGAGCGCCGTGGTGTTGGATGTCCAGATGGAGAATTTTTCCTCTGCCTCAGCAAGACTTCGGCGTAGGAGGTAGGGCATGATGGCACTGGCAGTCTCGCCACCTTCCTTGCTGGCAGTGAGTGCCTTTTGGAAGCGGTCGAGGCAAATCTGAGCAGACAGGCCCACGTCGCCCTCATAGAACTCCTTCAAAAAGGGGTTTTCGTACGCAATGCCCATGATTTTTTTCCTGCGAAATATTCACGATGTGGTTCTGTGAGATGCCCACGCGGGTTTCTGGAGTAGTTGGCGTAGTTGGCGTAGTTGGTGTAGGTGGTTTTGGAGTGAAAATGACGGATTAGAAACGGCCGGTAGCTGTCGAGTTGGGGGCGCGTTGGGTACATGACAGAGAGGAGAGAGGAGTTAACTGCTGTAGAAGTCGGCTCGCGCTGAACTCAGGCTGGCGCACATAGTTACATGCACCCTTCCTTCAGGTGACCATGAGTGCAGCGGCGGTAAGTGATTGCCTGGATTGGACGTACTGCAGCGTCTCACCCTTGATATTCTTTCAGGCTGTCCAACCCCGTCGCCCCTTTGACTCTCTTGCAGCCTGGTGTGGACCGTGTGGTGCAGTATCCGATGCACCCACGAATCAATGAGTCTGAAACATGCAGATGCCACTCCAGCACACGGCTGAGCCCAGGCGCGTGACGCCCAGCTCAAATGAGGACTTCTCTTTGGACTGTCGTATAAAGGAGCCAGCAGGTAGTTATTTTGCAGGGCTTTGGTCTAATCACGTCGTGTATTTCGTAGTGGGTGGTGGGCATCTAAGCCATCATCAGTTCAGGTACTATGGCGCAGGCGAATACTAGGGAGTACCTCTAATCGCTGCATCTGAATTCGCTCAGTCAGTAACCCCATGTCGTTTATTTCTCGATGGATCCTGTGATATGCTTGCTCCTTTGCGACAGTAAAAGGGATGTCTGTGAGACATGGAATGTTGCCGCCCGCAGCCCGCTTGCCTGCATCGTGGCTAATAACTTGGATGCGGTACAGTGCTGAGTGTGTAAAACTTGAGCGAAATAAAGACCATGCAAGCTATTCATAGTATACAAAGTCATCGGGACAGAGTAATGAAAATATGTACCCCATTCATCATAAATGTCTGGCTCCCATGTGCTTTTATAAAAATAGCCCTGTGTGACAAAACAGTGATCCTGCATCGTGAAGAACAACCCCCGCGCCAACTTGCTGACGGCTGGAGGCTGCATATGTAAAGCTCATCCGAACATAATAAAGTCTGCCGAAGTCATGCCAGCTACATAGTGTCTCCCCTCTAGCCTTATCATCCGGATCGTTTGCGTGTCTTCCTCGTTGTCATACTCGACCAACGTTTGCCTCGACCACAATATTACGCGAGCGGCGCTGAATGCACTGTGTAACCAGCCGTACAACCATCTCCCTCTGATCATTAGGCTACCTGTTCTTTCTTTTAATCCATGTCATCCAGCGTCAGTCCTCATCATCACCGTGATCCCCTTTTGAAAGCTGTTGATCAAGGGCTGGCCACCCTCGAAGCCGCAGCACATAAGAGTCTCGGGAGTCCAGGTACCGGGAACTTTACCGCCGCGCACAGAGCTATTTTTCTTCAAGCTTCTAAACTACGTTCTTGTCTACCACCCAATGGGCCTGAAAGAGCAGTGGGCCTGATAGCAACGCTCCTGTTGCGATGGCTGGAAAGGGCGGACAATTTGTCAGAGGTAATAACAATCAGTTTTGACGAGGCAAATCAGCTTCTAATACGCTTGCAGAGCACTGGCCAATACGAACTCTTTGCAGGCCCCGAGATCCGATTTCAATCCATCTTAGGATCCGTCGAGGAGTGCAGCAAGCTGGCAGCGGAACTGAGAGACACTCGCAAAAGCCTAGCACTACACCCAGACAACACCGCGAACGCGGCAACTGAAAACGCGGCAACTGAGAAGGTGCAAAAACAAGAGGCCTCGACTGCAACAGTGCTGTACGACGAGTTTGTCCACCCTATAGCCACCGTTTTATTCGACGGCATCTCGCAAGGGCGATGCCATAACCGAGAGCTACGGCTACGACTCGGCGGCGCTCCGCGCGCCCGTTCATCGGATGATGGCCGGTATTTAGATCTCTTGATCGAGAATGCATGGGGGGATACCAAGGGCTGGCTGCCCGTGCGCCTACACTCGAAGCCTACGGAGGAGTGAGTCAAGATGCACGATAGCTCTCCCACTTACTGATTTAGCCAGGATGAAGGAATCTATCAAGATGATCCAGACCACGGGCAAAGGCAAAGCCGCCCCGCCATCGCCACTCAAGAAAAGAGACGCGAATGAGTTCATATCCACGCCGAGAAGTAGCTTTTCGTCAAATCTAAGAAGCGGAATACTCTACGGAAATACCTTGAAACGAGTCGGATCAAAGTTGAAAAGTGTCTTGTCCTTCGAAAAGAAAAATGAGAGCGCCTTTTCGGTACATCGGCAAAGCAAACGCGTCTCGTGTTCAGACCGCGAACGCGACGGTCGACCTCTTGATGAAAACTCGTGGAGGATCAAGGACGCGAAGTCGCATGATCAGATATACGACCATTTAAAGGAAGTAGACCCGGTTTTCAAGACACATCTGCATCATTTCGAACTTGATGGCGCCAAGCGCTGGCTCTTGCACAAGCACGATACAGAAGACAAGGACGGGTACGAATATGAGCACAGTCTCGGCGAGCTGGCCTCAAAGATGAGATGGGGTGAGAATCAAAGAATGGCGATTTTTTTCCATCTTGCGTATGCTTTGTCATGTTACTACGAGAGTCGCTGGCTCACTGGACATTGGGACCCCGAAAATATCAGCTTCTTCAAGCACGGGTCTCACATTCCATGCGAGCCCTGGCTGAAACTGTTGCCGACGACGCCTTTAGCAAAGTACAAGGCGTCCGACAGAATATATCACCCACAAATCCTCGAACTGGGGGTCCTCTCGCTAGAACTCGAACTCGGACAGCCCATCGCGCAGTTCTTGAATCTAGCGACCGCTGCAGACATGCACGGTCGCTGGGGACAGGCCAGTCGCGTCTGGGCCAAATCGCTGAAGAATGGAAACCTCAGCATAGCCTCCGGAACCTACCGGCAGGCGATCGACTTTTGTCTGCAGGAGGACCACGTCAAAGACCCGGTCGTCTTTCGCCGGATGATCTGGGATCAGGTCGTGCTCCCTCTGCGCGCAACCTTGCCGGACGAGAACATGGCAAAGATGGATCTCGCCGGGGTCCCGGAGCCTACGGCTTCCCAGCGCGTCAACGCCGATGGGACTTGGACTCCGTTTACCGTTCGTAGGAGCATCGATACCGCGACTTCGATGTACCGCAATGCAAGCCGCGAGTCGGCGGGACCGTCCATCGGGAAATCAACGTTATACCACACGAGCTTAGAATACCTCAGCCTGCCGGAGAAGCCGATTTTACATGCCGCGAGCGTCGCAGACAGTCCGCCTCGAATCCCGAATCATGCACCAACAGCCGCGGACAGCGGGACCGCCTTGGGGCCTGGCCGTGCTGCCCTCGGCCAGCCATCACTGCCACAAGACGAGTAAGTGTTTTCAACTCTACTGCGAGAGGCTTGTTTCTGACTATGATAGGCCCTACAAGGCCTCTAAAGCATGGATCGAAAATTTCAAAGCGGTCATCAACGGCAATCAAGGAGGTGGCGCCTCCAACACACGGGTCAAGGTCGCCTTGCTGGATACGGGCATCGACACAGAGCACGACTTCTTCCAAGAATCTTGCGACGATGGAGAACCGCGCCTGAACCCCAGAATTAAAGAGATCTGCTCCTGGGTGGATGGAAACAAAGGTCAGAGGACCACGAATGGTCGTGATGAGTGTGGCCACGGAACCTCCGTCGCCAACCTCCTCCTTGACCTATGCCCAAACATCGACCTTTACGTGGCTAGAGTTTCCAAAACATTGGAGTTCGAGAGTGGCGCGGCTGCCAACATCAAGAACGTGAGTGTCTTCAGGCCACAACTCGGCCTTGTCAGCGCTAACGGGGGCCGCAAAGGCTTTACTTCATGCCAAGAATACGTGGCAGGTTGACATCGTCAACCTGTCCGCCGGGTTTCCCGAACCCATTGGGGAGATCGAGGCGGCGATCGACGAGATTACGGGGCCCTCCTGGCCCGATAAGCAGGTCTTGGTGTTCGCCGCGGCCTCCAACAGCGGGCCGGACGAGCCCCGGTGGTTCCCAGCCAGCTGCCACTCCGTCTTTGGCATGCACTCCACCAACGCGGACGGCGACTGGTCTCGCTTCAACGCGGATCCGAAGTGCGACGCCAACTTTGCCATCCTGGGGGAGGACATTGAGTCGGCGTGGCTGACGAGCAGCGGTAGCACCAGTGCCACTCGGCGCTGCTGCGGCACGTCCTACGCGACCGCAATCGCCGTCTCCCTGGCGGCGTTTCTCTTCGCGCTGGTCCCTGCCATCGTCTCGAGCCATAAGAAATGCTACTACAAGGTGTACAGGTTCCAGGGGATGCAGACACTGCTGCAGGAGCTGGCTCGGCAACCCGAGGGCCAATTTCGCTATCTCAACTTGGCAAGGTACTTTAGCAGTTCCCGGAACACAATAGAAGGTATTGGAATAAAGTTCGGGGTGTTGTTGAACCCTAGAGGGAAGCAACAGGAGGATGGCGGTAGCACTGATTGATTGCTCGCACTGATGATGCTAAGAAGCCCCTTGTCTGGTGCGTCAAGTCTTATTCCCTGGACCCATCCAATAACAGCCCTTCGCCGTACATAGTTTAGTCTCATAATGTAGTCACTTTCTAGTATATAGTCAAGTCAAATCCCCTGTCAGCGTGAAGCAGAGCAACCGAGGAGGGGGGAAAGCGTAGTCCGGACAAGAATATCCGTTGCGAGCCCCAACAGGTTCCGGGATTCTCAATCTTTTGGCAGCACTCTAAGCAAGAACCGTGACGTAAACCTCTCCATCGTCATCGTGCACCATCTCTCGCTCCCCGGCCGTGGCCGCGGCCTTAAAGTCCTCCTCTTCGAGCCCCTTGACCTGGACAACCTTGCCGCGATCGTCCGCCTCGACGCCGAGCACGCATCCCTTAGCATCGCTCTGCTTAACGATGTTGAGCTCGGGGTCGATCAGGATCTTGCGGACGCGGTACGCGAAGACGAAGTCGGTGCTGTCCCGAAACGAAGACACGTCGCTGCGGCTGCTGCTGGCGCTGACCTCCGGGCCGAGGGAGACTCCCGGCGCGCCGGCCGCGGCCAGGTCCGCGCCCACGGCCAGGTCCGCCCCGACGCTCCTGGCGTTGACCCTCTCCATGCTCGCCCCGATGGCCTCCTTGATCCCGACGACGACGTAGATCGGCCGCCTGAATTTGAACCTCTCGAGGTACTTCCGCGCCGCGCCCTGGCTGACCATCCTCTGCAGGTCGGCCTCGCACGGGTAGGCCTCCTTGGTCACGATGGTCTTGAAGCTGTAGCGGTCCGTAATCGCCTTTTCTCCCTCCCCCCCGGCGTCGGCGCCGGCACCGCCGAGAATGGCGAGGAACTTGGTCCAGACGCCAAACCTGCACGCCCTCTTCGTCTCGTGCGACCATTGGAAGTCGTTCTTGAAGGTCACAGAAGCATCAGGCGCTTTGATCGCAACGTCTAGAGGAGGAATAATCTTTTTGGGGTGGGTGACGAGATTCCACAGCGCAATCGTGTTGCCTGGAGCGCAGTCAGGGGAGTAGTCCCAGGCGGGAGCGAGGAAGTAGCTCTTCACTTGGTTGGCCATTTCGAGAGAATTTGATTACGTTGTCAGCTATTCAAGAGAAGAGTGAGTTGGCTGATGCTGTTTCCCAAATTCCGGGATTATGAGATACTTATCGTCGGCAGGAGGTGGTCTTTGCCCCCGCCGACGCATTCACACAAGCCATCAGCCTTCCCTGCATATGATTGCGGCCCAACTGCAAATATTCATTGCATACGCTCTTATCTGAGGGATATGTTCCGTAAATAGAACTGATCAACATTCTACTATGGCACGCCTGAGCGGTTGGTCGGAGGAATTATCACGGTACTGTCGACCGCCCTCGTCCGGTCTAAGAGTGCTCCTCTATGACCACCAGGTGCCCAGACTATGCCCTTTAAGTATAGATAAATTGCTAACTTATTTACACTACCTTTCGTTCTTATCATATAGCTGTTACACAGTGTCACTAGCTATTTCCTCTTTTCTGCCCAATACTGAGATGATAGGGCCGCAACACTCCTCCTGTAGGCCGCAGCACCCCTCACCTGTCAGCCGCAGCCTGCTCGTCAACTTCATTTGGCTCTGCAAATACATCCCCGGCAGGCACGATCAAGACCTTGAGCCAAGACACCCGCAGACATACTCGCAGTTAGCTAAGCTGCACTTGGTTAGCGAGCTGGGCCTCCGCCGCCGCCCTCCCGTAACGTGTCATTCCTCCGGGTTGCAGTTCATGGGAAGGCTCCAAAGCATATTGCTGACATCGAAACGAGTGCAGGTCTAGCAGCATGCTACGAAGCGCAATCAGAATTTTAGCCTTACGAAGAGTAGGAGCAGTCTTCAGAGCCGATTCGCCGCGTCTAATCTGCCGCCATCAGACGCTACGGTACCGGAATTAGGGCCCGGGGACCCCGCCGGCCGATAGGCCGCGGGGAGCTAGTTCTTCAGCAGAGATGCGCGGGGCTCGCTCGTCCGGGCCCCGTTCTAGCTGCGACCTACACGACGGTCCTTTTTTTTTATTAGTACATTGTGGTGATGTATTTGCCTACATCCTCCCGACGACCAAGCTTCATGTGGTGCGTAACCGTTGCTGCGCACCGCCTTGTTGGGCTATAGAGGTGGCCACCAACCTTTGGACATGGCAGCTTCAAAAGTCGGGCGACGCAGTTTGGACAGGTGCCAAAGCCTTCTGGGACAAGTACAGTTGACGCATCCTTGCGATGGTTTGCGCGCTGCTTGTATCGGCCAGCAAGGCCTATCACATCACGGTATCGAGAGCATACCTACTACCGTTGGAGAACGACGAGATGACGGGAAGACTTTGCTTTGCCGTCCACAGGCCAGTCCTCGTCACGGATACACTTCATCAGGGTTGGGCACGAGTTGCAAGGACATCCACGAGGAGAAGACTTTTGTGTCGCATTCTCTAAATTAAATTTTTGCCATCGGAATTGCCTCAATCTGCCCAGCGGAGCGTCTGTCAAGGCCATTCGCGCCCGCCATCCGTTTTAGATCGTTCTGGATGCTCTCTTCCCTGGCCGTTGACCGTTACCCGTTGTCAATTGCCAACTTTAAAAACGTCCAAGACCCTCCCGGGCCCCCGGCCCAGGAGCTTTGACGGACCCGGCGCGGACGGGCGGGCGCCCGGCGCCATGTTGGTCTGACCGACACAAGTTGTCAAGACTTGACGCAAACGAGACAAAACTTGCCAAGTTCCAAGCAAAGACGAACATGGTTGGTGCTTGTCAAGTTTATTGGGCGGTCTGTGCCCCCCCCCCTCCCTTGTCGCGTCGTGGTGCCATTGAAATGTCTCAGACGATCATGTCCCCTGCAAGTTGTTCTGTGAATTTAGCCAAGTTGACAACGGCAACGACGGGAACTCAACAAAAAACGCAAAAGTTCGAGGTCAAAGAAAGGAACCTGTTGCAATAAGAATAGCAATCATGCCTACTTCCTCCCTTGAAGACGGACCGGCGCTGTCCCAGCCAGCCCAGCCGCAAGGCACCAACCGTCCTGCGAGAGAAAAAAAAAAAAAAAAAAAAAAAGACCAGCCAGACATGATTCGTTGCGCTTCTTCCAGTTAGACTTGTTCTCTCACTCCGATTTGGGAGGAAACTTGCCGTCCCCTTGTTCCGAGATGACCATGCACACCCGAGTTTCTTTTTAATGAAGTTTTTTTTGGTTATATTTGTCATATTTGTTTTTTTAAATTATTGATAGGTTTTTTTTTTAATTGATTGCTTTGTTACCGATATAAATCAAATCTAGCTCCTGGTCGAGCCGCCCTGACCGACGTCGTCGCCCTTCTTGATGCCCTGGCTCTGGCCGCCGCTCGCGTTCATGCCGTCCAGGCCGGCGCCCTTTTCGTGCTCCGGCAGAGGGGCCGTCTTGTCGGCGCGGTCAACCTTGTCCTTCTATGCGTTATTAATATTTAGGATTAAGATTATAAATACAGTACGGGTCATACCTTGACTTGGCCGGCGCCGTGCACGATGTCGTGGCCGGCCTCCTCAAAGGGGCCGTTGTGTGATGAACCATCTCCGGGGCGAGGCATGACGGGTAGTTTGTTTAGGTTGGGAGGGTAAGATGTCGTGGATGGAATTTGAATGAATTCGGGAATTGATGACTAGGCTGTTATTGGTTGAGTCGCACTTGGAGATGGACGACTGACTTCTCTTATACAAGTTGTCTGTTCGTCGTATGTGGAGACGCAAACGTCACTTGATATCGTCGGCGTCATGCATTCGTCACGCTGGGTCTTGGGTTGACACAGTCGACAATTCAATGACACAAAGAACCATGTGGAATGAAATGGTAAAAAAAAAAAAAAACTTCAAAAGTAAAGATGGCCATCTATTCGATTTGCGATCTTCATCTCGCAACGTGCAGCTCTCAATGGACTCTAGGGTACTGTTATACGGTAGCGACGCAGTAGCATCATCAGTAATTTGTAGTGCCTCTCTCTGCTTTTGGCGCAAAGACTCGACATCATCATCCAAACATCCCTTCTCCACCCACAACTGTACAATTTCCAAGAAGTGTCCAATACTCAATCCATACTCACGCCCCATCAACAGCCGCGAAGCTTGGAAGCTCCTCCTCACCAGGAGCCACCTTGCCCCGCGGTGACGCCCTGAGAGCCGCTGATCGTCACTGCATGTCAAGTCGAGGCCATCACTCACCCACTCGGCGAGGCAGGTTAACCAAGAATTTTTCAATTGGAAGAAATTTCCAGACGAGACAACGCCGGCTCTTCTGGCCGTGTCTTGCTGGCCGATCATCGGGTCGTCACCACTCACAGCACTGCCCTCTGCATTATCGGAAGCTGCTGAAACAGGTACTCGAGGCAAAAGAAACCCTCCCAAGTAACTAAAAATACGCACGAGACTGTCCCGTTACGTAGCGGTAGGGTATGTAGGCACCATGTCTTCCGCTGCCATCTGCGATGCAGCCACTCTGAAGGAAGAACAGGCCAAGCCAGGGGTTCTCAGGAGCCCGACCTGATCATCGATCCCTTTCGCGAGACATGCAGTGTAGGGTATGTACTGTACGTACCATTCAACCTCATCAGTCCAACACGACTCCAACAGCATCCTTTCTTTGCTGCCTGCGCGGCTGAATCAGATAAGCTTGTCGGCGTTCTATGATTGAACGAGCTGTGAAATTGGTGAATCAAACTCGACAGGGAGTGAGTGCCGCCATACTGCTTTGTAGATCCGTCGTACGCAAGCCACTTGCAATCGCTCTGGCCATCCCATCCCATCAGCTGTCCATCAACAATGTCGTCGACAATCATGCCCGTGTCGGCGGCTATCAGTATATTGACCCCACGTCAATCACAATCACCAATCACCGTCCCAATCATCCAACACAGCCCATCATTGGCACAGATGGCATGTTCATTCCGTATATATGAAATTGGTCGCCCGTCTCGCCACCACCACCACCACCACTTCTTGGTCCAGCACCATGCCGCAGTCTACGTACACCCATTCCATGTGTCCACCACCCGAAGATCCGCGGCAAACCAACAGCCATCACCCGCCCCGGCACAGCCCGTCCTCCCCTCCCTTCCTGTCCAGGTCCTCCTGCCCCTGACAAGAAGGAAAGGAAAAAACGCCATCTGCAGGGGAACGAAGCCATCGGATACCGGGAGGCGCCACGCAGTCCCTCCGGATGCTCGTAGGACCGGCACCGGTCCAGGCCGCCCAGCCCAGCCCGGCACTATCTTGTCTTGGGGGGATTTTTTTTTTGTCAAAAGGAAAGCGGCAGATGCACAGCCAAATGTATCCCAAAACGCAACCATGAGAAATCGCATGTGCCGATGGCGGATCACCGGGCCACCGCAGCCGGGGGGGGGGGGGGGTATCGACCGACCCTCTGCCGAGCATTTTCCTTTTCTTCTTGTCTCGTCACCGCCACTGGTCAAGTTTATTTTTCGCCCTTCGGTTTTTCTTCCCACATCGGACGACCCAAGCCGGTGGCTCCCCCCTGGCTGCAGCATGTCACCGCCTCCTTGCTCCCCCCTTGGCTCAGACGTGCGACGCCCGTCACCGACCAAAACCTTGAAACGTGCCTCTCTCTTTGTGGTTGTTGTTATTATTGTTGTCCTGACACGAGTCACCAAGTCAACAACAGGAATCGTATGTATTTCAATTTCAAGTCTTCTTATTGACCGGGAAAGACGCAATGAAAAGACAGCTGACTCGGCAAATATAACCCTCGGGAGTCTCCCGGCTGGCCGGCCCCTTTTAACGAATATAGCATCAGGAGCTCCAGCATGCTTCCAGAAAAATACAAAGAAAAAGTCAAATCTATATCCCTGCCAAGCTCCCGGCACACTGGATGACTGGACGGACCGTTCTTGGTTCCCAGGGCAAAAAAAAAAAATATTAACACGTTGTGGGCATTTTTCCCGTTTTGACTCGCCTTCCCAAGGGCCCCTTGCACACCCTGCAGCAATGAAGTTTAACGGCTCCCTGTCGTGGCCGTTTATTTTTACCAGTATCCGTTCAATCCTTATTCTTCTTTTTTTGCTTCTCTGATAGATGCCCTTGTCTGTAAAAATTTTCATTTTTTGTAGCACAGCCAACGGTGATCCACGCCGGAAGAGCAACCAATGTTGTCAGTCATGGAAGGCTGGACAATACTATCTGCTAGACAGCTATCTGCGGCTTTCACGAATAAGGCAACTCTAACCACGTCGGTCGTCAAGACAGCTTGGTGTACTAGTTCACTCGCAGCGTCGCCTTTAGTTGGTTCGAAAACGCGCCGCGTCGGCTCCTGTATTGATTCGTTGCTTGGTCGCACTCGGTAATGATGAAATAATTCCACCCCAGTTCCATGACACTTCCCTATTCCGTCTCTGGGCTAGCAAGAGAAGCCCGGGCCTTTTGGTGAGAAACAAGACCCTGGACGCGAGAGGGGGAGCGCCAGTCTGTGCTGAGATTAACTGGATTATTCCCCAGAAATTCTTCTCCATCGAAGAAAAGAATAATCATAAAAGAAAGACGGCCAACATGCATGGATTTGCGACCGCCAGAAGAGGACCAGGGGAAACCACCACAAGAGGCCGAAAAATGTAGGGGATGGCAAGGCAATTGGCGGAGTGGTCGTCCAGTCAATCTACTTTCGAAATCCACATGCCTCTCGTCTTTTGGTCGAGAATCGGGGAAAAAAATTGACTGAATCGCCCTTGGAAAAACAGGATTGTGCCCATGTTGTCACCGTCGACTCCTCCTGTCTCGGTCGCTCAACCGTAGAAACCCACTCCTGTTAGATTGGCATCCCCCAGTCGACAGTTGGACCGTTGAAAACAAAGGGGACCGTAGAAGCTTCTTTCCATTCGACTTTTTTGTTGTTGTTGTTGTTTCGACGGCCCCATCCTCCCGGCGACTATACAGATGCACAGTACCGCACAAGCTTTGCCATCACGGGAACCTGCGTCGGCCCCCTTCTTCGGCTTCTGTCGTATAAAGTTGCCTTTTCGAGGTCGTCCCCGGCTGCCGGCAGTGGCAAGCGACGAGGTGTAGGTATGCGTGTGTGAGGTGTGAGTCGTCGTCTCGCCCAGCCGTCTGGGCTTCCGGTGAGCCAATGGCCGTGCTCTCCGGGAACGCGGACACGGGATGCGTCGAAACTCTCATGCCCCCTCGCCTCGATCAAAGTTCAGCCACAAGGACCCCAGCCCAGCCCGCGAGAAGACGAGAAAAAAAAAAGAAAGCCATCGCATCCTTGCCTTCCGTCCAAGGACCAAGGACAAACAGTATCCGTACACCACACAACTTTGCACACACCTTCAAAGCGCCAGCCCGCACCGGCGGGTAGCATTTCCGACCTGCCGGGCCACGGCCCATGGCCGCTCAAGTTTCCACTTTCCTCATCCACCCAAGGAATCCCAGTAGCGAGAGACGACCCTACACCTCTTTTGGCTTGCTTTCCTCCTCTGTTGGGCGCCCAGTCCCAGCTCCTTGTCTTCCCTTCTTCCCTTCTTCTCGCCCCTCCCTTCCCCCCGGCCGCTGTCTCCAAGCCCTCCAAACGGCCTAAACCTTCCCATTCCCAAAAGACCCAGCCCAACCAAGCTGCCCGGGACCACAGGACAGCACACCCCTGTCGATCTGGAACCCATGTTAGTCCTGGTTCAGTGGTTCAGTACCAGTAGCAGGCAAGAGAAGAATGACAAGTGTGAGAGAAGTGAGGGAGCCCGCCCGCCCAGGAAAAAATAATAAAAAATAAAATGCCCCCAAACCAAAAGATTAGACTGAGGGTCTCAGCGTCTTCATCTTTTCTTCTTCTCTGGCCCGTTCCTTTCAGGGGTTTTGAGTAGAGATTCACCGCTTCGCTGTTTGACCGCAACATCGGCTACCGTCCATGCGATTGATTCCCGGTACGAGTAAGTAATAATAGGTGGTCTGAGCAATGCTGGGATCGAGAAGCCCAGAAAGCCACGCGAGCCTGCATTCAAAGTGACGGGGGTCGTCGTTTCGGTCCTCATCTCTTTGTCTTCCCTCTCTTGTCCACGGATTTAAATATCCTCGTGTCCCTCTCTCTTCCTGTCTTCTTGTCCCACCACCTCTCTTCACATCTTCGTCCCCTCTCGCACGATCCTTGACCCTTTTTTGGCAATCATTCTTCCAGTACACGCCTCTGACTGCTGCTCTCCAGCTCGTCGACCTGTTGCATACACACACGCATACATCTTATTACTCCAAGTGTACCGTCAAAGCTGCACACTGCGCAACCGTACTCGATAAGAACGACAAAAGGCACAAGAGCAATAGAAGCCCACCCACCCGACATCCTTTTGCGACACCTGGCCGAAACCTTCATAATGGCACGCGGACCTTATGACACGACGGGCATTAACAAGCCCAACAACCCCCAGCCCGCCAAGCCGAAATAACGATGCGTCGGACCAATGCGTGAACAAGACGCTCCCTACTCACCAAGACTACTACACCACTTAGTACGTTCCGTCAAGCTACACCATGTCCGCAAGTCCCAACGACGTTTTGGCTAACCATGACGAAGATATTGTACCAGTCAACCCCCATTTCCTACTTGTCGACAAAAAGTTATAGACGGCGGCGTTTTGCTCTTCTCTCTTCCTTACGGATAATAATCTTCGGAGTGCGGGAAATACCGTCGAGACCCTTTTTTGCGCCACTCTCAGACCGCCGGGCTGGCCACCAGCGCCCTCTGGGAGCATCGTTATCTCCTTTTGTTTTCTCTTTCCGGTCAGGAGCAATAGATTTCGACGAAAAACACGGGCGACCAGAAAAATTTCCAACGACGAAGAATACCATATAGACGGCGTCACCGCCACTTGTTTTGAAAAATCCATTCCTCGCGGAATGGTACTCGAGAAAAAAAAGGTGTGGATCAGGTTGGGCGAGAACAGTTTCATCTGAAGAGCGAGACATGCCGGAACTTGGATTCTCTGGGCACTCGCGGGACGGTAGCTTTGTTTGTTTTTTTCGGGCACAGTTTGGAGGCTGCGGCTGTCTTTTGTTGGCGCCCAAAGGAACACAGGACTCAATGTGATCGTCGTCTCTGCCATGTTCACATGGCGAGCGGAATGACAGGATAGGCAATCCCAAGTGGTCGAGCTTCATGCAGAGTCATGCAGCTAGCGGGCACTCCCGCAGCAAGTGGGCAACCACACGTCAGGCTTGCGGGGACTCGTGGAGAGCTTCAAGACTCGTGGGAACCGATTCTCGCCGATGAGTTTCGGCACGCCATGACGGATGGCGCATATATCGCTGCAGAGACTTGTATGTCAAATGTACAATCTCGTTTTCTTGAATAGACTTTTGCTTTTAATACATTGCTCTTGAGTTTTGCCTTCAGGCGCACCGCCCGTCGCTGTTTCCATCTTAGCAGGTGAGTCCCCCAAGCCCTCGCACAGCTAAATTGTGCCCCTCTATCAATACCGAGTGCTTGAGTGAGTGGCAGGTAACAAATATGCAGCTGTCTGTGCAGTGTTGATGTTTATCCAGTCGGAGGCGACGGGCTAGCATACGCTGGTCATGCATGCGGGGAGTTCGCATCGACAGCGTCAGGGTCCAGCCGTCCCAACGTCATGGTTCGTTCCTGTGCGACGAATCATCGCAAAGTGTCAAATTTCGAAACAAGACAACGAGTGTCTGGTGTGAAACCAAGGCAGGTGACAAGAATCGGCTCGTTAAGGCCCTGGAAGACGAGACTCCATCAGCGCTCCCTCCCACAGAGGCTGTCAATTGCCAACAGGTGAACATCATGCGCCGTTTTGCAGGCCAATAATATTCTTCTACCTCATTGACGTTGTGTTACTTGAAAGAAATGTCTGATAGGTGACTTCTCGTCAACGCCTCTCCCCTGTGCGACGCGGCACACGGGCTGAGGCACCACCACGGAGTGGCAACCCCGCGTCTGTGTAGCAGTTGTGCATTGGAGATCTGACGTAGCTGCTGGTTTGCATCAGATTACATGCAGAAAGTTTAGCTGAGTATATTGAACACACACTTGCATGAAAGATGGGGGTTATCGTACGGGCTCAAATGTGATGCTGATGCATCTTGCATGCTGCGGCTTCCCGGTGAGCGATCTTGGCGAGCCAGAAGATGATTCGATGGAGACGACACCATCCTGATATAGAAATTTCGTCTCATCATCGCTTTCCACCGTCGCAGCATGAGTTTGACGTCCGTCGGAAAGTCAATCATTATGGCTGGCTGTGATGCCTGAAATAGTCACTCAGGGCTAGCTGAAAACTGATGCGGGGAGCGGCGGCGTAGGAAATTGTCATTCGTCATTCTCCCAACAGCTCTCTCATAGGTTACCTTCTCACAACTGCTTTGCGCACTTTTGTGCGTAGTCTCACAACCTGAGACATAAAGGTCGAAAAGGTCATTCAACCGTGCCAAAAATGATCTACCTGGGAGGCGGGGGTTCAGAGAGGGATGAGGCACCCATCTGGGACTTGGCTTATGAGGCAGGCCAGCGAGTCGTTATTTGGCCCTTCGCGATGCCCTCCACCCGGTGGCTAGGCACCAAGGAATGGATCACCAGGTCGCTGGCCCGATTCGGCGCGTTCTCGTCCATTTCTCTTGGTTTTTCCGGTCCTGACTTCGGCCTGGGCAACGCCGACGTGGTCGCGATTCCGGGTGGGAACACCTTCCGGCTCCTGCACCACCTGCGGGAGCACGATCTGCTGCGCGCCCTGCGAGTCTTCCTGGACCAGGGCGGGCGCATCTACGGGGGGAGCGCGGGCGCACTCGTGCTCGGCGCCAGCATCGCCATTGCGGACAGTAGCGTGGGCGGGCAGGACGACAACATCGTTGGCGATCTGCTGGTGGACATGCAAGGGTTGGATGCGCTTCGAGGCTGCGTGGCGTATCCTCATTTTGAGCAGGGCGTTGACAGGTTCGAGGGCCACTGTCACCGCTGGAGTCAGGAACATGGGGTAACGGTGATTGGTATACCGGAGACGTGCGGCGTCCAGTTTGATCCTTCGGGGTGCGCGTTGAATGCGGGGCCATCACCAGCCTATGTATTCACATCCGATGGACGACGAACGGTTTGAGCAGCGAATGCGACGCTGAATTTTCCACTATAGACAGGTCTCGGGTCGGGGGAAGACTTTTCTGATCGATGCTATTGTTCTCTCGCGGGCGTGCTCGTGGTATGATGGTGCTTTGAAGGATTCTCATCTTGTGTTAGTCTTTTCGAATGTCGCTGTGCCCAGGCGACAAGTGCCCTCTACGGGCGGTGCGTCTGGAGGGGTTGATTTCGGTGCATGGAAGTGGAAGTGCAGTCTTGAACGCAGCAATGGGCGAGATAGCCGCCGTAATATGGGCGCTGTATATGTACTGTGTGTTGGCCTGTCTCGATGCGTGTCTGGAAGAAAGAACTTGCGATGGCTGGACAAGACACTGCCGAGACGGAGCTGGTCGAACTGACCGGAAAGGGACGCCATGCGTTGACAGAAACGCCCATTTTTTGCGCCACACAACATCAGCATGAATACTACTCGTCGCCAGGCATTGCCGTTACACAAGACCGCTGCGGTGTGTGTGATGAGGCGTGGGGTCATGTTGATGGAGTGGAGGGCGCGAGGGCTGGAGCGCAGCCTGCGAGGCAGAGCTGGTACTGGGGGCCGCACGTTTTCGGGGGCCGATCGTGAGGGAAGAACAGTATCTATCGATAACGTCAGCATTTCCTTTTGAATAAAAAGCAGCAATTGGCATTTTAGAGTGTCGCGTGCCTTGCCTTTCGGAGCAGACCGATGCCAGGAAATAGCCGCGCCTTAGCCAAGCGGTCGATCCAGAGTAGCGCCCGTTCTGGAGGACATAGGATGAAGATTAGCCACAATGCCAAGATAGTGATAGAACACTACCCGTGCGCAGGCGATTTCTGATAGAACAGATGGTTAATTGATGGGATCTTAGCCCGCGGAACCTGCAAGAGGGTTCCTGAAGGCCGGGAAGGCATTGCCTTGAACCCCGGCCCACGAATGTCCACAATGAGCAAACGGGGTGTCAGTCTGCAGCTGCAGGTAATTTGCCGCGATCCGATAGGTTCAAACCGCGAATAAAATCGGCCAGGTAGGGATGAAAGAGAGACGCAGCTGGTGATTAATGGATTTGGAGGATGCAAGATGCAGGGTGCTGCATGTTAAGGGCAAGGATGGTGACAAGAAGGACGGTCCGCACACAATACGAATAGGTAGACAGGCAGGTCCAGACAAATTGAGGCTTGCCAGCTGCCAATTCTGCGACAGCTGTCTGTTTGCATGCTGCAAAAATTAATCCTTTTTCTTGTCTTGCATCTATCCGTCCATCTATAAATGCAAACGCTTTTCTCTGTGTCTCTCCGTTCTCCTTTCCGCATTCATCAACACTTGCCGCCAGCAGAATACTTCATTGCAGGCACGTTGGAAACCTGCCCATCATGGCCATCTCAGACATCGCTGTCGACTTCTCTTGGTGCTTTGCTGCCTACACTTCATTCGCCTGCTGGCTCGTCTACGCCGTGTGCCTCGGTATCTACCGCCTCTACTACAGTCCCATCGCCCACCTCCCCGGCCCCAAGCTCGCCGCCCTGACGCAGTACTATGAGTTCTACTACGATATCATCCTTGGCGGGCAGTATACCTTTCGGATCGTCAAGATGCACGAGCAGTACGGCCCCGTCATTAGGATCAGCCCCTGGGAAGTCCATGTTAGTGACCATGACTTTCACCCTGAGCTGTACGCGGGGCCGCACCGCCGTCGCCACAAGTGGATATTCTGGGCAAAGCAGGTAAGCAGACATAAGAGTCTCGATGAAATGTACAACGGCTGCTTACCCTATTACAGTTCGGAGCTCCTCGTGCGTACCGGCAATGCCACTTGGTCGTCCATTCTGACTAACTCTGCGCAGATAGCGGCCTGTCCACTCTCGACCACGATCACCACCGACTGCGTCGCAATCCATTGAATCAGTTCTTCTCGACTAAGAGTGTTCGCGATCTTCAGCCTATTCTCGAAGAGCGAGTAGACCGGCTTCTCGGCCGCCTTCGTGGCGAAGCACAGAGCCGTCCGACCGAGCCGATTGACGTGATGTATCCCTTCTCTGCTTACACCAATGGTAAACATTCATCAGTACATACAGCTTTATTCAGTCATGTTTGATTGACAATTGACCTAGACGTTATAAATGAATACGCGTTTGCGCGAAGCGACCACCTAAGTAAGCCCACCATCCAACTCAACCGCCCCAGCATTAACACCTTCCAGTCGAGGAGCCCGACTTTGGCGCCCATACAACCGACAGCCTCCTCAAAGGCACTCACATGGGGCCTATCATCAAGCACATGAACTGGGCACTGACCCTCGTGAATGCCCTACCGGAATCCATCTCCGGTCGCTGGGTGCCAGGCACGTTTGCTACCTCTCAGCGAAACTACACATATACTTACAACCACAGGCTGGGACGGCTGGCTGAAGCTAAAAAACGACATCCTCCAGCAAATCGACGAAATCAAGTCTACGCAGGGCACCAAGCGCTGGGAACTCGACGTCAGCCACCCAACCATCTTCCACGAGCTGCTCGCCTCAAACGAGCTCCCTGCCATAGAGAAGGAGACACCGCGGCTTGCACAGGACGGGCAGATCCTCGTCCAGGGCGGCACACTGACGACGTCGTGGACGCTCTCGCTCGCTGTTTTCCACTTGTGTAACCGGCCTGAGACGCTCACACGCCTGCGTGACGAGCTTTTCGCCGCCATCCCCAACCGCGACGAGGTCGTCCCGCTCGCCCGCCTCGAATCACTGCCGTACTTGCGGGCCGTAGTCAAGGAAGCACTTCGCCACGGCGTCGGCACGAGCAGCCGGCTGTCACGCATCGCGCCCGACGAGTCGTTTGACATCAACGACCCGGCCACCGGCCACACCCACCACATACCCGCTGGCACTGTCGTTAGCATGAGTCCCTACCGCACCATCATGAACGAGGCAATCTTCCCGGACCCGCTCGGCTTCCACCCTGAGCGCTGGCTCAACGAAGACGAGCGCCTTGACTCCTACCTCATCATGTTTGGCGGCGGTACCCGCGTCTGTCTCGGCCAGGCCCTCGCACAGGCCGAGCTGCACCTCATGCTCGCTAAGCTCTTCCGCTGCTGGGGCAGCGGCGGGGTGGTCGGCGGCGACTTGAAGGGCGACCGCCGAGACGGCGATATCGGTTCGTTCAGAATTTTTGAGACAACACCGCGCGACTGTCAGATGGCATCGGATTATTTCATCCCGATCCCTTACAAGGTATGTGAACAAATGTGCCGAGGATGAAGAGGACGATGACTAATGCCACTTTTAGGGAAGCAAAGGTTTGCGTTTTCTCTTGGAGGCGAACTGATGGGTATTGGAAGCTATAGAACGACAAATTTTCGTTTAATATATAATGATGGCGATGTTTTATGTCATGGGGCTTGAAAATTGGAACAAGTCGTGATGATTTCCCAGTCTCAGCTTGGGGAGCATCCGTCTCGGCATGCCTGTCGCAGCAATCGTTCCGTCTAGATCGCCATATCGTGCCTGATGCTCTCGTCAGCAGCGCATCTGACAGGACTGAGTGTGCAGGTTGCTGACAGACGGGAGCTGTCTGAGGCGGATGGTCAGGAAACGCCGAGACGAGTTGCAAAAGAACGCAGACGGGCGTCAGCCCGATTTACGGTTGTCGCTACGGCAAGCAGCAGATTGTAATTGAAATATATAATCGAATACAATGCGAACTCTAGTCCAGTGCATGCAAGTAAAGTCAGAGCGGGCTCGCAGCCCAACTGGCGGCCGTTGTCTTCCACGCAGACAACCAGCATCAAAAAAAGTATGTAAGCCCGCAAAGCTCCTCACAAGAGCGGTTCATTGACGGGGAAAGAAGAAAGAAACCCAAGGGGGGAGAAAAGGGGGGGGGGGGGGGGCCGATATCCGCAAGCGACACAGAGGCTTGTCTCGCCGTCTTCATCGCTTTGCCCGAGAAGAGCGCACCGCTTGACGGATCCGGGGTGACTCCAACAATCACTCACTCACAACTCCTTGTTCATTTCGGGATATATTGAACGGGCCTAGAGACTAGTAAAAAAGTCTTGCGCACTCCGCCAGATTAACAAACAGAAAAAAAAAGGACGAAACTAAACACAGCTCAAGACCAAAAAACCGTCCGCACCCTCTTGCCCATCCACCCTCTGCCTTGCTCCATGTGTTCGTTTTATTCTATATCCCCATTTTTTTTTCTGCAACACATCTCTTCCTAGTCCTCGATGAACTCAATCATGACGGTCCCCTGCTTCAGCCCGGCCTCCTCGATGGTCGCGTCCAGGCTGTCGACGAGGTCCTGGCCCTGCGGCATCTTCTTGAGCTCGAACACAACGCCCTCCTTGCCGGCGAACGGCGCCGCCTTGAGCCACTCGAACAGCGTGCGCACGGGGTCCGACACGGCAAAGCGCCGGATCACGCGCCCGTCGGCGTGCTTGAACTGGATCCGCGTCGTCGTCGCCGGGTCGTTGGCGGGCTCGGTGTGCGGGTTCGTCGACGAGATCTGCGCGAATGCGCTGGATCCCGCATCATCATCGTCCTTGGTCTCTTCCGTCCCCGCGTCTGCTTTGGTGTAAGCGTCCGGGTCGTGGATGTTGGGCGTCGAGCCCGAGTTGCCGCCGCTGCTACTGCTGCCGCCAACGCCGGCGCCGCCCGTCAGGCTGTTCTTGAGCGCCATCTCCAGCATCTCGTCCTCCGTCATGCGGTCGACGTCCACCACGGCTGGCTTGGGCCCGCTAGGCCTGGCCACGGGGTTCTTGCTGTTGAACTCGAGGCTGTACCGGTCTAGGAACTCGGCCAGCTCTGCGTGGAACTCGCTCGCCTTGGGAAAGGGCCGCCCGCTCCAGACCTTGACCTTCTCGCCCGTGCGTGGGTCGATGATGGAGACGTATGGGTAGTTGTCGGGGTTCTCATGCGTGCCGTTGGGCAAGTAAAGGTTGATGTATTCCTCGGCGTCGGGGTAATCTTTATCGTATTGTAGAAAGATGAAGTTCTCTGACACCAGGTCCTTGACGGACTGATCTTTCCAGATGTCGCGGTTGAGGGCTTGGCAGTTGAAATCGCTCATGTCCTGTAGGTTGACCAGTATCCATTTCATGTCGCCTTTGCCCAAGGTGCGCGCCTCATCCCATGACATGCGCACCATGAGGTCGTATGGCGGGCGAAACAGATCCTCGAGTCGCCGTGCGTGCGTGCCGTTCGCCGCTGTGCTGGACGACGGCGCCGCACCATCTGACCATATACGCTGTGCAAACGGGCCTGCAGATCCAGCACCGCGCCCTCCTGTTCCGATGATTAGTTGCAAGACTCACGTTCATATGGCGTTGGTGTTCTTACTAGCTGCTGGTCGGCGGCGTCGAAGGCTCTCCAGAATAGCCTGGTCATCTGCAGGTCCCCAGGCAGACTCCGGGGCGACCAGGGTCTCTGTCGTTCTCGCAATTGGCGCGCGCACATCCGCTTCGGCGCCGCCACCACCCTGTTGATAGAACTCCTCCTGCAGTCTTCTGGCCATGGCGGCGTCCTCGTCCTCCTGTGCGTAGCTGGCCGCGAGCAACGCCGCCTGGTGGCCGCTGCCGTCTTCGTCGTCATCATGGTTGTCCTCGGCGCCACTATCGGCGTAGTTGTAGTCCATTTCATCGTCGTCACTAGGAATGTGAATCACGCCGCTTGAGTCCTCCCGGGACACGGCGCCGCGGGTTGATGATGTAGCCGGAGGTGCAGCCGCTGACGTTGCTCCTCTGTTGTTGGTAGTGCTGGATAAGTTGGCAGCGCTCATGCCAGATACTAAGTCGGGATTCTCGAAGTAGAGGGCCACAGCACGTTCAAAGTCGTCGTGGGCAAGCTCAAGGTACCCGCGAGCAACATGGACGCTGGAGCCGGTGATGGCGCTGAAGTTGCTGATGTTTTCGTCGGCCATGGTGAAGCTCTTGTCCTTTTTCCGATGAATGTATCAGAGTCTATGCGCGTTGTCCCCAGCGCGTCCGATGGTGGGCAGGCGCCTGACCGTCGAAGCGTTTTGTTGGGGGCCAAGAGGTGTTTGAATCGGCGCGTCGTGACGGAGCTCAGCTCGTAGACGTCGTGCGACGGGAGATGGAGGGTGATAGATCGTGTTGGCAAGTCGTGTTGAGATTAGAAATTGTACCGAGGCACCGATGTGTCTTGGAGGTGGTGCGGACAAGGTGAATTGTAGAAGAGAATTAAATGTGCGTGTGGCGAACACAGGTCTAGAGCGGACGGGTGGACAGCAGGTAGTTTACTGGTAGGGAAGGTTTCGCGTGCGGGTTTGTTTCGAAGCTATAATGCAAGAAATGGACCGCTCAAAAGGATTGTTACCGCATGGATGGAGGAAAGGTGTTGTTGCTAGGAAGAGGTGTCATCAAAAGGCGCGATCCGCGAGTAAGCTTGGATCCGTTTACCTTTGCCCCTCAGCGAAACATTTGGCGGGCGCCATAATCAAATCGCGAGTCGTCAGGCACCCTTCTGGCCCGCTTGCATGACGCAACAAGCCAGCCCCGCCAATCTACCAAACTACCCTGTAGTCAACTTCTGTGGGTGACTTCAAGGGTTATTCGCATTATTGTTGGGCACAAGGGGTTCACGAGGCTCATAAAAATGGATGTATTGTGGCAACAAGATCCTGGCAGAAGCTGTGAAAAGTTAGCATCTTATCTACAGCTTAAGCGCTGGTGCAATTTACAACCTCAGCCGTGCTTTAAATCGTTATGTTGCAAGGTCGAGGGAGAAGCATGTTATTCCGTACTTCTCTTTGTTTGTAGGAGACTCCCAGCTAACTGTAAGCTTCAGCGACTAAATTCTCCCCAGTTCTTTTCTTCTTCTTTTTTTCTTTTCTTTTTCTATATTCCTCATCTACTGACTGAACAATCACGGGTAGACATGGCCATGAGCGACTGTGAGGGTGCGCCCACGGTTGCAGAATGATGTTGTGATTCCTACTTAAATTAGTAAAACTGCACAATCATGTCATGCTTCTTGGTGCACGAACCAGTATGCTACTAGTTTCTATATCCGAGATATCTTATCGCCTCATTTTGCGACTTTTTGATGAGCAGCCAAACCCAGGAATCGTCAGATGCGTTTAACCAGAGCATACTGTTCCTACCCTCCATTATCCGCCAAGAGCTCCCGCATCTCCTTCCAAGTTGGCCTCCTCTTGACCTTTGTATAACAGTCCAGCCGCATATGGTGTTGATTTGCTACTACATAGCTGGCCCTACTTGGAATCGACTTCGCTGGACTACGATTGCTCTCCTTGGATTCCACAGGTGAAGACGACCGACTTGTACTTACAACGTCCTACGCAGATGCTGGAGGTTGCCAGCTGGGGTTTGTTGTGGGTGGTAACAAAGTGACCTGGAGTGTATCTCATGAGGGATGCATGCCTTGTTGGGGTAATAAACGAAGAAATGAAGAGCAGGTCACGATGATATAAGGAGAAATAGTAATAAAAAGATCTATCATCTATGAAACGCTGCGACAGTAATGGATGAAGCCGCCAAATGATAATATAGAAATCCAAAACACCGTGACTGTCATTTCGCCATAATTCCTGTTTCTCTTTGCGCCGTATATTTTTAGTGCTTGAATCTTTCTTTCTCACTTTTGCTTCTATCATGCCCTGCTCTTCAGCACAAACTCCTGCAGGAACCAGGCGTGCATGCGCGCGTCCGGCGTCAACTCCGGATGAAAGCTGGTGCCGAGGACGTTGCCCTGTCTGACCGCAACAATGTCTCCAGCGGCGCCGCTGACGACCACCTCAGAAGTGATGGTCTTGTTCTTGGCTCCGTTGAGGTGATCGGGGAGCCTGGCGACGATGGTGACTCCTTCGGTCGAAGAAGGTTTGTCGCTAGTGGTGGACGGGCGGAGAACCTCTTCGACGATGGGGGCGCGGATGAAGAAGCCGACAAAGGGCTTGGTGGCAGAGTCGGGCAGGAAGGGCAGGTCAAGGGGCGCGGTAAAGCTGTCGAATTGGCGGCCAAAGTGGTTGCGGTGAACGCACACGTCGAGGCCGCCGATAAGAGCCAGGTCGCTCTGCTTGGCGGCTTTGGCTTCCTTGGAGAGGAGGATGAGTCCTGCGCAGGTGCCCCAGGTGGGCTTCTTAAGGACACTAGGAATGGGAAGGAGTGTCAGTTTCGCTTCTTTTTCTTAAATTTCTTCTCTGTCTTTCTTTCTTCAGGGTCTTCATGGCATTTGGGGTGGTACCAACTTGACAAACTCGCGCAAGGGCTCGACAAGGCCGGTCCGGCGGGCGATGAGCGAAATGGTGGCGCTCTCGCCGCCAGGGATGATGAGGGCGTCGCAGCGGGTGAGATCGTCCGGGGTGCGCACCTCGACGGCGGTGACGGTTGTGGGAAGGGAGTCGGCGAGCTGGGCGGCGGCAGAGCGGACGAGGTCGACGTGCTCGGAGAAGCCGCCCTGGAGCGCGAGGACGCCGACGGTGGTGGTTGTGGGCTGCATGGTCGTTGTTGCTGTGAGGAAGAAGAAATCGAGCGAGAGGTAGAGGAGTAGGTAGTATGAAGATACCGGGATTGGAAAAGGGCGGAAGAATTGAGTCGGATCACAATCAACGAGTGACGATAGGTGGGCGACGGAATACTTGCTGATTATTATCGGCTCAAGCCGGTCTTGGGGATCGAGACGGACACCGGTGTTGTTTTCTGGAGGGGACTATTTTTTTTTGATGGAGCTCCGCCTTCGGACACCCTTGTAGCGCCACCCTTGTCGAAAGTCAAAAGTACCACATGGCAGTGAGACCGCTGCAGTGGTACCTTGACAGGGCGCGACTGACAGGGTGGTGTGTGTGCGCTATCCGGTCGCGTAGTGAGGCGAAAAGAGCAAAAAGAGGTGCACAACAGCTGAGTATCACTGATGCTGATGGTCGCTCCATACTGCCAGGTCAAGCCTGAGGCTATCCTGTGATTTATTACTAAAACTGCCCTATACAACCCACGGCGCAGTACGTAACGGAATAGTCATGGGTGGAGGACGGCGTGAAAACGGTGGAGAGGACTAACTTCTGGGTAGAGCAGCGAAAAGGCTTGTACTCTACTCGGGAGGGCGCCGCGACTCAGTGTGACGAAGAATGAGTCGAAGGCAAACGGCGAACCCGGGCACTCGGAGAGCGGGTAGACGGGCATGGTGAGATGACAAGCGTGACCTCTCGGATAAGGTTGTGATACGATCTGTTGCGGTGATGCAGGAAAGGGCGTTTCTTGTACACACCGGGTACAGAGTGCATATTGAGAAGCAGCCTCAGCCATGTGTGAGGAAGTCCGCCAGGCCGGTCGTCGATCTAACTTGCGAGACATGAAGCGGGCGGTTCGGCCTAGTTGTGGTGGTGGTGGTGGTGGTGGCGCATAGCGCGTGGTCGGTGATGGATTTTAGTGCGTGAGGCGAATGTTGCAGCCAGCATACTTAGATAGAGAGTACGGCAGATGTCAATGGTCTGATTCATGGTCGTTCATCATCAGGAAATTTTTCTCCTCGTCCGTTTGGTGCGTTGTCACTGGGGGCGGTGCGAGCGTTAGTGACACGTCTGTGATACTGGCTGGCGCGGGCAGGACTCGATCGAGGTTGTCATGACCAGATTTTCCGTGCTGACCGGTCGTGTGTGCATGGTCGATCCCCGTCTCTCGGTACGGCGGGGAAGCGATCGCTGCGGTGTGACGGCGGCTGGACGGCTGATGGATGTGAAAGGTGCGGTCTGATGCCGTCCCGATGGTCTGATAACCTCGCCGATGGTCTGATAACCTCGCCGATGAAACGAATGGCAGGTATCCGTAGATAGGGAAGCTGTGCAGCCGGCACCGTGCACCGCATGCTGCAGGCTTCCGAATAGGGCCAGTCCGCAGCGGGCGCTAGCCGGGACCCTTGAGGCGGGGACTGGGTGCTGCAAGTGTGGTAACTGACTGGGCTGCACTCGGCATGCACTCCGTACAGACAGATGCTGTAGGTAGTTATTAATATAAACTCTTGATAATAGTAAACGAACCTGCTTGCGTTGGTTGCGGAGGCTGACTGTCGAATTGAGGTATGTGGTTGGTGAGAGGGAGATTGTGGATGTAGGTAGCCGCGATTGTGGTAGATGCTGTGAAGCCCGACCTGTAGGAAGAATTTTGCTTGGGCTTCTGTTGTGCTCGCTTGACGGGTTGAGGATCAAGGGATACCCGTCCAATATTTACAGAACCTTGTTGGACTATTTGTGTGTTGATGAGCCAGATGCAATACCTTGGTTCTAGGAAGGGTGCATACATACATACCTAATAGAAGAGGTAATTGGCCCCTGCCCGCTTGGCTTGCCCCTCCCCCTCCTCTTAAGCCTTCGCTAGCCCACATTGTTAGTGGACTATAGGTACGTACCTGTAACTGTACGAGGGGCAGAGGCGAAAAAAAAGTTCGCGCCCACTCAAAATGTCGTCCGCGCCCATCCGCGAGTCTCCGATGCTCGCGGCACTTCCTTTCTCTTCTACTCCGTCCACACATCTGACTCAGTCCGACAAAACAAGCTCACTTGCTTATTACATCCGCGCCTCCCCCAGATTCTCCCTCCATCTTTCATTCTTCTTTTCCCCATCCCGCGTCTCAATTGACTGGTAAGATCCGGCTCGTTCTGCCCCTCCCCGCCACCACCGAGCCGTCGACCTGCCTGCCGCCTGCTCTACCAACCACCACCTTGACATTCATTGACATCTACTCCCACGCCGTGACACATCCCGCTGACTTTTTGAATCACCAGAATACCACACAAAACTCTCACAATGACCACCGAGAACCACGCAACCAACGGTAGCAACGGCACCGCCGCCGCCGCCGCCGCCGAACCCAGCACTGGGTTCTTCGTCAAGGCTAGTCTCCCGCGGATGCTCAAGGGCGGCGTCATCATGGACGTCACCAACCCCGAAGAGGCGCGCATCGCAAAGGATGCCGGCGCCTGCGCCGTCATGGCCCTTGAGCGGGTCCCCGCCGATATCCGCAAGGACGGCGGCGTCGCTCGCATGTCCGACCCGGCCATGATCAAGGCGATCATCGATGAGGTACCAGACACTCCCGTCATGGCCAAGGCTCGCATCGGCCACTTTGTCGAGTGCCAGATCCTCGAGGCCCTCGGCGTCGACTGCATTGACGAGTCCGAGGTGCTCACCCCCGCGGACGACGAGTACCATGTCGAGAAGGCGCCCTTCAAGGTGCCCTTCGTCTGCGGCTGCCGCAACCTAGGCGAGGCACTGCGGCGCATTGCCGAGGGCGCGGCCATGATCCGCACCAAGGGCGAGGCTGGCACCGGCGACATCATCGAGGCCGTCCGCCACATGAGGAAGGTCAACCGCGAAATTGCAGATGCCAAGGCCGCGCTCGCTGAGGGCGGCATCCTCCGCATCCGTGAGCTCGCCCGCAAGCTCGAGGTCGACGCCGAGCTGCTTCGCCAGACGGCGGAGCTTGGCCGCCTGCCGGTCGTCAACTTTGCGGCCGGCGGCGTCGCGACCCCCGCCGACGCGGCGCTCATGATGCAGCTCGGCTGTGACGGCGTCTTTGTTGGGTCCGGTATCTTCAAGAGCGGCGACCCGGCAAAGCGCGCCAAGGCCATCGTCGACGCCGTCACCCACTACAAAGACGCGGCCAAGCTGGCCGAGTTGAGCACCAACATCGGCGAGGCCATGGTCGGCATCAACTGCGACAAGATGAAGCCCGAGGAGAAGCTGGCTGGTCGTGGGATTTAAGCAAGACCAACAATAAGCTATGGGCTTAAAAAAAAGAGAAACGAAAAAAAAAAAAAAAAAAACCAACGACAGAAAACGAGCAAGCGACATGAACAAACAAAATGAAGAAGTCAAAAGGAAGAAAATGAAACACATCACTTGGCTATGGCGTTATGGGCCGTCTTGCGTTGCTGGGTCACGTTAGCAGTATTAGACATTTTTACTCTTGTACCCTTTTTATCTATGATGGACTTGATCAACCTTTTCGCCATGTCACGGACTTTGTCGGTGCCCACGACTTTGCTGTCTGACTTGCCATTCCCTATTTAGTAGTAAGTATTGTATACGACATTGGTCAACTTCTCATGGTGACACGGAGCTTGTTAGCCAGGCCCCCCCCCCCCCTGGATCTCCTGTACTACCCCCCCACGATCTCCGCGCCCCGATCTGCCCAATTGCGAACTCTTCGCGGTGGAGATGGGGTGTTCCTGTCACGTCGCACAAATCTACAGGCAACAACGTCTCTGCTGGTGTAAAGTGAAAGGGTTGGCAATGCATGTAAGCTCGCATATATATATATATCTTCAACCAAAGCTAGTGTTTATTATGCCCTCGATTCTACCCCCGTCTTTGCTCCATGCTGTGTCCTGGAACAACACCCCCCCTCCCCTGGGCCCCGGCCTCAAAGCCATTGTATTCGTATATATAGACACCATGCGCCTGCTTTTCCTTTCCCCCATCCTAGTCCTTTGGTTCGGTCTTGATAGTTCCGGCCGAAGCCGTGCTGTTGTCGTCGGGCTTCGCTTGGCCGGTCTCGGTCGACGGCTCGGGCGTCCCTCCCTCGGTCTTGGTTGCCGGACCCGGGGAAGCGCCGTCGTCTCCGTCTCCTAGGGGCTCCGCGTCACCGAGTCGCTCGCCTCGCTGGGCGGGCTGGACTCACTGGTGGGCGGGGTGGCGCCGGCGCCGGCGGCGCCCGTCTTGGAGGAGGCGGGCAGGCCGTAGGTCTGCTCGATGGGCACGGTGCTGGTCGTGTAGACGGAGCCGGCCTGGATGGAAGCGAGCGAGGACATGAGCATATTGGCGGTTGTTTGGTGGCAAAGGTGCAAAGTAGAGAGAAGAGTGATTGTGAAGTCGGCGGTTGTTTCAATTGTCGAGTGACAGACTTTGGTAGTAATTGATACTCTTGAAGGGGATGGCAATGGGTTGAAGGTCAGGATGAGATGAAGATGCTTCCCAACTTCACAAAACGGCTTCCAACCCGTCCCGTTATATACCTCTGCCGACACCCATCTCTTCCCATGTTGGTAGCATTGCTCCTTGTTGGTAGCTAGCCTTCTGCTGCCTGCCTTACCCAACATGTAGCCCTGTCAAACTCGAGCAGCCACCAACACCGCCGCTAGCCCTCGGGGCTTGGCTTTCACGGCGGAACCAAGCGCATGAGAAACAACGGTTCTCCTCCCCTCTGTGAGATCGAGTGGACAGCCCGCCTGCCAGTCTAGGTAGGCTGTAAGGCGGCGACGGCGGGCGGCGACGCAACCACGCGGGTGCACGGCCGACTGGCGGGTGGGGAGCTGCGCTTGCTTGCCTGGAGGGAAGCTATACAGCAAGGCAGCGATGGGGCCCGGACCCAACACCGATGTTGGACGACAGGGTACTTTTCTTTCTCTGCTCATTGAGAAATCAATAGTCTCATGGATGCCTAGAAGACGAGGCTGGATTAATTTCTTGCCCTTTTTTTTTTTTTTTTTTTTTTTTTTTT